AACCGCAAGACTTAGAATTTTTTGATTTTTTAGTTACTGAGCTCATTATCTGTATAAGGGTAAAGTTTGAAATAATTTTTTACATTAAATTTGAAATCAGGTGCACTATCTGAAGGTATTAATTTTTTGTATTTTGATAGAGCTAAGATATATTTTTATTAAAGTTATTGTTATACTTTTTTGAAATATACAGAATTTATTTCATTTACTTATAAGCAAAGAATCATATTTCCAGCCAAGCGGCGATTATCTTGTACAATTTGTTGATTGTTTAATTTTTTAAGTAATCGTTGGTCTGCTTACAGCAGTTTATGCAAAAAAGTTAAGATCGACTTTTGAATTTTGGCTTTCCCCTAAAAAATTTCCCTCAATGTCCACGCCTAAAATTGATGTAGATTATGACACAAATATTAGGTGATGAGATGCAGAAAACATCTCGAAACGTCAAAGCAATTTTTATTCAAATAAAAACTAAAATAAAAGCAACTAACTTATTAAACATTATCTTTTGACATAGTACTAGCTAATGCTGATATAATTGATACACAAAAATCAAAGGCAAAATTATCAAAAATTTATTCCGTTTTATGGGGCAAATTTCTGAAATAGTTTTGGAATTCTGGTAAATGTATAACGAAATGAAGTTGGAGTACTTCTTTTTTGTTTTTTTATTATTTTTACGTTGTACTAGTTTAATATCATTCACATTATTACTATTTCTCACCAGTTTTGTATTTCAATGCTGTCATAACTGATATCGTGGTGACTAGACTTAAAAAATGTTTTGGCGGGCATGTTTTTTCTTACCATAAGCTCCATTTAATATTTTGCCTTTTCTCAGTTTGCCGTGTGGACAACACTCTTAAATCTTTTGAAAGCTTCTTGAAGTCAAAAAATTCATTGGGATTCCTAAATAAGGTTGACGTTTCCTAGTCAATCGAAAAATCGGATAGAGTTGTGAGGGTTCAAAAAGATCTCCACCTTCCTTTATGACTGTGGGCAGAGTCTCCCTCACTTTGGCCACGATTCGACCACCTACACTAATAGATAAACAGGGTGTCCCGAAAAAGGTGTGCAATATTCTACCAGCGGTTTCTAGAGCTTAAAATATGGAGAAAAGTTTATATAAACATAGGTCGACAAACGTCCCCTGCATGCGCTGAAAACTTATAACTTATAACTAATATCAGTAAACATTCGACGTCCAGGTACTATGCGATTGGAAAATCTTCTTTGATATTCTCTTACCGCTGCCAATGAACTGCCATATCAAAACCCGTACACAAAATGCATGTCAGTCAGTTCTCTGTCTGTAAATCTTGGCATTTTAAATCGATTTAATAAAAATTTTGATTCTAATCTAGTAATTTTACACTCCTATCAATGTCAGCTTAACGTCAAAATAAGTCATAACAAATCAAAACAACTTTTGTTTGCAGTCATGGCTAACTATGTACAATCAACAATTCATTTAAATTCGTAGTACATTTCCTATCATGTGACAAATTTTTTAGTTTGATTTTATTCAGAAATGGCACAGTTTATCGATATTCAATAAGAGTACCTTTTTTATGTAGAGAACCCTAAATTTTCAAATTCTAAATTTGAATATCAAAAATAGAATCACACAAAAATTTTGGAGCTAAAATAACCTGAGTCCGTCCCTGTTACATACGCGTCCAAACAAAACTGTCAAAAATTGTTAATATTTTTAAATGCAGCATAAAAAACTAGGCTAGAATACCAAATTTTATGTCTTTATCTCAACACGTTTCGGAAGTATTAAAGAAAAACCATCTTCAGGGAAGCCCCTTTAAAAGACCGTAGCGCCCTTGTCGACCTATGTTTATATAAACTTTTCTTAATATTTTAAGCTCTAGAAACCGCTGGTAGAATATTGCACACTTTTTTCGGGACACCCTGTATAGTTATGCCTCTACAGTATATTCAGATAAGAGATAGACCGGACATAAACAAGACCACGTGATCATCGAACGCTGTAACATTCGGCAGGGACGTATTAAGAGTCACGCAGTACATATTTTAGATAGTAGATGCTGCTTTGCGTAACTTTGTAGTAAATTAGCACAATTCGATGTGTATACGATTGGTGATGGATACAGGATCATGTGGGGGTGGGGTAAGAAATATATAATGATGTAAATATACATAAGGGTTTCAAAATTTTCGCTTCGATTTCCAGCTTCGGATGCCGTCTGATGTTTGGTGAAATACTGTCGAATATAATCTCAAAATGGCGTTTAAATTAGCCTAAATTAAAAATAATCGTATATCTCTTAAAATTGCTTTTAGAATATTGATTAGTATATTTTTTGATTTCCAGGTAAATATGTAACCAAATTAAAACGTTCAAAACGTAAAAAAATGTGCATGGTTGAACACTGTCAGAAAGTAGATTCTTGAATAGGTTTTGCCAAAATGGGTTCAAAAATGTCAATAATTAATTAAAAAATACAGTAGCTTTATAATTACTTATAACTTACCGAATTTGATGAACGACATCTTTTATTGGAAAGATGAGCTTGATGAGCTTTCATCATCGCTACTGCCTGTAGCACCAACGTCAATAATGAATGGCTTGTTCCTCTAAAATATTGTCCAGTTCCCACATTCTCTTTTCAACTTTGTCTTTCACGTGCTTAATACAGTTTTCCCATTTTTGCGCTGTTATTAATTCTAGTGCTTCTTTGAAAAGTCCTTTGAGGTCACAAAATTTAAAAGTTGTATTGTGCTTAGCTATATAATTTTTAACCTCTGCCCATATGAGCTCAATGGGATTGAGCTCGCAATGGTATGGAGGTAAACGGAGCACAGTTTTATTTTGACTTGCTGCCATTTCGTCAATGGCGTATTTTTGATATTCCGCCTTGTGATCCTTGACAATTCTTAATAATTGTACTTTCAGCATTGCTTCTTCAAAGTTGATATTTTTCGAGCGGAGCCAATTTTGAACATCAACTTTCCTTGAAGCCGTTGTTGGGACCTTCTCCATTCTTCGAGAATGATAAGGCGCATTATCCAACACAATTACTGCGTTTTCCTCTAAGTTCGGTAAAATTTTTGAAAACCACTGTTCAAACGATTCGCCATTCATTTCCTCGTGGTAATCTCCAGTTTTCTTAGACTCAAAGCACCACAGACCGTCAACAACAAATCCATCCTCACTGCCAATATGGCAGATAATGAGCCTTTTCCCTTTACCTGGAAATCGAAGTACTAACTGGTGTAGATTTATTTCAATAAGCGAACCTTTTTCAAATGTTTTCATCACATTCAGCGAAAAAACATTGAGACATGAGTATCAGATTGCTATAATTGGGATTATTTAGTCATATTGAAAGAAAGAATATTGAACGTCGTATGATTACTCAGCGCTTCACAATTTAATTTAAAGTTATAAACCTTTAAAAAATGAATGATCAGGAACCTGAAATACGCGCAAATATTAATATTAACAAATTATAACTTTATAAAGCTTAAAGTATGAATTAAAATGATTAGAAATGTTAGGAACGGTACACAATATAAAACTTAGTAACTTTTTTTAAGTTTATCGACATATTTTAAGATTATATTAAAAAATTATTGAAATATCGAAAACACATAAAAACATGGCTTAAAAAAGTTCTAACAAATGAAAATGACAATAAAACATCCACGCATTTTATCGAAAGTTATAAAAGTTTTGTTACTTGTAATATGTTTTATCTGCCCCTGGAATTAATGTTTAGAACCCTGATCCCAAGATTTGAAATACATCCGATTCTTGTCTATTACTCGTATTTACCTGCTGGATTTTTTAATCCAGTGGACAGTCCATCTAGAAAGGCCCTCCTGGATGAAGTTACAGAATCATCAACCCATACTTTACTTGTAGTGTGTCCTGCGTTTACCCACGTTTCATCAAGGTAATAAATCTTCCTGTTTTGATTTCTATATTTCCCAATTTTTGTTAAATAATCCCTCCTCCATAGCACAATTTCTTCTCTATCCGATAGTAAACTATTACGACCCCGTTTTTTCCATTTGAAATTTAAATGCTTCAGTAACGCATGGAAAGTTGATCGTTTGAAATTTGGCAACGTTGTATCTCCATTTACCTCCTGCAGTACTTTATCTATAGTAGGTATTCATTCCTAAAGAAGAATTCATGCACTTTCCTCCTAATCGCATGCTTATCAGCTTCATCCAATGATTTAACAATACTTTTGCGATGTTTACTGGTCATTGGCTCAGAAAAGGTGTGATTTTTTTTGTATTGTCTTAAGACATTAAACACTGATGCGCGACACACCCCAACTTTGTGAGAAACCTTCACAACAATTTCTTTGATGGTTGATGCCTCGTTCTCCTCGCGCTCGATCTTATATATATTCAAAATGACCTCTTTCATTTCTGCACTCAGGTGTCTTTTTTTAGAGCGTTTCCTAGGTGGACTACAGGAGTTTACAACTTCATCGGCAGTATCTGTGGCATTTTGCGCAAGCAGTTGATAACAATAACAATCAATAACAAGGTATAACAATAACAGCGACAAACTCAACAACTTAATAAGATAACAAACGAAAACGTCCAAAGAAATATCAAATTGCAATGATGCACACGACATACGTAACACGTCTGAACCTGAATGTGACTCTGCCTTGATACGACTGCTCTGCCGCTCGGCATAGGCATTTAATTGCGAATTGACCAATGAGGGCTCCTGTTTTACGTCGAGACGGCGGCGTTAGCGTGAAAATCACCCGAACCTTTTGTTTACATCCGGTCTATCTCTTATCTGAATATACTGTACGTCAGACTAACCGACATGGAATAATACACCTATATGCGGTTATCTCAATTTTTGGTAGTTTGTTAGTTAGGACACTTCGTGAAAAAGGCGACGATGTGATAAAATTTATTTTTAATGAAATTGTCTTTGTTGCGAGTATTGGAATTATGAGATCGTTTACTTGAAACTTCCCGTCTATCCTCAGGAACCCCCGAATACTTAGCACCAGAAATCATCTTAAGTCAAGGTTACAATTACTCGGTGGACTGGTGGGCACTTGGCGTACTTATATACGAAATGGCCGCAGGATTTCCTCCATTCTATTCAAAAGAACACATGAAGCTGTATGAAAAAATCGTATCGGGACGCTTTGCGTGCCCGCCCCATTTCACGAAGCCGCTCAAAGACCTGATATTGAACATTCTTCAAGTGGATAGGACAAAGAGGCAAGTTACCCAAGGAGTTAGTAATAGAAATGTTAAAATAACGGCAATGTTGTCCGCAAGGATGGGACTTTCCTTTTCACGGAGTATGGATCTTTAAGAAATAAGCGTTTTTTTTTGGTATTGGGTTCCGCAAAATCGATCAAACCTAATCCTCTCCTGTATCTCGATCAGATCAAAAGGTGCCGGCAGCGTAGATAAACAAAACATATACAGGGTGTCCGCAAAGTTGGGGTTTTCCTTTACACGACGTGTAGATCTTGAAAACATCAGCAATTTTTCTTAGTACCATATACACCAATGTCTTAAGGGAACCGAGATAAAGGGCTCTGCAACATCAAAAATATCTGAATACCGTCCTGTAGCCGCGACCCGCGACATCACCGAGTGGTACAAGGTCACTGGCTCAACCCGACGACAGAACTGGGTCGGGGTCAGTGTGTAAGGTCAGTATGCAACCTTCAACAAGCACTAGAGACGTGGCTAGAGAAGTGCAAGTATCAAAAACTAAAGTGTGGCAAACGCTGCGTGAAGAAGGGCTGTATCCGTTTCACGTCCAACGTGTACAAGCCCTTCAACCTGACGATTTTCCAGCAAGAGTGCGGTTTTGTGAGTGGTTGTTGCATCAACATGACAATAATTCGGACTTTTTGAAGTGCATATTGGTGACAGACGAATCTACGTTCACGCGTAATGGGGTGAATAACTTTCGCAACACTCATGTTTGGTCAGTAGAAAATCCGCACGCTGTCCGTCGGGCACATTTTCGGTGAATGTTTGGGCTGGCATGGTGAACGGTATGCTCATTGGACCATTTATTCTCCCAAATCGATTGGACGTGATGCAATACCTAGACTTTTTACGCAACATTTTGCCTTCCTTGTTAGAAGATGTGCCATTAAGTGTAAGACAATCAATGTGGTTTCTGCACGATGGTGCACCGCCCCATTTTAGATGCGAAGTGCGTGAGTTTTTGAATGAATTATTTCCGAATAGGTGGATCGGACGTAATGGACCCGTAGCGTGGCCTCCGCGATCTCCAGACCTAACACCATGTGATTTTTTTCTTTGGGGAGAAATGAAACGCTTAGTGTACAAAACTGAAATGCATACGGTTGACGAACTTCGTCTCAGAATTGAACAAGCTGGTGCTTTCATTCGGGGGAGGGACTCCATTCTCAAAGCCTGCACCGATGCTTGGCTACGTCGTGCACGCACCTGTGTTTTTGAATCAAACGGCGATAACTTCGAACAATACCTATAAAGTACGTTTACATAAAAACTGAAAACGCGGCAACGCCGTCATATTTGTTACCTCTGTTCGTGGGATTTCATTTTCTGTTGGAGCGGTATGATTTCGGGCAGAGACGTACTTAGCCCTTCTCGTTAACTGGAGAGTGAGTACTTTTTCTTTTATTTTTTTTACTTGGTCGCCCTCGTTTCACTACACATTACCTTTGTTATTTCAAGGGTAGTTGTTTCTGAAAAGGAAAACCCCAATTTCGCGAACACCCTGTATATTTACCAATCCGCTCGAAAAAAAAATATCGAACTTGTCGACATGATTTGAATTTATAGTGAGCGTCTTCAAAATGCTACAGAGGCTTCGCAAATGTAGGCAGATCGCGTACCCAGACGTTAACATTCAGGGCCGCGTAGATTTGTTTGCCTTGTGCAAAGAGCTGGGGATACAGGTCCTCGTGCAGGAATGTCAAGGTGGGCACCTAGACAACCCAAATGGTGCAAACTGGGGAAGGAGTATTAAAGGATCCCCCAAACCAACGCGATTAATCCGCTGCGATATTCGTGGCGATGTAATTCTCGCGAAATTCGCTGCGAACATCTGAGGGACTTTCATATCGAAGCGAAAAGATCGCAGTGGATTGGCAGTAAACGGTGTGCCCTCATGTTTTGATTGGAGATGAAGGATTTGCCCTTAAACCCTACCTAATGAGACAGATTCCATATAGACAGTCGAAAGCAGACGCTAGAAAAGAAAAATACAATACTGGGCGCGGAGAGTAGCGTAATATGCATTTGGGATTCAAATGTGGATAATTTTTTATAGGCCTATGGAAACGAAAACAGATACTACAATTTTAATAGTAAAAACTACATGCGTTCTGCATAATTTCTTACGCAGTAAGCAATGTGACGAACAGTATATACACATTCTAGATAAAGATCCAGATCCATCACAAGCCTTTACCAACATCGAAAATGATCCAAGACGTGCAACGAATTTGGCATTTTATTCACGAGAAAAATTTGTTGACTACTTCAACTCCTAATATTGTTGGTCAAGATCAGCTTAGCTAAGCCATTCATAAATAATAAACGTATTATAATAATTTCTCAGTAAAGAGTAACTTACCGGTGTCATTCAATTCCACTCCTATCTCATCCCAGATTTTGTCTTTTTTTCGAACATTTTTGTAGTCCTCGTTGTTCAAGTCATAGAGAATTGGAAATTGTTCAATTATTTCTAGAAGTTTTTCACTGTTTATCATTGCGACAGCGATAAAAATCGTGCAAGCAGCGAATTAAAATTTAGTCGCTGCACTGTCGCACCGCTGTGAGCGAAACTGACGCACAGGTCTGTTCTTGTTCATTTGCTTCTACGAGAAGAGTCCCCCGACAATGTCGTCGCGAATTAACCGCAGTCGCTGCGAAATATTCGCGTCGGTTTGGGGGATCCTTTAATCTTGTAGAAGAAAATCCTTGGCGAATGATATTATGAAACAAGTGACGATCTGATAATTTCAAGGCTTACTAAGGAAATTGTTTTTTTTAAATAACTAATGTTTGGTGATGTCAATTATACAAACTTACACAAAAATTAAATATTTTTAGAATCAGAATTAAAAACTATTCATCAAAGTGGCGCCTATAAGAAAAAATAAATTTGGTGATTGAGGCCAATTGGCGGAACGTTATATCGAAACTCTAATTACTCCATCTTGTAGAGGAGAAAAGTGGCTATGTTAATGTTTTTGAAATTTTTGAAATCCCATAAAGACACAAACAAATAAAAACGGTTTCTTTCGTCTATCTCCGGAAATACTCGGAATTGTGAAACTTTCTAACAAGTGCCAATTCTTAGTTACATACATGTCCAACTTTGTCCCCATTTAACCGACTTCGTACTATGTCTTACCGTTTCCGAGATCTGAACGGTGAGAATCGAATTTGAAGCACCCGGTATATGTTTAAAGCGAACAATATTCTTTTCAATCATTTTAATCTAAGCGCTAAAATATCTGGCAAGTTATTTCGGTAGTAGACTAATATTTATCAAGCACTCTGCACAAAATGCGCAACATGCTACAGATACATAAATATGCCCGATGCTACGGATATTTCAGCAAACAATAATTCAAATGGCATTGAACTAACTGATCTTGTTCAGGGCAACAGATAATTTCCGTATATTTTCTTTATCCTGCAGTGGACGGAGTTTGAAAATACACTGATTCGCACACAATGTGTAACAGCGTAGGATGCCAATAATCCCAGTTTTTACTACAAAGTTATAGCCGCTTTACACAATCAGTCAAATGAATTCACGAATAAATTGTCAGAAACATTGATGAATTTCTATAAGGTAACAGGTAGTGATCAAATTTATTTAAGCCAATCATACCAACACATTTAGTAACTTCCTATGATACCAACCTCTGGGAGAAAATATCAAAACATAACCTATGTATAATGAAATGAACCTAACCAATAAAAATATGACAGTATACTTTCACATATTCTGCCCCTATTCTTGTCTTTAATAGAAAATCACACTCTCTGTTTCTACTCCCCCGGTTTTCTACCGATTCGAAAATACTGTATTCTTGAAAGGACTCGATAAAAAGGAGAAAGGAAATCAAGACACAGGGCTGCCAGGTTTGAGTAAAAGTGTTAAGCCAATCAAAATGGAGACAATTTTGACAGTCAAAAACTAACCAATTGGTCAAGATTTCCTCCTTATAATGTTATCTATGGAGCCGAAAACTAAAAAAAAAAACACATTACAAGTGAACAAAAGGACAAAATGATTGAATTTCTCCGAGAGCACCTCCAAATGCACCAGGGAAAATTCAATCATAGATTGAAGCATACTGTTTTAGAATGACTAAAACTTCATATCTACTCTTGCCTTTGTTGTGATCAAAAGTGCAGAAGCTCGTGGAGGTGGTTGTTTGAATGGAGTCAACATCTCCAGCAATTCATACACCAAATCTTTGGTCAACCTATACATCTGTACAAATTTTCGATCCGAAATTATGAAAGGATCTCGATGCCCAAGAACATCTCTCCTAAACTCCGATTCCGTAACTGTCTCCTCTATATCCTCGTTAATAATATCGTTCCAATACATCACTTGATTGAAATTATCCATTTTCTGCAATATGTTTAGCAGGAATGACAATAATGCCATATATAGCGCTATTTTCTACTAATTTTTCCAGTTTCTCTTGGTCGGTATCAAGAGAAATCGCGACTTCCTTAAGTGAATTCATTTCTGTCACTTTTCGGTGATTGACTGATCTCAAGAATACTGCATTTCTTGGACACACCCACTTTTTGCCATTTTCTTCACAATTTCTACTCCCACAAACTCAAGAATAGAGGTCCTTATTACTTCTGTTGAAATATTAAAACCTAAATTGAAATTAAGGCATCAAGCCAAACAGAAAAGGTTATACTTTTAATCTCAAATCATAAAAGGTGGTAACACTCAGGACCATATTCATTTTTGTAGGCTAAGGAACTTTTCGACATAAAAGAGTTGTTAACAAGTACAAAATGAATCCGTAGTGTACAAAAAACTACAACAAAATACGACTCTGTCTACCTGGATCCGTCAGAATTGTCATCTGTCGTTATGGAGAATTTTGAAATACTACTAGATGATCAGCTGTTATTCTACCTTGATGGATGCTCTTGAAATAGACAATACCTGGCAGGCAAACTCCGTCCACTGAAACCTCAGACGCTACGTTTTTTAGTACAATAGATAGCCTGCATTTCCGATTGATTAAATTTGATCAGCTACCGATACTCCCATTCCAATACATCGTTACCCCATTTTGCAACCTACCCAGATCCAGACTCCCAGAACACGACTAGGTCAGAGCCATCAGCATAGAGATAGACTTCACAGTTGCGCCCAGCCACCATCTTGACATTTTCAACTGTCACTTTGACGCCAAAATATCGTAATCAGCTTGTTAACTTGACTCTTTCAAAAAATAACTCGTGGGTTTTTTAAAAAGCAATGTAACAGAACATATCAAAATAAGTGTTCACAAGCGTTTGTTGGCCCTGTTGTTCTTATTTGTCATATGAGGTCTGTAAATTAAGTGATGAGATTGATTTGTTACTCTATGTTGTCAGTCTCATGACTTAATTTACAGACCTGGTATAACTGTGTCGTTTATAAAAGCTCTCTTTTCCAGATACGGTCAGCTGAAAGGAGGCAGCAAGGACATAAAGGGACACGACTGGTTTAGAGGTACCGACTGGGATGGAATACTAAGTAAACGTGTAAAATCGCCGTTTGAACCAACATTAGATAATGTCGGTGACACCAAGTATTTCGAAACTTACGGAGATATAGTTTTAAGAGAGTCCATTAATAACGAATATGCTGATGAATTCGCTGATTTTTCCGTCGGAAAAAAAGGTTTTATGTGAAAGTTTTAACTTTTATAACAAAGTTTACTGTAAATTTTATATTTTATTTACATCAGCTTGGACTTGTCGTTTATGCTGGTTTTCTGGTTATTTTATAGAAAAATAATATACACCTTTTACGTTGTTTGATAAGATGTTTAATTGCTTTATCGCTTCTAGTTGATATTGTACATGAAAAAGAGCATTTTTCAATATCTCATTTCAGCTATGTCAATCTTCTTGGAAATGTCTTTTCAAATATATTTGTACCAACAAAATTGTGCATAACCCTGTATAATAATTTAGAAATATGCACTTATCAGACATCAATATGGCTACGAAAACTGTTTTCGAATATGTTTTACAGTTTTTCTATAGAATTACTCTCCGTTTTCCTACAATAATTGTGGGACGCCTTTATGGCCTCCTTGATTTTCATAGCTTTTCTCTCGTTTAGAAACTATGAAAATCAAGGAGGCCATAAAGGCGTCCTACAATTAATTGTAGCAACGACTGACGATACGGCATTTAAACACATTTTCCTGGAAAGACCATAGGTTTCTGTCATCGTATTCTAGAGGCAAACAAACGTAACTTAACAAACACTCAGGTAAGAGTATTTAACAGTTCAATTCACTCAACACCAGACTAACGCTGTTTTATTATTTCATTCTATTACTACCTCTACTGGCGACACAAAGACTAGCCCGGCAACATCGTGAAGGCTGTTCCATTTTGCATCTGCCAAAACGTTCGTATTTCGTCACGGAAAATTACACACGAAATGTAAGTTTTTGTCGGATGAAAATAGATGTCTTTTTTCATGAGCTTAAATTTAAAGTGCACTGATTATTCCATGAAATATAGCTTATTGTCTCTGTAAATGATGCGTTTCTTTTCGGGGACAAAAACGTGAAGACATTTTGCTGGAATGGAGTTACACGTGAAAATTTACTTATATTCCAGTGGTATAGGGCTTAGCGAGATGATCATTGAAAACAAACTTATTGACCTTGCTAGTATACTAAGTGACATATAAATCCGAACACCCAGTTTAAATGGTTTTATTTTAATAAAAGTTGGTGAATGTATTTATCTTACTGTAAATAACAAGTGAAAAAATGTTCAGCCTTATCAGTTGGACATTCCGGTTTTTATACTGCTTTTTTTTAATTCACTAACGCTCTAAAAATGAATATTTCAGCCGCAGTAAAGAATCAACGTTGGCGGATTTTGGTTCTTAACATCCTTTACGATCGGTTACGATGCCTAGAGTACGGAGACCTGTACGATTTCGTCAACTTAGTGAGTTTGTTAGGGGCCGTATAGTGGGACTTCGGGAAGCTGGACTTTCTTTTCGGGCAATTGCAGTTAGAGTGCAAAGAAGTGTAGACACTGTGGTTAGGTGTTGTCAGGCATGGCTTCGAGAAGGCCGTACGCAAAGAGCAAGGGGCACTGGACGCCGCCGTAGAACAACAGACCGTGAAGATCGCCGCCTAAGATTATTGGCCTTAAGGGACCGTTTCTCCACTACCAGGTCCATTGCAAATGAATGGTTTGCAGAACACGGAAGACCTATTGGCATGCGAAGTGTTTACCGACGAATGAGAAGTTTTGGCTTGTTTTCATACCGGCCACACTGGGTCCTCCCTTTAACTCGAGAACACCGACGTAATCGCCTTGAGTGGTGCAGACAACGGTCACTCTGGGATCAGGAATGGAACAGTATTGTCTTTAGTGACGAGTCTCGATTTTGTTTAGGCATGCACGATGGTCGTGCCAGGGTTAAAAGGCGACGTGGTGAAAGGAGGAATCCACAGTTTTTTTGTTGAAAGACATGTTCATCACACTGTTGAAGTTATGGTTTGGGGTACTATAGCTATAGCTTGTGGTTCCAGGTCACCTTTAATCTTGATCAGAGGTAACATGAACGCGCAGCATTATATCCACGAAGTTCTAGAACCCCATCTTTTACCCTATCTTGACATCCTGGCAGATCCAACTTTCCAACAAGATAATGCCCGACCACATGTTGCAAGAGTCACAATAGACTTCTTTCAACATAATGATGTCACATTGTTACCATGGCCACCAAGATCTCCCGACTTATCCCCAATTGAGCACGTGTGGGATATGATGGGTAGGAGATTGCTCAATTTGCAACGTCCTCCTCAGACTCTAGAAGCACTTCGAGAGGAGTTGGTGGTTGCCTGGAATGAGATACCACAGGAGGACATTGACCACCTGATCAGAAGCATGCCTAGGCGCGTTGGAGAATGCGTAGCTCATCAGGGTGCATACACACATTATCAAAGGTCAAAGGGCTTTAAAGCAGTGCAATCATTTTGAAATTTTTATCATTTACTTATTATGCTTCATTAAGTACTTATACAAAATTTTATTAAAATAAAACCATTTGAACTGGGTGTTCGGATTTATATGTCACTTAGTATATAATAAGCCTCGATAACTTTGTAATGCAGATGAAAGTAATACCAAAAGTCCTGAGTGGGGTATCAATCTAGAGAGCTAGAAGTAGAGGGCACTAGTTAGGTTGGGAGTCATGTCTAATATGTCAATTGCTGGTCATGTGTTCACGTCATGAAGTTGTGAAAATTGGGTAACTTTTCTATCTAATCTGACTTCATCCCATCTACTTTTGACAGTTTGTCATCTAACCACATAAGCGCCGCCTATCGGGAGCAGAATTAATCATAGCTGTTATTCGCTTTACGCAACGGAGATAAGACATAAGAAACAGTATGGTTGCGCACATATTCGGACTCATGGACTTGGGCAGTGATATATTCTGCTAGCTGCTAAGGGCCGTATCGTCAGTTGTAGGGCGAATATTTTTAAGGTTATGTTACAAATATCTATTTGCATCAAATTATTCATGCTTTTGATTTATATAATCTGTTATATAGCCTGAAATTTCCTACAATTAAAAAAAACATAGCATGACGATCGGAGAGCGCTGACACTGAAACGGAACAGTAGAAATCTAGAAATATCCCATTCTAGCCTTTCTAAAAGCGAGAAAAGACTATGAAAATCAAGGAGGCCATAAAGGTGTCCTACAACTATAGGGCGCCTTGATTTTCAGTTTTCTACTGTTCCGTGTCAGGGCTCTATTTTGAGGTTATGTTACAAATATCGATTTGCATGAAATTCTTCATGCTTTTGATTTATATCAGCCTGAAATTTCCCGATTCCAAAAGAAAACATAGCCTCAGAATGAGAAAGCGCTGACGCTGACCAGTAGAAATCTAGCCTTACTGAAGGAGCGAAAAGGCTATCAAAATCAAGGAGGCCATAAATGCTAAGGAAACAAAAACTTTTCCGCAAAGCTTTTTCATTCAAAGTCAGATATCTCCGCGCCAAATGATCGTATCGATATTTTCATAGCAGGATATTGAAGCTGAATAAACGGGCTATCTGATCCATATTATGGCCTAACAAGAAAAAATCAAGCCTGTGGACTAAAAAGAAGGCAAACATTTTTATCGCGCTATACATTACAATTGCAAGAGATCTGTTGCTCCCAAAAATGTTCGGCTAAAAAAACATAAAATTAGAATCTTAAAGCTTCAAGGGTTTTTTTTAAACATCATTTTTCACCGCCTGTCAAAGACTACCGAAAATTTTGTATTTTTCTCTTGATCCCTTAATTGTTTTGAGTAGCGTAGATGAGTTTTATCTGTCACTTCAATCAATGCATTTTTTACGTTACTGTCACGTAGGATTAATTAAAACAAACAAACGTAACCCAGAATAATTATTTATTGTACAGTTGTCTATACATATAAATCCCTGTAGAGTGCTAAATATAGCCCATAGGTGTATAATAAAATCATAGTTCTACTCCTTATAAAATACTGAAAATCATCATCGTGTTCCTACAAATTTATAAAATTGTATCTATCTTACAGTAAAACTAAAAATGTTGAAGTACACACACATAATGATTCTGGTAGCTTCAGTTCCAGCTCTATGGCATTTCACAAAAGTGTTCCCAGACAAAAAATATGCTTTCAAGAAAATAATAATTTTTATTGGCGACCATGGTATTAATGGAGATTACTTTCCAATTATTTGTATATTGCATACCTTCAATACTAGTGATCAGTTGGTATAGATAAGCTGTAAAAAACTTCTAATCAAAATTAAAAATTATTTTGTTTAAACGTACAAATGAAGCTTGCGATATTATACCGCATATTTTGCATAATAAGGAACAAAAAAATCTTGCAATAAAGAATCCCCTCACATATGACAGTGTATAAATCTTAAGTGCCTTCATGCCACACGTAATATCCTGCAAAATGCTAAAAAGTCTGAAGATGGGATGGATAATATAGTAAAAAAGTAGTGAAATCACAAAATCTCCTAAATTAAAGTTACATAATATTTCAATGTTGTGTGTGTAACCTACTACTTAACGCTCATGTTTCGCACCAATTTATTGAAGAATGATGAAAAAAATTTCTATATGTCGAGACCAGCTGCGATCAGGCTCCAGGACGCGTTTACAGGCATCGTCTTCGACACCCGATCCACGACACTCAGTCATCATCTTCATCATCATCGGATACGTACTTCTTGGTGGTCCTCTTCGGTCGTCCTCGCGTCCTGCCGTTCACACATTTTTTTAATAAACGCCCCAATAACATGTCATAATAGAAAAATAGTATTTCTGACGGCACGATACAACAAACCCTGACTTCAGGATATAGCATTTTCGCGGATCTTGATAACAGTCAGACCATGATATTCTTATGTATTTTTCTACTTCGAATCCGAGACTAGACAAGGTCCTAGACGTCTAGAATTCACCCCCGGGGTCAATGAATAATCGATTTTTATTTTGTTCGATTATTTTTTTCTTATTATTGACTTTTCGCAATCGATTTTATTAATGGCAAGTATCGATTTTTAATAAATCGAGGATATGAATTACATGTTTTGAATCGATTTTTATAAATGATGTCACCTGTGTAAGTAAGTTTACTAAACGTGAACAAGTCGATAAAAAATCAGCGCCATCTTTACGTACAAATATATAAGTTGTGATCCTTTTTGTCTTTATTTATTTCTTTGAAGTTTTGATGTGTCAAAATAATTGTTATTAACCATAGTCTTTCACTCATAAAACACCCACAAGCTGCTGGCGGAAGTATTTTATAATAAATGCGGAGTTAAAAACATGTTAAAAATTGTCGTTATATTTCTCACTCTTATTGTGTGTATTATTTTTACTGCAATAAAATATTCAAGAGTACTGAAAATTTATATATGAATAATTCGAATCTGTATTTATAATCTAAAAGTCGTCCTTTTGGTAATTTTTTTATACTGATATATCGAATAAGCATTTTTCGTATATAAAAACCAAAATATCTACAAAAATCGATTATTTCCTCAAAAATCAATTTTTTATAAATCCATTTATCTTGAAACGAAAAAAAAAACGATTATCAAAGTCACCTTCCTAGCTCAAGAACTACCTCTAGGAGGTGAAAAAAATTAAGTTTCGGATGCCAGCTGCTGCTGTATGTATTTTTGTATTTTGCGACGCTGATTCCGAATTTGTGTCCGAAAAGATCTCTAGACCCCCTAGAGCTGATCTCCGGGCCCTGCCAGGGGTGGAAATTGACTTTCAAATGCCAGGTGCTGACGCGTGGTATTTCCATATTTATAGTATTCGACACTGAATCGGAATTTTTGTGTAAATAGATCCCTACGCCCTTTAGAATTAATTACCGGGGCCCAAAACTACCCCTAGGAGGTGTGAAAGTTAATTTTCGGATGCCAGATGCTGCTGCATGTATTTTGCGACGCTGATTACGAGTTTGTATCCGAAAAGATCGCTAGACCCCTAGAGCTGATCTCCGGGCCCTACGAGGGGTGGAAATTGACTTTAAAAATGCCTGATGCTGCCGCGTGGTATTTCCATATTTATATTTTTCGACACTGAATCGGAATTTTTGTTTAAATAGATCCCTACACCCCTTAGAATTAATTACCGGGGCCAAAAACTACCCCTAGGAGGTGTGAAAATTAATTTTCGGATGCCAGATGCTGCTGCATGTATTTTGCGACGCTGATTACGAATTTGTGTCCGAAAAGATCGCTAGAACCTTAGAGCTGATCTCCGGGCCATACCAGGGGTGGAAATTGACTTTCAAATGCCAGGTGTTGCCGCGTGGTATTTCTAAATTTATATTTTTTTTTCGGCACTTAATCGGAATTTATGTTTAAATAGATCCCTACACCCCTTAGAATTAATTACCGGGACCAAAAACTACCCCTAGGAGGTGTGAAAATTAAGTTTCTGTTGTGTTTTGGATACCAGTTGCTGGAGCATAGTATTCCCATCTGTTTTACGACGCTGAATCCGAATTTGCGATCGAAAAGATATCTAAACCCTTAGACTTCACCCCGGGCTCAAAAACTACCCTTAGGAGGGGTGAAAATTGAGTTTCGGATTCCAGATGCTGGAACAAGGGCCCAAAAACTACCACTAGGAGGGATGGAGATTGAGTATCTGATGCCAGATGCTGGAACATGGTATACAAATAATACGAACTTGAGGTAAACATTTTTTTTCATAATGTTTTTCGGTTTTTCGAAAAGTAAATGGAATATTTCGTACTTTTTAAATCGCGTATATCTCAAAAAATATTCACTTTACAGAAAAGTTCATAAGAACCTTTTTTGTTCACTATAACCCCATTAACATTAATCGAAAAAACAATTTTTGATGGAAATTTGAATGTGGCAACAAACAGATCCGTTAAAAAGGCCACTTTCAATAATACTGCCTAAAACCGATCAGAATATTTTCCCGAACAGACGCGAAAATAATTCCTGAAATATGAAAACTTCAAATGATCTTACTAGAGATTCAAATTTCGAAGTGTATTTTTTCTTGTATTGTTTTACTGCGACGCAAAATCATCAATATCCGTTCCATAAACTGCAATATTGTGCAATGCATAGAATGTACTTAATAATTACCTCTTCCCCTTCGCACTCTCCTTATCTCCACCCTTGCTCTTTTTACCGCCACCGCGAGGCGTGGGCGGTTGTTGCTCGACGTCCGACTGGTCCTCCGCCCCCGGTTTTTCATCATCCGAATCGGCTGCCGCTTCGATCTTCCCCTTGGCGTTCGTGAACACTGACTGCAAAATGATGCTATCCTCGTGGATCAACGAGTGCTCTTCGTTGTAGATTTGCGCGTTCTGGCAGAGCAGCATGAAGTCGCGCTCGAGGTCGGCGAAGTCGGAGTACTGACGAAAACGGGAGACATAATTATTATTGTTGATTTTAATTAATAAAAATAGTCGTCTTTATTTAGAAACAAAGTAATTGATCGTCGAAGTTTGGCTACTCTTACACACAACCGATCAGTGAGCGATTGGTACAATGCAATACAGAAATGAATGAAGAATAGGCAAGAACAAGATCAGAAAATAAGCAAACCAAATAAATAAATAGCGTTTATTGCCCAACAGTTAAGGAAACCATTTACAGGACAATCCTAAGAAAATGTAAATCAAACTAACAAAAATAGACAGTGATTTCATCTAAAGGAAAAACAAACCAGGAAAAGCAAAAAACATATTTCACTCAAATGAGAAACAAATCATAAATTGTTCAAGTAATTCCTAGCTACTCCCAGAATGCTATTCAAACTGTCAGCATGTATATCAGAATAACCAAATAAGGCAAATTGTAGAAGAAGATCCAACAGCAGTTTATCAACTGGCCGCGAAAGCCTTAACCAATTTATCAACGGCGAGTATTATGCGAACTTATTGCAACGTTTGAGCGATGAAATCAAGCCGCATTTGGTTAAGAGGAAAGTGTTGTTTCATCAAGACAACGCACCAGCTCACAAATCCGTTATTGCAATGGCCAAAATTAACGAATTAAACTTTGAATTGCTACCTCATGCACCCTATTCACCAGATTTAGCCGCCTCGGATTATTTTCAGTTTCCAAACTTGAAAAAATGGGTCAGTGGTCAAAGATTTTCCAACGATTAAGAAGTGACGTCGGCAGTTAATGGCTATTTTGAGGAGCAAGACAGTTCTTATTATAAAGATGGTATCGAACTTATTGAACATCGCTGGGAACAGTGTATAGAGCTCAAAGGGGATTATGTTGAAATATAAATACATTTTTTTACAAAAAATTTGTTTTCTTCGTTGGATCGGGTACTTCTGGGACCACCCTCGTACAGTCTAAAAAAACATGAAAACGATTTGGGCAAATTTTAGTTTCTCTCAAATACCTTAGTAAGTCATGAAATATTTACAAGTGTAAGCGTGTAAAAACGCCAAAAAGAATGCAGCTTTTTCCTAACTTAACCAAAGCTGTATCTCCCACAGGATTGAGATCCCCATACATAGGATCCCTATACGTATATAACCTAGATATGAGTGTTAAAATGATCTCTGGCTATAAATTTGGAATATAGAGGTAATACACGGTTGTCCAATAGGGACGCAGGAAAGTAAACGTCAATTTGACATAGACGCCATCTTTGTTTTCTGTCACCGGCATGTCATTTTGTTAGTTGAATGTTTACCATTGATCGCTATGGAGTCGTATTCGATTGAAGACCGCACTAAAGTTATTCAAGAGGACTACAAAAATGGTGCAAAAATAAAAAACACGTTTCGCGCGCTTCGTGAACATTTCGGTCGCAACAACGGCCCAAACGAAACAACCATCGGTCGTCTGGTGCGTAAATTCGAGGCAACAGGTTTTGTGGCAAATCTGCCAGGCTCTGGCCGGCCAAGGAGCGTTCGCACACCAGACAATATTGCTGTTGTGAAGGAGAGTGTGAGAGACGATCCGAAACAATCAACAACGCGTCGATCCCAAGAATTGGGCATTTCGAGAACCAGTTTGCTCCGCATTCTCCACAAGGATTTGAATGTACACGCCTACAAGATCCAGTTGACGCAAGAGCTGCGTCGGGCCGACCATTTTTCGCGCCGAACGTTCTCAGATTGGCTCCTTGAACACCGCCAAATTGATGCCAATTTTTCATCAAAACTCATGTTCAGCGACGAAGCGCATTTCACTTTGAATGGGACGGTAAACAAGCAAAACTGCCGCATCTGAGCGAACGAAAATCCCCGTGAGTATCAAGAGCAGCCGATGCATCCTCAAAAAGTGACTGTGTGGTGTGCATTGTGGTCAAAAGGCATCATCGGACCTTACTTTTCCGTTACCGTCAATTCTGAGCGATATCACGTGATGATAGAGGACTATTTTTTGCCGCAACTTGAAGGAATGGATATGGACGATGTTTATTTCCAACAAGACGGTGCAACATGCCACACAACCAACGTCAATATCCATCGATTGCAGTCCTTCTTCGGTGATCGCGTGATTTCGCGCAGAGGAAATGTACCATGGCCACCAAGATCGTGCGATTTGACTCCCTTGGACTTCTTTTTATGGGGATATTTGAAAAGCAAAGTCTACGTCAACAAAGCAGCCACACTCCAAGAACTCAAAAACAACATCATTGCCGAGATAAATGTCATAGAACCGACTATGTTGCAAAATGTCATTGAAAATTTCGACCATCGCGTGGACGTCTGTAAATCCAGTCGTGGTGTACATTTGAGCGATATTATTTTTCATACATAAATGGTATAAATGCACCTTCAAAATAAAGTACCCAACTTGATTTGAATATCAATCTTTCTTGTTTTAATATGCGTTCCGTTTCCTGCGTCAGGTTTTGGACAACCCCATAGTTTAATTGTATTTTCTTCATCGAATTTCAACACGTAACATACAAAGTACTACCTGCAAACACATTTTGTTGAAACTTATTTAATATTTTTTTGGCGCTTGAATTTCAAAATTCCTATTATCATTCTCATATCATTTTTAATTTGCTCAATATATTACCTTCAAAAATGACTATTTGGATGTTAGTTATCAAATAAATTTACTATCAAAAAATTAATCTCTCTCAAGAAAAAAAAAAGTGTGTACCAATACTTTTTTGTTCCACTGTATATAATAATAAATTTTTTATGAACTATTTTCCACATGCTTGTCCGGAGCAATAATAAAAGATAACTAACTTTTAAAGAAAAAAGAATAGTTGATACTCGTCGAGATTTTTTTTATATATCCTTGTTTCTGTTTAATAGTAACCAATATCATTTCTTGTTGTAAAGACTGGTGAAATATTTTAAAGCACTCACCTTTCCATCATCGATGAAGTTCATAATTTTCGTAATATCAATCGGCTTCCTTATAATGGAATAGTAATCAGGATATTCCTTCCTTGGGGGTAATTTTATGAACTGATCGCTCAACTGGCGTCCATCCCTAAAAAAAAAATGTTATAGATTCAAATAGAGGATCTATGCAATAAGAGATACATTTTATTATGATGTTAGCATTTTTCTTCCTTGCCAGGGGAGACAAAATTTGACATACAAGCTGGAGACAGAAAACAAAAAATGAGAAGGGTGAAGGGTAGTTGGAATTCTATTTTAAACTTTTGATATTGAGACTATGATACTGAGTATACTATATGTGTCTGTCACTGTAAAAGAATAAAATATACGAGGAAACTATAAATTAAAATGACTCTTGTCGGTTCAAGTTCCTTACTTTTATGACCCCCTCTATTGTTATCAAGATTTAATAAACAAAAAAATCATTATGGTGTAATTTTACCTATCTGTGTAATTAACGACGACATTCATGAGTTTCTTCATTTTCTTTTTCATCTTAGCTTCTGCTTGACTCTGTGGTATGCGACGTTTCCGCACGGTGCTACCATCATCGTCCGAATCGTCACCACGTTTCCTCTTCTTTCTTCCTCTCTTCTTCTTCACTTCCTTCTCTTCCTCTTCATCGTCATCATAGTCGCCGTCCTCGTCGATAGCCTGAAAAAAATGGCGTAGAAAAGTGTCAATGATCAAAGATCAATTATTGACCCCCCAACCGATGTCCCATTAGCTCAGATTATAATGCATCATTCAGTGAGTTTAGAACAATAGAGATTAATCGTCTCAAGAAGATATGTCAAAATTGAAATCAAATCAAAATATACGCATCAAGAAGCCTTAAGAGAACAAAGGACTACACAAGCTTGCCCCTTAAAGAAGCAGCTGCTACACACAAAAAAAAAACAAATTTAAAAAATGAAGGTGACTATTAAGACATTGGTAATTAACTAATTAAATCTAGCTACAGAGAGAGAAAAATCTTTAATATTGAATTTATTCACCAAAAAGGCAATTTGATATGAGAATGATTTCTTAAATGATTCTTTATTGTGTGATGGTGTGAAAATATGAGTGATATTTTGTCTAAAAGGTGCTTAATGGATGTTTTGATATTATTGGAACAAGAATATTAATCCCGATAAATTACTGTTTAAGATATGGCAAATTTCCAACAAAACTGGAGTGTTTTACCATAACTCCTGTTGCGAAAGTTAAAAATTCTGAGTTATAGACCAATATGCGGCCAATAAAGGTATGCCAGATGATGAAAAAGTGTTTCAATAAATTATTAACGAACGCGGACGTAAACTCACTCCACTCTCGGAATGTCCGGGTGGAGGGTGGGCTCGAGGGAACAACATCGAAGATAAAATTTGTTTTTCGAACATCTGCGGGATCAACAGCAACATTGATGCTGTTCATCACTACCTGCAATCCAATCGTCCCGCCGTGCTTTTCTTGGCGGAGACAAAAATCTCTGAGACTGCACCGATTAACCATCTCAACTTCCCAAACTACGAGGTGCACTCCAATCTGACGAAGAACGGGGGAGTTGTGGCTTTTGTCCGCAGCAGTCTTTCCTGCTCCAGGGATCTTTCTTTGGAATCAGACCGGAAGGACATTCTGTGGCTTCGCCTCAACTCCAAAGCATCACCCAAATTTATTTGCTGCCTTTATCGCTCTCCCTCGAACCATAACTGGGATGACCTACTCGAATACCTCGCCGTCCAGATCGACTTCCTGAACATCAATCACCCCGCTTCAGAGGTAGTTCTTCACGGTGATTTCAATGCCCATAATGAGCTTTGGTTGGGCTCAAATAAGACCGATGCAGCAGGTGGGGCAGTCGAAGCGTTCGCTCTTACTCAAGGGATGACCCAGCTGGTGACGAGCCCTACTTTTTTCCCCCGCGTCTCGTCACACGCCAGTAGCCTGATAGATCTCTTTCTGACCACGCATCCCGCCCCTTACAGCACTGCTGTCCTGTCCCCCCTGGGTAATTCAGATCACGGTGTTGTGGAGGTTAGGTTTCGGTCAGAAGCCGCTGTGGCAGCAGAAACTCGCACAGGCCGCAAAACTTGGCATTACGGACATGCCGACTGGGAGGGTCTCAGAGACTTCTTCTCTAGCTTTCCTTGGAGAGATGTCTGTTTCACTGACGCGGATGCGTCGACTGTCTGTTCTTCAATAACCGAAATTATCCACGTCGGAATGGAGGAATACATCCCTCACACAGTGAAAGTTCCTAAACCAGGGTCCAACGGCTGGTTCAACAAATCGTGTGACACTGCTCGCCAGCAGAAGATCAAGGCCCACAGAACCTACTTACAAAACCCCACTGTAGAGAACAGACAAGCCGACGTCGAGTCCAGAAACCAATATAACGAAGCGGTTCGCAATGCCAAAAACCAGCATGATATAAAAGTTAGGCACAGGGTAATGTCGCAGCGCAATGGCAGTCGGTCTTTCTGGACGCTGGCCAAGCAGATTGAAAAGAACTTCTCACACAGTAGCCTTCCACCACTTACGTGTCAGGATGGAACTATTGTATTCGACTCAAAGGCCAAGGCGGAAGTGCTAGCCAAGATCTTTGCTGCCAACTCCACCATGGACGTCCCCACCAACGCCCAAGTGCCGTCAATTCAAAGGGTTCCCCACACTATGCGGGAAGTAACATTCAGGCATAAGACCGTAAGACGAGTGCTCTTGTCGCTCGACATCAACAAAGCTTCTGGCCCGGACTTGATTCCTGCCATTGTACTGAAGAGATGTGCAGCGGAGCTTGCTCCAGTTCTTTCGCGTCTCTTCCAGATATCTTATGAATCCGGCACCTTCCCAGAAAACTGGAAATTTGCTCATGTACAGCCCATCCCAAAAAAAGGATCTAAAACCGACCCTTACAACTACAGGCCTATAGCTCTGCTTTCTGTTATAAGTAAAGTGATGGAGAGGTGCATAAATCGCGAGCTTCTGGACTACCTCGAACGTCACAGCTTGATTAGCGACAGGCAGTACGGTTTCCGGCACCAACGATCCACAGGGGACCTCCTAGCTTACGTCACGCAACTGTGGAGTAAACTCATCCAGTCTCATGGTGAGGCTCATGTCGTTGGTCTTGACATCACGAAAGCGTTCGATCAGCTGTGGCACGCTGCCCTCTTAAGCAAACTTCCATCCTACGGCCTCCCAGAAAAGCTTTGCAGATGGGTGGCTGACTTTATCTCTGGCCGCAAAATATCCGTCGTAATTGACGGATTCTCCTCTTCATCCCACAACGTCAACGCGGGTGTTCCCCAGGGATCGGTCTTGGCTCCAACACTGTTTCTCTTACATATCAACGACCTCCTTTCCTGCACGATCAACCCAATCCACAGCTTCGCTGATGACAGCACTCTACATGCAGGAATTCAGAGTGACAAGCCGATCTCTGCCGCTGAGCTGGAAAAAAGAAGACTAGCGACGACTTCTTCTCTGACAAGAGACCTGGAGGCTATCACTGCTTGGGGACGCAACAATATTGTACAGTTCAATGCTTCCAAAACACAGTACTGTACTTTGACGAACAAAAAGCGTCCTAGCGCTCATACAGTTTCGATGGACGGTCGAGTTCTACCAAAGAGCCATTCATTTCGGCTGGTCGGAGTCCAGATCACCGAGGACCTGATCTGGCACGAACACATCTCTTCAATAGCTGCAGCTGCTGGGAAAAAGCTAGGCTATTTGTTTAGGGCTAAGAAGTACTTTTCTCCGCCTGACCTTCTCACTCTATACAAGGCCCAGATAAGGCCTAGCCTCGAGTATTGCTCACACATTTGGGGTGCTGCCGCCCCGACTACATTATCCATGCTCGATGCTGTCCAGAGGAGGGCGGTCCGACTGATCGATGACTCTTCTCTAACAGACAGTCTCGGGACTCTTTCGCACCGGCGGGCCGTCGGCGATCTAGCTCTTTTCTATCGCTACACCAACGGGCTTTGCTCCTCAGAGCTCTCTTCCATGATGCCGCCACGCGATGCGCCTGCCAGACAGACCCGCCTGACTTCGGCATCCCATCCTAACCGTGTCAAACTTCGTACATCCAGAACTGGCCGATACGACCGCTCCTTTGTCCCGAGGGTGTCTAGATTGTGGAACAATCTACGGGAGGAAGCTTTTCCCAGTTCTACTAACCTTAGGCAGTTCAAAAATCGTATTAACAAAATTTCTTTGGGATCATCATAGCAGCCGCGGTGTTCCGGCATTTAGGCTTCTGCCTGCGCGGCTGTTTCGATATAAAAAAAAAGATCATCGAATTTATTTAGGCAAATTTCAAGCTAAACTCAGGAAGAAACACTCAACTGAAACGGCAATACAAATGGTTTTAAATTGCTGGACAAAATGGATCGAAAAGAAGAAACACAGTGACAATGTTTTTGGACTTTAAAAGGGCGTTTGAAACTTTTGACAGATAAATTACTTACAAAATAGCATCACTATTGATTTAAAGGATCTGTATTCAAAATTTTACAAAATTATTTAATTGGAAGAAGTCAAAAAAACAAAATTGGATCTACATTATCAAGATCAAGAAATATTTCTGTTGGTATACCACAAGGTAGTAAACTAGGTCCACTACTATTTATTTTATACATTAATGACATTTGTCATATTTCGGATTATTGTGCACTTCAGATATTTGCAAATGATACATTAATATATATATATATATATATATATATATATATATATATATATATAGGTTCCGCCTTTTGTTGGGTACTTCGACAAAATTTAAGCAAAGAGGACTCTTTATACCTTTTTTAATTCTCTCTAGCTTTCAATGGACTTTGCCATCATCATCAGGAGCTGCAATTACAATGATAACAGTAGCAACAAAAGTGTAAAATGAATTTAGATTGACTCAACTTACAGTAGTATGTGAGGATGTTGCTAATTGTTGTTTACGTATAGGATGAGGGAAACGTCCAGTAACATGGTGAGAGCTGGATAGATTGTACAATGGTCAAAATTATATAAAATATGACAAGAACAAGTTAAAAACAGATTAAAAATTATTTAAAAAAAAAAAAAACATTACAGCATTACATCGTGAAGCCACTTGATGATTGCACAAATTAGTGGTCATGGAATAATGAGTGAGATGAAACCCTTTGACAGAAGGCCGAAGGATGTCAATGTCTGTGTTGAAAGATGGAACGAATTGTGGGCGTGTGCCAAAACGTTGCCAAATCACTTCAGATGATGAGATTTTCAGAATTTTATGTAAGAATTTGTTAAACCGACCAGAGGCAGTTGAATAAACTATAAATTCATTTTACACTTTTGTTGCTACTGTTATCATTGTAATTGCAGCTCCTGATGATGATGGCAAAGTCCATTGAAAGCTAGAGAGAATTAAAAAAGGTATAAAGAGTCCTCTTTGCTTAAATTTTGTCGAAGTACCCAACAAAAGGCGGAAGCTTTAAATTTTTCACCTAACTGGTCTAGACGACAATGACCACGTCTCAAGTTATATATATATATATATATATCAGATGAAAATATAGACACTGCTTTAAAAATACTAAATTCTGACTTGGAAAAAATCGTAAATTGGTTAAATGTAAATAAACTAAAATTGAATACTTCTAAAACAAAATGTATGCTAACAGGGAAATACCTAAATGAAAATACAATCACAGTTAGGATAAATGGAGAAATAATTGAAAATGTTGAATCAATTACATATTTAGGTATATATACTTTGAAGTTGAGTCATTAATTTTCAGATAATGATTGTAGAAGGAAGATAAACCAAAATATGTGTGTAAAAATAAAAAAAAATTAAAAAAAATGTTTACCTTGTTTTATAAAGTATCCTCCCGACAAGTATTTCAGTGCGGACCTGTATTTGATCGTGAGGTCTTGGAGCACCGGCATGCCCTCCCCTGTGAGGTCTTAAGTCACCTGATTCACGAGCCCGTTGTACTACATTAACAAAGGCACGAGCGGTTGGTTGCACTCGATTGGGAAACCGATCCGCATAAACATGTGCCATTTTTTATTTCGTTTGAGCCACGCAGCAAACACCACTATTCACTCACGCGTTACCGACTGACACATTGACTGAATAAAAACATCGTGATCAGCGTTTCAAATTCTTTCGCTTTTTTGTTTCCGATGCGATGAAGGCGGATTATATACGTTGTCGCCAAACACGAGCACATAATATTATTATTGAGACGGGGCGGTACTCAAACTTCTAAAGGGCTATAACTTTGTTACTTTAATTTTACCACAAAAATGTTAAAGGAAAAAAACATTTCTTTTGATCAGATCTACTCACTGTTAAAATAAATGACTCAACTTCGAAGTCACCCTGTATATTGATAGTAAACTAAAGTTTGAGGATTACTATGAATAGATTATTTCAAAAATTGCCAAAACAACAAAATTACAAGTCTTGCAAAATAAAGCTATGAGAATAATATTGAATAATAATAAGTACACAAAAATAAAATCTATGTTACAAGAATTGCAGTGGTTGAAGATAAAAAATTTAATATCATATTTGGTTCTTATTTTCATATTTAAAATAAAAAGTCATCTTTTGACAGAACATTTACACTACATAGAATTGAATAATTATTACCACAATTATTATACATGAGGAAATATAGATTTTCATTTACAAAATTGCAATAGTAATATAACCAGCAAATCAATATTTCAGAAAGGACTACTTGAATTTAATAAACTAAATTATGATATAATGATTTAAAGATGTTTAAAAGAAAATTAAAGAAATATTTCATGGACAGTGAAAATTCTAAGAGATGCAAATTTTGTTTTTCTCAAGAAATGTATGTTATGTAATTGTTGTAGTTTTTTAAAAGAATGTTAAATAAATCTTAAAAAAAACAAAAGTACTCTGTACTTCCTCCGCAACGCTGTCATTATTTTCTATCATTTAATAGTGAAAATTCGTTGAAATCCATTGTTACTTCTCTTACCTTCAACCATTCCTTTTCGGTCAAGCTATCAGCATAATCAACTTCTTTTCTTTGCCTGGTACCTCTACCAAGTAAAGCATCCGATTCATCTAGTCCCCAGGCGTCCACTTCATCGTCGTGCTTAATGAGCCAGTCAGGAAGTTCGCTTTCTTGAATTAATCTACAGAGAAAGAGATATGGATCAAAAAGGAAATCAAAGAGACCAAAACCCATATACAAATTTTCATAACGTCGAAAAAGTAAACCGATTCAAGATGACCAGCAATTTGTGAGACGTACCAAGAGAGATGGAAATCAAGCCCAAAACACAAATAAAGGGTGTCTCGATAAGAGCGCCGAATTTGATTTTCAAGAAAAGCAGAACTTCTTTTCGAATTAAGGGAATCTTTAGGTCAGGGTCCGTCTTTTCTTAAAATTCTGGATAACGTTTTCGCACAATTGTGGCTCTAATTCCTCGATAACGCTCCGTATCTCTTCTTTAAGGCACTCAACGGTTTGTGGCTTGGTCGCATACACCTTTTTCTTCACAGAGCCCCAGAGGAAGAAGTCCATTGGCGTTAGGTCGCACGATCTTGGTGGGCAATTTTGATCGCCAAACCGAGAGATGACACGGGCTGGAAACTTGGCCCGCAGTAACACTATTGTTTCGCGTGCCGTGTGGCAGGTCGCACCGTCTTGTTGGAAGAACATGTCCTCCACATCGATTCGATCCAACTGGGGCCACAAAAACTTAAGATTTCGCGATACCGCATATCATTAACAGTTACCGCAGTTCCAGCTGCATTTTCGAACAAATACTGTGTTACTCCACAATGCGCACCAAACGGTAACTCGCGGCGGATGCATTGGTTGTGAGAGAAAGTGGCGAAACGTGGGCGTGGCCAAAAAATGCAGTATTCCTGAAATCAATTTTACCGAAAAGTGATAGAAATGAATTCACTTTAGGGAGTCGCAATTTCTAATTTCTCTTGGTACTGACCATGAGAAACTGGAAAAATTAGTAGAAAATAGCGCTATAAACTTAAAAATTGACGTTTTTGGCATTGTTATTGTCGTTCCTGCTAAACATATTGCAAAAAAATGGTTAATTTCAATCAATTGATATATTGAAACGATATTATTAACGAGATATTCTTGGGCACCAAGATCCTTTCATAATTTCGGATAGAAAATTTGTACAGATGCTTAGGTTTACAAAAGATTTGGTGTGTGGATTGCTGGAGATATTGACTCCAATCATACAACAACCTCCACGAGCTTCTGCACTTTCGATCAAAACAAAGACAAGAGTAGATATTAAGTTTTGGTCATTCTAAAACAGTATTTAGGCAGCAGCGGTGGCCGCAGTAGTAGACTCTTCGGCCTCCTGATCAATCGCCATGCGCTGTGCGGGTTCGAATCCCGTCCCAGGAGAAATTTTTCTCTTGGCTATGGATGTTGTGATTGTCCGTAGGTGGTGGACGGTCTCTGACTGTCGAACGCGGAGGTACCACCCGGCGGATCTCGTAGGCGGAGCCAGAATGTGTGCATGTTGCATGCACACGTGTTCCCTCGCCAGAGTCCGTGTGGCGTTCCCCCTTTCCCCTGTATCTCCCTATGGCCCCTCGGTACCCAATTGGTGTTTAGGCTTTAGACCTTCGTGGTATTTGGAGTATAATAAAAAAATCCTTTAATCTATGATTGAATTTTTTCTGGTGCATTTGGGGTTGCTCTCGGAGAAATTCAATCATTTTGTCCTTTTGTTGTAATGTGCTTTTTTAAAGTCTTCGGCTCCACAGATAAAATTATAAGGAGGAAATACTAAATAAAATCTTTCGATAGTCTTTGACTGTCAAAATTATCTCCATTTTGATTGGTTTAACACGTTTACTCAAATCTGGCAACCATGTGTCTCGATTTCCTTTCTCCTTTCTATCGAGTCCTTTCAAGAATATAGTATTTTCGAATCGATAGAAAACCGGGGGAGTAGAAAGAGAGGTGTGATTTTCTATTAAAGTCAAGAATATGGCCACAGGATGGCGAGTACAGTGGTCTTCTCATTCAGCAACGTGAATTTTGTCTCAAATTTTGTAATTAAACGGGGAACTGTCGACTCATTTGGCGCACTATTACGACAAAAATGTGTACGGTTTCGTGTAATTTTCTCCATTTATGTACCGAATTTTCACGATAATTAAACGTTGCTCGTTTGAATACCGCTCCATGCTCCATGACGTCTAATCGCGTGGTCTGGACATGTCAGCTGTCATCAAGTAAACACCATAACATTTGTACAAAAAAATGGCGGCAAACTCAAATCAGGCGCTCTTGTTGAGACAACCTTCACAAATTTTCATAACATCGAAAAAGTAAATCTATCCAAAATGACTAGCAATTCGTGAAATATCCTCAGACACTTTATTCTGACAAATGCCGTGGAGATCAATTCTTGAAAAAAATAGACTAAAAAGTGGTCATGCTTCTATTACTTTTCGAGGCTACACTTTGAAACTTCACCTAAAGACGATTGAAAAACTGAAAATGTGAAAATCAGTCGAAATGACGTGAATTGAAAAAAGCAAATATATATATATATATACAGGGTGACCCAGAAATCGAAGTCAAGCCGGAAACGGGGGATTGGGGTGGAAGAAAACGTACTCAAAGCCAATCTAAAATTTAGCAGGGCTACGGAACAGAATTACGGAAGCAGCTGAATTTGTTAATAACGCAAAATTGGCTCTATCGTTTTTAAGATGTCAAGCTTACATTGCTGCTGAAGTAAGGCAGTTTGAGCATTTATATGCACATTTAATACATTAGCGAATCAATACAAGCGGCTACCAGTCTAAGAAAAAGTTGAACTTTATAGAAATGAGAACTAAAAAGGTGTAGATTTTCCCACTTTTTTAAAGCGTATGCTTTGAGAAGCATACGACTTATTTTTTTATATTGTTGTGATAACTGTTATGACGTCGACATCCTGTATAGACAAAAGAAAAAACAACGGAAACACGATTTTGCTCTGGCGACTATGTAGTACATTTCATAACAGTACATTCGTCTTTAAGTTAATTAGTTAATTTTGACACGCAGTGAATTTCCTATTTAATATACTTGGTGTGCCATCTATTACTTTTTTTTATCTATAAGCTTATGTGTTACCATGTGAGTCAAAGGTATGCCATTTATAGTCATGGATTCATTTACAACACAACAACGCATCTTGGTTATCGAAACTTATTACGAAAACGGTCGAAATATAAAAAATACTTTTCGCAAACTTCGCACAAGTTTTGGCCGACATGGACGACCTATTGAGCCTGGAATTCGTTGGATTGTTAATCGTTTTGAGGAAACTGGTTCAGCTGAAGGTCGTAGACCATACGAACATGCTCGTCCAGCTTGTACTCGTGAAAACATAGCCGCAGTGAGTGAAAGTGTGCGAGAAGATCCAACCACCTCGACTAGGCAACGTTCGCAACAATTGGGAATTAGTGAGACCACTTTACGCCGGATTTTACACATTGATTTACACCTTCATCCATATAAAATCCAACTAACACAAGAATTGAAGCCGGCAGACCATCAACAGCGGCGTGTTTTTGTTAATTGGATCCTGGAAAGAGAAGACGGATTTTCGGCCAAAGTGCTCTTTTCTGATGAGGCTCATTTTCACCTCAATGGGTACGTAAATAAGCAAAATTGCAGATTCTGGGGGGCTGAAAACCCACACCAATATCATGAACAACCTCTCCCTCTGAAAAAGTTTGGTGCGGATTATGGGCTGGTGGCATCGTTGGACCATTCTTCTTTGAAGATGCCGAAGAAAAGGCCATTACCGTCAACGGGGAACGTTATCGCGGCATGTTAACAGACTTTTTGTGGCCACAATTGGATCGTATTGGTGCCGACGATCTTTGGTTTCACCAAGACGGAGCAACGGCTCACACATCTCGCCAAACAATCGCCTTAAATTCAGATGTCAGTTGGCCCCCGAGATCGTGCGATTTAAAACCTCTTGACTATTTTCTTTGGTAATTTTTGAAAGGAAAAGTGTATGGGAACGGTCCCCGGACAATTCAAGACCTAAAGCGCAATATTCGGACTGAAATTGCGGCCATAGACCCGATTACTCTGGAAAAAGTCATTGAAAATTTTGATGTTCGGATGTTGGCCTGTAAACGAAGCCGCGGTTGTCACATGACTGATGTTATTTTTCATACATAAATGGCATAAACCAACCTTCATTAATCAATAAAAAAAATTCTTTTTCACATCGTAAAAAGCCTGTAGTTTGAAACATGATCTCTGATCTCACCTATTCCTCTTATTTGGCCCCAACTTCTCCTCCTCAACCTTCCTCTCGGTATCCATCTTCTGGAACAGCTGGAACTCATCTTCGTTCCTCGCCACCATCTGGTTCACCGTCTCATCGTCCGGCACCTCGTTCTCCTCTTCGTCTTCGCTGCCGTCGTTATGCAGGATGCTCTGCAGGAACTGCTGCCTTTCCGATCCGGTCGATTTCTGATCGAACATGCCGGCCTGGATGACTTTTTCGTCCATGGTCAGTTTGTACTTCGCGGCGGCCAGAATGCGCTCTTCGACCGAGTTCACGGTCATAAGACGGAGCACTCGCACTTCGTTCTGTTGACCGATACGATGCGCTCTGTCTTGGGCTTGGAGATCCTGGAATATAGCAGAACAGATAGATATTTATTCATCCAAGAAATATCCACGATGCGGAGTAGTCTGATCATACTATACTATAACTATCTAAAACTGTAATGACTCATCGATGTTCACGTGAACATCACTTAACTACCAGTAGTCGGCTGTTCATAGGCGGGGTATGAATGTTTAACATGGGTGAACTAGATTTGTCACATGCTTAATAAAGAGTGGTTTGAAACATATTGTAAATCAAAAATTTGGGAATTACCTTTATTCATCGTCGCTTCCACTTACATCTGACAGTAATAAACTGTCGCTATCGCTTTCCTCGTTGAAATTGACTATAACTGGCTCTATGATGGTGTCGATGTGGTGGTCAAGCTGCCACATTTTTGTTTCTTCCTTCACAACATGACGGATAGCATTCTGCCAAGCTTCGGGCGTTACTAGCTGTATGGAAGTCTCAAGTAAAACCTTAACGTCTGGTAATTTGAAGGTTGTGTTATGGCGCGCAATATAACCCTTCACTTGAGCCCAGATGAGCTCTATTGGGTTCAGTTCACAGTGGTAGGGCGGTAACCGCAGCACAGTGACACCACACTGACGGGCCATCTCATCAGTCATGTAACTAATGTTCGCAGGTTTGTGCTGTTTAATTTTTTCATACAATTCCGCTTTCACACATGAATCGTCAAACGGGATTCCTTTTTCGCACAACCATTGCTGCATGTCACTTTTTCGAGATCCCATAGTCGGTACACGTTCGGCTCGACGACTGTGGTAGGAAGCATTATCCATGACGATCACAGAGTTGGGCTCAACTCGCTGAAGCACCCCTTGAAACCAGCTCTCGAAGCAGCTGGCATTCATTTCGTCATGGTAATCACCTCCTTTCTTAGAGACGAAAATCAAGTCACACTCTTCTAAAAAGCCACTATCGCTACCAATATGAGTTACGATCAATCTTTGACCTTTCCCTGACGGTCCACGAAGACCTGTTGACAAACCTTCAATGCTTGCTTGTCGGTTACTGACTACGTTTTTGTCTATCCAGGTTTTTTTTAACTGTGTGACCTGCATTTACCCATGTCTCGTCCAAATAATAGATTTTTCTGCTTTGTCGCCTACATTCAATCATTTCGCGTAGGTATTTTCGACGCCAGGCGACTATTTCAGGTCTCTCTATCAATACTGACTTCCGATTACGCGTTTCGTAACGAAAATTAATTTCGTGCAGGGATTTCCTCATTACCTCGACGCTCATTTGGGGTATAATTTCATTTTCCTTGATCGCTGCATGTACAGCCTTGAGGGTTGGTATCTCATTCCTAAAGAAAAATGAATGAACGGTTCGCCTTAACGCCATTTTGCTATCGTCATCCAATTTAACGGCCTTTCGTCCCTTCAAATTAAACTTTGGATCAGTAGTAGCTCCAGTTTTCTTCTTTTCATGCACCACCCTGCGAATGGTCCACTCTGGAACGCCTGTCATACTTTCACAACGCGCGAGTGCATCTCCCTGCGACATAGTTCTGTTCAGATAATTGAACACGTTGAGCACGATTTCTTTCGCGTCCTTCTTCAGTGCTTTACGAAATCGTCTACTTGTTCCCTGGCTTTCAGTACTTCCACTCGTGCCATTTGTACTCTCCATGGTTAAGTATAACCAAAACAGTAACCACAGAAACCACAACAATAACAATCACACAACAATTCTTATAAAAACACACAATATGCGATCGCTCAACGAAACACGTTCCAATGCGTTGCCGACGCCTATGAGTCTGCCGGTCGAGGCGCGTCTTTGATTTCATTGGTTCTACCGGCGGAGAACAATCAGCCATTATTTCCATCTCTGTCTGTGCTGTTGACTACCGCGAAGCCACAGAAACGACATATGTCGTACGCTATACGGCTGTACTGGAGGAAGCCGGGATCGAGCTCTGATCACGTGTTGATCACGCGTATGAGTCATTACAGTTTTAAATAGTTGTAGTATAGACGAAAATATCCCTGGTTTGCGAAATGATTGTCAAGTCTGGTTTTATTGCTGCAAGTTGTTCAAAGGGGTATTCAAAACGTGGGCGCATATAATAGGTACACCAATTTTTGTGGGAAAACTTTTTATTCGACAACAAAGAATGGGAAAACGTGTTTTTTAGGATTCAATCGAAAATGATGGCATGAACGAAAAAACACAGGCAAAAAGATCTGACCAATGGCAAAACCGAGACAAAGTGCAGGTTTTGGCACTTGTTGGTAATGCGACGATGTTTCTAACAGGAATTTTTATTCCTCAAATTCGTACTTCTCAATAACCACAACAAAATTGGAGTATATTGGTCAAATAGTTTTTGAGAATTTCTACTTGTTTTCCGGCCATCATTAATAGTTTATTTAGCAATATACAGGGTTAGTTCAAAGGGCATTTTATAGCAAAATACATTAGTTTACCTTGCCGATATGAATCGCACACCATTCCGGAAGATAAATGTTATTTTTATGCAAAAAAGGATGGGTTACGTTTTCCCTAAACAAATTCAAACATTTCGTATTTATGAGTAATTCGTAACAAAATATGATAGACACAACGGCTTTGTTTTAAACGTGTATAGTAACGTATGTTTTTCGAATATCGTAGCCCATTTGTTCAATTACCCACAAATAAGAAATGTTTGAATTTGTTTAGAAGAAAAAACGTAACCTTCGTTTTTCGCATAAACAGAAAATTTAGTTTTCGGAATGGTTTGAGATTCATATCGGCAAGGCAAAGACGTGTATTTTGCTATAAAATGCTCTTTGAACGAAACCTGTATATTGCTCAATAAACTAGGTAGTTATGGCCGGAAAACATGTGTTTTGGGATAAGCAATTAGAAATTCTGAAAAAACTACTTGACCAATACAATCCAATTTTGTTGTTGTTATTTAGAAGTATGAATCCTACGGATTTGAAGAATTTCAAGTAGTTGCCTAGTTTTTCGGCCATAACATTTTCGCTATTAGTCGGATCTTTTTACGTGTCGTCTAATAAATACCTAAAAATCATATATGAAAAGTTTTTTCGTTCCTTTCAACACTTTCGATTGAATCCCAAAAAACACGTTTTCTCATTCTTTGTTGTCAAATAGTTTTCCCACAAAAATTGGTGTACCAATTTTATGCGTCCTTGTTTTAAATACCCCCTTGAACAACTTGCACCACTGAAACCAGACTTAACAATTATTTCGGGAAAATTTACTCTCTATGTTTAGACTAGAAGTCTTACAAAGAGATCTCATAAATCTCACTCGGTGCTGTAGTAAGGTCAACATCAATTTGAATAAATTAACATGTTATCCTCCAAAAATTCCTCAAGGAACGTAAAAATTCCTTAAATTTGGGGGAAAACCCAATATAGCAACCCTGAATACGGCTGGGAGGCTCAGTACTTATCGGAACGCTCTCGTATACAGACAAAGGATTGGGTTAGAAATGTATTATTGGATATTCATATTCCTCATCTTCGGTACTCAATCTTTCTGATACTGCCTATTAGAAGATATACAATATACTACAAATTCAGCCAATTACACTGAACACTCTCGTGCCATATGTTTTGGCCATCTCCGTTAAATACGAGCCCCTTCCTACTTCAGTCATGGGTAGATTAAAGGTTATTAGTGAGAAAATTCGGTTACTGATAATGAAATTTGTTAATTCTGGGAAATCAAACTCGGAAATTGCAACTTTGTTAGACTTATCGCGGTACAGTGTGAGAAATATTATTAGAAGATATAACGTAACTGGTTCAATTAATATTAAGCCACGATATGTGAAAAAAAGTAATATCACAAATGCCGACCGAAGAGCATTAAGAAGAATAATCGTGAAAAACAGGCGTACCAATTATTTACAATTAAGTGCTCTGTGGAGTGACGCTGTTGGAAGAATTTCGAGGTCCACAACTCATAGAGAGGCCCACAAACTGGGATTTAGCACTTGCAAGGTGAGCTTTCTTATAAAAAAAAGTAAAGTTGCACAACTTGTTTATAGGCCAAAGAAAAGACACTATTAACTCCACTGCAAAAGATAAATCGTCTTGGATTGGCTAAAGAACATATACAATGGACACCTCAACAATGGTGTGCAATACAATGGAGTGATGAAGCCCGATTCGAAGTTTGTGTTGGTGACAGTCGCAGTAGAGTTATACGCAAAAAAATGAAGCATTCCATGTTGACTGTCTGAAGAGAAAAGTGAAATTTCCTGCATCCATTATGGTCTGGGGCAGTATGTCATCAAAAGGAGTAGGAAAACTTTTTTTTATTGATGGAAATGTGGATACAAACAAATATTTGGCAATTTTAGAAGAATCGCTTTTACCAGCGATGGAAGAATGTTTGACATCCGGCCAAGATTTTGTTTCAGCAAGATGGTGCAGCGTGCCATACCTCAAAAAAGGCTACAAAATGGATGGAAGAAAATAATGTATACTTTATCTGAAGTCACTTGAAACACTGTGAAATACCGGGTGCGTTTTATATATCTATATTTAACACGCTCTGTTGCTGCAAAAATCGCCAAATTTCGCAGCAAATATCCCCCGTATAAGATCAAAGGCAGTTTCACCGGTCCACGTGGAGTAAAGCACGCCTATGCGTGGACATAGCCAATGAGAAAGCGTGTATTTCAGAGCTCCGAACAAGTGCAGGTGGCTACTGAAAATTGAAACAGTTTACCCAGTGCCGTGTAGCGGTGAATAAACGTGTTTTCTTTAGTCTGTCCGTGTTTTTTCATAGATTTTATTAGTTTGTGTGTTTTTGACTTTTGAATACTCAGTTTACTTGTTGATTTAATTGTTGTGTTGATTGTTCTTGTGTGTCCTAAATATGGCTCTTTGGAGACCTTGGGAAAATGCTCCAAGCCACGAGGAGATGGTTGATGAACCTGTGCAGGCAGAATTCTTTCATAAAGATTTAGAGGAACAGACCCAAAGAGTAATCCTAAATATGTATGATTGTCTGAAAAACGAAAATCCAGATTCCTCGCAAAATCAAATTTTAAACAGAATTTGTATCCTGACAAACGGTCTACCATTTATCGGGTTATAAAAAGGGGAGATGTAGTCAACCATTCCTTCCACAGAAAGCGCATAGGGCAAAAATTAAAAAGAATAGACGTGGATTTTCAGGAAGATATTCGTCGTATAATATACGGATTTTATAAAGAAAATTTGGTGCCCACGTTGGAAATGATACGGGATAAATTAAAAGATTATCCTGAAGATTTTTATAATTACAAATGCTTAGACTCACTGCACTGTATTGTAAAACTGTGTGGTTTTCAATACAAAAAATTAGATAAAAAAATGGTGATTATGGAGTCGTCTCGAATCGTTGAATTGCGCCAAGAATTTTTGCACAAAGTTAAAATCTATAGAGAGCAGAAAAGAAATCTGATTTACCTGTATGAAACGTGGTATGATACCCATGATGTTGTGCAGTACGGCTGGGTTGACGACAGCAACAAGTGCATTTTAAATGCACCATGCAACCGTGGAAAACGAATCATTATTCTCCATGCTGGCAGTGAAAATGGATTTATACCTAATGCCTTGCTGTTATCTGCCAAAAATATCAAAGAATCATGTGCCGACTATCATGAGGACATGACCTCCGACTTATTTGAAAAGTGGATAGAGCAGCAGTTAATACCAAACATTTCCCCAAATTCAGAGATTATTATGGACAATGCGCCATACCATTCCCGACAAAAAAACAAAATTCTGAATACAGGCACAAAAAAACAAGACATTATTGATTTTATGAAGGATAAGGGAATGGAAATACCACAAAAATCAACCAAAGCCATATTATTGGATCTTATTAAAAGACAAAAATTTGAAAAAGAGTATGTTGTTGACAATCTGCTTCAGCAAAATGGCCATGAAGTATTACGTCTACCTCCCTATTACTGCATTTTTAACCCGACTGAGTTGGTCTGGGCTGCTTTAAAAAAAAAAGTAAGAAAACATAATCAGACCCCTCAATTAAGTGAATCGCTATTGGCCACAATAAGAGATGCAGTATCTCATATTGCTGCCAAGGACCTATTGAAGCAGTGTTCTAGGCATATTATTGAAAAAGAAAATGAATATTGTGTTTTGCCTCCTGTAAATCCCGTTGTAATTCCTCTACAAGATGACTCTAGCGACAGCTCCGAAGGCGAGGATGATATATAAATACCTATAATGTAAGTCTTTATATACCTTTTTGTATACCTACCTGCTATGTAAATATTTGCCTATGTCAAACGTTGGAATTCTGTAATTTTTCCATTTCTTAACTTTCAGTCAACATAAATTAAACTCCCAATATAAGTATTTTTTATCCCAAATCAAAAAAATAAGAAGATAGCAAAATCCATTTATTGTGATATAAAAACATTATTATTATCGTTCTAAATAAACCACCGCACGCCTATGATACGTCATGAAATTACAAAGGACGCGCCGACCAAAGGTTTTTATGCTATTTCAAGTGACTTCAGATAAAGTATACCACTTTTGAAATGGGTTTTTAGTAGTCCAGATCTGTCACCTATTGAAACTTTGTGGCACGAGATGAAAAAGGTTCTACGACAACATCCTGCTCGTACAATCACAGAACTGAGACAAAAGCTTCAAGAAATATGGGATTATTTACACCAAATTTTTGCAAAAAATTGGTTAACACTATGCCCCAAAGAATTTCTATTCTTTCTATTAGTTATAGGTCTAAGTGATTTCAAATATGTATTTTTTACGACTAGAGTGTATCTAAAATGTTTTTGAGAAAATAAATTGTTTTAGAAGTAAATAGTTTCGTCATGTTTAGTTTTTAAAGGCATATTTTGGTACAAATCTTGAAGTGGGCCACCAAAAAACTATGTAGCTTCAAACAATAGGACATTCAAATTTTCTGACGTGAACAATTTGTTTTATGAAGCTGTCAACAGAGTGACGGCAAACCATTGGAAAGATTACATCCGTCACGTTCAAGAGACAATCGAAACAAAGATGTGGGATTTGGACAATATGATCGATATTCAAATTGAACCTGTAATAATCAATATTAACCATTCGGACGATGATTCAAGTACTTCCAGCGAATAAAGAATCGTGAAAAGTTTCTATAAAAATAATCATTTATTTTGTTAGATTATTCCAAGACCATCGAGAAAAATACGGACCTGTACAATCTCGCTTTTGGGCATGTTGTGTTTTCTCTGGACCTAAATGGACTACGACTAACTAATTATAGATAAGAACTCACCTGGTGAGGGTTCCAATCCGAATCGAAGATGATAACAGTATCAGCACTCTGCAAATTTAATCCGAGACCACCAGCTCTCGTCGACAGCAAAAACAGGAAGTATTCACTGCTGGGATCGTTGAACTTTTTCAAGAGATCGCCGCGATCTTCCGATTTTATCGTGCCGTCGAGACGCAGGTACTTGAAGCCCCTCCAATTTAAGTAATCCTCCATGATGGTCATCAGTTGAGTCATTTGACAGAAGAGGAGAACCTAAAAAAAAGTGAACGTAAAAAATGATACAAAAAAAACAAGTCGAGTAGGAGCTGAATCGGTCATTGCAAAAACCAATTTTTACCAACATGCTTTTTTTACTGAAAACGCGAGGTAGACGTGTATTCTGGATATACAACTCGTAAGTCACAAATACTACATACAAGTGCCAAAGAAAAACTATTAAAGTTTTTCAGTCATCTTCGCTGATTCACGATGGTTCGACTACTTAAGCTTCAGATTAAACTATAAAATATTGGATCAAGGGTACATGACAACTAAGATGAGTAAAAAAGTCATCAGTTTTGTTCTGAAGTAATTACTTTTGAAGATATAACAAAACGTGAAAAAAATACCAAGTGAAATTGCGATTTTTTTTTGACCAATTTCCGCCTATCGACAGAGCTTCAAAAAACATCCACCTCAAACTGTGATTCGCTTGGATATCATACAGACCGCTACATGAACGACGCCGTTTTGTAAAGAGGCTAGGCATTAATTGTAAACAAATGTAAAGTAAGAAACTGATCCTCACCCTGTGGTTGGTAGTTTTGAGCTTAGGCAATATCCTATCCAGCAATTCAAACTTTCCTGAAGCCCTGTACGTATCAGGCCCAGAGATGATTCCTCCTGCGATTCCAACATGGTCGCAGTATTTCTCTTCGATGCTAGGGAACATGAACGGATGGTTGCACAGCTTACGCAACTGTACAATGGTGTTCATCAGAGCTTTGGCACCACCTTTCGACTTCGAACCTAAAACGACGTAAATACCGGTAGTAAAGAGTAGTAAAAACAAGTATTCAATTAGCTGTGATAAACTTGGAATGTCCCACATAAATGCTCTTCTATAACGCACACAAAAATTAAAAAAGCAAAATACTGTTTATTTGTTACCTTTTTCGGATCCATCCGTCAGCAAGACTCCTTTACTCTGCATGTGTTGGTATAGTACCCGCTGTAAGCCAGACATGTCACATTTGATGATATATTCGACTTTGTCCGGAAGCTGGGATTCTACTTCTTTCTTCAATCTTCTCAACAAGAACGGCCTAAGTACTTTATGCAGACGACGGATGATCAAAATAGTTTCTTCTTCATTCAATTCCACCTATATAATACAAACCGTGTAAGAGAAAACCTAATGAATTGCACAGGATGTCCGAAGGATTTAAGATTTCCCAATCAAATAAATATGTTTAAAACATCTTTTCATTTAGCCGTTAATTCAAAGAATTTTCACTTTTACAACATTTTTCAGATTTGAAATATTCTGATTTTGATTTTCAAAAAAAAAAAAAACAAAAAATTTGAAAAAACGATTAAATCTTTATTTGAGTCGATAGAACGGTCGATATAATTTAATGTTTAAAGATTATTTCATGTAAATGTTGGCCGCGGCTCCGCTTTAGATGGCCCATGCGCAAGGTCCAATTTTGGCACACTCTCTCCAACATATCGGAGGGTATCTCACGAATAAATGCTTCAATATTGCCTTCCAGTGCGTCAATCGTTGCTGGTTTATCCCTGTAGACATTAGCCTTAACATGGCCCCACAAGAAATAGTCCTACGGCGTTAAATCACACGATCTAGGCGGCCAATTGACGGGTCCCAAACGTGAGATAAACTGTTCACCGAACTCGCCTCTCAATAGGGCCATTGTTTCGTGTGCGGTGTGGCATGTGGCACCACCTTGTTGAAACCACATGTCAGCCAAGTCCAGCTCTTCCATTTTGGGCAAAAAAAAGTTTGTTATCATCGCACGGTAGCGCTCGCCATTCACAGTTACGTTCCGGCCATTGTCGTTTTTGAAGAAGTACGGCCCGATGATGCCACCCGCCCATAATCCACACCAAACAGTGATTTTTTCGGGATGCATTGGTAGCTCCTGCTGGTCTTCACTCCAGATGCGGCAATTTTACTTGTCAACGTACCCATCCAACCAGAAATGAGCTTCGTCGCTGAACACAATTTTTCGATAAAAATGTGGATCTTCCTCCAACTTTGCCAGCGCCCATTCACCAAATTGGAAACGTTTTGGGAGGTCCTGTAGCTTCAATTCTTGCACCAGCTGTATCTTATATAAAGTTTTACACCCAAATCCTGTCGCAAAATTTTCCACGCAGTGGAGTAACAGGGGCCCAATTGCTGCGAACGGCGGCGAATCGATATTTCACGGTCATCACTAACACTGGCGGATATAGCCGCAATATTTTCTTCAGTCCTCACTCTACGTCTGCGTGTTGGTGGTTTAATGTCCAATAATGTAAACTGGGTTCGAAATTTAGTCACAAGCTTCCAAATAGCTCCCTCAGTAGGCCGACCAAATTGCCCATAAATTGGAAGCAGTGTTCGGTGCACTTTCTTAACCGAGCATGAATTTTGATAGTAAAATTCAATAATTTTCAAGCGTTGTTCGTTCGTAAGTCGATTCATGGTTAAATTATAGACCAAACTGAACAAGTTTGACAATGACACAAGACACGATTCACGCTTCATCTGTCAAAAACAGTGTTGCCAAAAAGATACTAGCAAAAAAATCACCCATTTCTTGAATTCTAAATCGCCGTTTTCCGTCACTTTGATTACTATGTTCCACTCATCAAACTCTTTTATTTGATACTGTGGTCACCAGGCTAACAATGTGAACTGGCATACAGTTCCAACTGACAGCTTATTGCAGTGGTCGATTCCGGTAATAGGTGGCATGTTGGGATGTGTTAATTCGACTGACCTTATGCTCTCAATAGTTGCTCAGCTTTCATACAATGTTCATCTACACCATGCTGCAAAGTACACTATAAACGAACTTTCTCCCATATGAGAAAAATCTATGTCTCAAAGTACTCGTAAGTAACAATAAAGCAATTGTATTCAAGGTGACCAAGGACATATACATTAAGACAATCAAACAAAAACAAAATCTGCATATCTGGAGGTTCATTTTCGCTATAAAAATCCTTCTGAAAAATCGAGATTTTTTTTATTTAATTCGATATCGTAACTATTTATTTAGTATATTTACCGAGAGTGAACCATGTCGTCCGCTAAGTAACAATTCCTTGCTATAAAAATACAGTGGGAAAGTTCACTTTTTGATTGCGCAAATTCTGAAACACTCTCTTGCAGTGTTCCGGAGCGATGTTGTTTATTTCTCGTTGAATGTTGTCGTCTTTAAGCTCCTTCATTGTTCGTGGGTTATTGGAAAACACTTTTGACTTTAAATAACCCCTCAAAAAATAACCGCATGGCGTGAGGTCGGGTGACCTAGGAGCAGTGGCGTAGCCTGGGTCATTGCCGCCCGGGGCAAAATCATAATTTGCCGCCCCTTTGACGTCAAAAAATAATCATGTTGGTGAAGGTGAAAAAAAAAATAACGTAATCATCTGGAAGAACAGTGCGAAAAAATATTTATTTCCAAACCATATAATATACAGGTCACGTGTAAACTGTGAACGTGAAAAGTATACTGTTGTAAACTATAAAACTAAAATTCTACTTTTCTGGCCTTACGCGCAGCAAAATCATTAATAACTTCTTCAAAATTAATTTTGTCCGTCACGCTTTGTTCTATTGACAAAATGGCCAAATCACTCAATCTTATTGAGCTCATGGTGGACCGCAAGTAATTTTTTATTAATTTCAGCTTCGAGAAGCTACGTTCACAAGAAGCTACACTGATAGCTATAGTTAAAAAAATTCGAAGCATAATCACGATATTTGGCACGCAAATGCCATAGTTATATTGTTGTATGAATTCTAGGAGCTCTAGCGGTCCTTTCTTGGCGTCAACTTGAACTTTAGCATCAGCCAAAGCAAGAAAATTGCGTAATCGATCCCTCTCGATTTCGATTTCGTTAACATCAATGTCACAGTGCTCATTTCCCAAGTTACACTTATATTCCGGGTTAAGTAAGTTCGTCGGTATTAGAAAATTATACTTGATATCTAACTCGTTTAGCTGTTGAAATCTTGTCTTAATTTCTTGTATAATTCTGTCCACCGATTCGAACATTTCTTGCCGTAACCGATTCTCATAAGTTAAACCAGCATCTGCAATGCTCTCGCCAGCCATATTTTTTTATCTTTCTTGATCGTCGAGGAGTTATTTCGATGCCAAGATCTTCGCATATATTTTTAGCATAATCAAGTGCATCATTGACGAGAACATCTCGATTTTCTACTAAAAACGATTCTAAAGCGTGAATTTTCATAGCACATTGGTGCACGTTCAGTCCTTTCGTCTGGAGATATAATTGTGCATCATTTACTTCCCGAAGAACACGACTCCATAGTCCAAGGAAGGCTAAAAATGATAGTGACTGCAGAGCAGTAAGCAATAAACCAGCGTCTGATCTTGTTCCGGTATTTTCCGCTATGTTTCCTGAAAGTGATTCCAACACTTCAAGGATCTCACTATAATGGGTCTTCATGACAGCTACGGCTTCATATCTAGAGCTCCATCGTGTTTCAATTAAGCGCTTGACTCCTTTACCTGTAACGTCGGTAAGAGCTTTCCAGCGGTGAGTAGAGGATGAAAAGTAATTGAAAACCCTCTCCATAATACCAAAAAACGTCACTGAGTCCACTGCGATTGATGCTGCCTGTACTCCCACCAGATTTAATGAATGATTAGTGCATGCAACAAACTGAGCATTTTGGTTAACTGCCTTGATACGCATTTGTACACCAGAATGTTTTCCCGACATGACAGCTGCATTATCATATGCTTGTCCACGGCAATTTTGGATATCTAGTCCGTCGCTTTCAATCTTGTCCAAAATCATTTTAGTTATATCCTCAGCGTTTTTGCCTTTAGTTTCAAGGAAGTCAATGAATGATTCTATCACTTGCACCTTGGTACCGTCGAGTTTCACATAACGGAGTATTTGGCTCGTCTGGTCCTTGTGGGAGAAGTCTGGCGTACTGTCGAACACAATAGTGAAATACTTGGCTTCCTTCACTTCAGCAAGTATCTTTTTTCGAACATAATTTCCTAAACAATGAATGAATTCATTTTGAATCTCAGGTGATAGGTAAGATACACTAGCTTTCTTCTGCAGTTTCAGCTTTGTAAGGTGTTCACAAAGAACCGGGTCGTACTTGCCAAGAAGATGAACGAGTCCTAGAAAGTTGCCTCTATTTTCAGCGTCATTTTCTTTCATGATTTCTCTATGACCTCGCAAGGCCAGATTTTGTTTAGCAAGAAATCTGATAATATCCAGTATCCTGACCAGTACTAGTCTCAGCTTCTGCTCTTCTTTAGCAATCATATTTTGTTCTTGCTTGTCGATCGTTGCACCAACTTGAAGTCTTACCTCCAAAGATTTCCATTTATTGAAGTTGTCATTATGTGCTGAACTAGATTCATGTTCTAAAACTTTGGGATTTAGTTTCCACCACTTTTTGAAACCATTAATGCTGTTGAATCCAGCTTTATCGACGACCCCAAACAAACGGCAGCAGAAACAGAACAATGATTCCTTAACTAAGGAATAGGCCATCCATGTTCTCAGAATCTTTTCGCCATTTGGTAGAGTTCGGAAAAACCAATCACGGCTTAATTTTCTTGCCACTCCTTTGAGCCCCTTGGTAGATTCTACAGGCCCTGGCCTAATCACTTCAGCAAACTTACAGTCAAGGTTCTGTACTGCTTTGTAGCCTCGAGTCACAAGTAATGTTCGAAGATTATCGGTAATGGAAATAGGCCAAGTTCCAATATCTTTGTAATCGCTGATAGATCCATCCTGAATGTCAAGAGTATCGATCACTTCATAGCTTTCGTCTTCCACCAACAGTTTCAATTGTTCACCTACTACCGCTGGTTCATTAGGCAAATCTTCAAATTCGGTAAGTCCGCCACTAGAAGACGAAACAGCTTTTTGATTTGGAGTGGCACTAGTACTAGCTTCTCTATCAACTTCAGATTCAGCTGTTTCGGTAGTCGAGTCAAAATACTTGAGTAAAGATCCCTTATTTTTCTTATTTTCTTCCTCTCGGGCTTTTTTTTGCTTCCTGTAAAAATCACCGCTAGGCTTATGCCTCTTCATGATCTGAAAGTAACATTGATTTAGCTCGTAAGTTTTTAGGCCAATATAGGGGCAGCAAAATTTGAACCTATAGGCAGGTAAGTAATGGCACGGGAAGGGGTATTAACTAATCAGTTATAAAATTATTATTTTTTTTAACTATCAATATTTCGTGCTAAAACAGGTAATCTATTTATATTATTTTACATGAACTCGATCACTAAAATTTAAATACGTAATGCAACGAAACATTGGCTTTCGAAAAAGCGCGCATAATCTCCCAATCTCCTGCGTTCACATATAATGTGTTATATTTTCCGTGAGATCTACGATAAAAAGCATACTAAAACTTACTTACTGTTAAAACGGCAGCTTAGCGGGATACAAAACCGCGAAATACTGTTACGAATTCCCCAAAAATTCACTGGCACTGTCAATTCGACACTCAAGTCGCTTTGTTTTTTGTTAATTGAACAAAATGAAGTCAAGGGAAGGGCGCGCGGCGACGCGACGCGTGGGTGCTCCTAGAATACGTGTGGGACAGAGACAGGCAATATGCGCGCGCAAGACGGGGCGAATAAGTTACTGGTATTGGGAGGAAGGTACCAGGGTTGCCAGATGTGGTGATTTTTCACCAGATCTGGTAGTTTTTCATATGCTCGACAAAATATTTTTTCCTCATGTAGCACGGATCGGCGGCGGTTCCCTCTCAAACGGAGTCTACAGCAGGCTCGTACCACGTGAAGGGTACAAAAAGGGTCAATTTTGCCGCCCTACTATTGGTGGCGCCCGGGGCGGTCCGCCCCCCCGCCCCCCTCCTCGCTACGCCACTGCCTAGGAGGCCAGTGAATGTCTCCAAACTTCGATATAACTTTTTGAGGAAAAAGTGCTTTCACCGTGTCCATCGATTCTCTGGAAGTATGGGCAGTGGCCCCATCCTGTTGAAACCATGTGTTGCTGTTAAATCGACGTTCTGTTCTTACAATATGAGCAAAAAGTGTCAATCATGTCATTGTATTGCTCGGAATTGACTGTCAATGCATGACCATTTTCATCTTCAAAGAAATACGACCCAATAATACCGCCAGAGGGTATGGCGCACCAAACAGTCACTTTTGAACTATGTAGCTTTTATTGATGGGTTCGTTGGTGCCTAATATCTGCAATTTTGCTTGTTCACATAACCGTCTAAGTGGAAATGGACCTCGTCACTGAGTACAACGTTCTCGAATCTGCGCTGCGTAGGAAAAAGATTCAACATCCGTTCAGCACAAGATTTCCGTAATACGTAATCACTTTCCTTTAAAGCACGGAAAGATTGGATTTTATAAGGATGAAAACCAATTTTTTCATCATTATACCATGCAGTGTTGACCTAGGAATTCTCAAAGCAGCGGAATGCTTCCGTACAGAACGGCGAGGATTTGCAATGACCGAATCACTTACTCGACGCACATTTTCTGGATACAGTAGGTACTACTTGGGGCATCTCTTGGTCGGCGAACGTTGTATCGTGCACAAAATTTCCGAAGGGCAGCTGCGTATGAATCACCACTCTTGAAGTAAGCCTCGATAGCAAAAGCACGTTGCGCTCCGGTCCAACGTCCCATTGTGACTATTTAATCCGCACGCCGAACGCGTCGATCAAGACCTCTCGCCACTTCCTCTCGTATACGGTTGACGCATAATTCAAATTTGAAACATGAACTTTCCCACTGGATACCCTGTATATCTGATCATAAATGAGGAATGGCTAACACAATCACAATCACTTCTGTGATTAACTATTTGATTATTGTCCCCTGATCCTAAATATTATTTGGTACTCTGTACATACAAAAAAGTAACATTTATCGCCGACCTTAGGCTTCGATATACTTTAAATCACCAAAATGATAAAAATATTTCAATGATTGAGGCTCACCTTTTCTCCGGTAGTGGCAAACGGAGCGTTGAACCACTGCTCGAATGTTGAGCAACTTTTGAAAATGGAGGGCAACAAGAAGTTCAACAAAGACCACAGTTCCGGCAGTTTATTTTGCAGCGGAGTACCAGTTAATAGCAAACGGTACGGAGCCAGGTAGTGAGTGTTGAGGACTTGGGTCAGCTTGCAGTGGTGATTCTTCATTCTGTGACCTTCATCTATGATCATGTATTTGAAAGGCACCTAAAATTGAATACAATTTATTCGAGCTGGAATATTATTTATCCTACTTAAAAGTTTATTTGATTTACACGGGGAGAGTTTACTTACTTTGGACAGCACACCTTTATCCTTAATGATGTACTCGTAGGTGGTTAAAAGCACATTAAATTTGGCAGACCTCATTTGGCTCTGAAGAGTCCTCCTCATCCCAGGAGAGCCTTTATATGCAACAACAACTACAGACGGTGCCCACTTTTCAAATTCTAGCATCCAATTTGATATGGTTCTGAAAACAATAAATACGTTTATGACATCCTACATCCTAAAGACAGTCCGCTCAAAGTACCGGAGTTCAACTAACACTGAGTCAATAAGAGTATGTACTATCTCAATCATTTGGCATTAGTATATTTATAGTCTTCAAACCTCCACAAATCCGCAATACCTACGAGAGTTGTCTCAAAAATATGGTTCCAACGTTGTAACTAGCCGAAATCTGGCAACACTGTCGTATTTGACAGCTCCCCCACCACCGATGCCAACAAGAAGCGCCTATTGGCGACGCTGCACGCAAAAACGTTACCACCCATAGAAATCCATCGCCAGTTGAGTGGAGTATATGGGAATCGTGTATACGCATTCAACATATCCTCAAATGGTAAAGAGAGTCCTTTCACGGCCGCATGGACATCCACGACGGACAACGAAGCGGGAGGCCGTCGTTCTCCGAGGAAGTTATGTGGAAGATTGAGCAAATTTTGCTCGGTAATCGGCGAATCATGATCCGGGAACAGGCGGTTGAAACTCCTGAGGCTTCTGAAAAAACTAAGACGGACAATCCAAAATCGTCATTGGGAAAAACTCTGCACAGCGTAAGAGGACAATTCCATGTCTAAAAAAATACGTAGAAAAAATCTCGACTATGTAGAAAAATAGCTTAAAGATCAATGTTTCCAATGGTAAATTCGTTTATTCGATTAAAAAATTCCTTGTGCCCGAAAAAAAATGTGGGAACCTTATTTTTGATACAATCCTCGTATTAGACATATTTCACACAAACTTTACAGAAGATTTGCGCTTAAGATTTTAGAGAAGAATAATAAAAATATACTAAGTGACATATAAATCCGAACACCCAGTTTAAATGGTTTTATTTTAATAAACGTTGGTGAATGTATTTATCTTACTGTAAATAACAAGTGAAAAAATTTTCAGCCTTATCAGTTGGACATTCCGGTTTTTATACTGCTTTTTTTTAATTCACTAACGCTCTAAAAATGAATATTTCAGCCGCAGTAAAGAATCAACGTTGGCGGATTTTGGTTCTTGACATCCTTTACGATCGGTTACGATGCCTAGAGCACGGAGACCTGTACAATTTCGTCAACTTAGTGAGTTTGATAGGGACCGTATAGTGGGACTTCGGGAAGCTTGACTTTCTTTTCGGGCAATTGCAGTTAGAGTGCAAAGAAGTGTAGACACTGTGGTTAGGTGTTGTCAGGCATGGCTTCGAGAAGGCCGTACGCAAAGAGCAAGGGGCACTGGACGCCGCCGTAGAACAACAGACCGTGAAGATCGCCACCTAAGATTATTGGCCTTAAGGGACCGTCTCTCCACTACCAGGTCCATTGCAAATGAATGGTTTGCAGAACACGGAAGACCTATTGGCATGCGAAGTGTTTACCGACGAATGAGAAGTTTTGGCTTGTTTTCATACCGGCCACACTGGGTCCCCCCTTTAACACCGACGTAATCGCCTTGAGTGGTGCAGACAACGGTCACTCTGGGATCAGGAACGGAACAGTATTGTCTTTAGTGAAGAGTCTCGATTTTGTTTAGGCATGCACGATGGTCGTGCCAGTGTTAGAAGGCGACGTGGTGAAAGGAGGAATCCACAGTTTTTTGTTGAAAGACATGTTCATCACACTGTTGGAGTTATGGTTTGGGGTGCTATAGCTTATGGTTCCAGGTCACCTTTAATCTTCATCAGAGGTAACACGAACGCGCAGCGTTATATCCACGAAGTTCTAGAACCCCATCTTTTACCCTATCTTGACACCCTGGCAGATCCAACTTTCCAACAAGATAATGCCCGACCACATGTTGCAAGAGTCACAATAGACTTCTTTCAACATAATGATGTCACATTGTTACCATGGCCACCAAGATCTCCCGACTTATCCCCAATTGAACACGTGTGGGATATGATGGGTAGGAGATTGCAACGTCCTCCTCAGACTCTAGAAGCACTTCGAGAGGAGTTGGTGGTTGCCTGGAATGAGATACCACAGGAGGACATTGACCACCTGATCAGAAGCATGCCTAGGCGCGTTGGAGAATGCGTAGCACATTAGGGTGCATCCACACATTATTGAAGGTCAAAGGGCTTTAAAAGCAGTGCGATCGTTTTGAAATTTTTATCATTTACTTATTATGCTTCATTAAGTACTTATACAGAATTTTATTAAAATAAATCCATTTAAACTGGGTGTTCGGATTTATAGAAAAAAATATTCTAGTGAAACAGCAATCCAAATGGTGGTGGAATACTGGAGAAGAAATATAGATGAGCAAGTATGCAACTGAGCACATGAGACTATAGATAGGGAAACATTGTTAACGAAATTACATCAATATAGGTTTTAAAGTATAATTTTGGAAATATGTCAAGCATTCAAAATATATCAATAGGAGAGTAAATTAGAATCGCTACTATTCATTATATATAAATGATATCTTTGACATTTTAGAACAGTGCAAAATTCAAACTTTTGCGGACGATACATTGATGTATATAGCACATAAACATTTGGACACTGCTTTAGAACTCTTAAGAGATAAAAAAAATATGAATCTGTTAAATTAAATGTCAATGAACACAAATTAAACACTGATGATTGAGGTGATAATACAATTAAGCTCATGATTAATGACGAAAAAATTGAAGTAGTTGAATCCTTATATATGTGGATAGAAAACTACAGTTTCAAGAGCATTAGGAATATATTATTTCATAAATATCAAAAAAGATAAATTACTTGTCTATACAAGTTTCCCATAATCTCAGTATATATTCCAAAATGTGTAATTGTGTATAATTCATCCCTATTTTGTTCAACAATCTTGTTTACAGCAAATGAAAACATATTTTCAAAATTACAAATTCTACAAAATAAAGCTATGGGAATCATTTTAAATAAAAACAAATATGCTAGGATTAAGACTAGGTTAGAAGAACTAAAGTGGTTGAATGTAAACAAAATTATAAGTCATTTAGTTCTCATCCTGTGAAAAGAATACTCTGACATTTTTTATTAAACTAATGTATGCTTTTAGCAGATTATGAATGTATTGAGAAAATCCTATTTAAATAGATCTGATTCAGCAAATCTTGTAGAAAGAAGACATCCTGAAATGGTATAAATGTGAATATACGAGGTTTGACCGGAAAATACGTATAAAAGTTGAATAACAACTTTATTTTACAATCGTTCAGGTATTTCAATATGGTCTCTTGAGACAAGATGCACTTCTGCCAACGCCGCTTCCTCTGTTGATACGATCGCTGAAAGTCTTCAATTGTGAGGCTCTTCATTTGCCGTGTCGTTTCAGCCTTGATAGCTTCCAGATCCCCCAAGTGCCGCCCCGAAGCACCATTTTGCATTTTGGGAACAGGAAGAAGTCGGGTCAAAAACTCACGACAACGCGAGACGTGACGCAAAACTTTAATGTAGAAATTTCCGTTTCACAGTCTGGCCGGGAAAATCAAAGAAAACAATCAAGATTGTTTACACATTGGACCTTGATTTTTTAGACTTTTTTGTTCTCGGTTCCCCTGCTCGTTTCCACTCCATTTCAGCCCCACATCAAATTCGTAGAACCAAGACTCGTCTCCAGTGATTACCCCGTTGAGAAAATCCCCGCTTTCCTCTGCTTTCAGTCAATCCTCAAAGCAAGCAACCCTCCTTGCTTTCTGTTCTGGAGTCAAGAGCTTCTGAATGATTTTTGTGTACAATTTTTTTCAAGTGTTTGTGTCAGAATTTCGTGGATGACTGGCAGTTCCTCTGCTATCATTGTAACTGTCAATCGACGGTCTTTAAGAACACAGCCCCGAATTCGTTCAACATTTCCCTCAGAGCTCGATGTGGAAGGGCGTCCTGAACGTTGGTCATCTTTCACATTTTCTCGGCCTTCCCGAAACCTTTTCGACCGCCTGTTGACGGTTGGTTCCTTCGGAGAATTGTTTCCGTAAAATTGTTCCGAACACTCAAAAATTTCACGGCCATTCTTGTCTAGCTTTGCTAGAAACTTGATGTTGATGCGCTGTTCCTCCATCAGATGGAGCTTCAGAGCGGGATTGCATAAAGTGAGGGAACCACCCTCCACAACGCCCCAAACTTTTTATACATATTTTATGGATAAACCTCGTATTCAACTTTACAGAAAAAAGATCCACCTTCAAGGTCCCATACATTTCCCTTTATAACCAGTGTTCGCCAATTTTTCAATATTTTCAATTTTGTTCCACATACTTTCGAGATTCGATCTTTTTAGACGGGCAAGTCTGTGTAGATAAAATTGACGCTCACTCTTGAAACATAAAAGTAACCTCCGAAAAATATTACAAATTCCAACTTACGATAAAGGAACGATGATCAAAAACGGCCCATTCAATTTCTTCTTCTCCATCAAGTACGTGATCAACGCGATTGTCTGAATGGTCTTCCCAAGACCCATCTCGTCCGCAAGGATACCGTTCAAGTTGTTATTGTAAAGCGACACCATCCATTCGAGACCCTTAACCTGGTACTCTTTGAGTCTACCGTTGACCATGATGGAGGCTTGTTCCGTGACGATTTCGTGGACGGTGTGCGCGATGCTGTAGTACGTCTGCTCCTCCAGCGCGTTCTTGTGGTACTCGTCATCTTCAGCCTAAATAAATGTAAACGAGGTACAGATTTGTTTTAGAGGAAATATAGACATTCTTTATATGAGGGTTGATCCATACCCTCCACCCCTATCCTAAAAAACGGAAGCTATGCTAACCGCACCTTGTGTATTTATATTTATTTATATTTCATATTTCAATTGGCTCAGAGAACAATCGATGACTTATAGCAATTTATGATTGATTTACAGCTGTCATCATAAATATCGCACAGATCACAAATAGAGTTCATCAGACTGCACATTACATGAATTGGAGATTTCAACATTACGTTCGTCCGGCGCGCTTGACAATAAAAGGCTGATTGTTGACGACTTTCAAGCCTTGGAATGCGTAAATATATTTTTTCAAGTAAATCCGGACAGTCAATTTGATTGTGCATAAGGCCATATAAAAACTATAAGGCAAACATATTACGTCTAATTGATAGTGAATCTAAATCGAAAAAATTCAAAAGGGACTGATGACAAAAACCTCTTTCTGGATAAGAACCAATACACTTAAGGTAAAAATACTTAATAGCCTCACGTTCAATGCCTTCAATCATTGAAACTGAATTTAGGTATATTGGAGACCAGGTCAGGATTGCATATTCCAACTTGCTTCTGACAAAAGTAACGAACAAAGTCATTAAAGTACTGACATTGGATAACCCGTTCCAGTTTCTGATACAGAAGCCATGTAGTCTGGTGGCAGCCGATGAGATAAATAAATAATAATAAAAGAGTAGCATCTGTCTAGAACCTGACCGTTGACGTTATAGTCATCATATACTAAATAATTAGTCTTTCTTGTATAAGACACAACTTTACATTTAGAAACATTTCAACTAAGACAGTTTCGCGAGCACCATGAAGAAATTAAGTCTAAATTATCCTGCAGCATGAGACAATCATCAACTGACTCGATCGATGCGTAAATCTTAACGTCGTCAGCAAAAAACAGATGCAAACACTTGAGATCAAGAGACAAATCGTTAATAAAGATCAGGAACAATAATGGGCCTAGATTCGATCCCTGAGGTACCCCAGATATGGCCTGATAATAACTCAACGTATAACCACCATATTCAACAAACAATCTTCTGTCCATCAAGTATGAACTCAGAAGCGACAACAGTCCCCTGAGATAAACCTACGGTCCTAAGCTTATCCAGAAGTACATAATGATCAACTTGATCAAATGCCTTCTGAATATCTGTATAGATTACATCAACTTGCCCCCGAGTGTCTAATACTTGGGAGATATACTGAGTAATTAGGGTCAAGTTGGTAACCGTAGATCTGACGCTCATGAATCCATGCTGATTGACAGAGATTGCACCTAAACTATGATCTCAATCAACCTACCGAAGTTGCATAGAATTGCTATTTGTCGGTAGTTGGAAACATCATCGATATCACCACTCTTATGAATGGGACATATTTTAGTGGTCTTCCAGACATCTGGGTATGTCCCTAATTTAAGAATTAGTTTAAATACTGAAGCCAACGGTTTAGCCAATATGTGAATGCAATCTCTGACAAGAAAACTTGGGAATAAATGACGAATAGTATATCATCTTCTCTTATATAATTGAGAGAAATTGTACTATTGGATTTAGTTGTTGAAAATAAGTTCCTTTGTGTATAAATACTGATGAAAAAAAGTCGGCAAAACTGTCTACGATATCCTGAGGAGTATCGGAGACATTGCCATTAAGGCTCATTCTGAAATCCAGCTTGCCCACAGGCCTTGGCTCTCGAAACAAAAAATTGGAAAATGAGTATTTTGGAGGGAGAAATAGAAAAAAAATGTGAGTAGTTTGAAAGCTTTCCTCTGGTCATGTCAGGTGCTCCAGCACTTTTATGCTGGATAGTAGTGGCCATGGCATTGGAAAATATCCCAGTTCCTAAGAAAAAGATTAGTAAAAATGAGTCCGTTGGCACCCTTGAGAATCCTATAAAATTTCGGACAAGCTTTTGCAAGAAGTGAAAAATTTAATATTTTTATACATTTTTTTTGTTATGAATGGGACATATTTTAGCGGTCTTCCAGACATCTGGGTATGTCCCTAATTTAAGAATTAGTTTAAATACTGAAGCCAAAGGTTTAGCCAATATGTGAATGCAATCTCTGACAAGAAAACTTGGGAATAAATGACGAATAGTATATCATCTTCTCTTATATAATTGAGAGAAATTGTACTATTGGATTTAGTTGTTGAAAATAAGTTCCTTTGTGTATAAATACTGATGAAAAAAAGTCGGCAAAACTGTCTACGATATCCTGAGGAGTATCGGAGACATTGCCATTAAGGCTCATTCTGAAATCCAGCTTGCCCACAGGCCTTGGCTCTCGAAACAAAAAATTGGAAAAAATAGTATTTTGGAGGGAGAAATAGAAAAAAATGTGAGTAGTTTGAAAGCTTTCCTCTGGTCATGTCAGGTGCTCCAGCACTTTTATGCTGGATAGTAGTGGCCATGGCATTGGAAAATATCCCAGTTCCTAAGAAAAAGATTAGTAAAAATGAGTCCGTTGGCACCCTAGAGAATCCTATAAAATTTCGGACAAGCTTTTGCAAGAAGTGAAAAATTTAATATTTTTATACAATTTTTTTGTTATGAATGCGACATATTTTAGTGGTCTTCCAGACATCTGGGTATGTCCCTAATTTAAGAATTAGTTTAAATACTGAAGCCAACGGTTTAGCCAATATGTGAATGCAATCTCTGACAAGAAAACTTGGGAATAAATGACGAATAGTATATCATCTTCTCTTATATAATTGAGAGAAATTGTACTATTGGATTTAGTTGTTGAAAATAAGTTCCTTTGTGTATAAATACTGATGAAAAAAAGTCGGCAAAACTGTCTACGATATCCTGAGGAGTATCGGAGACATTGCCATTAAGGCTCATTCTGAAATCCAGCTTGCCCACAGGCCTTGGCTCTCGAAACAAAAAATTGGAAAAATGAGTATTTTGGAGGGAGAAACAGAAAAAAATGTGAGTAGTTTGAAAGCTTTCCTCTGGTCATGTCAGGTGCTCCAGCACTTTTATGCTGGATAGTAGTGGCCATGGCATTGGAAAATATCCCAGTTCCTAAGAAAAAGATTAGTAAAAATGAGTCCGTTGGCACCCTTGAGAATCCTATAAAATTTCGGACAAGCTTTTGCAAGAAGTGAAAAATTTAATATTTTTATACATTTTTTTTGTTATGAATGGGACATATTTTAGCGGTCTTCCAGACATCTGGGTATGTCCCTAATTTAAGAATTAGTTTAAATACTGAAGCCAACGGTTTAGCCAATATGTGAATGCAATCTCTGACAAGAAAACTTGGGAATAAATGACGAATAGTATATCATCTTCTCTTATATAATTGAGAGAAATTGTACTATTGGATTTAGTTGTTGAAAATAAGTTCCTTTGTGTATAAATACTGATGAAAAAAAGTCGGCAAAACTGTCTACGATATCCTGAGGAGTATCGGAGACATTGCCATTAAGGCTCATTCTGAAATCCAGCTTGCCCACAGGCCTTGGCTCTCGAAACAAAAAATTGGAAAAATTAGTATTTTGGAGGGAGAAATAGAAAAAAATGTGAGTAGTTTGAAAGCTTTCCTCTGGTCATGTCAGGTGCTCCAGCACTTTTATGCTGGATAGTAGTGGCCATGGCATTGGAAAATATCCCAGTTCCTAAGAAAAAGATTAGTAAAAATGAGTCCGTTGGCACCCTTGAGAATCCTATAAAATTTCGGACAAGCTTTTGCAAGAAGTGAAAAATTTAATATTTTTATACAATTTTTTTGTTATGAATGGGACATATTTTAGTGGTCTTCCAGACATCTGGGTATGTCCCTAATTTAAGAATTAGTTTAAATACTGAAGCCAACGGTTTAGCCAATATGTGAATGCAATCTCTGACAAGAAAACTTGGGAATAAATGACGAATAGTATATCATCTTCTCTTATATAATTGAGAGAAATTGTACTATTGGATTTAGTTGTTGAAGATAAGTTCCTTTGTGTATAAATACTGATGAAAAAAGTCGGCAAAACTGTCTACGATATCCTGAGGAGTATCGGAGACATTGCCATTAAGGCTCATTCTGAAATCCAGCTTGCCCACAGGCCTTGGCTCTCGAAACAAAAAATTGGAAAAATGAGTATTTTGGAGGGAGAAATATAAAAAAAAGTGAGTAGTTTGAAAGCTTTCCTCTGGTCATGTCAGGTGCTCCAGCACTTTTATGCTGGATAGTAGTGGCCATGGCATTGGAAAGTGTCCCAGTTCCTAAGAAAAAGATTAGTAAAAATGAGTCCGTTGGCACCCTTGAGAATCCTATAAAATTTCGGACAAGGTTTTGCAAGAAGTGAAAAATTTAATATTTTTATACAATTTTTTTGTTATGAATGGGACATATTTAAGTGGTCTTCCAGACATCTGGGTATGTCCCTAATTTAAGAATTAGTTTAAATACTGAAGCCAACGGTTTAGCCAATATGTGAATGCAATCTCTGACAAGAAAACTTGGGAATAAATGACGAATAGTATATCATCTTCTCTTATATAATTGAGAGAAATTGTACTATTGGATTTAGTTGTTGAAAATAAGTTCCTTTGTGTATAAATACTGTTGAAAAAAAGTCGGCAAAACTATCTACGATATCCTGAGGAGTATCGGAGACATTGCCATTAAGGCTCATTCTGAAATCCAGCTTGCCCACAGGCCTTGGCTCTCGAAACAAAAAATTGGAAAAATGAGTATTTTGGAGGGAGAAATAGAAAAAAAAATGTGAGTAGTTTGAAAGCTTTCCTCTGGTCATGTCAGGTGCTCCAGCACTTTTATGCTTGATAGTAGTGGCCATGGCATTGGAAAATATCCCAGTTCCTAAGAAAAAGATTAGTAAAAATGAGTCCGTTGGCACCTTTGAGAATCCTATAAAATTTCGGACAAGCTTTTGCAAGAAGTGAAAAATTAATATTTTTATACAATTTTTTTGTTATGAATGGGACATATTTTAGTGGTCTTCCAGACATCTGGGTATGTCCCTAATTTAAGAATTAGTTTAAATACTGAAGCCAACGGTTTAGCCAATATGTGAATGCAATCTCTGACAAGAAAACTTTTGAATAAATGACGAATAGTATATCATCTTCTCTTATATAATTGAGAGAAATTGTACTATTGGATTTAGTTGTTGAAAATAAGTTCCTTTGTGTATAAATACTGATGAAAAAAAGTCGGCAAAACTATCTACGATATCCTGAGGAGTATCGGAGACATTGCCATTAAGGCTCATTCTAGATGGAATTCTAGATTGCTGTATTTTAATATGAATGAATGACCAGAATTTAACAGGATCTGTGGCAATGGCATCCTCAACCGATTGGATGTACGCAGAATATGCTGCATTGATTCGGTTTTTAATGATTCTTCTAAGATTGCTAAACTGAATATAAAAGAAGTTGGTGTCGTAACGTTTCCAGTTCTTCCTTGCCCTGTCTTTCTTATCAAGATTAACTATGATCTCACGTGTGAACCATGGTAGATATGAAAACTGTTTACTTTTACATTTAGGAACATGGACCTCAAATATATTATGTAACCTGCATTTATTTACAATCTTTTCAATAGTGATTTTTATCATATAAATGAAAAACAACTTTACTTCAAGCGGGTTGGAGGCGGAGCAGAGCGAACGACATTCGTATACCGGTTTTAATGAATTATAGGAAAATTCTAGCGTTTATTCTATAACAAGTTCTTTAATGTACTTGTTGTATTTCTTGATTAAAAGGTGTGGTTTGCAAAAATTGGCAGAAATCTCAGGAAGAATTCTATAACTTACCTTGGCTTTTTTGATAACTTCTTTGGCATCAAAATCCTTATCCGAATCAGATTTCCTGTTAGCATTATCATCGTCTTCGTCGTCACTGTCTACCAACTCCCAACCAGGATGAGCTTTCAACCACTCTTCCGCTTGCCTGAAGGTCGGAGCATTTTCACCTAAAAAAAATCCCGATTTGAAAAAAGTAACATTATCTCAAACCTGCCTCTAAATCTCCGTATCACCGAGTAATCAAGGTCCAAATAAACAGCGTAGGCTTCAATGATTCGTCGATGTTCATTTTTTATGGTCGTAGATAATGATAAGGCTTAATATAGTGATAATTTTTGTTATTTTAGCTTTTACTTATTTTCGTATCCAGAAATTTATAAAATTGAATGTCAAGAGAATATTTTTTTTTTGTAGAATCTATATTACCTTTGATTTTATTGCCAGTTGCAGTTTCCACAACAGTAACTTTTCGGTCCGGTTCTTGCGCCTTTTGTTGCTTCCTTTTCCTCTTCTCTTCATCTTTCTTCTTTTTGGCTTGCTCCAATTTGTGCTGTTTCACCATCTCTGTCAAGTTACTGATATACTCGTCGGTCTGAGAAAGCAGGAAGGCCAAACGTTTGTCTTTCTTTTGATCGATCAGTTTTCTGTAACCTTCCTCATCCTCCGCCATCAATCTAAAAACAAACATTATAAAGCAATGAAAACAAACAGGGCGAATAAAAACAATGAAAATATCTCTACAGTAGAAAGTAATCAAAAAAACTTCTTGAAAACACATATCTTAAAATGTCCCCTTGTCGAGATATTGAAAATTTATACATCGCTGACTAAAGAAAGAACGTGAATATTTTTCAAATATTGTGAAACCAAAGATTAATAATTAAAAGTGCATCAGAGGTTTAAAAAAGTAAAAATTTTTTTTTTCTTATACTGGGTTTTAATTAAGTCTATACCATAACGTCAACAGACGATTCTTTGAGCAATTTTAAAACAAAAAAAAGTAAATATCTTATAACGGATGATTTTTTAAGAGGTATAGGATTTGATTTTCAAAAAAAAACACAAAAAATTTGAAAAAACGATTAAATCTTTATTTGAGTCGATAGAACGGTCGATATAATTTAATGTTTAAAGATTATTTCATGTAAATGTTGGCCCATGCGCAAGGTCCAATTTTGGCACACTCTCTCTAACATATCGGCCGGTATCTCACGAGTAAATGCTTCAATATTGGCTTCCAGTGCATCAATCGTTGCTGGTTTATTTCTGTAGACATTAGCCTTAACATGGCCCCACAAGAAATAGTCAAACGGCGTTAAATCACACGATCTAGGCGGCCAATTGAAGGGCCCCTAACGTGAGATAAACTGTTCACCGAACTCGCCTCTCAATAGGGCCATTGTTTCGTGTGCGGTGTGGCATGTGGCACCGTCTTGTTGAAACCACATGTCAGCCAAGTCCAGCTCTTCCATTTTGGGCAAAAAAAAGATTGTTATCATCGCACGGTAGCGCTCGCCATTCACAGTTACGTTCCGGCCATTGTCGTCTTTGAAGAAGTACGGCCCGATGATGCCACCGGCCCATAATCCACACCAAACAGTGATTTTTTCGGGATGCATTGGTAGCTCTTGCAATGCTTCTGGCTGTTCTTCACTCCAGATGCGGCATTTTTGCTTGTTAACGTACCCATTCAACCAGAAATGAGCTTCGTCGCTGAACACAATTTTTCGATAAAAATGTGGATCTTCCTACAACTTTGCCAGCGCCCATTCATCAAATGCGAAACGTTGTGGGAGGTCGCTAGGCTTCAATTCTTGCACCAGCTGTATGTTATAAGGTTTTACACCCAAATCCTGTCGCAAAATTTTCTACGTAGTGGAGCAACAGATGCCCAATTGCTGCGAACGGCGGGGAACCGACATTTCACGTCATCACTAACACTGGCGGATACAGCCGCAATATTTTCTTCAGTCCTCACTCTACGTCTGCATGTTGGTGGTTTAATGTCCAATAATGTAAACTGGGTTCGAAATTTGGTCACAAGCTTCCGAATAGCTCCCTCAATAGGCCGACCAAATTGCCCATAAATTGGAAGCAGTGCTCGATGCACTCTCTTAACCGAGCATGAATTTTGATAGTAAAATTCAATAATTTGCAAGCGTTGTTCGTTCGTAAGTCGATTCATGGTTAAATTATAGACCAAACTGAACAAGTTTGACAATGACACAAGACACGATTCACGCGTCATCTGTCAAAAACAGTGTTGCCAAAAAGATACTAGCAAAAAAATCACCCATTATATCCTTTACCTAATTTTGTTGTAATTTGGCGGTGGTATTTATAACATTTAAGGAGTTAATTTAGCCCTAACTTGATTAAATTTATTAAATCCAGTGGCGTCTAGAGCGGGATCTGTACGGATATTTTGTGACAAAAAAATGTACGCCACTGAGTTTTGCGCAATTTTTATTATGCCTTTTGGATTAAGCAAATAGAAATACAACTTTTTTGTCTCACATTTTTTTTTCGTATCTTGTTTAGTTTTCGAGAAAAAAAATTTCCACTTAATTGCATATTCCACACCAGGAATATGAGGAAAAGTGTCTTAGTTTAGTAAAATTCATTAGTTTAGATGTTAGCATATTGTAATTTAATTTAGTGTTTATTTGTTGTTGTTACACAATTAGTAATGAAAAATTATAAAAAAAATAATACTTTCCAAAAGAATCTTTTCCCATATTCATTGTGTGGTCTAGGGATATGCAAGTAGCCTTTTTTCTCGAAAATAAACAAGATACGAAACGCTTAATCCAAGGAACAAAATAAAAGTCAGTGGACTACATTTTTCTGTCAAAAATATTTGTTAACATCCCGCACGATACGCCACTTGACTTAATATATTTAATCATGTTAGAACTAAACTAGCTCCTAAATGTTATAAATACCACCGCCAAATTACAACAAAATTAGGTAGAAGATATTTACGAAAAAACATTTTTTTTTACTTCAACACGATTACCATCATGCAATTTGTTATGGTAACTACAAATGCTAAAATTTCAGCACTCGACGACAGATATTCCTGACACGTTTTGCTTACGAAAAGTCGCTAAAACTTCTTTATTTTGGCAAGTCCAAAGTCTATCCGAGTAGACTGAACATTTTGAATTGATTACAGCCCAAAATGAGACGTTGAAATTTTAGATAGGATGTAAGCGTTAGCAAGGGATTCTTGGATATAGAAAGGCTAATTTTAATCCATATATTCACAGGTATCTTAATGAAACAACATCGAAAGTTTGCATCATGTTTTTTGATCGACCTGTAGCCTCAATTTGATTTATTGACCAATAAATGTAGAGGAACGTGTAAAGTAAAAAATTGAATACAATTTATTTTATGTGTGAAATCCAGCGTGCCCACAGGCCTTGGCTCTCGAAACAAAAAATGGGAAAAATGAGTATTTTGGAGCGAAAAATAGAAAAAAAAATGTGAGTAGTTTGAAAGCTTTCCTCTGGTCATGTCAGGTGCTCCAGTACTTTTATGCTGGATAGCAGTGGCCATGGCATTGGAAAATATCCCAGAATAATGAGAAAAATAGCATTTCTGGAAAAAATGAGTTCCTAAGAAAAAGAGTCCGTTGGCACCTTTGAGAACCCTATAAAATTTCGGACAAGCTTTTGCTAGAAGTGAAAAATTTAATATTTTTATACAATTTTGGGAAAAATATACAACTTGCCTTCTCATACGTTCTTTTTCTATCCTCTCCTGTTCTTTCTTCTGTTCTCTCTCAGCATTTGCATGATAATTGATGATAGCTTTGTTGATTTTGGCAATCTTAGCTTGGTTCTGTCTATGGAACTCTTTGAACTCTTTGCCATGACTGAGGACGGAGTTGAGGAACTCCTGATTTTTCTGTCGCCTTTTGCGTTCTGCTTCCAGCTTCTGTTGCTTCTCCAATTTTTCCGTCGCTCTCGCCTCTCGCAAACCTTGTCTTTTTGTACGCTTGTACGCCTGGAACATATGAAATGTCAAGTTAGTGCCATGTGCTTGTGCGCCAATTAATATGATAATATATTGATGATGTAATTAATGATGAACAGAAGAGTGAACAAAGAACTGAGACAGCTTCAGAAACACTAATCATATGCATAAAAAAAACCCTACAGAAAATTCTTCAATACAAGATATGAAAACTGTAATAAAAGCATGAATCCACAATACTACATACCTTGATATTGACGGCTGTTTCCAACGTTGTGTCTCTTCTGATGCAGCCGATTATTTCGCTCCGTAACTGCCTCTGGAAGTTCAGGCACCTCAACGCTCTGAGCTCTATTTGAGCCTGAATTCGCAATTTGTCTGACATGTCTGTTGGTAAGTTGCTAACCTGGATAGATATTGAAATAGAATTACGTATTTTACTCAAATATATTCAATCTTATGCTACGAGTATACATAGCTAGATAATCTTTATTGTCTTGATGGTCATAGAAAATTATGACACAATAGAGGGTGGCCGATATGTAACTGACTGGTTTGTATCTTGAATATTTGTGAAATGAAATAAAATACGTCCATTTGTTCATCTTAATATTTTATTGAAACTTAGAAATTATGTATGAAAAATAATATCAGAAAAATGTCCGCCTCTAGAAGCCGCGCAAATCTGAGCCCTCTTGATTACATTTTCCATCACATTTTTGTGGGTTTCGGGAGGAATATTTTCAATGGCTTAGACTTTGCTTTTCAAATATCCCCATAAAAAGAAGTCCAAGGGAGTCAAATCACACGATCTTGGTGGCCATGGCACATTTCCACTGCGCGAAATCACGCGATCACCGAAGGACTGCAATCGATGGACATTGACGTTGGTTGTGTGGCATGTTGCACCGTCTTGTTGGAAATAAACATCGTCAATATCCATTCCTTCAAGTTGCGGCAAAAAATAGTCCTCTATCATCACGTGATATCGCTCAGAATTGACGGTAACGGCGTCCCCGGCCGCAAACTGGTTCTCGAAATGCCCAATTCTTGGGATCGACGCGTTGTTGATTGTTTCGGATCGCCTCTCACACTCTCCTTCACAACAGCAATATTTTCCGGTGTGCGAACGCTCCTTGGCCGGCCAGAGCCTGGCAGATTTGCCACAGAACCTGTTGCCTCGAATTTACGCACCAGACGACCGATGGTTGTTTCGATTGGGCGGTTGTTGCGACCGAAATGTTCACGAAGCGCGCGAAACGTGTTTTTTATTTTTGCACCATTTTTGTAGTGCTATTGAATAACTTTAATGCGGTCTTCAATCGAATACGACTCCATAGCGATCAATGGTAAACATTCAACTAACAAAATGACATGTCGGTGACAGAAAACAAAGATGGCGTCTATGTCAAATTGACGTTTACTTTCCTGCGTCACTATTGGACAACCCTTTATTGACCACCCTTGAAATTGCTCCAGATGATCAGTTGTATAAATATCACAGTATCAATGGATAGACAACTAGCCGAAAAAAAAAGAGTAGTTACAAGGACGAATTTTTACAGTTGTAATGAACAAATATTGGACATATAACAAACATGCGAAGAACACTTACAGTAAATAAATAGATCGATTAAAACATTTAACAAATAGCAAAATAATAAAGGTTGTACATACCTGTTGGATTCGCGCTGCGATACGTGCCGCCACACGATTTTCACGTTCCTGCAGTAAAACAACTGGATCAATTCCACACGGTTTCGGGAGGGTAGTAACGCGGCTTTGCTTCCCCGGCATTAGACCACCTGGTCCTTGAGGACGCTGCTGTTGAGCTGCAGCAGCTGGAAAAATTGAAAATTACTTTCAAATGCCGTCACCGATCATGGATGATGGATGGTTAACAATAAAAAACAAGTTGCTACGGTTTCGCCGAGTTGTGTGGCCAAACTTAAATGTGTATGGATTATTGGGTTATTTTGGGAAGAAGATGATATAGGAAAGAAACAAGACACATGTACTTCAATCCACCAGTATGTATTCATAAATGCAAAAAATGTCAAATATTTATTTCAACAATTATATCAAAGGAATGTAGTAGTAGGTAGTAGTAGTAGTAGAAAGATTTATTTAGCAGATTTGGCTACATAAACAGAATAATTGTAAACAACTTAGAATTAGTAAATTCAAGCCATATGATGTATGATGTAAAAGATGGGCAACCTATAATTGTAGATTTCACAAGAGATTCCTCAATTTTACTTTAAATGTTGTCAAAGTTTTCTGGTCTTTTATCTCTGTGTATAATTTATTATATTCAATCAACCCTTGAAGAAATATAGATTTGTAGCATATGTTATACTTTTTGGTCATTAAATGGAAGTCATCTTTATTTCTGGTTTTATGTAAATGATGGAAGACATCTGATGATTTTAAATTAGTTAGACTTGATGGAAATATATTATTTTTTCACTTTATACATGAATATCATTACAAGATATTTGATAAAAAATTTTACATTGAGCCATTTTAATTTGCTAGGCATTTGTCTAATTGGAGTATATTTATCTTTATTCAGTATTATTCTCATGCACTTATTTTGTAAAATTTGCAGTCTTTCAAAAATGGAATTATTTGCTAAATATCGAATAGTCGAACAGTACAAGAAATTTGGAAGAATGATAGTATTATAGATAATTTTTCTGCTATATGAACTCAGACATCCAGAAACTCTTGATAAATATCCCACTTTACTACTAATCTTATTTATAACTTTTTCATAATGAATATCAAAAATTAATCGAGAGTTAACAAAAACTCCCAGGTATTTAAAATTTTCTATGAATTCAATATCTTCACCATCAATATTCAGTTGAACATATGAATATAATTGGATGTAAAAATAGGTCAAATGAAGGGAATCGTAACATCGGACGTAAGTAATTAGACGTTATAGGGTGTTATTAAAAAGTCGCTGCTGGTGATGGTGGTGGCTAATGGTGGAGTTTTATGGGCTCCGATGCAGCAGATGGCTCAAAATCCCCGAGAGGCATGGTGGATCCATTTCACATGAGGGGTGCGAGACTTTGCAGCCATGGATCTTGTGAAGTTACAAAGGGGCCACCAGACATTTATACGGGGGATAGATGTCTAGCCAGGAATCGAACACAAAAAATGGGTAAAAAAAAGGACAAACAGAAGTTGAAGGTCTGTATCAATTTAAAGAAATACAATAATAGCAGGTATGTGGCGGGATGACGACTACATACCTTTTTGGAGTGAGGCCTGTAAGTGGTCTTTTCAGAAAACAAACAACAAAACTAATAGTTCAATTGTCGAGAAGCTCTTAGAAGGAATCGTATATGACCATGTCATTGAATATATTGAAGAAAATAAGATATTGACAAAATTTCAAGCAGGATTCAGAAAAAAGTATTCTACTGAAACAGCAAATCAAATGGTAGTAGAAGAATGGAGGCGAAATATGGATGAAAAAAGTTTACAGTAACATTGTCCTTAGATTTCAAGAGAGCATTTGCGACTATTGACAGGGAGAAATTGTTAACGAAATCGCATTGCTATGGATTTCAACGTTCAGTATTCAACTTATTACAAAATGATTTGATCAATAGATATCAAAGAACTAAAATTGGCAATATATTATCAAACATTGAAAACATTTCAGTAGGTGTGCCACAGGGTAGCACATTAGGTCCATTACTATTTATTTTATATATTAATGATATTTCTGATATTTTTACAACACTGCTAAATTCAACTATTTACTGATGATACATTAATATATATATCAAATAAAGAAATTGGAACTGCAACAGAGCTGTTAAATAATGATATGAAAAACGTAATAAATTAGTTAAATGTAAAAAAACTTAAACTAAACACAAACAAAACAAAATATATGCTAATAGGAAAATCTTTATATCAAAATACGATAACTCTTACAATTAATCATAAAAAAATTGTTTCAATCGAATCATTTAAATATTTGGGCATATACGTAGACAGTAAATTAAAATTTGAAGGGCACTATGAATATATTATTTCAAAAATATCCAAGAAAATAAATTACTTTTATAGAATTTCGCGTAGCTTAAGCGTTTATTCTAAAAAAATTGTGTACAACACTATCATGCTTCCTCATTTGTTATATTGTTCAGACTATTCTGTTCAATGCAAATGAAACTGTATTTTCAAAATTACAAATATTACGAAATAAAGCTATGAAAATCATCTTAAATAAAAATAAATATACTAGAATAAATTTTATGCTGAAAGAACTAAACAGGTTATATATAAAAAATTTCATAGCCTACTTGGTTTTCATTTTCATATTAAAGTTATAAAATCATCTTCTGACAAATCACTTAGAAAATTTTATTGTATTGAACAATGAGTGCCACAATTATTCTACTAGAGGAAATATAGACTTTCATTTACAAAACTGCAGAAGCAATATAACGAGCAAGTCAGCATTTCGAAAGGGATTGTACGAATCTCAAATTAAGTAATGATATCAAGATGTGTGTCAGTTTGAAAATATTGAAAGGGAAATTGAAAAAATATCTCATTTTGTATAAAAATATGTAGTCTTGAAGACATAATAAATTTTGTGATATACTGTGTAATATGGATATTACGGATATTGTAGCATTAATGCTAAATAAATCTGAAACAAACAAATTGATTTACACTCCAGACTAATCTGCTACAATTTACATATTTAGTTACGCCACAGATTCTTGATTTTCAACTCTGCTGCATAAATACGTTAGTAACTTTTGCTGTAATGCGAGTAGGCCTCCCTAAGAGAAGGAAATCACTGATCCCAAAAAATCATACCTTGTCCTGATGGCGTCTGCCCCTCCACCGCTTCTTGAGGTGTTTGGCCTGGTTGCATCTGCGCCCCCTGAACTTGAGGTCCTCCAGGAATCTGTGTCTGTCCCTGTTCGGGTGCTACCTGACCTTGATAGGGGCTGCCTGGTGGAGTGGGAAAGCCTTCACATGAAACAGAAATATTTATAAGTCTCCATGTTTTTTTGGGCCGTTAATATAAAAAACAATCTTTTTTCTCATGTTTTTGCTATAAAGCTATAGTTTGCCCAATGACGAGTAGAACTATATCTACTATACCACCAAAACCGGCGGCATCTAGCGGACACAGTGGTGACCTGGCTGGAATTGCGTACTGGGATACAGTTCCAACAGACAACTTGCTGTTACCACTTTCACAGTAGCCGATTCTGGTAATAGATGGCACTTTGTGCGGTCTTATTTCGAGAAATTGCTGTTGAATCCCAACATTTTGAAAATCATTGGGCTGAATTTCAAGCAGCATTTAAGATCGCCAAATATCACTCGACGTGACATGCGCGCGTAATCGAAAATTACAGTTCCAGAACAGGCAACAGTTCAAAACACCGATATTCAAAAACTGGACGTCCAGAATGCTTCTTTAACTGGATAATAGAGGTAACCCAATAAGGTCAATTGTTTTCATATTTCTTTTCGTTTTTTTAAAAAATACATCTAAACAAATGAATCACCGACCGGCTAGAAAGAGAAGCTGCCTACCTTCTGGTAATCTTTTCTGCTGCAAGGCTCCCATGACAGCCGCCGGGATTGGTTGATTTCTAGCCAGGCATCTGTACGCTAAGATCTGGTTGCGCAGTATCTGCATCTGGTACGCGGAGAATGACGGATTGGTAGCCGCAGCTGCGGTACGAGCTCGCAGAGCCAGCAGCTGACTGTATCGTTGGTCATCTTGCAATCCTGGAAGAGAAATATTTGAATTGAAAAAGACTTGCGTAAAAAGCAAACTTCAGAGTCTCGAAGCAGACCATTAGAATCACGATATAAACTCCTGTAGAACGGAAAAAATGACGCGAAGTAGCATGACTTTGCACTTCCAACAAAATGCTGTCCAGAAAATGAAAGTAGCAGAAAGGTGTTAATTCAAAGATGTTATTTAATAAAAGTAAATGTTGTTCTTTTTTATTACAAACTCACAAAAGTAATAACAAATAATCCGCACACTGTAACTAATCGTCTCCTCTTCTTTAAATTTTTATAACAGCCTATAAAATTTGCCGGTATTGAAGGAATTTGTTCCTGAATATTATCAATAGGTCGGCTTCTATCGACATTCAATAATAATGGTTCATTTTCTACTCTTCTATCACGATATAAACTCCTGTAGAACGGAAAAAATGATGCGAACTAGCATGACTTTGCACTTCCAACAAAAAGCTGTCAGCAGTCATGATGGTACTTTGAAAAAAAAATGTTAAGTAGTCGTGAGTTTTGGACGTCTATAATTTTTTAATCATATTCAAAATTCCTTTTGATCAATAAAATTGTATACAGCAACGACAAGTAATCAGTTGAAGCCTTTGGTGCAAAAAGGTGTTCACTCAGATTTTATAGTTTGGAGATAATTGGCCTCAAAGTTTAAATCCTGACATTTTTTATTGAATAGTGCTAGGGCTGCTTTTATTATTGAAGGTTATTTTAGACTCAAGTATCTTGAATAGACAGTTTTGTTAAAAAATTGGTTTTATCATCAGAAATTCTTGAAAATCCGACTTAACACCTTTTTAAAAAACTGTTATTTGTTTGGTCCAGACAATGAAAGTAGTATAAAGGTGTTAATTCAATGATGTTATTTATTAAAAGTAAATGTTGTTCTTTTTTATTACAAACTCACAATAGTAATAACAAATAATACACACACTGTAACTAATCGTCTCCTCTTCTTTAAATGTTTATAAAAGCCTCTAAAATTTGCTGGTATTAAAGGAATTTGTTCCTGAATATTATCAAACTTTTTGGCCGCAATAGGTTCACTTCCATTGACATTCTCTACTTTTCTATCCTTTAATATCAAAGAATTTGTCCGCCATTCTTGTAACATTAAAAGGTGTTTTTTCCTGTCTTCTGCCACGATTGAAATATTTTGATCCACCATATAAATTAGTTGGTGTTTTCTGCTAGACCTTCTACAGCTGCAAAACCTCTTATCAGAGTCTATGAAGGTATATCCTACTTCAGGGAACTTATGGTCAATTTTTTGAACTCTCCAGAGACTATTAGGTAGTGCCAAAGACAGATAATATATTTTTTTATATTTTGGCCGCCTGCCGAATCACTCCGTGCAATCAAATGATCAGAAGCCCTGGTCCTTGATATTTTCCAAAAAGGTCATAAGTGAGCTGCCAATCTCTTCAGGACCGCGATTCCGTTGTCTTCGGTCCAGACGTGGTAAAAACCTTTACCATTTCTGTTTTTTTATGCTGGATAATGCATGAAACGTGCTGCTCTGTCTTCCAGTTCCTTCTCCTGCTTATTCTCGAATTTACTGATGCTGCACCCGCTATTTCTTCACTAAGATAGTATCGACGAGCACACCACTTGATTTGAAATGAAATTTCTCCCCATTAACTTTTCTAATTTTGCGGTATTTCCTCGGAGATGAACATTCTGATTCATATTCACAATTCCGTTTTCAATCTTACCTTTCTCCTCCATGGTATCAATAGCCTTCTGCAGCGCATGCAAATTTTCCGACATTGGCGGCCTAGGCGGTTGCCCCTGCGGTTGCATAGGATGTCCTTGTTGGGGCCCCGGGGAAGGCCTCTGCATAGGGTACTGCGTATGGTGCATCGGATGCTGCTGCATGCCAGGATGGGGCTGCGGATGGTGACCTTGAGGCGGCACGTGATGACCTTGCGGCGGCGGGTGACCTTGAACAGGGTGGCCCTGGTGCATGGGCGGCGCGCCGGGGTGCGGTTGGTGAGACGGTGGATGGCCCTGTGGGAATTATTAATATAGGGACGCAGACTTTGAGTATATGGTGTCAAGAATGTAGATGATGGCGAGGTGATCTGACAGAATAGAAATTTATTTTGTTTCTCAATAAATACATACATAACGAATCAGATGAAGTTTAGTGATGGTGTCGGCGACATATTTTCGTCCTTATGGATGCTCTTAAAACAGTCCAAATAATCAGAGTCTCTTTGTTGAATAGAAGGTATGTGTGTCAAGCAACTATGATAATCTGCTATGATAAAAAATATATACACAAGACACTCACAGGTGCAGGTCCATTATGATGACCTGGAGGGGCTTGTGGATGCTGTGGGTATCCCATAACAGGTGGTTGTCCATACTGATGAGAAGGGTGCCCCTGAGGACCTCCAGGTGGCATTTGCATGGGAGGTGGTGGGCCACCCTGTTGTGGGTGCTGTTCAGGCATATGACCCTAATGTGTAAAAACAGATCATTATACAGGCAGATACAGAATATTGGTAGAAATACTTAGGGTCAAATTCACCATGCAAAAAATGCAAAATGCCCATACAAATATGGATTCGCAAATTCTCCATTTCTACATTGAGTGCACTTGACAGTGTTTCTTGGAGTTTTTCACACTATGTTCTTTAAGTAGCATTCTGTTTTTTGCTGAGCATAGATACGAGGGTGGTCCCAGAAGTACCAGGATTGACCTAGACATGGCCATAGTTGTTGAAAAATATCATTGTATTAGAAGGTATGCAACATATAAAGCATATGTGTCAAGTTTGGCAGCCATCAATACTGAACGTTTTCAGTGAATTTGTGAAAATGGAGAAAATTGGCCATTATGTGGTACAATACTTTTATTTCAAAGGACTCAGCCCAACCAATATAAAAGCTGAACTGGATTCTACTCTGGGTGAGTCTGCTCCTTCGTTTACAACAGTAAAATATTGGGTAGCAGAGTTTAAACGAGGCCGTATGAGCTGCCAAGACGAGCATCGCAGAGGTCGACCAAATGAGGTGACGACTCCAGAAATGGTGAAGAAAATTCACAAAGCGGTACTGAATGATCGTCGACTGAGAGTGCGCGAGTTAGCAGACATAGTAGGCATTTCAAAAAGTGCTGTTCATCGCATATTATCTGAAAATTTGGACATGAGAAAGCTGTGTGCAAGATGGGTGCCGCGATTGCTCACAATCGAGCAAACACAGTGTCGTGAAGATGTTTCAATTGAGTGTTGAGCAACAAAGCAGAATTTGTGCGTCATTTCACAACCATGGATGAAACATGGGTCCAGGCAAGGTTATGGCGTCGGTTTTCTGGGATGCGCGTGGAATAATCTTCATTGACTATCTTGAAAAAGGTAAAACTATCAACGGCGAGTATTATGCGAACTCATTGCAACGTTTGAGCGATGAAATCAAGCAAAAACGGCCGCATTTGGTTAAGAAGAAAGTGTTGTTTCATCAAGACAATGCACCAGCCCACAAATCCGTTATTGCAATGGCTAAACTAACGAATTAAAATTTTAATTGCTACCTCATCCACCCTATTCACCAGATTTGGCCCCCTCGGATTATTTTTTGTTTTCAAACTTTAAAAAATGGCTCAGTGGTCAAAGATTTTCCAACAAAGAAGAAGTGATGTTCGGCAGTTAATGGCTATTTTGAGGAGCAAGACAGTTATTATAAATGGGTATCGAACTTATTGAACATCACTGGGAAAAGTGTATAGAGCTCAAAAGAGATTATGTTGAAAAATAAATAATTTTTTTTACAAAATTTTTGTGTTTTCTGTATTGGGTCGGGTACTTCTGGGACCACTCTCGTAGTGTCTTGCCCTTGATGTAAAAGCTTTAGGGAACAATTTGTACTTGTTAATCTGCCCCTTTGATAATACATCTGTGAGTACTAAGCTCATCACAATATCTGAATGCATTTTCCAGAAATGTAAGGTAAACTACAGTTGGTCTTTAATATACTAAGTGACATATAAATCCGAACACCCAGTTTAAATGGTTTTATTTTAATAAAAGTTGGTGAATGTATTTATCTTACTGTAAATAACAGGTGAAAAAATGTTCAGCCTTATCAGTTGGACATTCCGGTTTTTATACTGCTTTTTTTAATTCACTAACGCTCTAAAAATGAATATTTCAGCCGCAGTAAAGAATCAACGTTGGCGGATTTTGGTTCTTGACATCGTTTACGATCGGTTACGATGCCTAGAGTACGGAGACCTGTACGATTTCGTCAACTTAGTGAGTTTGATAGGGACCGTATAGTGGGACTTCGGGAAGCTGGACTTTCTTTTCGGGCAATTGCAGTTAGAGTGCAAAGAAGTGTAGACACCGTGGTTAGGTGTTGTCAGGCATGGCTTCGTGAAGGCCGTACGCAAAGAGCAAGGGGCACTGGACGCCGCCGTAGAACAACAGACCGTGAAGATCGCCGCCTAAGATTATTGGCCTTAAGGGACCGTTTCTCCACTACCAGGTCCATTGCAAGTGAATGGTTTGCAGAACACGGAAGACTTATTGGCATGCGAAGTGTTTACCCACGAATGAGAAGTTTTGGCTTGTTTTCATACCGGCCACACTGGGTCCTCCCTTTAACTCGAGAAAACCGACGTAATCGCCTTGAGTGGTGCAGACAACGGTCACTCTGGGATCAGGAATGGAACAGTATTGTCTTTAGTGACGAGTCTCGATTTTGTTTAGGCATGCACGATGGTCGTGCCAGGGTTAGAAGGCGACGTGGTGAAAGGAGGAATCCACAGTTTTTTGTTGAAAGACATGTTCATCACACTGTTGGAGTTATGGTTTGGGGTGCTATAGCTTATGGTTTCAGGTCACCTTTAATCTTCATCAGAGGTAACATGAACGCGCAGCGTTATATCCACGAAGTTCTAGAACCCCATCTTTTACCCTATCTTGACACCCTGGCAGATCTAACTTTCCAACAAGATAATGCCCGACCACATGTTACAAGAGTCACAATAGACTTCTTTCAACATAATGATGTCACATTGTTACCATGGCCACAAAGATCTCCCAACTTATCCCCAATTGAGCACGTGTGCGATATGACGGGTAGGAGATTGCTCAATTTGCAACGTCCTCCTCAGACTCTAGAAGCACTTCGAGAGGAGTTGGTGGTTGCCTGGAATGAGATACCACAGGAGGACATTGACCACCTGATCAGAAGCATGCCTAGGCGCGTTGGAGAATGCGTAGCACATCAGGGTGCATCCACACATTATTAAAGGTCAACGGGCTTTAAAGCAGTGCAATCATTTTGAAATTTTTATCATTTACTTATTATGCTTCATTAAGTACTTATACAAAATTACGAAAATAAAGTCCAGCTTCCCGAAGTCCCCCTATACGGTCCCTATCAAACTCACTAAGTTGACGAAATCGTACAGGTCTCCGTACTCTAGGCATCGTAACCGATCGTAAACGATGTCAAGAACCAAAATCCGCCAACGTTGATTCTTTACTGCGGCTGAAATATTCATTTTTAGAGCGTTAGTGAATTAAAAAAAGCAGTATAAAAACCGGAATGTCCAACTGATAAGGCTGAAAATTTTTTCACCTGTTATTTACAGAAAGATAAATACATTCACCAACTTTTATTAAAATAAAACCATTTAAACTGGGTGTTCGGATTTATATGTTACTTAGTATATATGAAAAATCAAAATTTTATACACAATAGCTTCAGAACTTGATGTTTATTATTGGATGTTCCTGTGATTGTGTGCAATCCTATTGGAATAAAAATTATTTTTATTCAATACAAAAACTTACCTGGTATGGATATCCTCCTTGAGGTGGATGTTGTCCCTGATGTTGTACAGGATGCTGTGGAGGTACCTGTACTGGTGGCCCTTGGGGAGGGTACTGACCCTGCGGGGCTGGAGATGGTGCAGGGCTCTGAGCTGGAGGAGGGCCCATAGGGCTGGGGGCTTGCGGCGGCGGCATTGGACTACTCTGAGGTGAAGGTGATGCCATGGTGACTGGAAAGGAGATTGAGCAGATTACAATTCATTTATCTACAACCTGGTGGTAAGGTGTACTTTATGTATAGGTATACTACTGGGTGCGCCATCTATTACTTTTTTTATCTATAAGTTTATGTGTTACCATGTAAGTCTAAAGTCATGTGGTATTCATGAATGAACTGTCAAAGGTATGCCATTTATAGTCATGGATTCGTTTACAACAGAACAACGCATTTTGGTTATTCAAACTTATTACGAAAACGGTCGAAAATACTTTTCGCAAACTTCGCACTAGTTTTGGCCGACATGGACGCCCTACAGAGCCTGGAATTCGTTGGATTGTTAATCGTTTTGAAGAAACTGGTTCAGCTGAAGATCGTACTCGTGAAAACATAGCCGCAGTGAGTAAAAGTGTGCGAGAAGATCCAACCACCTTGACTAGGCACCGTTCTCAACAATTAGGAATTAGTGAGACCACTTTATGCCGGATTTTACACATTGATTTACACCTCCATCCATACAAAATCCAACTAACACAAGAATTGGAGCCGGCAGACCATCAACAGCGGCGTGTTTTTGTTAATTGGATGCTGGAAAGAGAAGACGGATTTTCGGCCAAAGTGCTCTTTTCTGATGATCATTTTCACCTCAATGGGTACGTAAATAAGCAAAATTGCAGATTCTGGTGGCTGAAAATCCACACCAATATCATGAACAACCTCTCCATCCTGAAAAAGTGACTGTTTTGTGCGGATTATGGGCTGGTGGTGGTTGGACCATTCTTCTTTGAAGATGCCGAAGAAAAGGCCATTACCGTCAATGGGGAACGTTATCGCGACATGTTAACAGACTTTTTGTGGCCACAATTGGATCGTATTGGTGCTGACGATCTTTGCTTTCATCAAGACGGAGCAACGGCTCACACATCTCGCCAAACAATCGCCTTATTGCACACGAAATTTCAAGACCGCATAATTTCACGAAATTCAGATGTCAGTTGGCCCCCGAGATCGTGCGATTTAACACATCTTCTTTGGGGATTTTTGAAAGGAAAAGTATATGCGAATGGTCCCTGGACCATTCAAGACCTAAAGCGCAATATTCGGACTGAAATTGCGGCCATAGACCCGATTATTCTGAGAAAAGTCATTGAAAATTTTGATGTTCGGATGTTGGCCTGTAAACGAAGCCGCGGTGCTCACATGACTGATGTTATTTTTCATACATAAATGGCATAAACCAACCTTCATTTATCAATAAAAAAATTGGATTTCACTTCGTAAAAAGCGTGTTGATTATTCAAATAGAAAAAAAAGGAATAGACCACACACCCTGTATATCAAAAGAACATTTCTACCAAGAAGGCAGGGCCAATAATTTAGAGAGAGCTACAAGAAATTATACACATGGCATCCATAAAACAACTGATGGCATCTAAACATGTGTTGTTCTGTCAGAGTAGGTACAGAAAATCGCAAGATACTTGAACACCAATAACTTTGTCAATGATGCTCCAATTACTTTGAAACTTTGGTATGATGTTCATAAGATGTTATACCTTCATACACAAAATAAAAAATGAATAAAAAAAATATTGAATAGAATAGAAAGGATTTATTTAGTTTCAATCTACTTCAAACAATAATAAAGATTTAAAAAAAGTGGTTGTCACATCAAACCAACAGCCTCTCTGAAGTCGCTTTTTAAATTTTTTTAAGATTAAGTATTAGATGTTTTTACATTTCAACCTTCAACAAACATTGACTTTTCTAAACCTTTAGATTTGTATCTTTGTATATGGAAATTTTCTTTTGATCTAAAGTCATAACCTTGCATTTCAAATCTTTTTTTTGAAAATCTTCAAGATAAGGTGGAGTGTGATTATTGATAGCTTTATATAAAAGAATTAAATTTGCCTTTTGAATGATTTGGTGTATGTTTAAAAAATTCAATGTCTTTAGCATATCCTGATGAGGGTATATCTGCTACAATTTAGCAAAATCCTCATACTTTTATTCAATAGAATTTATAGCCTTTGTGTTTTTCATTTGTGCATATAATCAAAAGTGATACACAATAACTAAAATAGTTTGTGTCAAATTCTACAAAAATATCCAATCTGTTTGGTGAATTTCTGACATATAGTATTTTTCACATGTTTGTTGCAGATCTATTATAATACTTAAATATTTGAAGCTATCAATAAAATAAAATACCTATTATACAATTTTTTACTGAGGTTGTGAAAACAAATTCTCATAGTATTTCATTTTATCTCAGATATTTTGGACATGTCAATACAGCATTAGATTGAGTATCTTCAAGTAGAACAGGTTATCAATGGTTCTATAAATAAATATTAATAAAAAAGTGTTTTTTGAGATATCTTCGTCCTTATATATTTGAAGAGGATTTTGGATTTTATTTTCATGTTTTGGAAAATCCCTGTCTAACTGGCCACACAGTGAATGCTGATAAAGGGCACATGTATTTGTTTCTCATAGTAAGCACTATTAATAAATTCATATTATGCTGGCACTGTGCAATTATGCGAATACCGAGCAGACCAAAAAGTCGGATGGCCACCCTAGCTGCAAAACAAGTGGTTTACAAACACTGCAAACTGCAATACTAAACCGAAATTAAAAATATAAATTCACTCCACCATTGCAAATATCAGCTTACACATTAAATACTATACTTATAAAACACTGGAAAATGTTACAATAAAAAAGATTTTTTTATGTCAAATCCTTCTGCGTGGGTCTTATAAATACTTGATCCCTTTTGGATCCTCACAAAAGGCGTACTTTCCGAAAATTAGAAATTAATAACAACCAATGCATATCACGTAAGCATCCTTCCACCATTTAAATGCCTAAACCATGGCCTAAAAATCTGAAAACCGCTTACCCTATGGCCGTGCAATAACTATCAAAAACAGGAAAATCGGTAGTGCAAAAGTGCAGGCTTCAGCGGAACTTGTAAAAAATCATCATAGGGTTTTAATTTGCCAAGAAATAAAAAATAAAGCTTAAAAACACCTCAAACTGTGAGTTCTACACGGTCGAGTTGTATTTCTAGGGACCCTAGATTTTTACATAGGGAATTTAAAGATTTCGCTGATCGGAAGCTATGACAAATGACAAGGACAACTATTATATGTCATACTGGTTGCCTAGTATATGGGTTTCCTGTTTTGTTTATGAGGAACATTCAATGAGGAACATTTTACTAAAATATGTATACAGGGTGCATCGAAAGTAATGTAAACTATTTAAGGGTGATTCTTGGGTTCAGTAAACAAATTAAGATGCACATAACTTCTAAACATCTCAAACTATCTACAGGGTGGAAAATGTTGAATATGAGTTAAATACATAAATATATGTGCCGGATTTAGGGATTACCGTTTTCAATTGGTGAAATGAGCTCCGTGTGGATCGAAGAAAATGAGGCACACGTGGGATGTTGGACCGTATTAAAAAGCTTTGAGGCCTTTTTCTGGGGCCATCAAGCGTTATGTGTTGATATGGGGAAAGACGGAATAAGAGGGTCAGGGCGATGGAGATAAGGGTCCTTTTTATGTCAATCTAGAGAAATTGTCAAAAATGTAACAAATCAGCAATACATGAAACAGAACGTGCCGTTTTATTTTTGCGACCGGCTTTTTCGTACTTAGTCGTGGATGTCCGATTTTCATGGTAAACAATAAGTATAGGTTTTTTAGATGCGGAGTTTAAACTGGCAAGTTCACATGTCAGAATTTTCATACCAAAAAATTAAAAAAAGAGAGAACATCTAAGTTGATGAGGAGACACTTAATTTCAAGTCGTGTGTTATACACTCATGGAGCTCTCTCAGTGGAGAAACAGCCAAAGCAATTGTCAGTTTATTCAAGAATAAGCTAGATAAGGAATTAGAAGACAGGTCAGCAAGTTTAGTGTATTATCCAGCGTAAAAGACTACAAAACAGTCTTATTGGACTTCTTCGCATACTGTTGTATTGCTACTAATATTTTCAGTTATAGGGGAATAATGACCACTTTAACCCTTTCCTCTCTTTTGGGAGGTGCTATTATATTAGTCTATTAAGAGACGTAGGTATGATCCTAATTCTGATTTAGATAAATCTTTTCATTAACAAGTAGAAAAGTGTAGTTTAAATGACCATATGCTGCTGTTTTTCGACTTAATCCCACCACGTATTTTTGCGGCTTCGTTCTCGACCTCGCCTTCGAAGTTCTTCCAGAAATGGAGTCAGTGTGAAATGACGTCATCTGTGTAGGCAAGCGCCGGATGGCAGGCGAACGCCCAAGATAGTCTTTTTGACCGTATGTGGAATTGGCGGTTGATGGCGATGTTGCCTGATTGCCGTCGAGAAATTCAGCAGTACAATTCTGCTCAGCAAAGTAAAAATGGCATTCATTTGAAATATGTTTTCAAAGAATCCATTCATACACACTTTGCATTTGGACTGTTTTTACTTTGCACGCTTAATTGCGAGAAAATTTTTGTAAATGAATATGTTTTTTGGATTTATATGATATGTACATCACGAACCGTGTGTCAATATATGATTTCCGTCAGCCTGTGTCAGTTTGTCTGATGATATTTTCACACAACCTTACTACTTTAAATGATAACCTAAGTGAAATGACATTATTACACTACCCAAAAGTTTCTTATCTTCAGTACCTTAGACCGTGAGACTGAGTGATGACGTCACCTGACATCGGCTTCTACAAAACGATGCACCCGCCGTGCATGCTTCGCTTCATTTACAAATGTTGCTCTGCTCCGTATTGAGAACTTATGGTAAAAATGTTTGAAAAATGGTCAGCCTATTGACTTACAAATGCTGTGTTGTACCCTGGTGTACAAATACAGACATATTAGCTCCAGAAAAAAAGTGTACCTGTATCAAAACAGAGGAATTAGAAGAAAGTTGTGATATTGACGATAAAATTGCAACTTTCAGAAATATAACTGTCCTACTGATACTGCATTTTGATGTTAGCAGATATTTGGTTGATAGGCGTCGATAGCGTGTGATCTCAATTATAGATGTTAAAGCGTACTAAAGCATACATTATTCGCATATAATATATTGAAAGTATCGGAACGCAGAAAACCGTCTTAGAATCCACTTATTATAAATCAATAATATTGCACAGGAGTCTATGCCAAGATACAAACAATATATTGTGACTGGTTAGCTTTTAAGCGATATGCAAGAGACGTCACGTCAGGGCCTTAGCCCAGAAGCATAACTTATGCCATGTGACGTCACTACCGAACCTCGAGAGCGTTGGGTTACATCACCCAACACGATAAATGTCGTAACTTCCTTAAGTTTTTACTCATCGTAACAATTCCTTCTGATTTGTGGAAGTATATATAAGTAAAACTAGCGGTATTTTCGATTATAGGAAACTTCCTAATTATGGCCAGTGATAAAATTCCGTAGGGAAGTCCCACCACTGCGTATGATTTTTTGAAGTATGGGTGATTCTTTAATTTGCACCTATTCAGAGAAATCTCAATAACGACTTTCGACATTATTCTTTTTTCAATACAAGATTCTTTTTAATAAACCATTATAGTTTGTATCCCTTTTACACTTCTCCTCTCTGGGAATTCGATTTCTATTCTACACAGCAAAAATCGCATCTCTAAAGAGAAAAATTAAGATGTAGCAACGTGGTGACGCCGCAGTAGCACCTTTCGGTCATGCCCGGCCATGCGCGTTGACCTCTGTATAAAAGACCCGCGTCGCAGTGAGCCGACGCCATTTGTCTGTGGTTTGTTATCGTGACAAGTTTGGAGAGCTGCATCACTAGCTTTTCTGAACATTTTACGAGCTACTTTGCTGTTATTTTAACGCCTAAATCTTTAACTCAACAAGAAAAATGGTAAGTGAATTCAATTAGTTTGACCGTTATTGCCGATAATTTACTAAAACGAGGAAATCGCATGACGTGGCGTGGTCAGGCCGGTTGCCATGTTGCTTTGCCGGCATCTGCCTCGAAAAATCGGTTTATTCTCTATCTGATAATCCTAATACTGCTCAAACTGAATGAAATACAAATATTTTATTGGAATATTTCTGAATTTATGTATATATTACAGATTGTTCAGTTTCCAGGTTTCCGACCACACCCTATTGGTATCCCGTTCTACAAATTTAAATTTTTGGGCACTGGTTGTAACCGTCAAAATTTAACGGTTTTTACCCTTGTTTCGCAAACCGGCATATGATGTTACAATATGCTATTTTTCGATAATTTCTAAATATTAGCGGAAAATCGTGACTCATTCTATTGATTTGGATGAGATATGAATCATCCTGAATATATGGATTGTACCCTCATAAGCCTTCTTTTGTATGCCTTTGTAATGGCTAACGGTTCTCACTGTTAACGGTTATTTTTGAACGTAACGGTCTTGAGCACCGCCATTTTGTCGCGTTCTATTTCTGATTATTTTTATTCTCATTGATCAGAATTTCTATGATTGTTTTTTCAGATGATTTTAATAACTGATTTTCCATTTCAGCAATACCTCCCTGATTTTTCAACAGAAAATAAAAAAAACTATTGTTGCATTTCCCTAATCTGGGATAATTCTGTCCTTTGATAATTTTTATGTAAATTCAAGTAAGCTTTTCCTATGCAATATATCTAGCTACTATTTGATAAAATATAAGGTGGGGCAAAATGAATTGTCTTGGAAAAAATCCCTCTGATTTATGATACTTTAACCCATTAACTCCCAAATAAAACTTGAACATGGAAAACGGATATTATGCATCATAAAACCATATATATTTTATTATTTTTACCAAAAAAACATCTGTACTCATTTGAGTACAATGGGCGAAACCGTTTATTTTGTAACTTGAAGCAGGTACGTTCAATACGTAGTGTTGACGAACCCTTGAATGGCATACTGTACATCATAATTGCTTCTCTAGCTTCGCAGGAAAATGTCCGAATTTATGAAGGATTTCATTTCTTCTTTGGTGTCGAGTATTTTGAGATGCATATAACATGGACTGATCGACAATATGCCGCAAAACCGTATCATCAAAGAAAAGCTTAAATAGTTGTACTGGATTTAAATCCTTTATCTCTTCCACTAGTTTATCCCTATTGGCATTCATTTCGCATAACGGTGGCGGCTCAGACCAAATGGAATATACAGGAGTGCATTTCTCCCAGTCCAAGTCATCGTGTTTAGATTTATTTAGGTATTTGTATACGTTTTCGCACTTCACTCAAATGCTCTTCGTCGCTGCTTCAGAACTCGTCATTAGTTGAACTTTGGCGAAACAGCTATAAACGACCAGAAACATCCTGTGACATTCCATTTGCCATCAGTTGCTTTTCGTCCCAATTCCTCCTCGTCAGTCAAATAACGCGCGTCTGGAGGCAAGACCACAACATCATCGTTATCTTTTAAATCATCTCGAGCATATGGCAGAAAATTGTAATACTCATATGTTTTAACAGGGTCATCAAAAAACGGTATATACATATCTAAAACAAAAAAAATAGCATTAGTCGGCTGATAACGAATTTGCCCAGTGTACTCATTTGAGTACAGTCAAACTTGAACATACATTCTAATTACATCAAATCAGTTAAAATAATTTATGCCCGGCAAATCAAACAAACAACTTTTACATATGCATAATATAAGATTATGTTTATTAGATGGTCACCTCAATAAGAAAAAAATTATGTAAAATCCGAACTTACCTTAGACCAAATAAGCAATAACTTCTTTTACTGTAAACAACGACACACTCACAGAATTTATGAAAAATGACTCTTGCGCCCTGTCGCATGTACCATCTACAAATGTTTATAAAAGGCAGTACTTCTGTGGTTGACTCGGAGATGGCTCTGATAGGAACAAACACAAGTTTACTAGCTTGAGTACAGGGGGCGTTAATGGGTTAAGCGCGGAAATAGATAATGCTGCTTGGAAAAATATCGTTTGTGCATTTGTGCTCATATCACACAATTTTGAAGTTCTTGAAAAATGTCTAATTGAGAAAATTTACGCATTTTGTGTACATATCAGTACAGGAGGTGGAAATTTGACTTCTGCAGTTATAAATTTGGAATCTATAAATAAACTGCCACATAGTTAATTTTTTATTCAATTCCACCATAAGGCAGATGCTACATATTCATTATTTAGTTGGTCCATACCATCACTATTTAGTACTGGATCCATCATGTATTAGTGGATATATACATATCTTTAAATACATATTACATGATAAATACTTATGGATCACAGTAAATGTTGAACATGTAGATAGCATATTCTCCTAAGTTCATCTGGGTGTGGTCATTTCTATTTTTAGACATGGAGACAATTTTTGTATGCACATGACACATAATTTAGTTGCTAGGGACTGCATTGAGAACTGAAACATTATGTCTTGATCTTGGTCTAAATATACACTCAATTCCAGACAGGAGAATTCTATTTTTAGAAAGTGTCATTGAACTTTCCAGTATTTGAACATCAGATATAGCTTTGTTTTTCCTTCTTCATTAACTGTAAATGAAGCAATTATTTCAAATCATTAATCAGCATAAATTTATTTAATTATGTGTTGAATAACTCGATCATATATATTTGTTAATAAACCTTTTATCTAAAACTCCCATACTTTCATCCTTGCAAATATTGCTGTAGTTTTACTTATCAGGTGTTTCAAAATTATAGATTTTGAAATAAACTCTTATATTCTTTTGTATTTTATTGATTCAAGTACACAGTATATGGTTATGCATGGAATAGTACATCAGGAAAATGGTGTTTTTGGCTTTGCTGGCACATGTTCTTTACCAATTTAATTTCTGTTTTGAGTCAGTGTGGGTGCATTTGAATTGGATTTCCTTCTTCAATCTATTAGTGACTGCCCTTGCTTGAATTGGACAGTACTGATCTGGAAAACACAAACTTAAAAGATGTCACATGTTATAGATCTGGTGAATTCAATTCATTTACTCTGTGGGGCATTTCCAGGTTGTGTATCATATCCACTTTTGTGATAATTATCTAAACCCCTAAACTTGAATGTGAATAAGATAGCAGCATACAACCTGTGAATAGTTGCTGCAAGAGTCATTTAGATGATCAAAGTTGACCCCATAGACTGTCAGGCATTGTTTCCTTCTTGTGGTATTTGATGTAAAAGAACCATGCCAATAAGTCTACTGACACTTATGCATTAAAAGAAAAAAATCGCCTACATTTATGCAGAATGGCCATAACTCACAATTTGATAAAATTGTGTGATCTGCAAGGCTGAGGAGACTATTAGTCAAAAATGATAATCTAAACATAACTTGTGTATTTTATGATTCAACAAAAAGATAATGTAAAGAAATGCAACATCTGTCCAGTAGTTTTCATGTTAATAATTCCCATGTTTGGCTTGCCAATGAATCCACGTATATTGGAAATTCTTCTTTAATGTAGTAAATGTTTCGGTCGCAAAATTCAAACTAAAGGATAGATTGACTATTCCTGCTTCATTATCATAAAAAAAATACCTTGTATCAATAACAAAATTTAGAGAAAAACATCAACAACTATATTTGTAACCATGACTCATTATATCCATAAAAAGTAAGACGACCAGCATGGTCAACTTGTAAAACCAGCCAGCCACATGATGATCTCACCAAGGCAATCTCTCTCTGTTCCACTTTTAAGCATTTCCATAAATGGTGTTATCGAAGCAAACAGCCCACCATCTTTCACTTCTATGTAGGCCAGGTGTTTTTTTACTTTTCATTTGTCTACCCACATGGTAAACTTGGTTTGAGATTACTAGTATGGTAATAAATACACTCACACATAACATTCTTTTGTTTGTATGGAACTGAATGCTATAATAAACAAAGCAAAATTTTTGTTAGATTGTTTTTCATATACCACAAGGTCTTTTTTTTCCAAATTAGACATAAGGGAATCTGCAGCGGGGCTTCTTTTTGAGAAAACTTGTCTCAAATATTTTAAATAGGAAGACATACTTGAAAAATATTGGGAACAAGGTGCTGGTGTCAAGTAGTATCACTGCACAAAATGTGATTATTTATAAATGGAGCTTCAACATTTTTGACCATTTTTATTTATTTATTTATGATACTGTGAACTTTGAAACATGATAAAAAGTTGAAACCAATTAATTAGACTAAAACATCTTTTTATTTTGCCCAAAGCATCCAAATATCAATTTTTTTTTGATCAATCAGAATCCTTTTTTATCCTTCAACTTTACAGAAATGTTTGGATGAAGTATGGGGTATAACTGCAAAACTCATTGTCAATTGTCCTATCTATGAACAAATTTATCTGTATCAGTTCATTTCTAAAGCAACGATACACACTTCCCAATTCAAAATAGAGTTTACAACAGATCACTGCCCAAAACTCACATTTTCTCAAACATCTCCTTTGTTGGCAAATTATAACTTTAGAATCTTCAATTATCACATTTTTCCAAAATTTTGTCGTATTTCTGATCATTGTTCAGTCACACAACATTCAAAATATCACAATTATGGGGATATGGGAGATCCTTTAGGTCCCCTAAGCTTTTGCAAAGGATCTGATAGCATTTTGTCAATGTTTATTTTTTTTTCAGCGTGAGTGCATCTCTGTCCACGTAGGTCAAGCCGGTGTCCAGATCGGTAATGCCTGCTGGGAATTGTACTGTTTGGAGCATGGCATCCAGCCTGATGGTCAGATGCCATCTGACAAAACCGTCGGCGGAGGAGATGACAGTTTCAATACCTTCTTCAGTGAAACTGGAGCTGGCAAACACGTACCCAGGGCCGTATTTGTAGACTTGGAGCCCACTGTGGTAGATGAAGTCAGAACCGGCACATATAGACAGCTGTTCCATCCAGAGCAGTTGATCACAGGAAAAGGTGAATTGGCATAGCAATTTTGAATGTTGTAATTCTGAAATGTGAAATATTTAAACACAAAAACCAATATTAATAAAATCATTGTTACAGAGGATGCCGCCAACAACTATGCCCGTGGTCACTACACAATCGGCAAGGAAATTGTTGACTTGGTACTGGACAGAATCCGTAAATTGGCTGACCAGTGCACAGGTCTACAAGGTTTCCTGATCTTCCACTCTTTTGGTGGAGGTACTGGCTCCGGTTTTACATCACTCCTCATGGAACGTCTCTCTGTCGACTATGGCAAGAAATCCAAACTAGAATTCGCTATCTACCCAGCCCCGCAGGTCTCAACTGCTGTTGTGGAACCCTACAATTCTATCCTGACCACCCACACCACCCTGGAACATTCAGACTGTGCTTTCATGGTTGATAATGAAGCTATCTATGACATCTGCAGGCGTAACTTGGATATTGAGAGACCCACCTACACGAACTTGAACAGACTGATTGGCCAGATCGTCTCCTCCATCACCGCCTCCTTAAGGTACCTTTTTCTTTTTTGTTTAGCTGCATACAATATGAGAATATATGCGTCTTTTATATTTGCTACATCAAATTCTAGATGCTGGTTTCGTACAAAGACATATTTTGTCTTATGGTTGTAGAATTATTATTATTTCATACATATATAATTTATAACTTGATATATATCCGATATATTCAATAATTTTTCTTATTTTATTAGAAATAGAAATATTCCATTCTAGACATCGGAAAAATTGAAGTAGTTTGCCTAAACCAAAGCATTCAGTTTGGCGATATTTTGAATGCATAATTAAAAAGACGGACGGTATTGGTAAATGGGCAAACTATAATATATTCAGTGATACATCAAGGGATGAAACAATACAATACAATTTTATACATGATATATATACAGAAGCAGTCAAAAGTTTGGAAACATTCTTAGTAATTTTTTATTCTTTATCGTTGGACAATTTTTTTTTGTCATGCAGTTCCCTTTTACAGTCTTGATACAAATGACAGTTTGTGTTTGATGTGGTATTACAGACTAGCATTAAAATACCGTCATATTATTTTATGACCAAAAACGAGGTGACCAAAGTATTGAACAGTATTTGTTACAAAATTAAATACATAACTCTAAAAAGATTTAAAAAAAACTGTTTAGCTAATATTTGGTAGCATAGCTTTTAGCATTCAACACTTCCTGACATCTGCTGCTCATAGAAGACACCAATTTTTTACAGATGTCTGTTGGAGTATTTTACCAAATATTTTTCACAGTTTTCCTGTCAGTTGTCTTTTAACATGCTCCCAGGGTTTATGTTTAGTGTTGAGCACTCCTTTACGAATTTTGAGGTATGCTAGGGGGTCATTATCTTGCTGGAATCTGCAACATAAAGGCTTTTCTTCAAAGTTTTTGATCCATTTTCCCAACAATTGTAACAATTGACCTGTATAATGTTGCCTTCACCATGCTTAACTGTTGACCGCTGGTACTTTTTGTAGAATCTTTTTCGTATGCCGTACCATTTGATCCAAACAAGTAAAATTTGCTTTCATCGCTCCATAAAAAAGCCCAAAATCCACCAAGTATCTCTGCACTGTTCTGACAGAAAGATTCTCGGCACCCTCTTCTACGATTCTTGTGAAAATATGTGACTGTTATTCGCGGATCTTCATGGCACAAACGTCTTCGAGAAATGCCAACATTTCTACACCACTTGTAAATAATTCAGTTACTTCGTTCTTGAATTTTTTGAAATATCTTTTACTTTTGCCTCACTGATGTTAATTATTTACCGCACGCAATATATCAGTATCGCAGAACGAATAAATACGGAAAAACTGAAATGTTTCCATACTTTTGTCGTTAACAAAAACTGTTAGCTTGAACTAGTACGGGAGCCAAAGGTAGACTTTAATATTTATATTATCTGTTCTTTCACAATTTTAATTTAGGTTTATGAAATAGTTCATACTGTTTCACAACTTTCGAAACTTGACTGAAACGCAAAAAACTATTTTCTAGGTACTTTCAGGTTATGTGCAACCTGAGCTTGACAATCTTTAGTTTATCTCTTTGACATTTGTGCTTCACAAGTTACAAATAATATGATATTTTTGAACCTTGTTAATTTTCATCTAATTCTAATAAAAGTTCCATATTCCTGCCAAAATGCTTCACAACCTTCAGAAATTGACTAAAAATCAAAACTATTTCCCTGTCTCGTCAGGTTACTTGCAACTTATGCTCAATGAATCTACAGTTTATCTTTTTCATTTGAGCTTCACTTAAAGTTACAAATAATTTCGGTGCAACAGAAATTTGTGACATAAGATTCACCTTACCTTAAGCTTCAGTTAAGCAAGGCAGTGCAAATGGCCGTTAGACTTGAGTGTAGCATCATGATAAATTGTCATTTTTCAGCTTATATTCTGATTGTCAGGTTCTATTTGTACTCTTTAGTGAGCGACTTACTGATTTGACGGCCTCATCTCTGGACTGTTTCACATGCAAAACAAACACAATTATCGTATAATTCAAACGGCTAATATGTGCAGTTAATTCATGTACGTCTCGTTTGTCGCAGGTTCGACGGTGCCCTGAATGTGGATCTGACCGAATTCCAGACCAACTTGGTACCATACCCGCGTATCCACTTCCCTCTGGTCACCTACGCCCCAGTCATCTCGGCCGAGAAGGCGTACCACGAGCAACTGTCCGTGGCCGAGATCACCAACGCCTGCTTCGAGCCGGCCAACCAGATGGTGAAGTGCGACCCACGTCACGGCAAATACATGGCCTGCTGCATGTTGTACAGAGGCGATGTGGTGCCCAAGGACGTGAACGCGGCCATCGCCACCATCAAGACCAAGAGGACCATCCAGTTCGTCGACTGGTGTCCCACCGGATTCAAGGTCGGCATCAACTACCAGCCACCTACTGTCGTGCCCGGCGGTGATTTGGCCAAGGTTTGTACATCTTCTATTGTTTTTATTCATCAAAATGTCAGCTCTTTGGAAAGAACTTGGTGCCTTATGATTTCCTGGTATCAAGTCCTTCATGCTCACTTGTAGCACATTTGCACACTATCTCACTTAGTCAACAAGTTGATATTTTATACAGGATGTCCAGACGGAAAGTTCACATTTCAAATTTGAGTTACGCGGCAACGTATACGCGTGAAAGTGGGGAGAGGTCTTGATCGACGCGTTCGGCGTGCGGGTTAAATAGTCACGATGGAACGTTGGACCGGAGCGCAATGCGCTTTTGCTATCGAGGCTTACTTCAAGAGTGGTGATTTATAAGCAGCTGAGGTTTAAGAGGTTCCGTGAAACAGGCTCTTCTCTTAGTCATCCCATTCCTGGCCCCGCAGCTACTGCATCAACCGAAGAAAATATGCGTCCAGTGATTTGATTGTGTTCTGTACAGAAGCATCCCACTGATTTTGGAATCCCTAGGTCAACACTGCATGTAATAATGAAGAAAAAAATGGGGTTTCATCCTTATAAAATCCAATCAGTCCATGCTTTAAAGTGATTACGTATTACGAAAATCTTGTGCCGAACGGATGTTGAATCTTTCCTACGCAGCACAGACTCGAGAACGTTTTTTTTCAGTGACAAGGCCCATTTTTACGTAGACGGTTACGTGAACAAGCAAAATTGCAGATATTGGGCACCAATGAACCCAAATGAGGAACATCAACAACAGACACATAGTCCAAAGATGACTGTATGGTGCGGCATGTCCTCTAGCAGTATTATTGGGCCCTATTTCTTTGAAGATGAAAATGGTCATGCGTCGACAGTCAATTCCGAGCGATACAAGGACATGATTGACACTTTTTTTTTGCTCCTATTGTAAGAACAGAACGTCGATTTAATAGAAACACCAGGTTTCAACAGGATGGAGCCACGGCCCATACTTCCAGAGAATCGATGGACACGGTGAAAGCACTTTATTCTCATAAAGTTTTATCGAAGATTGGAGACATTCACTGGCCTCCTAGGTCACCCGACCTCACGCCATGCGATTATTTTTGTAGGGTTATATGAAATCGGAAGTGTATTCCAATAATCCACGAACACCGGAGGAGCTTAAAGACAACATTTGACGAGAAATAAACATCACTTCTGAACTCTGCAAGATAGTGTCTCAGAATTTGTGCGCGAGAGTGTTTCCAAAGGGATGGCAAACATTGAAATAAAACCCGCCAAATTTACGAATATGTTGATAGTTATAAACATTTTCTTTTAAGTTTATATGGTTTTTTACATCAAAAAGTGAACTTCCCACGGGCCACCCTGTAGTTTTTTTAACATTATATAACCCTGCCGATTTAGATTAATGTTGAAAATATTTCTTCCGGTAGTCCTTCAATTTGTTGTTTTGTTTCAGGTACAACGTGCCGTGTGCATGTTGTCGAACACGACGGCCATCGCCGAGGCTTGGGCGCGCCTTGACCACAAATTCGACTTGATGTACGCCAAGCGTGCTTTCGTCCACTGGTATGTGGGTGAAGGTATGGAGGAAGGCGAGTTCTCCGAAGCTCGTGAGGACTTGGCTGCCCTCGAGAAGGACTACGAAGAGGTCGGCATGGACTCCGGTGAAGGCGAGGGTGAGGGAGCCGAAGAATACTAAACGGAAGTTTGTCACCTAACATCAAGATGCAACTTTACCAAGCAGATTCCATTTTTTTACTGTTATAAACTACAAGCTTCAAAAGTCTGATTTTTTTTCAATAAATTTTTTATTTCCGTCTTACATTCTGGTTTTATTTGAGCTTTCTTGAATGACCAAGAGAAGTCGCCCTTCCAGAGGTTGGTTAACAGGTTAAGCGCCAAGGACTTTCAACCAAAATATGTCCCTGGACCAATGTGATATTTTAACAAATTTTAAAAATTTACGTCTAGTTAACCCCAAATCCTCGATATTTGATATTTTTTACGCATAGATTTAAAAAAAATAAAGCGGACACCGGTGTCCGCCATGGCCCTCCGAAAATGTTTAGAACGAGCGGACACGATACTTCCCAGAGTGGCCGACGATCGAGCCGATCTATCTTTACATGCCGTTACAGGTTGTTATTGATTAGTTTTTCGTCGTTTCGAGTGAGATGTTGCACCGTTTTACTGAAGTTTTGAGCGTAAAGTGAAACTTTTTGAAATAAAAATGAATGGATGATCAAAGAGGATATTACAGTTGACTCTGGAGAGAAAAAACTACTATGAAAGTAAGCTGCTATTGATATTTTATTAGGTACCTCAATTGTGAATGCCCATTTTATTTACAGGGATATCGAACAGAGCGACATTTCCATAAATAATTTTCGGTTGTTGAACAATTGCTGAAATTCGAAGATGGCTACACTTATGACAGTATATGTCCTGTAAAAGTGAACTTGAGGGCTCACGTATTACTAAAACTAATATGTAAGGCACGGGAAAATAGACGGTACTGCAAGGGTTGTTACAACGGAAAACAAGATGGACTTATTGAAAAAGTTAAAAAAGTCATTTATTGTGCACAGTGCGAAGATAACCCTAGATTCTATCTGAAATGTTTTAATTTAGTACACAAAACTCCTTAAAATTTTTAGGAAATAAATGTACATATGTATTTGCAAAACTTTTTTGTTCAATATACTTTGTTTATTAAATGTTTATTTTATCTCCATAGATAAATAAATAAGTGAAATAAATATATAAATATTTATTTGATATTACAATAAGAATGTCACCAGATTTCTCTGGAAAACATTGCTACATAAAACCTGGTGTCAGCGTTTTATGTTGCAGGGCCATGGCGGACATGTTACTACGCCAAACTACATAAAAACGTGTCCGCCGTGGCGCTTAACCTGTTAAATAACTATCCATAGTGACCCGCAACTTTAGCTTCGTCGCTGCTGAAGACAGTCGGACATTGAAATATATAAAGAGGTAACGGAAAACATTTCAAGGTTTTTGTTAATGAGGGGCCATTCCCGCCTCAAAAATCTAGTGTCAAACCCTATGGATAAGTGCGTTAATTTTCCTCCTGCTATAGCAGTATAAATCATCGAGCCTATATACCAGGAACTGAAAAATGAATAAAACGACCCCAAAACTTGAAACCTGAGAGCGCAGTGACCTTAACCGTAGTGGCAGGGTATCTGAGGTTAGGAACATTTAATTTCAAACTAACTGGTGATACCACAGTTTGGTACTAAACTAAATCGTTAAATCTCCCCCGTAGGGCCCAAAAGCTAATCGGCTATACGGATAAATTCTGTTTCCATAATACTTCGTAGGTGATGATTTTTTTTTAACTTCGTTAAAGTTGCTGGAGCTCCTGTAAAATACACGCATAGTTCCACCAATCTTTTTCTAGACCTTGGGTATTCTTAAATAACTTAATACATAAATCTGCTGTTTTTTTTATACTCCAACTACCACGAAGGCCTAAACATCCATTGGGTACCGTGGGGCTATAGCGGGATACAGGGGAAAGGGGGAACGCCACACGGACTCTGGCGAGGGAACACCTGTGCATGCAACATGAACACATTCTGGCTCCGTCTACGAGATCCGCCGGGTGGTACCTCCACGTTCGACAGTCGGAGACCGTCTACCACCTACGGACAATCACAACATCCATAGCCAAGAGAAAAATTTCTCCTGGGACGGGACTCGAACCCGCACAGCGCACGGCTACTGATCAGGAGACCGAAGAGTCTACTACTGCGGCCACCGCTGCTGTCAGTCTAAAGATTGCTTTGCATTTTTGAAAATTGCAGGAATTCCAAACGATGAACATGTCACTGTTCGCCCTCGTAATAAATAAGTAATTAAATTGACAATACGAGGGATGTCTTTTAAGTTTTGCATATGGAAATAAAACAACACGGTAGGTAGTTTTAAATGACTTTATTGTTTTTCGAAGTATTCTCCGCGAAGATTAATACACGTCTGCATGCGCTCGAAAAAATTTTCGAAGCACTTATTCCACTCGTTCGCTGGCAGATCCAAAACGGCATTTTTTATGCGTCAACTGCTTCTTCTGGTGACTGGAACCTTTGACCACGCAGTCTGTTTTTAATTTTCGGGAAAGTAAAGAAATCGTTAGGACTATATGGAGGATGGTCCAATAATTCCACGTTTTCTACCGTTAAATACTGTCTTGTTTTTTTTGCTGTGTGCGAGCTTGCATTGTCTTGGTGGAGGATGATTCTTCTTTCGGGGTTGATTTTTCGAAGCTCGGTGATGACTTTTGGCAAAAAAATGGTGGTATACCAATCCGCAGTAACAGTTCTTTGCTAAGTAAGAGGAATTGTTGCAATATGACCCGATTTTCACACAAATGTCGCGACCATCTTTTTCGAAACACATCGAGAACGGATGACTTTTGTTGGCTTTTCTTCACCTTGGAACACCCAAATAGCCGACTGTCGTTTATTTTCTGGTTCATAACAGTAAATCCACGATTCATCACCACTAACAATGCTGTACACATTTTTTGAGTTTCCGGAATTGAAACGGTCAAGCGTTTTTTGACACCAATTAACCCTGGCTGCTTTCTGGTCTTCAGTCAACAGGTGGGGTATCCAACGAGAAACTAATTTTCTTACTCCTAATTCTTCATGTAAAATTTTTTGAATTGAGGTCTTTGGGATCTTCAAGGATGCCTCAATCTCGCGATATGTCCATGTCTATCTACAGCATCGACGTTTTCCTGGGTGACTGCCGTTTTTGGTGCACCCACCCTGGAATCGTCACTAAGACTCACCCATCCACGTTTAGAATTCTCCATACCAACGGGAAATTGTCGACTGATGTGGCGCTTCGTTGCCGAAAACAGACAGTAACTCAGCAAGGCATTCTTGTTTGCGATAATTATCCCTGAAAGTTGTAATAAATTATGGCGCGAAAATATTCTCGGTTGAGTTCCATTTTTCTAATGACTTGGTGACACTTAAAAATTCACTGTGGTGATAACACTGCACGTATTGTTGTGAAACTTTGAATTTAAGTTAACCAAAGAGTGAGGTTAAGATTCAGTACTGTCGTTCGATCCGCGCGGCCTACTATGTTTCTATATGCAAAACTTAAAAGACAACCCTCGTATAAGCTGAATGGCAATCCCTTTGTTGGTGTTGATATGGCGGATCTGTCAAACGTCAAAGCACAGTCTTGCCAGATGAGTCGGCCAGCATTTCCTCAGAACAAGCATAAAAATTCCTCAGAATCGCCACTTTTCACAATTGATTACTGGAAAGGGGTAGGTTTAGTTCAAAGAGCGGGACAAGCTTTCTATCCGCGCAAAGTATGATCTCCCCAAGAACATTATATCCCAAGAACTCCTCAAGTCAAAATCCCTCAACTTTTGGGAAAATCCTTCAGCATGGCAACTGTGTCAAAGCATTACTGGTACAGCACGAACTATATTATAGCCGTCGCTTCTCCTGGTGTATAGGCTCCATCGTATAAATAAAGGATGGAGAGCAAGTGATCGATTCCAGAGGTTGCTTTGACTTTTGACAGTTTCGCGGTGGTTCAACAGATGGCACAATGAGCGATCGAATAGAGATGGGTAGATCAGAGTATTGCATACCAATAATATTCTAAGGGGGGTTTTCAAATTTTACCCTCACTATTCTTATCTTAGAAAAGATAACTATATACGAGCTACATAACTACAGCGCCAAATAACCTTTTCAAAAAGGATTTAGAATTATTGAGGAGAGGAGAAACATTTTTGTGACAAGTTCTCATAGATGACGATACGGTATCTTATTCCATCTTTGATATTTTTTCGGACGCGTGAGCGAATACAGTATTAGGTTGGGTATCTTCCGATAAAATACCTTAATCAATAATAATAGTAGTGATGGAGAGGCGAAGCTTGACCACTACGCCACCTTTTTGCCGACGCCGTTCTACCAACTCTGTAAAGTATTACAGTGGAGTACCACGTCTACGTATTGTTGGTCATCGCGCATATTGAATAAACCAGCTCCAGCGATATCTCTTATCTAGTGCGTATCTATACACATATATTAGACAAACAACATCCATAGTTCGAAATGTTAGTCTTTCGGGGCTGGTATTCAAACCCGCGTGAGCCTTCGAGCCCATATGCAAGCAAATTAATCCATAGCACACCTAGCCAGACCCTTGGAATGTTACATAAGTATTCACCGGTTCCAATGTTAAATAATATGCTATATATCGATATTATAGAACTAATTGATAAACAAGCAATAGTAAACATATTTCTGGTCTTTCAGCTCCGTGGATGGTGAATATTTCTTACGATCTCCATTAGAGTATACGCCACTGTGCGTCTAGCGTAAAATAGTTATGTATTTCAAGTACTTGATGAAATCACGGTGATTTACGAAAGATTCATAGGGAGGTTAAAATTTGGCTGACCTCGTAACGTGTACGAGAGAGAAGCGCGAGAATCGTGCAATATGTACATGTTCGAAAGAGTGCGCCGATGGCAACGCGGCAAGTCGCATATTAAGTATCTACTATCAGTTTTTCTTGCTGTCCAGTAGCTGTATAAGTATTTACACGGTATTTGACAGGTGACATAGTAAAACTACAGGAATGACTCATACATCCAATTTGCCTCACACATTCATATGCAAACGGACTTCATGCGCAGACGTTCATTGTTTGAGTAAGCTCACATACATTCGTTTTTTGTTTTGTCCCGCCACCTTGTGTGAAAACAGCGTCCTTCCATCACCAAATTCGTGTGCGTGAACAAAAGCGAGTAACAACTGTGTTATAAGGATCCCCAGTGAACATAGTGACCATAATGTTAGCATTTTTAGGGCCCTACTGACGTATACCGACCAAGAAAAATGACGTCATTATGCCGGTCTAATGTGTCGCCCAATTGACGTCATTATATATCGTATAAAAGACCAAATTCAAAGTTGATATGATACCTTAAACACCGTGGAAAGAACAAACTATATTTGGTGATTCGAATATGATGACAGCATTTACAAAATAGCATTCCCATCTCTATCATAATTTTTCATTACGATTATGGTTGTGTTGTGTATTTACGACAGTCGGGTGTCTAGTGATGTAACTTAAATATACGTAAACTAAAACTACATAATTTTTCAAAGGAATTTTCTAAATTTGCAATTTATGCTACTTTAATATGGCGTTAATCTTGAGTACTAGCAAGAAATAGGTTATGTAAAGTGATTTTCTTGGTTGTCATACAGGAATATCATGAAAGCATAGTAAAATATGCCGGTTTTAGAAGAAGGCAAAGCTTTCAAGTCATTACACGAGCTAGAAGAATTCATTAAGAATGTCGAGAGCGACCAATATATACAGCTGTATAAGAGAGATTCCAAAAAAATCTCTACAATGCTCAAAAGCTGTCCAAAGAAGTGCAATAACGCTAATCGTGATCTTATTTATTACCTGCTCACATATGCTTGCTACAAAGGCGGGCAAAACTTTAAATCCAGAGGAGAGGGAATACGAAAATGCAGGTAAGGATCTGACACCTCACATCAAGAAATTTATACAGGTGTTCCCCAAGTTTTAGGCCTTTTTAGAAAACCACGCGCGTGGTGTAATAAACAAGTAATTTTTTTTTAAATTTAAAAGAACCGACTGTAATAATTGAAAAGAATGAAGTTATAAAAGTATCCATCAGGCTGTTTAGACTGTACCCCATGAAATAGACATTTCCATTTCGGTCTAGCCCGTGAAATTAATATAAATTTCACAGCTGATATTTGCGTTAAAAATCCGATATTTTGGTTTTATGAAATTTTAGTATACCCAGTGTCAGTGGCAAAATAAAACAGGTGTTCTGCAAATCCGAATTTACCTATTTTTTATACGTCAGTTCGATCCTGCGCTCCTTCTTGGCAACAAATTTGTCGATCACCTTCCCGTTGAAATTTTCCATGGTCGAAATAAATTCCTTTTCAATGGACAGCATCGACAACGGTGTAAGGCGATCCTGGGTCATAGTATTTCGAAGAAAGGTCTTGATTCTTTTCAATGTTAAGGAATTTCGCTCAGCCTCTGATGTTGACATAGGAGTTGTAACAATAATTTTTAATAGCTTTTTTGTTTCTTTGTGTCTCCTCCAAACTATTTTGTATCAAAAATTTCAAAAGAAACAGAGTTCCTTGTAAAGCTCGGCGATCATTCCGTGCATAAATAACAGAGAACTCTGTCTTTGAACGACTTTTTTCTAATTCGGGATAAGCCAAGCAGGTAGTTTCCAACATACCACAGTATTCTCCAAAGTGTTCGGGGAAGAAAAGGGATGCGGCTACCAAATGATCTTTGATTAGAAATCTGTCATTTGCAGAATTCACTATATTGTCGCATACTTCTAATGCAGCAACTCGGTGATCGTGATGCTATTATTACGTCGTCTCCTTTTGTTGCCTTGGGGTTCAGTGCAAATACTTTTGGATTCATTTATTATGTCATCAATTTTATTTCTCACATCGAAAATATATTTTTCAAAATTTTTGATAGCCCTTTTTAACTTAAGCTGGCTCGGTTTTTCGCTTCTGCAACTACATTTATTGTTCGAATATTAAAATTCCAACGAGTTGTTGCTCCTTGGGGAATTTTTTTCCCTACAATTCTGCTCAGTACCTCTACGCGTTGAGGAGAATTATTAAAAAATCCCGGAATATCTTTCAAATCCCCAAAGAACACCCGAATTTGAGCATTTGCGGAAGCAGCTTGGGACATAATCAGGTTTAACTGATGCGCATAGTAATGCACATAGTGAGCAAATGAATATCTTTGTTTAATTTTTGCCTGTACTCCAGCATTATGTCAGCTCATTACCGCGGCTCCATTATAGCTTTGTGAAATCAGGACCGAGCACCGACCGACCAATCAGATATCGTACTTCGCATTAGATCTGTACGGATCTGTATAACTTGCAGCACATGCGTATGCTTATATCGCGCATTTGATTTTGTAGAGAGAGACAAAAGCAAGCGCGTGCGGCTTAGTGATGCAAAGTTTCGTTACTTTTTAGGACTTGTAAGGACTCGTTACTTTCGAACTTTGGACTCGTTAGTTTAGTTACTATTTGGACATTTCGTTTAGAACCTACATTCTATATATTATATCAAATTATTACTTTGGGATTGAACCAATTATTATTTTTTGTCTAATGCCTTGTCTATTAATTTTTTTGATATTTGATACGTAGAAGGTACTTATATTTTAAACTCGTCGTTGTGTGACGTCTGGTTCGTTGGCTGTACGCTGTAAACAGTATTTAACAAGTGGCATAACCAGATGGGGACCGTGGAGGAACCACTCTCCTCACTCTCTACTTTAGTTGAGTAGCGTCCCCTGCCCTACTTAACAGTCTGGTTACTCCACTGTAAATGGTGTTCAACAAAATACTTATAATAATAAAACATACCTGAAACTAAGTTCCTTTTGCACCTAGGCATATTTTCGTCTTCCACCCGCCGTTTTGCCCTTTCTCCTTCCAATGAAAGAGTCGGATGTTTAGTTTTCAAATGCTTCCTTAAATTGCTAATGTTTCCATTTTTATGCGAATAAGTATTTTTACAAAGATTGGACTTTGCATTAGCTTCCGATATATTGGTGAAATGCATCCAAATAACACTTCTTTTTTGAGTTTGCGATTCTCCTGAACCGGACGCGTATGATTCCATATTTTTGTACAAATAATAATTATATTGTTGCTCGAGCTTGTACGGCAACGTCCAAACCAGTAACAACCCGCCAACCGCTAGCTCTCAAAGTCAAATGAAAAGTGTACAGGTGTACACAAACATTGCCAACCTAAAGCTCCGCAGTCCGCAACTCGTTTGATAGAAGAGTATCTAAAGTTGCCTAAGCCTAACGATATTCGCATCATTTCATTTCCACCCAGTTTACATCCAAGAACCAAGTCACTTGCTGCTGGCGCTGGCAGTACTGGCTACATTAGATCCCAGTAACGTTTGTATCTAAAGTAATGTATAGTGTAGTAAATAACAGTAATTAAAAAGTATACATAGAAAAAGACCGTATCGCATTCAAAGTAACGAATTCAAATAAAAAGTAACGAGTCTTTTCAAAAAGTAGGACTCGTTACATTTAGTTACTCATTTGTAACGATTATTTTGTAAGCGTTACTTAATTATTTTACATCACTAGTGCGGCTAGTATCGATGTAGTGCACAGACCCTTTTTAAGTGGCCCACGAATAATGTTACGCTGCGGTCGCGACGAAAATGACAAGTAAACAATTGGTCGATTATAATGCTTTCTCAGTACAAAACAGACTCGACGCCGTGTCTTGCGGTTGCAGCGTTGCCGGTATGGTTTCTATTTGTGTGATGACATGGAAAATAAATAATGATCAAATTACTACTGGTTTTTTCTGTTAAGACAAAAGTTTTGGTAGCTCTGCAGCTCTGCAGAACTTAAGGGCCAGCCGCCACTAGGCCAGTGTGTTACTCGAATTTCAAATAAAAATTAGAGAAATATGGGATATCTGTCCGAATTTCAAATCTGCTAATTCTGTTTTGATAAGTCCCATTTCAATTTCTCCACGTAAATATTTCAAAAATTACGCATTTTAGAAAAAGAGTTACAAACAAGAACTGCTAATCGTTTCCTTTAGAAATCTCGACTTGACTTTGACGGTATCGGCAAAGGTCATGGCAAAGGTCACCTTTGGATGAACTCCACAAACCTTACAACCGTGCTGTCGAACATTTTTGCTACAGAAAATAGTTTTCGATGTCTTGATTTGATCTTGAAAGGCAAGGTGATGTTCGGTCGTGAGATTTGCTCCTCTTTTCCATTCCGATGTGAAAAAGGGGGGGTCCTATTTGAAAATGTCTTGACGTGGAAATGATCTTGAAGGTCGTGGTCAAGGACGTTGCCAAGGTCACCTTTATTTTGCCCCTTCGAAGCCCTACAACTCTCTTCTGATTTTTTTTTCTGGGATGCACAATTTTCGAAATATTTAGGTGGGGATATTAAAAAATGGGACACCGTGTATAGATCTTGTGGATATATAATACTGACAATTTATTTCAGTACATTCAGAGACGACTGTCCCATGCGACTCACCTTCAGATTGTCTCCAGATGGGCAGAAACTTGTTCTAACCAAAGTCGACAACGTACATAACCACGATTTGGACAAAACGATGTTTTCTTTACTTCCGAAACAGCGACGGCTCAATACCGACGAGAAAAAAGAGGTGTTAAGACTGAAAAAGCTCAAGTGCAGCAAAACTTTACTAAAGGACTATATGCAGAATAAAACTGGCAAAAAGTTATCGCTTAGCGATATCTCAAACGTTAGAAGTACATCTACTAAGGACGATCTTGCCGAAGTTCTAGAATATCTGGAAGGTCAACCAGAATCTCACGTACATGCTGTAACAGACGCTGAAAATGTTCTGCAAGGAATCTTTTTCCAAAATCAACAAATGGCAGACTACTTTTGTACATATCCCGAATTACTTGTCATTGATAGCACATTCAAGGTGACCAAATCTAATACCCGCTTATACATGTTTCTGGCAGCAGATGGAAATGGCGAGTGGTTAGTTGTAGGAAGTTTCATAACGCATAATGAAAATCCAGATTTTATTGTCTGCATGATTCGAGTATTCAAGTTACAAAATCCTTCTTGGGTGCGCACTCAAACCATTTTTACCGATAAAGTATCAACAGAAAGAAAGTTAGTGTCCCAGGAGTTTCCGCACGCTAAGGTACGATATTGTCCCTATAATATCTCGAAGGTTTTCGAGTCAGGTTTAACAAAGGGAATCACGTATAGTGATCGTGATACCGTTTTGCGCGTCTTCAAGAAACTTTCATCCTCAAAGAATTCTGAACAGTATAAGAAGAATTACGATTCGTTAGTAGATATCGATCTTCCCGCAGTAATAAGATATTTCAATGAAAACTGGCACAATTGTCAAGAGGAATGGGTCTTTTACCGAGAAAAAGAAGGTTTCTTATATGATATTCCCAACACGCATCAGCTTCATTTGTTTATGCAGAAAATCAGGCCCTTATATTCGTTGCATATCAATCATCAGGATTTCTATAAGGATTTGTTAAGATTTTTGGAAACAACTCATAACGAAAGAAGACAAAAGGCAGTTCAAATGATGTATAGAAACAAATCCACATCAATAGCACCAAATTCTGCTGAAGACCAATACTTCAGACAACTTACACCTTTTGCATTCAAATTTGTCAAGAAAAGCATAGAGGATTCACAAAGTATGAAGCTGGTTGAATATGATAAAATCTACTTTGTTGATGGAACTAAAATGACAGTTGATGCTGAACAATGTCAATGTGACTTCTATAAGCATACGACGATACCTTGCCAACACATTTTTAAATACAGGTCTATAAAAAATATGGAATTATATAGTGAAAACATTGTCCCTCGTCGGTTCAAGAGGCAATTATATCTGGAGAATTATAGATCAAAAGAAAACACAGCTGATAAAAAAATTAAAGTAGAAACATTGGAGGTCAAAGGAGTTGACGAGGTCAGTCTGGATGGAGGGGACAATGATAACATGGAGGTAACAGTGGACAACGATGATGAGGATCATCAAATGATTACAAGACATCAGAAACGCACAAGGGCTTTGGCGATATGTCAACAGTTGGCAAACGTGATGGCTGAAATGGACACGCAGAGCTTTTATCAGCGCTATTCGAAACTAGAGAAGTTGATTCAAACGTGGAGCTCATCTAAATCAGACGCAGTCGGCGACGAGGATTTGTAACAAACATGTTATCGCAGAATTTTATTTACTACTGTTTTGTTGTTTTTTTGAAAATAAATGTCTGTGAAAGTATAGCACTATTTATTTCTTAGTCTACGCCACTGTTGGAGGTGGTGTGTTTTATACAGGGTATTCTGAAAGTTGGGACTTTCCTTTTCAGAAAGAATTACGTTTGTAATGCGATGAATCAACAGCTAAAAAGTAAAAAAAAAAATGAAAAAGTACTCATCGTTCATCAAAAAGTAATTTCAAGTCCAGCTCTTTCACTTGTTAGTATTGTTCAAAGTTGTCTATGATGGATTCACAGACACACGAACGTGCTCGTTGTACCCAAGCATCGGTATAAGCTTTAAGAATGGTCTTTCCCGGATGAATGCAGCAGATTTCTAAATTCGCACACGAAGTTCACCAATCGCATTTCCCTCAGTTTTATACACTAAACATTTAATTTCGCTCCAAATAAAAAAAGGAATCACTAAGAATCTTGAAAAAACGATCTGCATGCAGTCGCGAAGTGTCGGTAGCATTTAGAAGACGCTCACCGTAAATTAAAATAATATGGACAACTTTGATATTGTTGTAAGAGTGCCATTTTTTTAGAATCCTTTGTTTACAAACGCGGCTAGCGACCGGATTGAGTACTGAGCCTAACGTCTCGGCGATCTTAAGACTTTGGTGTATATGTTACTAGTCAAAGAACTAAAATTGGCAATACATTATCAAACATTAAAAACATTTCGGTAGGTATGCCACAGGGTAGCAAATTAGGTCCATTACTATTTATTTTATACATTAACGATATTCCTGCTATTGCACAACACTGCAAAATTCAACTATTTGCTGATGATATATTAATATATATACAGGGTGACTTTGAAGTTGAGTCATTAATTTTCAGATAATGATTGTAGAAGGAAGATAGACCAAAATATGTGTGTAAAAATAAAAAAAAAAATTACCTTGTTTTATAAAGTATCCTCCCGACAAGTATTTCAGTGCGGACCTGTATTTGATCGTGAGGTCTTGGAGCACCGGCATGCCGTCCATATGTGAGGTCTTAAGTCAAATGATTCACGAACCCGTTGTACTACATTAACAAAGGCACGAGGGGTTGGTTGCACTCGATTGGGAAACCGATCCACATAAACATGTGCCATTTTTTATTTCGTTTGAGCCACGCAACAGACACCACTATCCACTACCGACTGACACTGACTGTATACAACTGAATAATATATACAGGGTGACTTCGAAGTTGAGTCATTTATTTTAACAGTGAGTAGATCTGATCAAATAAATGTTTTTTCCTTTACCATTTTTCTGGTAAAATTAAAGTAACAAAGTTATAGCCCTTTGGAAGTTTGAGTACCGCCCTGTCTCAATAATAATATTATGTGCTCGTGTTTGGCGACAACGGATATAATTCGCCTTATCGGTTCATCGCATCGGAAACAAAAAAGCGAAAGAATTTGGAACGATGTTTTTACAATTATTTCATTTCAACAAGGTAAAATTTTTTTTTAATTTTTTTTTTATTTTTACACACATATTTTGGTTTATCTTCCTTCTACAATCATTATCTAAAAATTAATGACTCAACTTCAAAGTCACCCTTTATATATATATATATATATGAATATACTCGTATATCAAACAAAGACATTTAAACTGCAATAGATCTATTAAATAATGATATGAAAAAGTAGTAAATTGGTTAAATGTAAATAAACTTAAACTAAAGACAAACAAAACAAAATATATGCTAATAGGAAAATCTTTAGATCAAAATATGATAAATCTTATAATTAATCAGAAAAAAATTGTGTCAATCGAATCATTTAAATATTTGGGCATATACGTAGACAGTAAATTAAAATTTGAAGGGCACTATGAATATATTATTTCAAAAATATCCAAGAAAATAAATTACTTTTATAGAATTTCGCATAGCCTGAGCATTTATTCTAAAAAAATTGTGCACAACACTATCATTCTTCCTCATTATGCTGAAAGAACTACAATGGTTAAATATCAAAATAACATAGCCTACTTGGTTTTCGTTTTCATATTCAAGTTAAAAAATCATCTTCTACCAAATCACTTAGAAAATTTTACTGTACTGAACAATCAGTGCCACAATTAATCTACTAGAGGAAGTATAGAGTTTCATTTACAAAATTGCAGTAGCAATATCAAAAGGGATTGTACGAATTTAATAAATTAAGTAATGATATCAAGATGTATGTCACTTTGAAAATGTTCAAAGGGAAATTGAAAAAATATCTCATGGAAAACCAGAATCCATAGTAGTGAAATTTTGTATAAAAATATGTAGTTTTGAAGACTATATATTTTGTGATATACTGTGTAATATGGATATTATGGATGTTGTAGCATTAATGCTAAATAAATCTGAAACAAACAATCAAACAAACTGCTTATTTTTCCAAGACAGTGTATAGGAAAGCCCTAACTTAGAGAACACCCATAGTGCTTTCCGGTTCGCTCAAAAATTCTGGTAGTTCTAAGTCGAAAAAAATATATAAGTGCATATAAAAAAAGAAAGGATCATGCGGAGAAAGGTATACTCGTATAACAAAAAGAAAAATAATGAGCAAAACCCGTAAAAAGAAGGAAAGTGGATTCGAGCAGAAAGAAGGATAGATAACCCGAGCAATACGTATTTCTGCTTGTTGGCTTCATCAGGCCCGAAATGAACGCACATATGCAACTACAAAAGTGCCCATACATTCGAATACGGGTGTCATCTGAGGACACGAAGATCGAGAGGAACAATACAACACACGACGGCACCAATAAGAGCCAACCTAAACTTTTGTAGTGCCAGATGGCAACATATAGAAGAATAATGGGCAAAATCCGCAAAAAGGATAGTGGATCGCGGATTTTGGCCATTATTTTTTTATTTGTTATAAACCTAGAAGGACAACCCTTTTGGATTAGTTTATAGAGGAGACCTAAAGCCGAATTGCACGTCAGGAATCACATGATGATTTGAAGAAAAATTGTCAAGGTGACGATTCATCTTTTAGATGAGCTTAGGAGGAGCTGACAGCAGACTAATAGGACGGTAATCTTAAGGAAATATCGAACCCACCTTCTTTGGTCGATTCTTTTGTCATATTTTTTAACAATATCTTCGTATGTTTTCCTTACATATTTTTGCATATTCCCTGTTATAAAGAAGGTCGTATGTATACAAGGCAATGAATACGCATCCATGTTAATAACTTAATACAGTTTTTATTAATAAATAGATTAATCTTAACAATAAGAATATATGACATTTATTACACTACGCGAACATTTTTATGTTTGTGTCGCATCTTCATTTTTATCGAACGCCAAATCAAACTCTGGGTTCAACTCGACGTCTTGTAACTCCGAATCGCCACTCCTTGTGCTGAAACAAACATTTATACTTATATCCAGATTTCCAGACAACTCGCGATCTTGATTCAAAATAGCACATGATGATGATTATTTCGTAGTTGACGCTTATCATCTCTTTTTCACGATTTGACCAATAAATAAATAGTTTGATATAGTGAATGGCCAGCCCTTTCCAAGGTACCGTCTTGCTGGAACTAAATATCCCCAAAGTCCAACTCATCTAGTCGTGGAAAAGGATTCCTGTAACATGTTTATATCCGATCGATATTGCTCCTTTTCCATTTTTCTAAAATCCGCGGACACGTCCGCTTCCACATGCGGACAGAACAAAATAACGATTCCGTTGTAATTCATATGCTTGTTAAAGTCTTACCTGGCTCGATCGAATTCTGTATTAGCAAAGTTCAATATGCTATCTTTCCTTATATCGTCATCTCTGAATACTGGATTTGAACCCTCTATTGCATTTTTGTTTGTGTTTGGAGCAGCAAAACCAAGATTATTCAGACCTGATTCCTGAGATCCGAATTGTTTGGATGTCAGCTTTTTGATTTTGTTGCTCAGTCTGCAAAAGTGGTGATAAGTCAATCTTTCTCCTTGGATGCATTTTTTTAAAAGAATCATTTCGAGAATATAAGGTTTTTAATGTATATTTCTTCTCTTCAATACGATAATAAGGACTATTGAATAGGTTTGAACATAAAGTTTTTGTGACAGTGATATCTCAAAATATCAAAGAAAAATATTTCTCCGAATTCGACGATTTTGTCAATCTAAAGAGCAAAAAAAAACTCATCCAAAACATTACTCCTTGAACATGGTGACGGCAAAATGACGTCATTATTCGATCACTTTTATTCGGGAATGTCATTGACTAAGAAAAAACGTCTTTTTTGACGACATTTTTATATACTAAGTGACATATAAATCCGAACACCCAGTTTAAATGGTTTTATTTCAATAAAAGTTGGTGAATGTATTTATCTTACTGTAAATAACAAGTGAAAAAATTTTCAGCCTTATCAGTTGGACATTCCGGTTTTTATACTGCTTTTTTTTAATTCACTAACGCTCTAAAAATGAATATTTCAGCCGCAGTAAAGAATCAACGTTGGCGGATTTTGGTTCTTGACATCCTTTACGATCGGTTACGATGCCTAGAGTACGGAGAACTGTACGATTTCGTCAACTTAGTGAGTTTGATAGGGGCCGTATAGTGGGACTTTGGGAAGCTGGACTTTCTTTTCGGGCAATTGCATTTAGAGTGCAAAGAAGTGTAGACACTGTGGTTAGGTGTTGTCAGGCATGGCTTCGAGAAGGCCGTACGCAAAGAGCAAGGGGCACTGGACGCCGCCGTAGAACAACAGACCGTGAAGATCGCCGCCTAAGATTATTGGCCTTAAGGAACCGTTTCTCCACTACCAGGTCCAATGCAAATGAATGGTTTGCAGAACACGGAAGACCTATTCTACCTAGTCTACCGACGAATGAGAAGTTTTGGCTTGTTTTCATACCGGCCACACAGGGTCCTCCCTTTAACTCGAGAACACCGACGTAATCGCCTTGTGTGGTGCAGACAACGGTCACTCTGGGATCAGGAATGGAACAGTATTGTCTTTAGTGACGAGTCTCGATTTTGTTTAGGCATGCACGATGGTCGTGCCAGGGTTAGAAGGCGACGTGGTGAAAGGAGGAATCCACAGTTTTTTGTTGAAAGACATGTTCATCACACTGTTGGAGTTATGGTTTGGGGTACTATAGCTTATGGTTCCAGGTCATCTTTAATCTTCATCAGAGGTAACATGAACGCACAGCGTTATATCCACGAAGTTCTAGAACCCCATCTTTTACCCTATCTTGACACCCTGGCAGATCCAACTTTCCAACAAGATAATGCCCGACCACATGTTGCAAGAGTCACAATAGACTTCTTTCAACATAATGATGTCACATGGTTACCATGGCCACCAAGATCTCCCGACTTATCCCCAATTGAGCACGTGTGGGATATGATGGGTAGGAGATTGCTCAATCTGCAACGTCCTCCTCAGACTCTAGAAGCACTTCGAGAGGTGTTGGTGGTTGCCTAGAATGAGATACCACAGGAGGACATTGACCACCTGATCAGAAGCATGCCTAGGCGCGTTGGAGAATGCGTAGCACATCTGGGTGCATCCACACATTATTAAAGGTCAAAGGGCTTTAAAGCAGTGCAATCATTTTGAAATTTTTATCATTTACTTATTATGCTTCATTAAGTTCCTACTTATACAAACTTTTATTAAAATAAAACCATTTAAACTGGGTGTTCGATTTATAAGTCACTTAGTATATAAACATGACGTGCTTTAGAAGGCTGTCAGACAGTACTGAAAAATCAGCACTTACCTACAAAAAAAGGACTTTTAATGAACAGCAAGGTAAACTAGATATACAAATCCTAATGACAACATTATCGTTATTTAAAAAAATGTATCAGGTATTTTTCTATCAAAAATACCTTGTTAATATGAATTTTCTAATAATATTTCATGTTTAGATATACAGGGTGTTGCTTAATGATATGCGAATATTTAAGGGTGTGAATCTACATGAAAAATTAATGTTATTTTGCTTTATAAACTATGGTCCAAAAATGTTTCCTTACAAAAACTCGGGGTGTTGAAGTTTTAGGAAAAAAAAATGGAAATTAATATTTTTAGAACCGCTTCAGATATTTCACTGATATTTAGTACGTAGTGAAAGTTAATAAAGTTGCATATTTTTAGCTAGCTCACGCTGCAGCTTACGTCATTCAGCATAGCTGTTGCTACCCGACCCTCCAGAGTAGATAGGAACCAATCTATTAGGATTGATCCAACCCCGTGTCTAACCAAGGCATGTCTGATAGAGTCCGTTGGTGCAATTAAATGCACCTTCAATGTCCAAAAAGGCCACGAGTGCCACTTCTCGCTGATCTAGAGTCTTCTCCAGCCTACCGACCAGATTGTGTAAGGCCAGAACAGTCGATTTTCCAGCTCTGTACGCAAACTGATTTGCATGAATGACACACCTTTCCAGCGGGCCATCTCTTAAGTATCTATCAACTATCCTTTCCAGTATCTTAAGCACATAAGATGAAAGAGTAATCGGACGAAAATCCTTTGGGCCAGTATATCTAGCTCTGCCCGGTTTAGGAACTTTACCTTGCCGCCAGCTTCTAGGTGTGAAGTACGTGGCCACACATGCTCGAAACACATTCAACAGGTCAGGAACAACCGAACTTCGTCCCTGCTGTAACATGGCCGGAAATACGCCGTCCAGACCTGGACTTTTGTATGGAGCAAACGAATCTACTGTCATTTCGAAGCCGTGCGCCAGTCCTCCCCTGAGGGCCTGCGCAACTGCATGCACCCTGTAATTGATCGCGCTACTGTGGAACCGGGAAAGTGCGTATCCATCAGAAGCCTCAGAGTACCTTCCTCAGAAGTAGTATTCCCCCCGAGGGATCATGCAGAGATCCCAATCTTGCTTTAATGTATTTGCATAGGACCGTGTGTATTCTCGCGGTAGCAGGAATGTCGTTTATGGACTGACAGAAGTGCCTCCAGGAATGTGACCATAATACCTTTTTGACAAAATTAGGAATTTTCTCAATCTTACCTTCTAGTTTTTATGATGAAGAATATTAATAGCATGACGCACAGTGCGCCTAGGACAACAGAAACCCCAATGAGCCAAGCTCGCAACAGGTCCGAGTCATCCGAGATCGTGTCCGTATTAGGAAATGAAAGAAGGCTCAAATTTGCGATCGCCCTCAGTTCCCTTTGTAATCGCATGTAGGTTTCTACGTCTCTCACTTGCCTGAAAGTCAAAGGTGATTAAATACCATGGCCATTCTTTTAGTCTAATCATATTAGACGAAAATACCCCTGGCTTGCGAGATAATTGTAAATTCTGGTTTTATTGCTGCAAGTTGTTCAAGAGGGTATTTAAAACATGGACGCATAAAATGGATACACCATTTTTTGTGGGAAAACTTTTCGACAACAAAGAATGAGAAAACCTGTTTTTTGGGATTCGATCTAAAGTGCTGGCAGCAACGAAAAACTCTTTATATAGGTTTTTTTAGCTATTTATGAGACCTACAAAATGAGCCTACACGTAAAAGGATCCGACTAATAGGAAAAAAGTTATCGCCGAACTGCAGGTTTTGGCACTTTGGTAATGCGACGATGGTTTCTCGCAGATGCTTGAAATTCTTCAAAGAAGATTCGTACTTCTAAATAACCACAACCAATCGGAGTAAATTGGTCAAGTAGTTTTTGAGAATTTCTAATTGTTTATCCCAAAACACCTGTCTTCTGGCCATCACTACTAGTTTATTGAGTAATACAGGCTGACAGGTAAATAGGTGTAAAACATTTTAGGAGGTGATAGTACAGCCCCTTTGCTATCGAAATTAGTATATAATACCATACCCTATATTCAAAGGTTGAAAAGTTATTGAAGATTTAAGATTTTTTTAAAAACAATCCATATTTCAGAGTAAAAAAGTCGAGGGAGAAAAAAGTTGGCGATTAAATATTTGTTTTTTGTGGTTTTGGGTTATTATTTCAATAACTAACTATTATAAATTAAAAAAGATTCGAAAACAATACCAAACAACGTATTTATTTTCATTCAAAAATGTTTAACTAAGAAAAACAAATAACATTTTACAGTAAGTAAGGTGTTTTATAAAAAATCAGTATACAAAAAACGTACAAACAATTTAAATAATATTCTTGTTTCATAAGGAATCTAAATTGGTATGATAAGTGGACAAAAACTGTGTGAAACTAAGCATAATGTATTGTAATACAACAATAGGGAGTAAATTTACCAATGGCTTGTCTCCTATTTTCACAACTCTCTGATTGATAAAAAAAGTGTTTTTGTGAAAATAATGTAACTGTAAGCTATGGGATAGTTATTATTTTAAACTACGGTTAAGTTACACGATTAGATTATTTACACAGTTGTAATTGTACTACAGAATAATAAAAACTGACTAAAAGTTACTACAATTGGTAAGTAAAATACAATAATGGAATGAAGGTAAAATTCATTGCAATTGTTGTTCGAACTGACGCCCGCCGTTTCTTATGCAAGCCCGTAGTCTTTTTCTCATGTTGGTACGCGTGATGCGGCCAGTTAGTTGTCCTCTGATAGTGTCAGCAGCAGCATAATTCTTTCTTTCAACTGTGCAAGAGTGTCTATGGGCTCAGCGTACACCAGTGACTTCATGTGCCCCCATAAATAATAGTCACACGGTGTTAAATCTGGGCTCCTCGCTGGCCACGATGTCGATCCACCTCGGCCAATCCAGCGACAAGGATATTTCTCGTCCAGCCACTGTCTAACACCCAGACGGAAATGCGCGGGCCAGCCATCGTGTTGGTAGATCATCTGCGTCCTGATATTCAGAGGCAGGTCTTCGAGATACTCCCAGAGTTCGGATCTCAAAAAGTTTTCATAGGATTCGCCATTCAGGTTGTCAGGCAAAAAGACTGGTCCAATTAGATACGTATGAATGATTCCCATCCACACGTTTGCCGAAAATCTTCTTTGCCATGTGGAGATTTACCTCTCGTGGGGCCCAATAATGTAAGTTGTGATAACTTGTTGTCCACTCTCTGTCAAACTTAGACTCGTCGGTCCACAATATTTTAGTTAAATAGTCGTTTTCTTCTTGATCCCGATGAAGCATGTATCGACAAAAATCAATTCTTCTTGCGGGATCTCCTTCTAATACTTGAACCGGTGTGTAATGGAAAGGGTAAAATCTCGCCGAATGCAAAACGAACCAAACTTTCCACTGAGTTAAACCAAGCTGCTTTGCTATAACTCGTGTAGACGTCGTCGGGTCTCTGCCGTAGCATTCCAGTATTGCCTCTCGATCTTCGTCGTTAAACAACCGAGGTCTACCAGCGTCATGACGTCTCTCATGAACCTGTCCACTTTCCTTGACGCGTTGGTACACAGAAGCAAATACTCGATGACTCGGTATTCGCCGATTCGGAAAACGGTTTTCGTATTCTCGCCTGCCTTCAACGGAATTTCCATCACTTAAACCATAACAAAACAGAATATCAGCGTATTCTTCGTTACGGTAACTCGCCATTATTAAAACTGATCAAAAAAGTAAAAGTACGTCCTACCGCGTTAATGGTTGATATTCTACTAACTAACCTAAGCGTTAGTTCCCTTTCCTTGATCCGTCAGCTGTGTCAATTCATAACACACGCAGAGCTTGCTTCCGAGGAGCGACGACATATTCCGAATACTTAAACCCGAATAACGGCACAGGGCACAAAAAATAACAAAAAGGGTCGAACCATGAAAGGCTCGGTTTACCTGTACAATGAAATGCGCTTAGCGGTTCTTTCCAGCAAAGTAATATTGTTTTGTTAAATGGTTTACTTACTGATATGTTATTATACTATTTTAGAAACCTAATGAAACGAGGAAGTTTTTGCAGTTATTTGTACATTTTCTTTATTATGATTTTTTTAAAAAAAAAAGACTTCTTAATGTGAAAGTTGAAAATAAAAATTTTCATTTAACATTTAAATGAAAATAAATACGTTTTCAGTAGTATTTTCATGTTTTTTAATTTATGAGAATTATTTATTTAAATAATAACCTGAAACCACCAAAAAAAGAATGTTTAATCACCAACTTTTTTTTATCTTAACTATTTTACTCGTAATCTGGGTTGTTTTTTAGAAAAAATTAAATCTTCCATAACTTTTTAACTTTTGAATATAGGGTATGGTATTATATACTAATTTTGATAGCAAAGGAGCTGTACTAGCACCTCCTAAAATGTTTTACACCTATTTTCCTGTCACCCTGTATGCAGGATTAGTTCAAAGGGCATTTTATAGTAAATAACACTAGTTTACCTTGCTGATATAAATCGCAATACATTCCGGAAGATAAATGTTATTTTTATGCAAAAAAGGATCGGTTAAGTTTTTTCTTCTAAATAATTTCAAACATTTCGTATTTGTGAGTAATTCGTAACTAAATGTGATAGATACATCCGTTTTGTTTTGAAATGTGTATAGTAACCTATGCGTGTATGTTACACGTGTATTTTACTACTATATTCTCTTTGAACGACCCCTGTATATTGCTCATTACACCAGTAGTGATGGCCGGAAAACAGGTGTTTTGGGATAAACAATTGGAAATTCTCAAAAAAAATTGACCAATATACACCAATTTTGTTGTTATTTATAAGTATGAATCCTACAAATTTGGAGAATTTCAAGTACTTCTGTGAAATTATCGTTGCACTACCAACAAGTGCAAAAACTTCGACCTTAACATTTTTGCTAATAGTCGGATCTTTTTACGTGTTTCATTTTGTTGGTCTCATAAATACCTAAAAATCTTATATGGAAAGTTGTTTCATTCCTGTCAACTGAATCACAAAAACACGTTTTCTCATTCTTTGTTGACAAATAAAAAGTTTTCCCACGAAAATTGGTGTGCGCATTTTCAATACCCGCTTGAACAACTTGCACCAATAAAACTTTACAATTATTTCGGGAACATTTGCTAATATTACACTGGACAACAAATTTTAGTTTTTTAATTGTATCTTGTGGGAAAAGTGCACTTCTTTGTTAATTTTGGGGCGCTGAATCCAAAAATGACAATGAAATAAAAAAATTAGTTGCGGTTTAGAAAAAAAACTTTTTATTTTTAAGGATATATTAAAAAAAGTAACAAGATTCATATACTTATAAGAATCACTATATGCGCTGTCTTTTTGCTGTTCTTTTATGGATCGTTTCTGGAGCATCTCTACCAAGAGTCCAACAGTAGTCTGCAAGCATGAAAGGATTCCACTTTCCCGGGTACCTTTTTTCCATTGTTGAAATATCCTGATGAAAACGTTCGCCGTCAGGAAAAAAAGTCCAGGTGTGAGTGTAGGAAATGTATCTTAAGAGACATATTACATCCCATCTTTTGATACGATGACAGCATATTTTTGACAAGGGTTTTATAGTTGTCAGCTTTTCTATTTCCCAAGAAATCAGTGACCACCAGACGGAAATCGTTCCAAGCAGTTTTTTCAATACCTGTTAAATTGTTTTCAAACTGTGTATCTTTCAAAATATTTCGAATCTGTGGCCCAACAAAAATACCTTCTTTAACCTTTGCCTCACTTAGTCTTGGAAATTTCTGACGCAGGTATTGAAAAGCTGACCCATCTCTATCTAATGCCTTGACAAAGTTTTTCATTAGGCCCAACTTGATATGCAGTGGTGGTAATAAATTTATTTTCGAATCTACTAATGGCATATGCTGTACATTTTTTTGACCTGGCTCTAGGAATTGACGAACAGGCCAGTTTTGTCTGGTGTAATGAAGTGCCTTTGCCCGACTGTCCCATTCACACAAAAAACAGCAAAACTTTGTGTAGCCTAGCTGCAGCCCAAGTAAAAGTGCAACAACTTTCAAATCGCCACAAATATGCCATTGGTGCTCATCGTATTTTATGCATGTCAATAGGTACTTCATATTGTTATATGATTCTTTCATGTGAACTGCATACCCTACAGGAAGAGATGTTAAAATATTTCCAATATGCAATAACACTGCCTTTAAACTCAATGTTGAACTGTCTATAAACAATCTCCATTCTTCTGGGTTATAGTTTATATTTAAAGCCGCCAGTAAGCCGTTAATGTTACTGCAGAAAACCAAGTTATTCTCCATATTGAAAAATGGTTTCTAAGTCTTTGTGGCGTTTACGAAAAACACATACCGAAACATCGTCTTCTAACAAGTTCCACTGCTGCAGTCTTGATCCAAGTAACTCTGCCTTACATTTTGGAAGTTCTAAATCTCTTACAAGATCATTTAATTCTGACTGTGTTATTTTGTGCGGTTGGTGGCATGACGTGCTCGGTATAAAATCAGGATCTCTTGACGTTGATGGCATATTTTCTTCCTGACGAATCACTCGATCGCCATGATCTGATTCGTTTTCTGATTCGCAAGTGTAGGATTCTGGGGGTTTTGGAATAGTATTTTCGTCACTGTGAGGCACAGGTCTCATCGCAGATGGTATGTTTGGGTAGTTAATAACCGATTTTTTTTTCTTGGACATACCTGTGGCTTGTCCAACACAAGGTACCATGCAAAACTAACAATCAGTAATATGATTTGTAGGCTCTCTCCAAACCATTGGGACAGCAAAGCGCATATACCGTTTTTTGCCATTTAACCAGCTCCTCAGACTTGAAGTACATGTATTACAGCAGATGTGGGGTGCCCACTGTTTGTCTTGATCACCTAGTTTACAACCGAAATAAAGCTGATATGCCTTTGTTATTAGTGGAGTAATAGACCGTCTCTGAGACGCAAAAGTCACATCACCACACACGTAATAAAACTGATCTGGATTGTTTACACACTTTCGAGACATCTTGCATGAACGCTGTCAGCCAACTGAGGAAAAAATGGCTAATATAAAACAATATAATGTACACGTATGTATAACGTAACACAATCATGCCGATTACATCATCTTTCGTTGCCGAATATAAAAATGTGAATTACAGTATATTAACACTGTCACAGCAGGAACACATATAATTACCGTATCTCTAAAACTTGAACCAATATTAAAAAAATAAGTTTCATTCCGGTTTTAGCACATTAAAAAAAATATTATTATTTTGTTGATTTTATTTAGAATATTTTTTGGCTGTTGATCAGTGTTATTAGACCGTTTATTGGAGAAACAGTTATCTGTTTTTGGGCTCATAACCTGTTGGCAGCCTATTACTTTCTCGGCAGTGGGAAGTTAAAGCGGTGGCGATGAAATAAAGAAAAGCTTTGAAGAAGAGAAGGCGGGCGACGTTTTTTGAACTGGCCTCTTTCAAAATGTTCTAACTACCCAGAACATTTTTAGAAACCTTGAGGCATTTTTCAGAAAGCCTACCTGAGAATATAAGATGCGTCCATCACACCTGCAGGCTCTTGATTCAAACTGTAAGTTTGCAAATTATCTGCCCTATTGATAAAATATAAGCTTGCGACAGTAATGTTCAGCTCCTTGCCCGTGCTATCTTTATCTTTCTCTATGATCTGCCTATGTGCTTCTAATTTGAGAATGTTGCTGATGACATCACACATCTATAAGAAAGCGAATAATTTTGCTATATTAAATTAGATTAATAATTGTTATACAGGGTGCGGCAGAAAGGACGGACGTTTTTGGGATGGGTAGTACTCTCCGGCTCCGTCTACGAGAGAGGTGGGGAGGGTGCCGTTTGTCTCGTGAGATCCTAGCATTATTTTACCAGTTGTCGTTATGGAGCCTTGGGCGGTGGAGCACCGCGTTTTCGCCTATGATTGTTTCGTCCGAAATAGAGCATCCCACAAACCGGCGCGAAATATTCGCTTTGGCTGCGAAAATTTTGCGGCGATGTATTCGCGATCAGATTAAAACGCGGCGGTTTACGGACAGGCTCAGACTTGTGCGAAGCGAATGCGATTGTTCCAGCGTTTTTATCGCGGCGTATTTCAGTTCGCCTTTGACCGCGTTTTTGACGCCGTTCTTCAAAAATTCGCAATGGCAAAAACGGAATTATTGATAGAAATAGTGAAAAAGCATCCTTGTTTGTATGATTTGTCGAACGATGAATACAGGAATGTGAGAAAGAAAGACAAGATTTGGATGGAAATAGGAAAAGAATTAAATACAAATGGTATGTACCTAATATTTTTTATTAACTTGTTAAATAATTTACAGTCTACACAAATGTGAAAACGAACATTCTATATATTGGGCATAGGCATATCAGAATTAAAATAATTTACGAATTTGTCACGAGTAGAAAATGCTAGCCTTGCTGCCCGCCGAGGATCATTTGCTATATCAGTAAAAGCTCCAAGCACGGGTTCTGGGGGATCTAAGAATTGAAAATATTGGTCATCGCCACTTTTACTTCGTAAAAAATTGTGTAAAACACATGCCGTACGTACAATTAGAATAGTAGTATATCTACTTTAGTTTCTAATGGCCTGTAAAATATTCGCCATTTTTGAGACAAAATACCAAACGCATTTTCCACGACCCTTCTAGCTCGACAAAGTCTTACATTGTATTTGTCTTTTCTGACGTGTGTTAAAGTCTGCTTATAAGGAAATGGTCTCATAAGGTATGGTTTTAAAGCAAATGCTTCATCACCAATTGAGACGTACGAGCAGATTTCATTTTACCTAGGGAGAAATCTAGGTGCATGGACACTCATTAAAGTTTGTTCAAATCGCTTTCCCATGTTTGAGGTTTCGAAAATACCCCCATCACTATTTTTTCCGAAACCACCAATATCAACACATATAAATTTATAGTCCGGGCCAACAATGGCCATAAGTACTATTGAATATTTATGTAAGTAGCACCAGTAATTGGAGCCACTGTTTTTAGGTCTCTTGATTGTTACATGTTTACCGTCCACGCTGCCAATGCAATTGGGAAATCCCCATCTATTTTCAAATTCTTCAGCACATTTTTTCCATATATTCTCTGTTGGTTCTGGTAAATATATATGCTCCATATGTCTGCATATCGCTTCACAGACTTCGGTTACGATTGCACTCACTGTTGTAAAGCCAACTCGAAAGCTATGCCCAATGGTATAGAAAGTGTCACCAGTGGCAAGGAATCTATAAAAAAAATCGTTTTTAGGTGATGAAGTAAAAAAAGGTGGAAGAATATCAGAGACACATTTGCAAAATATATAATATCTACCAAACCAAAGACCGGCCAAGCAGTGGGCAACATAAAAAAATGGCAGTGAGCTGACTACATGGAATTTTTCCGTCCTTTTTTGACATTTGCTAAAACGTCGTCTAATGTGAAAGATATTGACGTGATATATTATGAGACTGCCGAATTTAACTCAAATATATATCAGGAAAGGGCTGCAAATGTAGAAACCGAAAATTTGGAAGACCGCGGCCATGGAGAAGATGAAAATGCTGATGTAGATGCAGAAGATGCACAGAACGTCTCGGCAACACAGACAGCACCACCTCCTTCATTGAACACTACAGCAGTGACTACTCCAGGGCACACCCTTCCGCAGACTGCAACTACACCAAAATATAAAACGAGCAGAAAACGCTATGAACCACCATCTTCGTCTGTACAACAGCTCATTAATTATTTTGAAGGTAAAAAACCTAAAAAAGAGGACTAGGCCATTGATTCACTTTTCTTGGCACATGCACATACTGTGAAAACACTTCCCTTAAAGCGTCAAGCCCGAATAAAACTAAAAATAGCCGAATTAATAGCGCACGAAGAATTTGAACATACATATTGAAGAAATGTCTTCAGCGTCTACCCAGAATTCTGCAAGTATGTATGATAGTAGTATGTCGTCCTTCCCAAGCGGCACTGGGTTTACTCCAATAATATACCCAACAGAGGAGGTAAATTCTGCCTCAAATTATTTAGCAACATTTAATCCTAGTGGCAACATGTAGTCCAATTATTACAATAAAATATTTATTTCACGATCCCTGAAGTTTTTGTATTCGATAAGCCTACTAATTTTAATACATATTATTTTTTTACCTGAGTGTAATAGCAAGTCGTTCTTCTGGCGAAATAGCTTCACGATAATTTGTGTCAGATTTTCGTATTTCATCTTTCACCAAGTTCAATATTTCATCGAAACACTCTGGAGTCATTCTAAAATATACGTAAAAGCGCTGTTCATCCAGCCGAAGTTGTGGCATCAAGGTATGGTATTCCCCAAATTTATTTCGTTCCAAGTTAATATCATGTACCCACTTCCTTCGTTTCCTAAACAAAATTGAAAATATTTGTTTTATGTACTTCGTTAAACTTAATACATATCCAACTATCAAATGGCGTTAAATAAACATAACTTACCGTGCATTTTGTTCCTCTTCTAAAGCAAGAAATAGAAGTGCCTCCTCTTCTTCTGAAGACGAGCTCATTGCAAAAGGCAAAAATAAAATATACGCAACCTGTCGAAACCTTCACGTTCGCGGAGCGAATAAGACGCTTTGGTATGAATAAACAGGCGAAACAGATTGCGAATTTCGCTCTGAATTTCGTTGCGAATACTTCGACGCGATTATGTGGGATGCTTTATGAGTCAGTCATCGTCGTACAGCGTGAGTTTCATCGCCACTTCAACATTCATCGGAATAGAGCTGTTCCCTCTCGAAACACCATCCTTCGTTAGGTTGAATCACTTCCCAGGCGTGGTGAACTGATCAACAGAAGACCAAGAGGAGCGCCGCGAACAGTTCGAACTCCTGAAAATGTTGATCGCGTTCGACAGGTCTTTCTTCGCAGTCCGACTCGATCTGCCCGGAAAGATGCTGCTGCATTTCGCCTTAGTGATCGTTCGGTAAGGTGAATTTTGCATATGGATCTCCGGTTTCACCCTTACAAATTGGCCATTGTGCAACAGTTACAGCCCGGAGATTATGCACAACGAATGAACTTCGCACCTGAGATGGAAGCACTGATCGATCAAAATGAGAACCCCATTTTGTTTATGAGTGACAAAGCCCACTTTCACCTAAACAGCATGGTTAACCAGCAGAATTGTCGTTATTGGGCTAATGAAAATCCGCAACAGTTACACGAAAGACCGCTGCACAGCCCAAAAGTAACGGTTTGGTGCGCTGTATCGCAAACTTGCATCATTGGCCGTTACTTCTTCGAAGACGGTAATGGTCGTGATGTTACCGTGAACTCAGAGCACTACGTCGACATGATCACCAACTTCTTTCTCCCTGAATTACGACGGCGACGAGTTCCAATCCGACGTGTGTGGTTCCAGTAGGATGGGGCGACCGCCCACACAGCCCGAGCATCCATGGACGTTATGCGCCCTCTCCTCCCTGGTCGCCTTATTTCCAGGTTTGGCGATGTTCATTGGCCTCCTCGGTCCCCAGATTTATCCATATGCGATTTTTTCTTACGGGGACACCTCACGGCTAGAGTATACGCGAACAAGCCCCGAACTCTGGACGAATTGAACGGCGAAATTCGCGTGGAAGTCGCCCAAGTTGAGAGAGCGATGTTGGAGAGAGTCTACGCGAACTTCCAAGAACGCCTCCAGCACTGCATCAACGATTTCGGCCACCACATGCCTGATGTGATTTTCCACACTTGACTGTCTCAAATGCTATTTCCTTGTGAACCTGATTCCATCAATAAATTTGTTTTCGAGTAAAAATTAACTATTTTATGATTTTTTTTAAACCGTCCATCCTCTCTGCCGCACCCTGTATTACTAAAAGTGATGCAATTCTAAACTACACTAGTGCGTTGGACAATTGAGTAACATATTCTTCTTCCGTGAAATAGCAATTTTTGATACACGCTACCTCTGTATTAAAGCATTAATCAACATATTTTAATTTATAGTGAGTGACTTGAAAATGCTAACGAGGCTTCGCGAGTATACGCAGACCGCTTCCCTAAGCGTTATAATTCAGCGCCGTCTTGATTTGGTTATCTTGTGCAACGAGCTAGGCATACAGGTTATTTGCAGGAATCACAAAGTGGGCTCACTGGGAGACCTGGACAACCTCGAATAGTCAAACTGAGGAACGACTATTGAATCTTGTAGAAGAAAATCCTTCAAGGAAAGTGGCTGAGCAAGTGCAAGTCTCCTAGATTAAAGTCTGCCAAATGCTGCGTAATGTACAAGCGGATGATTTTCCTACAAGAGTGCGTTTTTAGAGTAATTGTTGCACCACCATGAGCACGAAGTATTAGGAATAGTGACAAAGAAGATTGAGGGGTGACCTTGCGCCATGCTAAAGTGAAAACAAATTGATTCAAAGGGAAAATGTAGCCTGTTTTTACTACTTTATTTATTTTATTTATTTATTTATATTTATTTATATACAGTTTGGGGTGTTAACAGGTAAACCCAACACACACCCTCAGTGAACTAAAACTAAACTTACATAAAATATCGGATACATATGTATATTACATTATTGAATACTTCAATATTAATATTTTTTTATCCTCCGATATTGTTGTAACAACATAAACTGAGTGAGTAGTTCTAATTATAAGCAATTAACTATTAATTTAACTTTTTTAATAAAAGGAGTATACATAATTTAACATTTACTTACGTTTAATTAAAACTGAAATCAAAATTAAATTGAAATTATACCAGAAATGATATTGGAGGTGATAACTTGAGTTATGTAAAAAAATAAAACATTTCTATTTTAGTCTGCCATAGAGCTGTAATACTCATACTTTAAAGCCTTTTTCAGGGAGGTCAAGCTAATGTTAAATAAATCTATATTACAGAAATTATTATGATTTTTTTGAGCCCTGACCAAAGGGGAATTAAGACCAAGATTGGTTCTATGGAACGGTATTCTAAACAGATGACAGGTTCTAAACGTTCTATTAGGAGTGTTAAAGTTCAAGTTTACCAAAATATCCGGACAGTCAGTGAGGCCATTCAACAATTTATGGACACAGCAAATGTCAGAAATCGTTCTTCTATCTTTTAAGGAAATCATATTGAACTGTTTCATAATTTGCGTATAATGATGATCTGTAACAGGTTGGTGAGTTTTATGTGCTAACATCTTCAAAAATTTATGTTGAATTCTTTCTATCCTGACTATATGTATATTGTAAGACGGATTCCATATTACTGATGCAAACATCAGTTTGTTGTGTATATAAGCGTAGTACAATGAAAGAAGCGTTTTTGGGTTCGTAAATTCTCTGCATGTCCTGTTTATGAACCCTAGTGTTCTATTTGCATCATTTACGATGTGCTCTACGTGGGTGATGAATGAGAGTTTCTCATCAATGTATACTCCTAGGTCTTTTACTACATGAAGCTTTTCCAGTTCTGCCGTCCCTATCTTATATCTGAAATCTATAGTGTTCGCTATGTTTCTAGTAAGCTTCATGTAATGACATTTTGTTAAATTCAGGAAGATACTGTTTATGTAGCATAGGGTTGGGCATCTTCCCGCGGAATATATTAATCAATACTTTTACATGTATTTTTCCCTTAATTGCTTCTTTCCAAAGTATTCACGTATTTTAATTGTTTTTAAGTTAGGACTTAACAGAGTAAATTATCCGATAGATCTGCAACAACAACTTACCGTATCTTCACGATCTTTTACCTCCTCTACGGTATTTTCGAATCGGAATTTTACAGTGTTGTCACTTGTTACTATGAATATCGTCACTGGTGCTGTACTGTTAAATGGACCTGAAATGTAGGCATATATTAGACGTCAACTTCGTCCAAAGCAATGATTCATTAAATGGGAACTTTAACAATAAACCTTGATTGTGTTTTTCGATCTTAAAATATCTATCTATATGGTTACACTCACATATCGACATTTAAGCTAAAAATTATCACTGGAGCCCATAGGGGAACTTTTTTAGGGGCCGTTGAACTCAATGTCATTGTCGGTTATCTTTCATATGTCAGGTTCAAGGTTTTCTTCAAGGTCAAATTAAGAAAAAATCCCTGTAAAACGAAAAATTTATATCATAGTTTTTAGGTTTCTGAATCTAAATCTCCATTCCCAAAACCTATATGTGGAGAGTCGTCTAAGCAAATTCAAACACTTTTACACAATGTCACCTTGAAATAACCTTGATGTGACCTTGAAATAATCTCTACATAAGCTCGACAGGTAAAACAAACGTCAGATTTGGATTCAGTTACCTCCAAAAGCATACAGGTTCGAATTTTTAAACAGATTATTTATTTAACCCTTTCGTCCCGAATGGTACACATATGTACCAGGCAAATTTAAAAATCCCTGCTTGGGAAATCAAGCATTTTATTTGGTATAAATCTGTACCGGTCCGGTGCATCAGGCTTCCGCAGTATACCTACAACATGCATTGTGGATATCTTGTGGTTATGTCGATTTAGTTAGCACGTGTATGTAGTAGCGGCAGTATTACTCTAATAAAATTAGTTATTTAGGACACTCAAAGTACTTATTTATGCAGTTTTTTGATGAAATTCTATTTGCTATTCAACTGTAATTAGTCTTTTTACAAAGGTAGGCCAAAACTATGTTTAATTTTTGTGTTCTTGCGTGTAATATTCATGTGGTACATATATGTACCAGCCGGTATTTATGGTGGTACACATGTATACCAATATGTCTCTAATTACGTTTATTCAGTTTCAGCTTCAATATGGATCGTCGCCGTCCGCTTTCACAAAAAGAACTGGAAGCGTTTATTGAAGATATTGAAGAAATATCAGATTCGGAACCATTTTCTGCTGACTCCAGTGACAATTAGGAACCAGATTGCGATGAAGAAGCAGGCAGTGATACGTCCGATATTTCTAACTCAGACATCGATTTTGCGCCTTCACCACAGGTAACTGTTGGTAGAAACCAAGTTCTTGACTGGGTCATTCCTGATGAAACATTTGCGCATGCTAAAATCCTTCCTCCTGAAAGAGAATGTAAGCTGGCTCCAGATATCACCAAGCAGTTGACACCTATGCAGATTTTTCATAAAGTATTTCCTCATTCTCTTTATTTGCGCATTGCAAATTGTACAAATGAACGCCTAAAAATCCTAAACCAATTAAAAAGGAGGAATGAGAACATGACTGACAAAGGAGAAATACAGAAGTTAATTGGCTGCATGTTCATTATGTGCTACAATCGCCTCCCAAAAATCAATCACTAACTCTGGGGTCTACAGTCAAAGAAAATAATGTAGTGTTATGTTTTGATCGCTTTTTTACAAGTGTGAATTTGTTACTTACACTAGACTATGCAGCCATGGGAACTTGCATGTCCAATCGCAAGAACGTACCAACTATGGGAGACAAACTGCAAAAAGGGGAATCTCAATTCAGATGCACTTCTTCGGGATTACTTTGTGTAAAATGGCAGGACACAAAGGAAGTTTTGCTGATGAGTAACTGTCATAAGCCCAATTTGACAACAAAAAAAGCAAAACCGGTGAACAACAAAATATCCAATGTCCAGAGGCCGTATCTTTTTACAGAAAAAAAATGCAAGGGGTTGATAGGGCAGATCAATTCATTGGGCTATATTATCATGACCGAAAATCAGCAAAGTGGTGGAAAAAGGTGTTCTACACATTGCTCAATATGTGTGCAGTAAATTCTTGGATCATGTATAATCAAATAAGACGTAAAAATGAGAACACTTCTTTTCTTTATTTCCTCACCACACTTGCAGAAGAATTAATATCTGAAGGTGTACAAAATACAAGCTTACCATTACCAAAACAAGGCGCCCCTTCAAGAAAAAGAAAATTATATGGTGCTTCAGCATTACGTCTCCCTGTGGAGGGATCAACAAGAAGAAGATGCACTAGATGTTCTGAAGAGAAAAACAAACAAGAACAAAAACTCTTTGCCAGGAGTGCAATATTCCATTGTGCAAGTTCTGTTTTATGTTGTATCATACCAAATAGTTATTTAGGTTCATTTTCTTCTTTGCAAAGCTGTTTTTGTATTTTTTTCTAAATAAATAGTCTTATACCATTGTTTTTCGGTTTTTATTAATTTTCCGATCATACCTGTTGGTACGCATGTGTACCACCATAAATGCCTGCTGGTACATATAAGAACCACCCCCTCCACCGTTATCTGACCAATGAAAAAAATATATATTAACAAAAACACATTGTAAGACATCCATCCTAACAATAATACTTTACACTATTTATTATTTGGACTAAGGTATTTAAATTCAGGGACGAAAGGGTTAAATGCTGTATTAAATTTCTCCAAATTTGACCTTGAAGTGACCTTGACCCAACGCGATAGAGGTAAATAAATTTCGAAATTGACACATGCGACAACAACACCTTAAGGTATCCTTAAGGGGGTTCAGTGATAACTCTTACATGAACTGTTATTATTGGAACGTTCAAAGACTTTTACACACAGTGCCCTTGAAATAACCTTGATGTGACCTTGAAATATTCTCTAAATAAGTTCGTCAGGTAAAACAATCGTCAGATTTGGATTCAGAGACCTCCAAAAGCATATAGGTTCGGGTTTTTAGACAGATTGCTTATTTAAACGCTGTAATGAATTTCTCCAAATTTGACCTTGAGGTGACCCAACGCGATAGAGGTCAACAATCCTCGAAATTGAGACAAGCGACTACAATACCCTAAAATACTCCTATGGGGTCCAGTGATAAATCTTAGATGAAATGCTCTTATTGCCAACTCTTGCAAACATACGAGGGACACGCTGTATATTTTGAGATGCGCATTAACTATACTAGTTAAAACCGGCAAATGTGCACTACTAGAAAGAGCAGTCCTTTATTAGTAAGTCTCCGCATTCAGTTCATTTGCAAGCGTCTTACAGTGCACTTGGTGTTAACAAATTTAAGACGAAACATGGAGCTGTACAACATGCATTTGGTAATGAAGCTCCGTCCCGGACAAGTGTGTTTCGCTGGTTTCATTTGGTGATGTAGAACGTAGTGGTAGGCCATGTTCTAGTGTGACTCCAGAGAACATTGCTAAAGTTCAGCGGCTAATTGAAGAAGATTCTCGCTGCACATATGCGACTATAGAGGCAGCTCTTGGGGTAGGATCCGCAACAGTGCACGCCATTTTGGATGATCATCTTCATTCAAAAAAAGTTGTTGCGGAGGTACAATCCTGCATCACGACAATGCATCTAGCCACACTGCCCAACTAACTGTAGACTTTTTACGCCAGCACCACATCAAAATGCTAGAACATCCGCATTATTCACCAGATTTGGCAACGTGTGACTTCCAGCTCTTCAAGAATTTGAAAAAAATCTGCATGGTCGAAAATTTTAGTCCGGAGGAGAAATTAATCAGTTTGTTGAAGACATTCCAAAAACTGACTGGTTAGAAGCAATTCATTTGTGGAGGGCCAGGTTACAGAAGTACATTGATTCTGGAGGAGAATACTTTAAACATAAATAAACTAGTTTTCGAAAAATACGTTTTAGTTTTCGTGTATCTCAAAATATATAGCGTGGCCCTCGTATTTGCTTTAGTGTAGAAGGAGCTTGTGCTAACATACATCCTGTAAGAAATTTGGATCTAGAGTAATGGTTTCCAAAGTAGTCCAGGAGGACTTCTGGCGGTCCACGGGAGACTTAACGGGGGACTACGTTGGCTTAAAAAAGAAGGGTTCTCGAGTTGTAAGTTCCGGTAGTAAAGAACAAAAATTATATCAGATAGATTTTAAGAAAGCCAGCGAAAGGTTAACGTAAGAAGTTCGATAGTCGGTACAAGTTTCCAAACACATGCTCAAAGTCTGATCTGCACGCTGACTTCGAGAATAGATTTCCATAATTATTTTGATTTATTATACTATTTTTTACACTGCTTATTTGTATTGCGGAAGAAGTTACGTTTTACGTCGTTGACGTTTAATCTTATTCCTATTAAACTTTCAATGTTATTCTAACAAATAGGAAATAAAAACTTGCATCGTTAGATCTAATCTTCAAACTTCTCGAGGAGCTCTTAGAATATGGTAGGAATGCAACAGCCTCCCCCTGGACCCCCTTCCACCAAAACAAGCATACCTTAAACTGGTGCATGAGAAAAAAAATACATTTAAATCTTTAAAGAAATCAGGTGAAAGGCACAAAGTATCTGAGTCCTTTTGACAAGAACTGTATTTAAAAAGTTTCCGAACCGGTATAAATTAACAAATTGATATATCATTTTGAGTAGATTGGGGCATCCAACCAAACTTTTGTTTTACCAAGTTCTGATTTCTTATCGATTTTTTTCTATTTAAGTGGCTCTTGTGGTGATCAGTTTGAGCCCGAACGAGCTTAACAGGGACTGTCGATACATGTCTTCGTCCCTTTGCAGAATTATATTTTCTGGGAATCAAACGAAGATATGTCCCACTGCGACTAATGTCAAATCCTATTTTACGTAATTCTTGTGTGAGTTCGTCAAGAGTTTTTACGCTGCGAATTGATTCCGTTCGTCTTCTATCATCTGCTGCACTCCCAAATAAAGCTATATCCGCGATTGTTTTCAATAGTGAATGTTGATTGCTTTCAAGATTAGGAAGTCCCACTGAATCCCTCAGAGATAGTCTTTTTTTTATTTCTGGATTTTCATGACACATATCTTCTAACTTTCCTTTCATACCATCCCTGTGTTGTTTCTGGGCAACTGCGTTTTGAACTTTCCTGTTTAAAGACTATTTTGCTGTTTTTATTTCCTCGCGCAACTTAATGATCTGTTTATCAACTTCAGCACGGCTTGGCATTGTATCTCTGGCAGAATACAAAGCATTCAGATTTTTTTCGAGTAGAGCAATCTTATTTTTCATAGCTTCCTGAGAAGGTTTTGCTCTCTGTTTATCTGTATTTTCATTAATTTCGCATTGCTGTTGTGATTCATTACCGGGTTTTATTTTATCTTATTCCTCTTTTTTAATATTTGAAGCTGACTGTATAATTTGTGTTTTTTCTGCAGGTTTACAGGTTGACTAAAAATAAAAACTTTCTATGGCCTCTGCTAAAGATTCTCTTATTAAGCTACATAAAAGCAAAGTATGGCAATATATGTGGTAAATACAAAACCCTATGGCTTTAAATCTAATATGTTTAAACGAGCAATTCGTTCCGGTTACAAAATACAGGGTGTTAGTTTTCTGTATATATGTATAAAACTAACATCCTGTACTTTGTGACCAATTGACGGAATTAATCGTAAGAAATAAATCTATAATATAATGAATATTACCTCTATACTTTGAGATAGGCCATAATATTTTCTAATCAGTAAAGAGAAACTTTATGACGATTTCTAATATTTCTAGTACTCATAAGTCACTCATCTTAGAAAAAAAATTAGTAGATTGGATTTATTCTTAGTCGCCGCTTGCAATTCTTCTTCGATTCTCTTAGATACAGTAATATCTAGTTCCTTGTCGGATTTTGCTTGTAATTTGTAATTTCGCCACACTTCGTTAACTAACTTTTGTACATTTTGTACTTTCGTACTTGTATGAGATTTTTAGAACTTTCAAACAATTTTTGGTATAACTTGGATTTGTCTATGTGAAACGACATCTTATTTAAACATTAAACTTTGGCTAATGGAATCAATGGTAACACAAATGTTAATATGCTTTACTATGCTTACAATACGTCTACTCGCTATAGTATCCAAACGAAACAATACACTGATAGAGGAAATTTAGACAAGTGAACACCGCGCGGTAATTCCCCTACTCGGTTCTAAAGCGAGTACGGGAATTACTGCGCGCTGTTCACTAAACGTATGCATTATTTGCGGGAATCCCCGAAAATGCGTTTCGTTTTCCAGCAAAGACAATGTGAGGGTTGCCATTCGTGTAAAAAAGTAAACAACTACCGTTGACGTAATCATCATCTAGACTCCCCTACCTCCCATGTCATCCAAAATAAGCAAAGCAAAGAACCCCCCGCCCCCGAAAGTGCTCACGTAATACTTGAACGGCCCCTAAGGCTATAGGGTAAAGGGGGGGAACGCCACACGGACTCCAGCGAAGGAATACGTATGCGTGCAACATGACTACATTCTGGCCCAGGCTTAGAGATCCGCCGGGTGGTACCTCCGCATTCGACAGAGAAGTTCTCTTGGGACTGATTAGGAGACCCATAACGTCTACCACTAGGCCACCGCCGCTGCCTGCGTGGATCCATATGATATAATAACAGACTTACCATGTCCAGTATCATCCTGAACATCTTTTACCATGACATCAAACGAAAAGTATCCGGACATGGTGGCTTCAACAGTAAAGTTCAAGAGGATCATACCACTGTTTTCATCGTTGATATAAAAAGGGTTTGTGATATCTTGGATACCCTCTCCTTTGCGGCTAATCTCTCCAACTATCGAGTACGTAAGTTTTCCTTCGTCTATCTTATCTGCATCTGTAGCCTACAATTGACAAAAATCGAATGGAAAAAATGTGTTTTTAGACTGTTTGGAGATTTGTTCACCTTAAATTACAGGGAGATCGGTTTATAATCTCCTCATTCGCTCCTTCAATCTCTTTATAAAATGGAGTAAAACAGATGAATTTTTTGTCTTAATATTTTATGGAAAGTTATACTGTTATGTATACTAAGTGACATATAAATCTGAACACCCAGTTTAAATGGTTTTATTTTAATAAAAGTTGGTGAATGTATTTATCTTACTGTAAATAACAAGTGAAAAAATTTTCAGCCTTATCAGTTGGACATTCCGGTTTTTATACTGCTTTTTTTTAATTCACTAACGCTCTAAAAATGAATATTTCAGCCGCAGTAAAGAATCAACGTTGGCGGATTTTGGTTCTTGACATCCTTTACGATCGGTTACGATGCCTAGAGTACGGAGACCTGTACGATTTCGTCAACTTAGTGAGTTTGATAGGTGCCGTATAGTGGGACTTCGGGAAGCTGGACCTTCTTTTCGGGCAATTGCAGTTAGAGTGCAAAGAAGTGTAGACACTGTGGTTAGGTGTTGTCAGACATGGCTTCGAGAAGGCCGCAAGTGTTTACACCGACGAATGAGAAGTTTTGGCTTGTTTTCATACCGGCCACACTGGGTCCTCCCTTTAACTCGAGAACACCGACGTAATCGCCTTGAGTGCTGCAGACAACGGTCACTCTGGGATCAGGAATGGAACAGTATTCTTTAGTGACGAGTCTCGATTTTGTTTAAGCATGCACGATGGTCGTGCCAGGGTTAGAAGGCGACGTGGTGAAAGGAGGAATCCACAGTTTTTTATTGAAAGACATGTTCATCACACTGTCGGAGTTATGGTTTGGGGTGCTATAGCTTATGGTTCCAGGTCACCTTTAATCTTCATCAGAGGTAACATGAACGCGCAGCGTTATATCCACGAAGTTCTAGAACCCCATCTTTTACCCTATCTTGACACCCTGGCAGATCCAACTTTCCAACAAGATGATGCCCGACCACATGTTGCAAGAGTCACAATAGACTTCTTTCAACATAATGATGTCACATTGTTACCATGGCCACCAAGATCTCCCGACTTATCCCCAATTGAGCACGTGTGGGATATGAAGGGTAGGAGATTGCTCAATTTGCAACGTCCTCCTCAGACTCTAGAAGCACTTCGAGAAGAGTTGGTGGTTGCCTGGAATGAGATACCACAGGAGGACATTGACCACCTGATCAGAAGCATGCCTAGGCGCGTTGGAGAATGCGTAGCACATCAGTTTGCATCCACACATTATTAAAGGTCAAACGGCTTTAAAGCAGTGCAATCATTTTGAAATTTTTATCATTTACTTATTATGCTTCATTAAGTACTTATACAAAATTTTATTAAAATAAAACCATTTAAACTGGGTGTTCGGATTTATATGTCACTTAGTATATAAAAGATGATATGCATGTAATTTAGATTTACTTTTTACTGGGTTTCGGGAGAAGTATTTTGAATAGCTTATACATCCATACAGTGTCACAAGTAGGGATTTTTTTACACGGGATATATTCCTTGAAAAAGTAAACAGTTTTTCCTAGTTGCATATACACCAAAGGTTTAAAATAACCGAGATACCGCGATTTTAATTTATTGTGAGCGTCTTTAAAATGCTATCGAGGCTTCGCGAGTGTTTGAAGATCACTGTTACAGTTTTTATCATTTAGAGTCACGTAGATTTGTGCAAAGAGCTAGGGATATAGCTCCTTTTGCAGAAATGTCGAGGTGGGCACAGTGGGAGACCTAGTCAACACCGAATTGGTGCAAACTGATGAAGGAGTACTGAATCTTGTAGAAGAAAAATAAACACGAGGTGTTCTGACCGAAGCTACAAATGTGCCCGCTGGCTCTAGTTGGCGGTGGTAGCAGTATTTCCCCTTCCATCCTTGTTTTTCTTCAAATTACAACCGCATCCAGATGTGATTGGCATTTGGGCCTGTCACCAATCATATTTCTGCTCCTGCATTGCTTACATGCCATTGTTCTTTGTTTTTCATCTGAGGTTCAACAAAACCACGTGTGTTTTTAAATGTATTTATCTTCAGATAGTCAATGATAACAACGAGCTAATATTAGCAGCTATGTTGAAGATCGGCTTTGACATTGTAAAATTTCCCTTAGAAAAGATGAGCTCCGCACATGATATATACTAAGTGACATATAAATCCGAACACCCAGTTTCAATGGCTTTATTTTAATAAAAGTTGGTGAATGTATTTATCTCACTGTAAATAACAAGTGAACAAATTTTCAGCCTTATCAGTTGGACATTCCGGTTTTTATACTGCTTTTTTTTAATTCACTAATGCTCTAAAAATGAATATTTCAGCCGCAGTAAAGAATCAACGTTGGCGGATTTTGGTTCTTGACATCCTTTACGATCGGTTATGATGCCTAGAGTACGGAGACCTGTACGATTTCGTCAACTTAGTGAGTTTGATAGGGGCCGTATAGTGAGACTTCGGGAAGCTGGACTTTCTTTTCGGGCAATTGCAGTTAGAGTGCAAAGAAGTGTAGACACTGTGGTTAGGTGTTGTCAGGCATGGGTTCGAGAAGGCCGTACTCAAAGAGCAAGGGGCACTGGACGCCGCCGTAGAACAACAGACCGTGAAGATCGCCGCCTAAGATTATTGGCCTTAAGGGACCGTTTCTCCACTACCAGGTCCATTGCAAATGAATGGTTTGCAGAACACGGAAGACCTATTGGCATGCGAAGTGTTTACCGACGAATGAGAAGTTTTGGCTTGTTTTCATACCGGCCACACTGGGTCCTCCCTTTAACTCGAGAACACCGACGTAATCGCCTTGAGTGGTGCTGACAACGGTCACTCTGGGATCAGGAATGGAACAGTATTGTCTTTAGTGACGAGTCTCGATTTTGTTTAGGCATGCACGATGGTCGTGCCAGGGTTAGAAGGCGACGTGGTGAAAGGAGGAATTCACAGTTTTTTGTTGAAAGACATGTTCATCACACTGTTGGAGTTATGGTTTGGGGTGCTATAGCTTATGGTTCCAGGTCACCCTTAATCTTCATCAGAGGTAACATGAACGCGCAGCGTTATATCCACGAAGTTCTAGACCCCATCTTTTACCCTATCTTGACACCCTGGCAGATCCAACTTTCCAACAAAATAATGCCCGACCACATGTTGCAAGAGTCACAATAGACTTCTTTCAACATAATGATGTCACATTGTTACCATGACCACCAAGACCTCCCGACTTATCCCCAATTGAGCACGTGTGGGATATGATGGGTAGGAGATTGCTCAATTTGCAACGTCTTCCTCAGACTCTAGAAGCACTTCGAGAGGAGTTGGTGGTTGCCTGGAATGAGATACCACAGGAGGACATTGATCAGAAGCATGCCTAGGTGCGTTGGAGGATGCGTAGCACATCAGGGTGCATCCACACATTATTAAAGGTCAAAGAGCTTTAAAGCAGTGCAATCATTTTGGAATTTTTATCATTTACTTATTATGCTTCATTAAGTACTTATACTTTTATTAAATTAAAAGCATTTAAACTGGGTGTTAGGATTTATATGTCACTTAGTATAGTTAGTCAAGTGTTTGCTTATTGCATTTGATATGGATACGTAACAAAAGACCAATTATTTTTTCGATTCTAGATTTAATATTTAATTGTCATTACGGGTACTTATCTAGAAAAAGTGCAAATTATGACGGTGTAATTCATAGTTACCTTAAGCTCTATTATAGTGAACGGTTGTCGATAACCAGTCATAAGTGCACCAAAGTATTGCTTATGTGTGAATTCGGGAGCGTGGTCATTGATATCCAGTACCTGAAATGTATACACAATAGGTATAGTAGGTAATGAATGGATACGTGTGATACGCTTATCTTTTGGCGTTTGAATGTGCTATATTTTCACAAGCATTTCCATTACAGAACTCGTACACAAAAATAATATCGTCGGTTGGAATCTCTTCCTAACGTTTCGCTAGCAAGAGTGGCAAGCTTCTTCAGAGGTCCTTTCATTTCTGATGCTGGATGTAGTGCTACTGAAACGTTAGGAAGAAATTCCAACCGACGACGGGATCTAGACCCGAATCAAGGCAGCAGTTTATCAACTGGCCACGAAAGCCTTAAACAATTTGTCGTAAAATTCCACTTCACAACACTCAAAAATGGAAAAAAGAAACTTTTGAGTTGGCTTTTACAAAAAAAAGGTAGTAGTAACGATAATAATCGTATAACACATAACTTTGACAAACTATATCCCAAGAAACGTCAAGTTGGTATCAAGGCCTTCTATTTTATTTTGAAACTAATTGTATCTCGATTCTTCATCAATGATCTCATCCGTAAAACTCAAGTCAAAATTTTCTTTTTTCCATTTTTTAGTGCTGTGAACCACAAAGGTTTTTACCTGTTCATTTCTAAGACTTCGGCAAGTGATTAATGTGGCGTTGGATTGCAGCCCAGTTACCATGTTCCCAAAATTTTTACATCCTTACCATCGGGAAAATTTAATGCGCAATGTCTGCAACCCGGCGCCGAAGTGCAACGGGAAAATGCATAATCAAAATGCATTTTATTGATTTGGTCTTGTGGTCAGATGAATCGGTTTTTACGATGATGGAATCTTTAATTCTCATAATGAACATATTAGAAAACCGCCATTCTGTAAAGATCCACTCGTTTCAACACAGATTTTCTGGAAATGTCTGGTGTAGCATTTTCAATGGCCAACGTATTGCCACAACGTTTAAATACAAACTCATACTTAGCTTTTCTAGAGAATTACATAGAAAATGTGTTAGATGATGTTCCGTTAGCAACGAGAGTACGAATTTGGTATTAGCAAGATGGTGCCCCACCGCGTGTTCGTCGTGAAATAACCGCATGGTTAAATAATCATTTTAGACAACGATGACTGGCAGAAACGGACCCGTAGTACATCGGCTTGCGAGGTCTCCTGATTTGAACCCCCTGTATTTCTTTTCGTGGGGCGCATGAGCCCAACCAGTGTATGAACAAATTAACACTATTGATCAGTTACAAGAAAGGATAGATGCGTTTCATCAAATTCAAGCAACAACAAATTTCGCGGAAATATACTAAGTGACATATAAATCCGAACACCCAGTTTAAATGGTTTTATTTTAATAAAAGTTGGTGAATGTATTTACCTTACTGTAAATAACAAGTGAAAAAATTTTCAGCCTTATCAGTTGGACATTCCGGTTTTTATACTGCTTTTTTTTAATTCACTAACGCTCTAAAAATGAATATTTCAGCCGCAGTAAAGAATCAACGTTGGCGGATTTTGGTTCTTGACATCCTTTAGGATCGGTTACGATGCCTAGAGTACGGAGACCTGTACGATTTCGTCAACTTAGTGAGTTTGATAGGGGCCGTATAGTGGGGGACTTCGGGAAGCTGGACTTTCTTTTCGGGCAATTGCAGTTAGATTGCAAAGAAGTGTAGACACTGTGGTTAGGTGTTGTCAGGCATGGCTTCGAGAAGGCCGTACGCAAAGAGCAAGGGGCACTGGACGCCGCCGTAGAACAACAGACCGTGAAGATCGCCGCCTAAGATTATTGGCCTTAAGGGACCGTTTCTCCACTACCAGGTCCATTGCAAATGAATGGTTTGCAGAACACGGAAGACCTATTGGCATGCGAAGTGTTTACCGACGAATGAGAAGTTTTGGCTTGTTTTCATACCGGCCACACTGGGTTCTCCCTTTAACTCGAGAACACCGACGTAATCGCCTTGAGTGGTGCAGACAACGGTCACTCTGGGTCAGGAATGGAACAGTATTGTCTTTAGTGACGAGTCTCGATTTTGTTTAGGCATGCACGATGGTCGTGCCAGGGCTAGAAGGCGACGTGGTGAAAGGAGGAATCCACAGTTTTTTGTTGAAAGACATGTTCATCACACTGTTGGAGTTATGGTTTGGGGTGCTATAGCTTATGGTTCCAGGTCACCTTTAATCTTCATCAGAGGTAACGTGAACGCGCAGCGTTATATCCACGAAGTTCTAGAACCCCATCTTTTACCCTATCTTGACACCCTGGCAGATCCAACTTTCCAACAAGATAATGCCCGACCACATGTTGCAAGAGTCACAATAGACTTCTTTCAACATAATGATGTCACATTGTTACCATGGCCACCAAGATCTCCCGACTTATGCCCAATTGAGCACGTGTGGGATATGATGGGTAGGAGATTGCTCAATTTGCAACGTCCTCCTCAGACTCTAGAAGCACTTCGAGAGGAGTTGGTGGTTGCCTGGAATGAGATACCACAGGAGGTCATTGACCACCTGATCAGAAGCATGCCTAGGCGCGTTGGAGAATGCGTAGCACATCAGGGTGCATCCACACATTATTAAAGGTCAAAGGGCTTTAAAGCAGTGCAATCATTTTGAAATTTTTATCATTTACTTATTATGCTTCATTAAGTACTTATACAAAATTTTATCAAAATAAAACCATTTGAACTGGGTGTTCGGATTTATATGTCACTTGTATACGTTTTTCTTTATTAAAAAGATGCCGGACTTTTTTACCTAAGCAATGCACTCTGGGGAAAAATATAAGGCAAATTATTTTTAGCAAATTGAAGGTACATATCGAAAAATTGCGCGTTTCGAAATAGAAAAACATTGGCGTACTATTTTTATTTGGAAAAATCATGCCACTAATCCCCTGTATATGCGCCACTAGTGCATATTAATTTTAAGACTTTTGAATGTGGACAATACTTAGGTAAATCCACATGTCATATTGTAGTTTATTTCAGTTGACGGTTTTGGATATTAACAAAATTGTTTCTTATTTTAAACTTCAGCACTTCAGCACTCCACCCCGTACCTTTCATGCCACTAATCCCCTGTATCTGCGCCACTGGTGCATATTAATTTTAAGACTTTTGAATGTGGACAATACTTAGGTAAATCCACATGCCATTTGTAGTTTATTTCAGTTGACGGTTGTGGATATTAACAAAATTGTTTCTTATTTTAAACTTCAGCACTTCAGCACTCCACCCCGTACCTTTCATGCCACTAATCCCCTGTATCTGCGCCACTGGTGCATATTAATTTTAAGACTTTTGAATGTGGACAATACTTAGGTACATCCACATGCCATATTGTAGTTTATTTCAGTTGACGGTTTTGGATATTAACAAAATTGTTTCTTATTTTAAACTTCAGCACTTCCGCACTCCATCCTGTACCTTTCATGCCACTAATTCCCTGTATCTGCGCCACTGCTGCATATTAATTTTAAGACTTTTGAATGTGGACAATACTTAGGTAAATCCACATGCCATATTGTAGTTTATTTCAGTTGACGGTATTGGATATTAAAAAAATTTTTTATTTTTTAACTGCAACACTCCACCCCGTACCTTTTTAATGAAGTTCTCGAGGAAAAACATGATACATAGAAGACTCCCCTTGAAATCCGATCCTGTGTATCATGTTTCATTTTTGGTCACGACTTGTGAATCACCCTGTATAATATTTACAGATCCGGAAGTAAAAGATCAAAAATCAAAACGTTTATCAAACATTTTCCGGACTTTTTGTTATGCTTAAGAAGAGATGAACTACCTCTTTTTAAACGGTCCTTCTCTTACAATGCGTGCATGTTGTACAACAGCTTGTATTATAGAAAAAAAAAGCCTGCTTCTATATAGTCTTAGAGAACATCGAAAGCTCTTCTGCTTAATGATGCTTTTTAAAGGTGTTTTATATGTACGAGTATAACATTCAAAAAAATATCGCATCTTCGAAATTTTTCGCGATTACTGGCCTAGGAATTAAAGAATGTGGATTCGGCTCATCTTGAGAATCTTTCCATACTCACATTAACGACGATATTGGCATAAGACATTCTGTTTTCGCTGGAAGGATTCGTGTCGTTCGAGGCAACGATCTGAAACTCGCATTTTTCTTGTTTCTCGAAGTCTAGTTTTTGATCCAGCGTTATCATGCCTGTCGCGCTGTTCACTTTGAAGATCGAATGGATAGTTTCGTCATCACTGACAAGGTAATAGAATATCTGCAGATCTGGGTCGTCGATTTGATACTTTGCCTGAAATATTTTTGGAGGGTATAAGGCATTAGGATGTACAGTTTTGTAGCTTCAGTACAGTGTTACCAGGTCTACCGATTTTTTGGTAGTAAGGGGTAGTGAAGCGTCACCCTTTAAATAATGATCACATAGATCAAGTATGTTTCATATACAGCAAAATCAAAACAATCATGTCAATAGCTGCTTTGATAATAATGTTGCAGTGCACAGGATATACAGGGTGGAGAATATGTAACTGACTGGCTTGTATCTTAAATATTAATTTGTGGAATTAAATAAAATACGTCAATTTTTTCATCTTGATCTTTTATTGAAACTCAAAAATTATGTATGAAAAATAATATCAGACAAATGTCCGCCTCTGGAAGCCGCGCAAACTTGAGCCCTCTTGATTACATTTTCCATCATTTTTTGGTAGGTTTCGGGAGGAATATTTTCAATCGCAATATTATTCTTCAGCTGCTCTACAGTATTTTTTTGTTAGCATAAACCTTATTTTTCAAAAATATCCATAAGAAACGTGCGACGAATACCGAAATAGCGCGCAATTAAAATCAGTCAGTTATATATTGACCACCCTGTACTATGGAATACCAAATAAATTCAACTGTTCTCCAATGATCTAGAAAACATTTTGGTTGAGGTAGCAGGAATTCAGTGTTGCCATTCACAGTAGCCATTACATTCCAGCTATCCTACACTCATAGTTAACATGCTGTATATCACCTAGATAATAAATAGATTCATTTACCTGGCATATGGTATAATTTTGGTTAACATCTTCTTCGTAAAAATTCACCTCGAATACTTGAGTTTTGCAATCTACAAACGTCGGTTCTTGTGCATTAGAGAGAAAGTTTACTAAAATATTTATGTTTGAAGTATAATTTGCTTCTCCCGGACTTCGTTCTTCAGGCTTCTTCTTAATATCAGCTGTTAATTGCAGCTAAAATATAAGCACCAACTTATTTTAGAAATTTTTGCTTGTTTTAAAAAGTAAAAAATGATAACATTTAGGTCTTAGTCTGTATATACAGGGTGTCCGCAAAGTTGGGGTATTCCTTTACGCGACGTGTAGATCTTGAAAACATAAGCAATTTTTCTTAGTACCATATACACCAACGTCTTAAGGGAACCGAGATAAAGGGCTCTGCAACATCAAAAATATCTGAATACCGTCCTGTAGCCGCGACCCGCGATATCCCAGACTGGTACCGGCTACTAGCTGAACCCGACGACAGAACTAAGTCGGGGGTCGGCCTAGAATGGTGCAAGTTGAGGAAGAACTACTGAATCGCGTAGACGAGAATCCCTCAACAAGCAGTAGAGATGTGGCTAGAGAAGTGCAAGTATCAAAAACTAAAGTGTAGCAAACGTCCAACGTGTACAAGCCCTTCAACCTGACGATTTTCCAGCAAGAGTGCGGTTTTGTGAGTGGTTGTTGCATCAACATGACAATAATCCGGACTTTTTGAAGTGCATATTGGTGATAGACGAATCTACGTTCACGCGTAATGGGGTGAATAACTTTCGATTTCAGGCAGAGACGTACTTAGCCCTTTTCGTCAACTGGAGAGTGAGTACTTTTTCCTTTATTTTTTTTTACTTGGTCGCCCTCGTTTCACTACACATTACCTTTGTTATTTCAAGGGTAGTTGTTTCTGAAAAGGAAAACCCCAACTTTGCGGACACCCTGTATATCTTGACCGTCTAATAAAGCCAAATGATTTATTAGTTTCGTCAGCTTTTTTTTTTCTTCGCTGGCGATGTTTCCGTTGCCAAAACCACTGGCATTAGATTAAAATAGAAATAGAAAAAAAAGTTCAGAGCAAAACTACCCGACTTCATAGAGTTTAACAAAATAAGGCTCTGAGTACACCAAAGATTATTATAGGGTTTTCTGACAATCTTGGAAATTTATTCATTTGACAGAACGGATTTTGTCGGTTCAGACCTTAATTCCCCAGAGAGATGCCCATTCAGAAAAATCCCGACTCTTAAACCTTTTTTATTTACCTCATATTGACTGTCGAGGTCGGGATTGAAGTTTCCTTTCACTTGAAGTTGGTATACACATTTATCTTTCCCGACCAGCATGAAAAACGTTTCACCTGAAACAAATGAAGAAATCGATGGCAGCACAGGTTGGGTATTACCTATAAAAAATATCCTATACGTACTTAAAACCCGTTTCTTTTGAAAGTAAACTTATACCAACCCTTAGTCGTCTAGTACTGTCAACTCAAGCAATTCTTTGCAACGAGTGGTTAAAACTGAAAAAACGCATTCTTCTTTATAACCAAAAAAATAAATGTAACATGTGATACAGCGTTGAACTAGTATGAAGAATGCTATTAGATACAGTGTGTACTTTTTTCGGGCAAAATTTAAAAACACCATCATGCAGCGCCTAAAAAGTGTCAATGGAATAGCTTCATTAGTTTCTCAACGGCCCCTAATTTAAAATAAGCTGTATCTCCCACAGGTACTGAGATCGCCATACATAAGATCATTATCTTGGGCACCCTGTATATTTATGAATAATGCATTTAACTTAACATGAACCTTATCTGTCCTCCTGGGGTAACTTGTTCTCAATGCTTATAAGTTGAATTCATAACATTTTCATATAAACTAAGGTAAATGTCCCAAACTTCGGCATGTTGAAGGACAGAAACGACAATCTAAATGGTATTGGAAGACTGGAGAAGAAGTATAGATGAGAAAGAATATATTGTAACAATATTTTTAGACTTCAAAAGGGCATTTGAGACTATAGATAGGGAAAAATTGTGAATGAAATTGAGTCAATAAGGCTTTAAAGGATCAGTATTACACGTTTTACAAAATTATTTAGTAAATAGAAGTCATAAAACTAAAGTTGGAAATATTTTGTCAAGTGTTCAAAATATATCAGTAGGGGTGACACAGGGGACTAAATTAGGGCCGTTACTATTCATTATTTATATAAATGATATCTCTGATATTTTAGAACACTGCAAAATTCAAATATTTGCGGGCGATACACTTATATATATAGAGAAAGAGAAAAGTGTATAACAAAAATAGGAAAATAATGGGCAAAATCCGCAGAAAGAGCAGAAAATAGGATAGAAAATCCGAGCGATACGTATTTCTGCTGGTTGGCTTCAATTTTCTCTTTGTAGATCCTGTGGGCTTGAAGTACCACAGCAAGTGGCTATAACCGGCCGCGTGGTTGTGGTTATTTGTCGCCTTGAAAATTCGAGGTCTTCTAGCAATTTTATACTACAATGTGTAGGTTGGCTCTTGTTGTGGACTTCGTGTGTCTTTTTTTCCTCTCCATCTTTGTTTCCAAAGGTTACACCCGTATCCGGATGTATGGGCATGTGTCTCTACTTTTGTAGTTGCATATGGCCTGATGAAGCCAACCAGCAGAAATACGTATCGCTCGGGTTACCTACCCTATTTTCTGCTCGAATTCACTTTTTGCGGATTTTGCCCATTATTTTTTGTTATATATATATTTTGGACACTGCTTTAGAACAGTTAAATAGTGATATTAAAAACATTATGAACTCGTTAAATGTCAATAAACTTAAATTAAACACTAATAAATAATTAGGCTCATGATTAATGATGAAAAAATTGAAGTAGTCGTGTCATTTAAATATCTTGGTATATATGTGAATAGTAAGCTACTGTTTTACGAACATTATGAATACATTATTTCAAAAATATCGAAAAAGATAAATTACTTCTATAGAGTTTCCCATAATTTTAGTATGTATTCCAAAAAAAATGTGTATAACGCTATAATTCTTCCCCATTTTTTATATTCAACCATCATGTTTACAGCAAATAAAAACATATTTTCAAAATTACAAATTCTACAAAATAAAGCTAGGAGAATCATTTTAAATAAAAACAGATATACTAGGATTAAGTCTATGTTAGAAGAACTGCAGTGGTTGGATGTGAAAAATTTCATGCATTATTTAGTTCTCGTTTTTATATTCAAATTAAAAAATCATTCATTACCACCACATTTAGATAACTTCACAAAATTAAATAGTCATTATCATAACTACGAAACTAGAGGCAGTATAGATTTTCATCTGCAAAATTGTTATAGTAGCATAACTAGTAAATCTATATTTCAAAAGGCAGTATTTGAATTTAATAAATTGTATAATGATATTAAACAAAGTTCGAATTAAAAAATGTTTAAGGTGAAATTAAAAAATCACTTTATGAATAATCAAAATACATAGTGACGTAATTCTAATTTTAATTTTAATAGACAAGAATGTAAAATTACAGAAAATGGATTGATGAAAAATATGTAACCGAATCATTATACAAAATTGACATTGTAGCATTAATGCTAAACAAATCTTCAACAACAACAACATTTTTTTTTTAAATACAACAGAATAGTCTTGGAATAGTCCGAACTTTATTTTTGAAATATCCTGTATACTATTTTCAATTTTAAAGGTGAAACCTTATCAACTTCTTTTCAAGAATCCCCAATCTATCTCGACATTGGTGGTGACTTTTCGTGCGATTTTTTGATTACATTTTGGCATTTTTTACTCACTCACACTGTCTACATTATTTATTATTATTATTATTATGATAATTGAGATGAGCAGAGTACACAGTACTATAAGCTCATGCAGTAAATATAGTGTACGGACACGTAACACAAATACATCAAATAGACAAAAATAAAAAAGACAGTTCATATAAAGTTTGTACACTCCTCCAGCTATCATACTTCACTTTGAAGCTATTAACTGAAGTAGCACCAACCACACTTTCAGGTAAACTATTCCAGGTGTTGAATATGCGGTTGGGAAGAAACCACTGTTGGACTGTTGTTTTAAATGGCTCCTTATGCAGTTTGAAGCTGTGTCCGCGTAGATTGCTGCGCGACAGACGGTATAGATGCATGAGGTTGGTGCCCATCAAACCATGAAGTATCCTGAACGTAACTATAAGATCGCCACGAAGTCTTCGCTCAGAGAATGAGTAGCCGGACGCTGTACTGATTCGACGAGATTTCTATCGCGCAGAAGCACAGTGTCCCATACCGGGCCAGCGAATTCAAGAATTGGCCTCACGAATGCCTTGTAAATGTAGGCGCAAGTGTTGACATCGGATCCTTTGAAAGACCTCTCCAGCATGAATAGAAGTTTCTTGGCTTTTGATGTAACGTGGTGAATATGCTCTGACCAGGAAAGACGATCGTTGACTACAACGCCCAGATTAGTGTGGCTGGAAACTGCTTCGATTTTGTGGTCAGAGATCTTGCATGTAAATCGCGGATTTGTCTTCCCGAGGTGAAGGACACAACACTTAGTTAGATTTAAGGGTAAAAGCCAACTGACTGACCATTGACAAACAATATCAAGATCTCGTTGAAGCATAGCTGAATTTACGACAGTATTGTAAATCTTGGTGTCGTCGGCATAAGCTGAACATGTGAAGGAAATCAATGCGGGCAGGTCACTTGTATACAGAAGGAACAGCACTGGCCCCAAGACAGAGCCTTGAGGAACTCCAATTGCTACATGATGAAGGTGAGACTGGGTATCACTGACGCGCACAGAGAAAGTCCTCCCGGTGAGAAAAGCCTTAATCCACAGTAACAACTCGCCTCTTATTCCCATACATTCCAACTTAAATAGAAGCCTTCTATGTGGTACGCGATCGAAAGCCCTAGAAAAATCTAAGTAGATTATACCAACAGGAGTCTTTGTGTCCAGATACTGAGTCCAATCGTTGAGAGAGTGGAGAAGGTTGGTCATTATTGATCGACCAGGGAGAAATCCATGCTGATTCTTAGGGATAAGGTCATTTTCGAAAGCAAATGACAGGAGCTTATCTAATATGATTCTTTCAGCTATTTTGGCGGCGATAGGAACGAGACTTATTGGTCGATAATTTTTAGCGGAGGATTTGTCGCCCTTTTTGAATACAGGGGTAACAGAAGCACTAAGCCAGCATGAGGGTAGGGTATGAGATCTAAAAGACGATGTGAATATCAAGCTTAATGGTAGGGCCAGTGCTGAAGCGCAGTTTTTAAGTACAGCAGCCGTCATCCCATCTTTACCAGGGGAGGAAGAGGTCTTCAGATTTCGCAGGTGCATTAATACATCTTCAGGCAAGAACTCAACTTCGCAAAGGCTGTTGGGACACCTATGGCAGATAGTGGTCGGTAGAAGGTCTCCATTAGGCTCATCGACGAAGTCATCACTACAGGACTCTGCCAGTAAGTTGGCAGATTCGGTGGCATCCATGTGGATATTACCGTCAGCGTCGCGGATCTGAGGTGATGAAACTTTGGAATTCAGGTTTGTTCTTAGATACCGAAACAGCTTCTTCTTATTTTTGGAGGTAACGAGTTTTCGTTCATAAGCATGTTTGGCATTATGTAACGTTCTAGATAGGAGGTTAGAAAAGGATCGATGAGACACGTAATCTTGTGAATGGCCACTCCTCCTAAACCGTTGCCACAAAGATCTCTTGTGACGAAGCATCCTCGATATGTTAGAGTTGATCCAGGGCTTTGAGGGGTCACAGTATACCTTCTTTTCAACAGTATTGTCAGCCGTTTCGCTTAGGACTCGTTGAGCGAAAGGGTCCCACATATCTTGGGTGCTACGGTTGTTAAGCAAAGCAGGCCAGTTGACTTCAGACAGGGCTTGGTTAAGAGCATCGTGGTTTACAATTTTGATGGTTTTAAACTTATCGGTTGTAGAACGACTATTTATATTGAACTGGAGAGAAGATAAAAGTGAACAGTGGTCAGACTTGCCAAAAGGTGGCAAATAATCTAAATTAGAAACAAAGTCGTCTATGATCAAAATCAGTCATTACGCTTACCTGCAGGCTTAATTTGTTTGAAATATATATCCGTATCCCATCTAATACATGAATTTGTATGAATGTTATCAGCCACAGAGAAGTCTTGTAGATGGTCTTTGCTTCTAAATAATATCAAAGGACTGTTTTGTTGTTGCACCTTGAATAAAGAAGAAGGAAATTTTTACTTGAATGCTTAGTCTTCAAAACTTGGACTAGGTTCAAGTGCAATAGGAGTAATGCTTGATGCGTTTGCTACACTATTAGAGAATATTTCCGGGAATACTTTAATATCCGGGAAATGATCACAGTCTATAAGCGAGGTTTTTGGCCCTGTAAATAACTAAAATTTCAAGCTGATTTCAACCATAAACTTTTTGCAATTCAATATTTTAAAATAAATGCATTCTAAATTTTCAACAACGTTTTACTTTTTATTTTAATAGATGATTGTTTCTTAGAAGCTAAAAGTTCGCAATTTCGATATTTTTGTTCAAACTTTACTCGTGTCCTACTCCAAATCCGTAATAAAAAAAGTAGATTGACTCTATACTTTCCAAGCCCACGAAACAGATTCTAGTACAATTTCTCACTTAGTGCAATGGACACAAAAAGACGTGGATTTTGTCACAAACATTATGGCACTATTTGAGATTTTCATGAAAACAAAATATACACGATTGCCTCATTCTCTTGGTGCTCTGGTGTAAAACTGTCAAAAATATTTGATAGCTCACGAAATCAATTAAATTACACTAAAAACATAATGTATATGATGGTAGGTATGCATTATCGCGCCGTCTACTACCTGCTTTTATAAGTCTTTCGGGTCCATAACCAAAGATGCAATATTTTGCGATTTAGGGGCCGTTCAAGTATTACGTAAGCAGATTTATTACAATTATTTACCCCCCATCCCCCTTGTCAGCAAAAGTAAGCAAAGCTCTTACCCCCTCCCCCCATGCTTACGTAAATATTTGTCAATTAATGTATTGTTTTTTATTAATATTATAATTATAACGTTATAATTATAATTTGAAAAATAAGAAAATAGATTTAGGATAGAGATTATATTTTACTGATACGGTAAAGGACAAAAATATTATATCTTACTAACATAACAAACTTATTTTAAATTTTTGGTACATATACTAAATTCAAATTAACACGATTGCCTCATTCTCTTGGTGCTCTGGTGTAAAACTGTCAAAAATATTTGATAGCTCACGAAATCAATTAAATTACACTAAAAACATAATGTATATGATGGTAGGTATGCATTATCGCGCCGTCTACTACCTGCTTTTATAAGTCTTTCGGGTCCATAACCAAAGATGCAATATTTTGCGATTTAGGGGCCGTTCAAGTATTACGTAAGCAGATTTATTACAATTATTTACCCCCCATCCCCCTTGTCAGCAAAAGTAAGCAAAGCTCTTACCCCCTCCCCCCATGCTTACGTAAATATTTGTCAATTAATGTATTGTTTTTTATTAATATTATAATTATAACGTTATAATTATAATTTGAAAAATAAGAAAATAGATTTAGGATAGAGATTATATTTTACTGATACGGTAAAGGACAAAAATATTATATCTTACTAACATAACAAACTTATTTTAAATTTTTGGTACATATACTAAATTCAAATTAACAGTCTTCAGTCCATGAAACTCGAATCCATGATTCTAAGTTTTCGATGACATTGGATTGCTTCGATTGCTGCTCAGTGTTGTGAGTTTGCTCGCTTTCATCGGATTTTGGAATGTCTACGTCGTTCTCATCGAGCCATTCAACACCATGGTGCACTAAATTTTGAATAATGCACATCAGTTCATTAGCACGACGAGCAGCGACTCTTACAGGTCTAACTTTCCTATCAATGTGCGACTAATGCAAATCCTATTTTACGTAATTCTTGTGTGGGTTCATCAAGAGTTTTCACGCTGCGAATTGATTGCGTTCGTCTTCTATCATCTGCTGCACTCCCAAGTAAACCTATATTCGCGATTGTTTTCAATAGTGAATGTTGATTGCTTTCAAGATTAGGATGCCCCACTGAATCCCTCAGAGATAGTCTTTTTTTATTTCTGGATTTTCATGACAAATATCTTCTAACTTTCTTTTCATACCATCCCTGTGTTTCTTCTGGGCAACTGCGTTTTGAACCTTCCTGCTTAAAGACTGTTTTGGTGTTTTTATTTCCTCGCGCAACTTAATGATCTGTTTATCAACTTTAGCACGGCTTGGCATAGTATCTCTGGCAGAATACAAAGCATTCAGATTTTTTTCGAGTAGAGCAATCTTATTTTTCATAGCTTCCTGAGAAGGTTTTGCTTTCTGTTTATCTGTCTCTTCATTAATTTCGCATTGCTGTTGTGATTCATTACCGGGTTTTATTTTATCTTCTTCCTCTTTTTTAATATTTGAAGCTGACTGTATAATTTGTGTTTTTTCTGCAGGTTTACAGGTTGTCTAAAAATAAAAACTTTCTATGGCTTCCGCTAAAGATTCTCTTATTAAGCTACATAAATACAAAGTATGGCAATATATATGGTAAATACAAAACCCTATTGCTTTCAATCTAATATGTTTAAACGAGCAATTCGTTCCGGTTCTGTATATATGTATAAAACTAACGTCCTGTACTTTGTGACCAATTGACGGAATCAATCTTAAGAAATAAATCTATAATATAATGAATATTACCTCTATACTTTGAGATAGGCCATAATATTTTCTAATCAGTAAAGAGAAACTTTTTGACGATTTCTAATATTTCTAGTACTCATAAGTACCTAAAATGATTTCGTCACTCACCTTAGAAACAAAATTTAGTAGATTGGATTTATTCTTAGTCGCCGCTTGCAATTCTTCTTCGATTCTCGTAGATACAATAATATCTAGTTCCTTGTCGGATTTTGCTTGTAATTTGTAATTTCGCCACACTTCGTTAACTAACTTTTGTACATTTTGTACTTTCGTACTTGTATGAGATTTTTTAAAACTTTCAAACAATTTTTGGTATAACTTGGATTTGTCTATGTGAAACGACATCTTATTTAATCATTAAACTTTGGCTAATGGAATCAATGGTAACACAAATGTTAACATGCTTTACTATGCTTACAATACGTCTACTCGCTATAGTATCCAAACGAAACAATACACTGATAGAGGAAATTTAGACAAGTGAACACCGCGCGGTAATTCCCCTACTCGGTTCTAAAGCGAGTACGGGAATTACCGCCCGCTGTTCACTAAACGTATGCATTATTTGCGGGAATCCCCGAAAATGCGTTTCGTTTTCAAGCAAAGACAACCGATGACGTAATCATAATCTAGACTCCCCTACCCCCCATGTCATCCAAAATAAGCAAAGCAAAGACCACACCCCCGCCCCCCCATAGTGCTCACGTAATACTTGAACGGCCCCATAAAAACCCCCTTTTGCGATGTTCTTGCTAAATCTGGACAGACTTTTACGTACTTTAAAATACTTACAGATAGCAATATGAAGTTTTGTTCATCTTTTTCAGGATAGACAAACCTAGGCTCAATGAAATTGAATTTCTCTAATTTCAACGTACTTTTGTAGTCGCCACATAGACGAGGTTCACCCTTGTCGCATAGCTGAAAATTCAATACACAACTTTTCAAAAGTGAGTAAGATAAGGCGACGGTTCTGTGCAAGGACGTACCCTAGCTTAGCAAAAATCACATCTGAAGAAATTTTTTTACAAACATTAAATTATTCAAGTACAGCTGAATCAATATTTATTAGATAAAAAATTACTAGGATCAGTTGCAATCTATGTTAGATATAAGCTTAATTTTGTTGAAATCACTATACAGGGTGCTTGAAAAACAGACGGAGATATTTTAGAGGGTGATTTGACATTTCCAACATTTATGTCATGGTACCTATTGGAAAAGTTTCAGTCTTTCCTGGACTTTTTTTTGATTTTTTAGCGAAAACTAATATAACAAATTTGACATGACATGAAATAAAACGGTTTTTATTTTTTTTTGTCGAAAACGAAGTGAGATACGGTATCGAAAGTAATGTCAAATTCAAAATTCCAACGAGTTTTGTTGGTAGAGTTATTGAGAATGTTTCATCAAGCTGAAACCGAGATAAAAGAGATCCTAATGATTCTGGGTTATAGAATTATGTTTCCTTGGAATATTCCATTTACTATTTTAGTCAGTATCAAAATTTCTATCCTCTTGGTTTTAGTTAAATAAATCATATTTTTATTAACTCTACTAACAAAATTCCATGGACTTTTCGATGTCAGAAATGACACAAATTTATTTTCCATAGGTCATTGCTTGGGTGAAAAATAGTTATTTATTATACAAGGGGAAAAAGTACTAGATGTTAGCTTGAGGTTATATCGAAAGCTAATCTAGTATTTTTCCCTCGTATAATACACAATTGTTTTCTGTGACGACGATTTAGTATTGAAAAATTATATTATACTAAGTGACATATAAATCTGAACACCCAGTTTAAATGGTTTTATTTTAATAAAAGTTGGTGAATGTATTTATCTTACTGTAAATAACAAGTGAAAAAATTTTCAGCCTTATCAGTTGGACATTCCGGCTTTTATACTGCTTTTTTTTAATTCACTAACGCTCTAAAAATGAATATTTCAGCCGCAGTAAAGAATCAACGTTGGCGGATTTTGGTTCTTGACATCCTTTGCGATCGGTTACGATGCCTAGAGTACGGAGACCTGTGCGATTTCGTCAACTTAGTGAGTTTGATAGGGGCCGTATAGTGGGACTTCGGGAAGCTGGACTTTCTTTTCGGGCAATTGCAGTTAGAGTGCAAAGAAGTGTAGACACTGTGGTTAGGTGTTGTCAGGCATGGCTTCGAGAAGGCCGTACGCAAAGAGCAAGGGGCACTGGACGCCGCCGTAGAACAACAGACCGTGAAGATCGCCGCCTAAGATTATTGGCCTTAAGAGACCGTTTCTCCACTACCAGGTCCATTGCAAATGAATGCTTTGCAGAACACGGAAGACCTATTGGCATGCGAAGTATTTACCGACGAATGAGAAGTTTTGGCTTGTTTTCATACCGGCCACACTGGGTCCTCCCTTTAACTCGAGAACACCGACGTAATCGCCTTGAGTGGTGCAGACAACGGTCACTCTGGGATCAGGAATGGAACAGTATTGTCTTTAGTGACGAGTTTCGATTTTGTTTAGGCATGCACGATGGTCGTGCCAGGGTGAGAAGGCGACGTGGTGAAAGGAGGAATCCACAGTTTTTTGTTGAAAGACATGTTCATCACACTGTTGGAGTTATGGTTTGGGGTGCTATAGCTTATGGTTCCAGGTCACCTTTAATCTTCATCAGAGGTAACATGAACGCGCAGCGTTATATCCACGAAGTTCTAGAACCCCATATTTTACCCTATCTTGACACCCTGGGAGATCCAACTTTCCAACAAGATAATGCCCGACCACATGTTGCAAGAGTCACAATAGACTTCTTTCAACATAATGATGTCACATTGTTACCATGGCCACCAAGATCTCCCGACTTATCCCCAATTGAGCACGTGTGGGATATTGTGGGTAGGAGACTGCTCAATTTGCAATGTCCTCCTCAGACTCTAGAAGCACTTCGAGAGGAGTTGGTGGTTGCCTGGAATGAGATACCACAGGAGGACATTGACCACCTGATCAGAAGCATGCCTAGGCGCGTTAGAGAATGCGTAGCACATCAGGGTGCATCCACACATTATTAAAGGTCAAAGGGCTTTAAAGCAGTGCAATCATTTTGAAATTTTTATCATTTACTTATTATGCTTCATTAAGTACTTATACAAAATTTTATTAAAATAAAACCATTTAAACTGGGTGTTCGGATTTATATGTCACTTAGTATATTACAACATTTAAGTCTTGAATTTTGAAATTAGGCTATGTTGTACTTATAGCTAAGGAAACTTTTGAAGTAATCAAATAGCTGACAATTTAATTTTGTGATTTGATTTAAAAATTGCGAACTTAGCGGTGTTTAGAAGTTATTTTTAATACTATAAAGCAAGAAATGTCTGATTCCGATTCTTTGACTTCACCGGAGTTGGTAAAAGTAGCCAAAATGATTGCCAGCTAAATCGCTGAAAATTTACGAAACCTCGTATTCAAGATCTATGGAATGGAAGATGAAAAAAACATGCAGTTCTTTATCGGAGACAATCTTACTGGCTTATTTTTCTGAATGGGCACAACAACAAGATCCATCAATGGTGTGCTCGAATTACTCAATGACCAAAAGCATGTTACGATTCAATAATAATGTAGACATTTCAAAATAATCACATTTCTGAAACAAAATGGGAAAGGTTACGAGCCCAAGAAAGCTGAGATCTTTACGAGTACACAAATTAGTGATTTTTTTTAGATAATGTCCACGATGAAGTTTATTTAGTGGCCAAGGTTGTTGTTGTATTTGGGACTGCAGGAGCTTGTCGTATCTGTGAAATCAGCCAGGTAACTTTAGATGATATTGACGATTCGGGAACGTTATTAATTGTGAAACAAATAATGATGTAAACAGGAGATTTGCAGTTGCTGAAAAATATATTAAATTTTACAATGTACATATAGCCCTTCGTCCAGCAGCACCAAAGGATCGCCGTCTGTTTTATGCATATCACAATGGAAAATGTATCAATCAGGTTGTGAGTAAAAAAAATTTCATAAGGCTCCCGAATCAGTGACTAATTGTCTTCACCTTGAAAATGCTAACTCATGTACAGGTCATTCATTTCTAAGATCGTCTGCTACACTTTTAGTTGAATCTGGGGGAGACATGGCGGTTGGAAGTCATCAACGATCGCTGAAGGTTATGTTGATGAATCGGTAGCACATAGAACAGAAATAGCTACGAGGGATGTCTTTTAAGTTTTGCATATAGAAACATAGTAGGCCGCGCAGTACTAAATCATAACCTCACTCTTTAGTAAACTTAAATTCAAAGTTTCATAACAATACGTACAGGGTTCTCACTACAGAGAATTTTTAAGTGTCACCAAGTCATTAGAAAAATGGAACTCAACCGAGAACATTTTCGTGCCATAATTTATTACAACTTTCAGAGACAATTATCGCAACAAGAACGCCTTGCTGAGTTACTGTCTGTTTTCGGCAACGAAGCGCCACATCAGTCGACAATTTCCCGTTGGTATGGAGAATTGAAACCAAAAGCGGGTCAAATTGCAACAATCCCTCTATTGGCATACCACCATTTGTTTGCCAAAAGTCATCACCGAGCTTTGATAAATCAACCCCGAAAGAAGAATCATCCTCCACCAAGACAATGCAAGCTCGCACACAGCCCAAAAAACAAGGCATTATTTAACAGAAGAAAACGTGGAATTATTGGACCATCCTCCATTAAGTCCCGATCTAAGTCCTAACGATTTCTTTACTTTCCCGAAAATTAAAGACAGACAGCGTGGTCAAAGGTTCCAGTCATCAGAAGGAGCAGTTGACGCATTCAAAAATGCCGTTTTGGATCTGCCAGCAAACGAGTGGAATAAGTGCTTCGAAAAATGGTTCGACCGTATGCAGATGTGTATTAATCTTCGTGGAGAACACTTCGAACAACAATAAAGTCATCTAAAACTATCTACCGTGTTGTTTTATTTCCATATGCAAAACATAAAAGACATCCCTCGTAATAAAGTGTTTAGAACTTGTAGGTAGTGCTGAAATAACACCGGATTTGCAACCAAGGACATCAACGGGAGTTGTGATGGCAGAAAAACATAATTTCAACACAAGAAAATTCGACTGTTGTACCGAATAGTTTAAGGAACGTGTCATTCATGCAAAGCACGTTTAACAAATGTACTTTTGATATAAAGAAAATGTAACTTTATTGTATAATAAAATATTCTAAAATTAAATATCTACCTTTGCTTATGTGTTTATACAATATCATTTTTTTGCCGGGGAAAAAGTAATTTCATAAAAAGTGACAGTTTGTTACCTGTCAACAGGGATGAAATGTCAAACTTTTTTCCTATCACAGAATAAAATAATAAATAAATAAATAATAAAACGTATTCAGAATTTCTCGCAGAAGGAATATCGAATTAAAATGTATATCATTCCATTTGAAAAACAAAAGTTGTTATCAGTTTCTAAAAAACTGTAGATCTACCAACATCGTGGATATCATCAACGGATCCGACGTGGTTTCGAACTTAAGCCTAATAACACTGATCAACAGCCAAAAAATATCCTAAATAAAATCAACAAAATATTACTATTTTTAATGTGCTAAAACCGGAATGAAACTTATTTTTTCAATATTAGTTCAAGTTTTAGAGATACGGTAATTATATGTGTTCCTGCTGTGACAGTGTTAATATACTGTAATTCACAAGAATGCACGTGCTACATTTTTATATTCGGCAAGGAAAGATGATGTAATCGGCATGATTGTGTTACGTTATACATACGTATACATTATATTGTTTTATATTAGCCATTTTTTCCTCAGTTGGCTGACAGCGTTCATGCAAGATGTCTCGAAAGTGTGTAAACAATCCAGATCAGTTTTGTTACGTGTGTGGTGATGTGACTTTTGCGTCTCAGAGACGGACTATTACTCCACTAATAACAAAGGCATATCAGCTTTATTTCGGTTGTAAACTAGGTGATTAAGACAAACAGTGGGCACCCCACATCTGCTGTAATACATGTGCTTCAAGTCTGAGGAGCTGGTTAAATGGCAAAAAACGGTCTACGCGCTTTGCTGTCCCAATGGTTTGGAGAGAGCCTACAAATCATACTAATGATTGTTACTTTTGCATGGTACCTTGTGTTGGACAAGCCACAGGTATGTCCAAGAAAAAAAAATCGGTTATTAACTACCCAAACATACCATCTGCGATGAGACCTGTGCCTCACAGTGACGAAAATCCTATTCCAAAACCCCCAGAATCCTACACTTGCGAATCAGAAAACGAATCAGAACATGGCGATCGAGTGATTCATCAGGAAGAAGATGTGCCATCAACGTCAAGACATCTTGATTTTATACCGAGCACGTCATGCCACCAACCGCACAAAATAACACAGTCAGAATTAAATGATCTTATAAGAGATTTAGAACTTCCAAAATGTAAGGCAGAGTTAGTTCAACATTGAGTTTAAAGGCAGTATTATTGCATTTTGGAAATATTTTACCATCTCTTCCTGTAGGGTATGCAGTTCACATGAAAGAATCATATGACAATATGAAGTACCCATGCATAAAATACGATGAGCACCAATGGCATATTTGTGGCGATTTGAAAGTTGTTGCACTTTTACTTGTGCTGCAGCTAGGCTACACAAAGTTTTGCTGTTTTTTGTGTGAATGGGACAGTCGAGCAAAGGCACTTCATTACACCAGACAAAACTGGCCTGTTCGTCAATTCCTAGAGCCAGGTCAAAAAAATGTACAGCATATGCCATTAGTAGATTCGAAAAAAATTTTATTACCACCACTGCATATCTAGTGGGTCTAATGAAAAACTTTGTCAAGGCATTAGATAGAGATGGGTCAGCTTTTCAATACCTGCGTCAGAAATTTCCAAGACTAAGTGAGGCAAAGGTTAAAGAGGGTATTTTTGTTGGGCCACAGATTCGAAATATTTTGAAAGATACACTGTTTGAAAACACTTTAACAGGTATTGAAAAAACTGCTTGGAATGATTTCCGTCTGGTGGTCACTAATTTCTTGGGAAATAGAAAAGCTGACAACTATAAAACCCTTGTCAAAAATATGCTGTCATCGTATCAAAAGATGGGCTGTAATATGTCTCTTAAGATACATTTCCTACACTCACACCTGGACTTTTTTCCTGACAATTGCGGAGCCGTAAGTGATGAGCACGGCGAACGTTTTCATCAGGATATTTCAACAATGGAAAAAAAGTACCAGGGAAAGTGGAATCCTGCCATGCTTGCAGACTACTGTTGGACTCTTGGTAGAGATGCTCCAGAAACGATCCATGAAAGGGCAGCAAAAAGACAGCGCATATAGTGATTCTATAAGTATATGAATTTTGTTACTTTTTTTAATATATCCTTAAAAATAAAAAGTTTTTTTCTAAACCGCAACTAATTTTTTTATTTCATTGTCATTTTTGGATTCAGCGCCCCAAAATTAACAAAGAAGTGCACTTTTCCCACAAGATACAATTAAAAAACTAAAATTTGTTGTCCAGTGTAATTTAAAAAAAAAACATTCGTCAGATATTTGATGCATTCCAAACTTTGTTACAGTCTGTATATTACTTACATGAAAAGAAACCGTGTACGTTCCAAAATATCCTTGTAAGTCCTCTTTAGCCATGAAGCTAGTTTTCTTGTGTGTTTTGTCCACAGAAGTTCCGTCTCGCAAGACGCTAAACAGATGAGAGCAGTCTGTTCCATCTTTACCTTCCACAAAAGTAATACTAAATTCTATTTCAGCGTTAGCACCTTGGTCCCTGTCTTCAGCTATGATTTCCTGGACGAGCTGGCCCTGCAAAAAATAACGCATTCTGAAGAAGAATCTCTGTTATTTAGCCTAAAGAAAACGGGCACCAAATTAGTAGCAGTCGAACATGCAAAGTTAACGTACTTCAGTTTTTCCCAAAACCAGTTGCATCTGACAGATTTTCCGCTCTAGATCAGCAAAGAAGGCTACGCCTCCCCAACACTACTACCAGGTCGCGTTTTTGAGAAAAACAGCCTTATTTCAATACTGTTCGTTCAACAAGGATTGGCTGCGGAAGTGAAAGTCGGTAGTATCAGTATGGAGACAATGCTGTATTTCTCAAAAACGGTGAATTTTATCAAAATCAAAGCAAAATACGTTTTGGACAAAGAATGAGGCTGTTCAAAAATATTAAATTAGTACAGGGTGGGGCATAACTGTCTCCCTATTTTCAAAGCTTAATAAAACAAATGTTATTTGGAATACTATGGATTTATTTTGAAATCATAAAAGTGCAACTCAAACAGTTTTATTTTATGTGGTTTTGAAAATTATATCGGCAAGGTGCTTTCCACCATTATCACAGCATTGCTGAAGGAGGCAATCCGTCTGGAAATTGGCCGAATACCGCAGGCAATGTTAGTTAGAGTTATGCAAAACTTCAGAAAGCGCTTGCGGCAATGCTGTGATAATGGTGGAAAGCACCTTGCCGATATTATTTTCAAAACCAGATAAAATAAAACTGTTTCAATTGCACTTTTAAGATTTCAAAATAAATCCATAGTATTCCAAATAACATTTGTTTTATTAAGCTTTGAAAATAGGGAGACAGTTATGCCCCACCCTGTACCTACTGTTGAGTCACTATTATATAGAGTGGTTAGTTCATCCTTGGAAAACTCAGTGAGTTAATTATTTCTCATACTGATATAATTCAAATAACGTGATCACTGACAATATACAGGGTGGCGCATCGAAAACGAAAAAAAAATCACGTTAGCCCCTAAGCGGGGGTGACACCACCCCCAAAATTTTAAATGGAAAGGGATAAAGGGAATTGAAAGACCTTTAAAATAAGGTATCACTCGACCCCCCTTTCTATTTAAGATTTTAGGGTTGGTGTCACCCCCGCCCAGGGGGCTGCACGTATTAACGGGATTTTTTGCCAAACTTGTGTCCACTTCGAAAACAAAATCGACGGGTCTGAGCGTTTTTCCAAAAAAAAAAAACTGTTTCGTTTTCGATGCGCCACCCTGTATACAGGGTATCGCAGCGGAAATTGAAAGTTTTTTCATACGAAAGCTATATAAATTTTTCGAAAATGTTTTGGGCGATAAGATGGATGCACACTTTATAGGTGTGTAGCCATAAATTATTTGAAAATATACAGGGTGTTGTACAATTCTGTGAAGCAACAAGTAAGCTTTTTTTTAATGGAACACCCATATTAGATTTTTGGAAAGACCTTTCGGGAACAAGAATATTCATATAATATTCTGTACGATTTTGATCGTCATTTATTTAGTAATATTATCATTGGTCAACACGCATATCCTTGAATGTTTAGAGGAATATCTTGCGGCCAGAGCCTGCAAAGCTTCTCTGGGAGACCATAGGATAGAAGTTTGCATAAGATGACAGCATGTCACAACTGACCAAAGGCTTTCGTGATATGAAGAGCAACGATCTGAGCCTCACCATTAGACTGGATGAGCTTACTTCACAATTGCGTGACGTAGGCTAATAGATCCTCTGTGGATCGCTGGTGCCGGAAACGATACTGCCAGTAGTCGTCTGTGTTCCTTTTTTGGGATGGGTTGGACATGAGCAAATTTCCAGTTTTCTTGTAGTGTGCCGTAAGATATATGGAATAGACACTTACTTTTGCTGGCAAGGTGGAGGGATCGGTTAATCATCATAAGATATCTCTCAAAAGCATTCCTTAACCCTGACAAGTCAAATTTTATTATTTTTGGTCTCAAAAAAGTTAAAAATCTTATTAAAGATAAAATATATATTCCTATTAATGGTGTTGCAATAACTAAGCAAGCAAGCAAGTACAAAATTTAGGAGTATTACTTGATGAAGATTTGCGTTTCGAGAATCATATAACTAATTGTATAAGGAGAGCCTAAAAAACATCTAAGCTACAGAAATATGAGATGATGTAAAAAGGATAGCAAAAGTTCAAAGCTCTTGCTTATGACTCATTCATGGAATTCGACGTAGAGAAAATATTTCACATAAGTTGATCCAAACAAACTGGTTAAATATAAAAGATAGACGAGAACTGCATAGCGCATGTTTTTATCATAAGGTTGTGACCATGAAAATTCCTTCAAATTTATATAACAAAATTACTTTTCTTACCAAAATAAACATAAGGTCTAAAACTACAATCACACCACCAGCTCATCGTACCGCTCTCTTTGAAAGATTCGTTTCTTATAATGTATTAAAATCCAAATCGCTAGATTCTCTCACAAAATACTTTTCCAGGTTTCTGCGATCTCGCTATAGTACGAGGGATGTCTTTTAAGTTTTGCATATGAAAACAATACGGTTGGTAGTTTTATTCTCTAGGCGCTGAAGAAAGAAACTAAACCCAAACAAATACACGCATATTGCTCGTGAGTGAGTGTTTAGGCGCAGGAGACATTACAGGACCGCATCAAGATATTATGGGTAGTCATCAAAAATTTCATACAAGATAATTATTATCTTTTACAGTAAATTTCAGTTAGAGATTCACAAATGAGTTAACTACACTTTTTAGTTATTAGTAAGTAAGCTGCGCGCACTCATTCAGAAGAGGAACTTGAATCTTCTGAATCGTTTAAATGAATTATTCAATTTGGGTATCGATGACATTGTCCAAATCCCACATTTTGACCTCAACCTTCTCCCGAACGTGGCGGATACAGTTTTTCCATTCCTCTGCCGTAACTCTATTGACTGCGATGTGAAAGAGATTTTTAACATCAGAAAATTTATAAGTATTATTATTCGACGCCACGTATTGCTTTATGTTGGCCCAAATCAGCTCAATAGGGTTCAGCTCACAATGGTAGGGTGGCAGTCTCAAGACAGTTTTATTTTGTTTTTTGGCCATTTCGTCGATCATTTTAAAATCGTATTTGTATTTATGTCTATTGACTATACTTATCAATTCACCCTTGACCATTGTTTCATCAAAATCGATCTGTTTTGAGGCCAGCCATTGTTGTATGTTTGCTTTTTTAGTTGCCATTGTGGGAATTTTTTCTATTTTTCTAGAATGGTACGGGGCATTATCCAGTACAATAACAGCGTTATTCTCCAGCTTTAGTAACATTTTGGAGAACCAATTTTCAAAGGAATTGCCGTCCATCTCCTCATGATAGTCCCCTGTCTTTTTTGATTCAAAGGCCCACAGTGCTTCGGGAACAAAGCTGTCTTCACTACCTACGTGACAAATGATCAGCCGTTTGCCTTTTCCTGGAAATAAATTATTCCTTACACTATGGACTGATTAAATTTGAAGGAATGAGGCAATTGAGTTCATTTAGCTGAATTTAAGAGTCACGGAATGCTGATCAAAAACTGAAAAACGTAGAAAATTGAAGTTTGCAACTTCTCAAAACCCATTCAAAGCAAATTGACTGCACCCAAAAATGATAATAAATTTCAAAATAACGCTTAAAAGAGGGTCGAAGTTTTTTTCCTAATGACTACACTGCGAATGCACCATTTTTGGAGAATATAACACATTATCTGCTACCACAGCATATTATTTGCCCGAATTTATCAAAATTAAATTGCCGGATAGATGAAGGAGCTTACCTGCAGGATTTTTCAATCCAGCCGAAAGACCGTCTAGAAAAGCCTGCCTTGATGATGTTACTGATTTGTCGACCCAAACTTTCGCTTGAGTATGTCCAGCATTCACCCACGTTTCGTCCAAATAGTAAATTTTTCTTTTTTCATCGCGAAACTTCCGAATCTTCCTAAGGTATTCCCTTCTCCACACAACAATTTCTTCTTTCTCTATTAACATACTGTTTCTTCCCCGTTTCAAGAATCGAAAATTAAGTTCCTTCAAAAGTTTTCGGAATGTGGTTCTTTTAAATGATGGAAGATCCTCATCCGCATTAACTAATCTTAATATCTTATCTACTGTAGGTATCTCATTTCGGAAGAAAAAATTATGCACTTTCCTCCTGATGGCAGTTCTGTCAAAGTCATCTACTCCGTCCGTTATCCTTTTTCTTGCAGGATACGGTTTTGGCTCAGAAAGTGAGTGAGTGCTCCTATATTCCTTAATGATCCTATAAACACTGGACCGACATACTCCAGAAATATGTGCTACCTTACATATAACTTCGTCCACGACCAAATCGGGTTTCTCTTGAATTTGGTTTTTGTATATATTTAATATTACTTGTTTTTCATTTGCACTTAAATGTAGCTTCTTAGCCCTTTTTTTGGGTGGGGTTGCGCTGATGTCAACCACTTCGTCGGCTGTATCTGTGTCAGACATCGTATCTTAGGCAATATATAAACAAAACGCTCCACTCGCGAAAAACGAGTATACGCTACTGAATGCGTAATGCGTATGCAATGCAATCCTGTGCGTGAATTAACTGTTAGATGCCTGTCGTGTCATCTACAATCACGTTTACAAGTCCAAACCTGTGCAGATTCGTAGAGCGCCGACGACTGCTAGTGACCTTGAATTTGTCTGTAGATCGATGTTACTCCAGTCAATTTAGGTTCAAAGTGGATGTTTTCTAAACCAATTTGTTGTTCCTACATCAAAAATATATCGATGATGTTTTGTACTGGGAGCTCATGAAAGATCAAGGTAACTTATTTTAACAGTCATCCTTTTTCTAGTCTCAAGATGACACGAAAAAGGGTCTGTGACTTCACTAGAAATACACTACCGAGGATGTTTAGACCTAAAGTGACTGGAGTATATCCGTGGATGCTTTCGAGGGATCTGTTCACGTGCTGATCACTGTTTACGTTTAATGTCTTTCTTCAGCGCCCAGAGTATAAATGACTTTATTGTTTTTCGAGGTATTCTCCACGAAGATTAATACACATCTGCATGCGCTCGAACCAATTTTCGAAAGACTTATTATTCCAATCGTTTGCTGGCAGATCCAAAACGGCATTTTTGAATGCGTCAACTGCTTCTTCTGGTGACTGAAACCTTTGACCACGCAGTCTGTTTTTAATTTTCGGGGAAGTAAAGAAATCGATAGGACTTAGATCGGGACTATATAGAGGCTGGTCCAATAATTCCACGTTTTCTTCCGTTAAATACTGCATTGTTTTTTGGGCTGTGTGCGAGCTTGCATTGTCTTGGTGGAGGATGATTCTTCTTTTGGCAAACAAATGGTGGTATACCAATCCGCAGTAACAGTTCTTTGATCATTAAGAGGAATTGTTGCAATATGACCCGCTTTTGACACAAATGTCGCGACCATCTTTTTCGAAATACTTTTGTTGGCTTTTCTTCACCTTGGAACACCCAAACAGCCGACAGTCGTTTATTTTCTGGTTCATAACAGTAAATCCATGATTCATCACCACTAACAATGCTGTACACATTTCTTGAGTTTCCGGAATTGAAACGGTCAAGCGTTTTTTGACACCAATTAACCCTGGCTGCTTTCTGCTCTTCAGTCAACAGGTGGGGTATCCAACGAGAAACTAATTTTCTTACTCCTGATTCTTCATGTAAAATTTTTTGAATTGAGGTGTTTGAGATCTTCAGGGACGCCTCAATCTCGCGAAGAGTGAGGTTAAGATTCAGTAGTGATGTTCGATCTGCGCGGCCTACTATGTTTCTATATGCAATACTTAAAAGACATCGCGCGGCCTACTATGTTTCTATTTGCAATACTTAAACGTACGTAACGTATCATCTTAAAAATCTAGTAGCTATATGTATACATCTACTATTGTATTTTTCCCTTTTTCCTTTATATTTGAATTCTGTCAACTTTGCCTTATTTTTACTCATATTAAGTGCGTTATGTAGGATTAGGTGGAAGACTAGCTATTCCCCTAGGAATGAAAGCTGAACTTCGCTTTTTCCGGGTAGCAATTGCTTATCCTTGTACCTTAATGAAAAAAGTCGATTATTGTTATTATTATAAAAAATTATTGAAGTATAAGAACGGCCCTTATGCGCTGTTCGAGATGATTACCGCGCTTTGCTTCTAGTTCTTTGCGCTCTTAATACTCAATCATTAACGCTACTGTACCTTTTTTATGCTTTCGGAAGCATCCATATTATCCGTCTTCAGTTTTGGGGGGTTATCATTAACATCGTCCAGTATGATCTTGCACGTATGTTCGGAAAACCTCCGGCTTTGACAATCCGGACAATCCTCACACTTAACTTTGCACTCAAAGGTCGGATCGTCCATGGTGTCTCTATCGATAGCTGTTCCGCCATTCCTCACTTGGATTATGTTACTTTCATATACTATGAATTGCTGACGACATTTCTCGTCGCCTGTAATGCTACACACGACTTTGTTGTACCTTCCTGAAATGCAGTACGTGTGGTGAAAAAATGTCGTCAAGTAGATTCACTCAGTACTCAGCCGCCACTCATAGTGTATAGCTCCAAAAATGGACTTTGTCAAATTTAAGAAATCTCGAGCTTCCTCCAATGTAATCACAAGCGTCAGAAATGGTGCAGCAGCTTCTCAGTAATGTGAGCAGTATTCTATTGACCAATAACATTAATATCTAATTTGGCAAAGGTAGTTGAAAAAATCATTAGTTTTTTTCAACAAAAATAAGCTTAAACATGAAAATCTATTTGGATTTCAAAAAAATAAATCTACTCAAGACGCGGTTTCCTTGTTGCCTTCAAAAATTCATGAATTATTAGAGCAAAGTAAATATACATTGTGCATATTCTTAGACCTAGCAAAAGCACTCGCTACTACTAGAAACTTTATACGATGCAGGAATTAGAGAAAACGCTCAAAAGCTTCCGCAGGTTGGCAGTGAAAAATATAATTGTAGGCAACATTTTTGTAGTCGATATAAATGAATGTCAAAATGTGTATGTTCCCTGCATACGTAGGAGAAACAAACACTGGAAATGGTAATGATGCAGTCATACTCACGGTCCCGATCTCCGTCAGTTGGATTTATTTCTTTGACATTCGTATCCTTATCAACCTCTTCGTCGATGTGGATGTCACCAGGATCCAGGTTAAAAGCAGGCGTCTTGTCGTTGGTATCAATTATGTAAAAAGCTACCTTCGGTAGCAATTTCATTATTCAGCTTATTGGCAGACAAAAACGTTTGCCTTTTATATGTAGTCAAATACCAAAATGGAAGAGAGTAGTGTGACGTGTCGGGCGACATCCGCGTACACGTACCCAAAGACTGCGTTAGCAGTGGGTAATGCAGGATGAGTTGTATTACTCTCTTCTACCTTAGTACTGATTTCTAGGGTCCACCCGTAGGCAACCAGTGATGTTGTATGTAGGTAGGTTCGGTAGCGGAACTTTTCTTAAAGTTCATGTCGGTCATTTCCTGCTGAAGCATTGGTTTCCAATCACCAGTTTATGGAGTAGTACCCTTTTTCTTACCTACCTCACTTTTAATAGTTCATTTTTTTGGTGCTACTCGGTCCATTTTTATGGGATTTTAACCTTTTCAGCGGTAAGTTCATTTTTATACCTTTTGGACATGTATTAATATATACTTTATCTGAAGTCACTTGAAACACTGTGAAATACCGGGTGCGTTTTATATATCTATATTTAACACGCTCTGTTGCTGCAAAAATCGCCAAATTTCGCAGCAAATATCCCCCGTATAAGATCAAAGGCAGTTTCACCGGTCCACGTGGAGTAAAGCACGCCTATGCGTGGACATAGCCAATGAGAAAGCGTGTATTTCAGAGCTCCGAACAAGTGCAGGTGGCTACTGAAAATTGAAACAGTTTAGCCAGTGCCGTGTAGCGGTGAATAAACGTGTTTTCTTTAGTCTGTCCGTGTTTTTTCATAGATTTTATTAGTTTGTGTGTTTTTGACTTTTGAATACTCAGTTTACTTGTTGATTTAATTGTTGTGATGATTGTTCTTGTGTGTCCTAAATATGGCTCTTTGGAGACCTTGGGAAAATGCTCCAAGCCACGAGGAGATGGTTGATGAACCTGTGCAGGCAGAATTCTTTCATAAAGATTTAGAGGAACAGACCCAAAGAGTAATCCTAAATATGTATGATTGTCTGAAAAACGAAAATCCAGATTCCTCGCAAAATCAAATTTTAAACAGAATTTGTATCCTGACAAAAATCAGTCGGTCTACCATTTATCGGGTTATAAAAAGGGGAGATGTAGTCAACCATTCCTTCCACAGAAAGCGCATAGGGCAAAAATTAAAAAGAATAGACGTGGGTTTTCAGGAAGATATTCTTCGTATAATATACGGATTTTATAAAGAAAATTTGGTGCCCACGTTGGAAATGATACGGGATAAATTAAAAGATTATCCTGAAGATTTTTATAATTACAAATGCTTAGACTCACTGCACTGTATTGTAAAACTGTGTGGTTTTCAATACAAAAAAATAGATAAAAGAATGGTGATTATGGAGTCGTCTCGAATCGTTGAGTTGCGCCAAGAATTTTTGCACTAAGTTAAAATCTATAGAGAGCAGAAAAGAAATCTGATTCACCTGGATGGAACGTGGTATGATACCCATGATGTTGTGCAGTACGGCTGGGTTGACGACCGCAACAAGTGCATTTTAAATGCACCATGCAACCGTGGAAAACGAATCATTATTCTCCATGCTGGCAGTGAAAATGGATTTATACCTAATGCCTTGCTGTTATCTGCCAAAAATATCAAAGAATCATGTGCCGACTATCATGAGGGTATGACCTCCGACTTATTTGAAAAGTGGATAGAGCAGCAGTTAATACCAAACATTTCCCCAAATTCAGTGATTATTATGGACAATGCGCCATACCATTCCCGACAGAAAAACAAAACTCCGAATACAGGCACAAAAAAACAAGACATTATTGATTTTATGAAGGATAAGGGAATGGAAATACCACAAAAATCAACCAAAGCCATATTATTGGATCTTATTAAAAGACAAAAATTTGAAAAAGAGTATGTTGTTGACAATCTGCTTCAGGAAAATGGCCATGAAGTATTATGTCTACCTCCCTATTACTGCATTTTTAACCCGATTGAGTTGGTCTGGGCTGCTTTAAAAAAAAAGTAAGAAAACATAATCAGACCCCTCAATTAAGTGAATCGCTATTGGCCACAATAAGAGATGCAGTATCTCATATTGCTGCCACAGACCTATGGAAGCAGTGTTCTAGGCATATTATTGAAAAAGAAAATGAATATTGTGTTTTGCCTCCTGTAAATCCCGTTGTAATTCCTCTACAAGATGACTCTAGCGACAGCTCCGAAGGATGATATATAAATACCTATAATGTAAGTCCTTATATACCTTTTTATATACCTACCTGCTATGTAAATATTTGCCTATGTCAAACGTTGTAATTTTTCCATTTCTTAACTTTCAGTCAACATAAATTAAACTCCCAATATAAGTACTTTTTATCCCAAATCAAAAAAATAAGAAGATAGTAAAATCCATTTATTGTGATATAAAAACATTATTATTATCGTTCTAAATAAATGACCGCACGCCTATGATACGTCATGAAATTACAAAGGACGCGCCGACCAAAGGTTTTTATGCTATTTCAAGTGACTTCAGATAAAGTATACGTGGTTAGAGATTGGCAACCGAACCTACCTACATACATCTCTGGTTGCCTATGGGTAGACCCTAGCATATGATATCGACGCTGTTCAGTCATTGGCTGTGTTTTGGACTCACCTTGAGTGGTTCTGATTGGTGATTAACTTTATCATGAGCTATGCAGGTATAGTTGAAGTAGTATAACGGAATATCAGCATCAATTTGATCGCTTTTGACAGAAAACGCTCCAGTCTGGGAGTCCACCGTCAACCAGTCGTACCTTTCGTCGTCGGGCCTGAAAAATTTAAGATCCTTTTGATTGATATACAGCGGGACACAAAAGTATCGGAATGGCAGTGTATCTTCTCGGGTAAGGTATTTTTGGAAAAGATCAAGGTCAGGTCTTCAGAAACTTCAAGGTTAATTCATAGTCAACTTTATCTTTCAAATAGAAACCACTATTTTCGATGAAATGAAGATCAAATATATGCTGTTAAAATAACTATCAAGGGCAGGTCTTTGGTAAATTTTGTAATCCCAATAATTGAAAATGCGGAAAATTCTGTGTTCAAATACGAATTGTGAAAAGTCCAAGTTCAGGGTGCGATTCAAAGATCAAATGTGTGCTGCTAGGACGACCTCTATAAATCTCACAAGATTAGTAATGAAAACCACTGTCAAGGTCAGGTCACTTTTGAATTTTAGCGACGGAGTGAACAATAATCTTGGATTTGACCTTGATCCTCAAACTTCCAAGGTCATTTCAAGATCAACTTTATTTTTTAACGAAAATCCCTATAATTTTATGATCAAATACAGACTGAAGATCAAGGTCATGGCGACCACTAAAGGTCAAATGTGTATTTCTAGGAAAATCACTATGAATCTTACAGGATTAGTAATGAAAATAACTATCAAGGTCAGTTCTTTAGTAAATTTTTACGAGTGTTCTTGGATTTGACATTTCAAGGTCAACCCGCAGTAACAGAAAGGGTTAAAAATCATTTGTAACGAGCACCGTAGTTCGTTCCTTAAAACTTACTCAAAGACAATTTAATTTTTTTAATGGTCGGCAATTTCAAGAGCGGGACATTTTACAATGAGCATTAAAATTAAAGATCAAAATGACCGCTGGAGATCAAATATGTGCTGCCAGCAAAACCTCTAGAAATCTCACTGAAAATATCTGGTAAGGTTAGGTCTTTAGTAAGTTTTCACAACTGGCGGTGTCCTTGCACTTCACCTTCAAGGTCATTTCAAGATCACCTCAAGTTTTCCAAATAGTAACGCCTATTTGATGCCGACAATCCAGAGAGCCAGAAATTTTATGTTCAAATGTGTATTCGAATTAGAGGTCACATAAAGGCCAACTGTGTGCTGCTAGGAAAACTTATAGAAATCTAACGCGAATAGTGATGGAAATAACTGGCAAGGTCAGATGTTTGGATAAGTTTTAACGAGGGAACTACGGTGCTCGTTACAAATGATTTTTAACCGATACTGTTCCTGCGGATTACTATTTGGGAAAAATTGACATTGAAATGACCTTGAAGGTGCAGTTCAAGGTCAAATCCAAGATCACGCGTCAAAATTTACCACAGACCTGACTCTGATAGCTATTTTGTGAAATTTGTAGAGGTTTTTCTAGCAGCACACATTTGATCTTCATTCATAAATTCATGACAAGTGTTCTTGGATTTGACATTTCAAGGTCAACCCGCAGTAAAAGTAACGGTAAAAAATCATTTGTAGCGAACGCCGTAGTCCGCTCCTTAAAACTGTCAAAGTCATTTAAATTTTTTTTATGGTCGGCAATTTCAAGAGCGGGAAATTTTAAAATACAAGATCAAAATGACCGCTGGAGGTCAAATATGTGCTGCCAGGAAAACCTCTAGAAATCTCACTGAAATCGTAACGAAAATATCTGGTAAGCTCAGGTCTTTAGTAAGTTTTTACTACTAGCGGTGTTCTTGGATTTGTCCTTGTACTTCACCTTCAAGGTCATTTCAAGATCAACTCAAGTTTTCCAAATAGTAACGCCTATTTGATGCCGACAATCCAGAGAGCCGGTAATTTTATGCTCAAATGTGTATTGGAATTAGAGGTCACATAAAGGCCAACTGTGTGCTGCTAGGAAAACTTCTAGAAATCTCACGCGAATAGTGGTGGAAATAACTGGCAAGGTCAGATCTTTGGATAAGTTTTAACGAGGGAACTACGGTGCTCGTTACAATTAATTTTTAACCGATACCGTTCCTGTGGATTATTATTTGGAATAAAATGACACTGAAATGACCTTGAAGGTGCAGTTCAAGGTCAAATCCAAGATCACGCGTCAAAATTTACTACAGACCTGACTCTGATAGCTATTTTAATGACTAAACCTGTGAGATTTGTAGAGGTTTTTCTAGCAGCACACATTTGATCTTCATTCATAAATTCATGACGAGTGTTCTTGGATTTGACATTTCAAGGTCAACCCGCAGTAACAGTAACGGTTAAAAATCATTTGTAACGAGCGCCGTAGTCCGCTCCTTAAAACTCTCAAAGTCAATTTAATTCTTTTAATGGTCGGCAATTTCAAGAGCGGGAAATTTTAAAATGAGTCTTAAAATACAAGATCAAAATGCTGTGTGCTGCCAGGAAAACCTCTAGAAATCTCTCTGAGATCGTAACGAAAATATCTGGTAACGTCAGGTCTTTAGTAAGTTTTCACTACTGGCGGTGTTATTGGATTTGTCCTTGTACTTCACCTTCAAGGTCATTTCAAGATCAACTCAATTTTTCCAAATAGTTACGCCTGTTTGAGGCCGACAATCTAGAGAGACGGAAATTTTATGTTCAAATGTGTATTCGAATTAGAGGTCATATAAAGGCCAACTGTGTGCTGCTAGGAAAGCTTATAGAAATCTCATGCGAATAGTGATGGAAATAACTGGCAAGGTCAGATGTTTGGATAAGTTTTAACGAGGGAACTACGGTGCTCGTTACAAATGATTTTTAACCGATACTGTTCCTGCGGATTACTATTTGGAAAAAATTGACATTGAAATGACCTTGAAGGTGCAGTTCAAGGTCAAATCCAAGATCACGCGTCGAAATTTACTACAGACCTGACTCTGATAGCTATTTTAATGACTAATCCTGTGAGATTTGTAGAGGTTTTTCTAGCAGCACACATTTGATCTTCATTCATAAATTCATGACGAGTGTTCTTGGATTTGACATTTCAAGGTCAACCCGCAGTAACAGTAACGGTTAAAAATCATTTGTAACGAGCGCCGTAGTCCGCTCCTTAAAACTCTCAAAGTCAATCTAATTTTTTAATAGTCGGCAATTTCAAGAGCGGGAAGTTTTAAAATGAGTATTAAAATACAAGATCAAAATGACCGCTGGAGGTCAAATATGTGCTGCAGGGAAACCTCTAGAAATCTCACTGAGATCGTAACGAAAATATCTGGTAAGGTCAGGTCTTTAGTAAATTTTCACTACTGGCGGTATTATTGGATTTGTCCTTGTACTTCACCTTCAAGGTCATTTCAAGATCAACTCAATTTTTCCAAATAGCAACGCCTATTTGATGCCGACAATCGAAAGAGCCGGAAATTTTATGTTCAAATGAGTATTGGAATTAGAGGTCACATAAAGGTCAACTGTGTGCTGCTAGGAAAAGTTCTAGAAATCTCACGCGAATAGTGATGGAAATAACTGGCAAAGTAAGATTTTTGGATAAGTTTTAACGAGGGAACTACGGTGCTCGTTACAAATGATTTTTAACCGATACTGTTCCTGCGGATTACTATTTGGAAAAAATTGACATTGAAATGACCTTGAAGGTGCAGTTCAAGGTCAAATACAAGATCACGCGTCAAAATTTACTACAGACCTGACTCTGATAGCTATTTTAATGACTAATCCTGTAAGATTTGTAGAGGTTTTTTTAGCAGCACACATTTGATCTTCATTCATAAATTCATGACGAGTGTTCTTGGATTTGACATTTCAAGGTCAACCTGCAGTAACAGTAACGGTTAGAAATCATTTGTAACGAGCGCCGTAGTCCGCTCCTTAAAACTCTCAAAGTCAATTTAATTTTTTTAATGGTCGGCAATTGCAAGAGCGGGAAATTTTAAAATGAGTATTAAAATACAAGATCAAAATGCTGTGTGCTGCCAGGTAAACATCTAGAAATCTCACTGAGATCGTAACGAAAATATCTGTTAAGGTCAGGTCTTTAGTAAGTTTTCACTACTGGCGGTGTTATTGGATTTGTCCTTGTACTTCACCTTCAAGGTCATTTCAAGATCAACTCAATTTTTCCAAATAGTTACGCCTGTTTGATGCCGACAATCTAGAGAGACGGAAATTTTATGTTCAAATGTGTATTCGAATTAGAGGTCATATAAAGGCCAACTGTGTGCTGCTAGGAAAACTTATAGAAATCTCATGCGAATAGTGATGGAAATAACTGGCAAGGTCAGATGTTTGGATAAGTTTTAACGAGGGAACTACGGTGCTCGTTACAAATGATTTTTAACCGATACTGTTCCTGTGGATTACTATTTGGAAAAAATTGACATTGAAATGAATTTGAAGATGGAGTTCAAGGTCAAATCCAAGATCACTCGTCAAAATTTACTACAGACCTGACTCTGTTAGCTATTTTAATGACTAATCCTGTGAGATTTGTAGAGGTTTTTCTAGTAGCACACATTTGATCTTCACTCGACATTTAGTAGTCATGCTGACCTTGGAATTTCGGCTACTGGTATCAAAAATAGGGGTTTCTTTTAAAAAAAATAAAGTTGATAATGAATTAACCTTGAAGATAAAGGTCAAGGTCACATTCAAGATCACTTTTGGATTCCTAGCTGAAAGTTATTGAAGACCAAAGATACCTTACCCGAAAACATACAAAGCCATTCCGGGACTTTCGTGTCATGCTGTATACCTACAAGTAATTGTATACTCAACAAACAAGCAATAAATATTTGAAGAAGTGCGAAATATTCCATTATTTTAGATCCCAAAACAATATGAAAAAATGAAAATTTTAATATTGTCAATGATTCTAAATATTTCTCAAAAATCCACTAATAACATTTCAAAGCATTTCTGGAGGTATTGTTATTGTAAACCTTGGTTTGTTAACCTGACAGAATCAAAAAATGAGTAGGGAAGGAATCTTTTCGAAAAGCATTGTGTATGACTAAAAATTAAATAACTTACAGGCATGCATAGGTGATTGTATCATTAAGATCAACATCAATTGCTTGAATTGAATAACCCAACGGAGTGCCGATTGTAGTTTTCTCAGTCACAGTTCTATTTTCAGGCTTCGTCGCGCTAGCTTCAGGAAAATAAGGGGCGTTGTCATTCACGTCTATTATGCTGATCATGAGTAGTGCTGAAACCCAAAAATGATAAAAAATTCTTCAGTGATCAACAACTTGAGAGAAAGGGAAATTAAGCTCCGGTGGGATTCGAACCCAAACCTCTTGCATTCCGTGGAGCGGATCTAACCAATTAGTCTACAGCACCACCTGTCAACCACTGTTAGAAACAAATTCTTTTAAGTTTAAGTTCTTTTCAGCTACTTGATGTCCCATCTGGTGGCATTCAAGTGAAACAAACAGAATTGGGAAGGATTTCCATTCGCTTTCTGGTTACACCTCGCCGCCTTGTGGGCTCTTACCACGGTACCTTCAAGCGAGAACAGTAACCTGTATACGATTTTACAAATCTGGATCAATTTTAATCAACGCATATTGAGCAAATTCACCTTAGACAAATTTTCATATCGATAGGTCGCCCCTAACTAGCTGATGATAACCCAGGATTAAAATCTCAAACATTGGAGAATATCGGTGCAAGCACAGTTGAAAAAATCATGGAACAATCCAGATTTGGATACCTTTGAGCGTAATTTTATACGTAGTTTTGCCTATAGCCTTTGTTAAGTACAGTTCAAATTTTTTTAAATATGTACCAAAGATTTCATTTCACTGCTTACCATTGGTCTTGCTTTTGGTCTCCTTGAATGCGGGGTCTGTTGCTAAATCTTCAACGGTAATACTCAAGTATAGAGAATCAAACGTTTCAAAATCGGGGGAAGTCTCATCTTCATTCTTATCATTCACCTTGAGGTCTATTTTGATGCCTCTGGTATGAGGTATCGGAGTTTGTTCGATATTTAGAAACCTGGAAAACAGTTGCAACGTTTAGCTATTTGTATAAGATGGCATATTTATTTAAAAACAGTTGAACTACAAAAAGGGAACGGTCTTGGCTCCGGCATTGTTTCTCTTGCATATCAATCCTGTAAGATCAATCCGTTCCATAGCTTTGCCGATGACAGAACAACCTCTTCGGTTGGAAGGAATTAGACGATATTGAAAAACTACGGGGCACTCAATAAAAATACAGCTTGCATGCACGTAATGCTGCATGAACTAATGAACTAACGAACTAACGAACTAACGAACTAACGAACTAACTACGACACTAACGAACTAACGAACTAACGAACTAAACGAACTAACGAACTAACGAACTAAGAAACTAACGAACTAACGACTAACGAACTAACGAACTAACGAACTAAACGAACTAACGAAATAACGAACTAACGAACTAACGAACTAACGAAAACTAACGAACTAACGAACTAACGAACTAACGAACTAACGAACTAACGAACTAACGAACTAACGAACTAACGAACTAACGAACTAACGAACTACACGAACTAACGAACTAACGAACTAACGAACTAACGAACTAACGAACTAACGAACTAACGAAACTAACGACTAACGAACTTAACGAACTAACGAAACTAACGAACTACCGAACTAACGAACTAAACGAACTAACGAACTAACGAACTAACGAACTACGAACTAACGAACTAACGAACTAACGAACTAACGAACTAACGAACTAACGAACTAACGACTAACGACTAACGAACTAACGAACTAACGAACTAAGAACTAACGAACTAACGAACTAACGAACTAACGAAACTAACGAACTAACGAACTAACGAACTAACGAACTAACGAACAAGAACTAACGACTACGAACTAACGAACTAACGAACTAACGAACTAACGAACTAACGAACTAACGAACTAACGAACTAACGAACTAACGAACTAACGAACTAACGAACTAACGAACTAACGAACTAACGAACTAACGAACTAACGAACTAACGAACTAACGAACTAACGAACTAACGAACTAACGAACTAACGAACTAACGAACTAACGAACTAACGAACTAACGAACTAACGAACTAACGAACTAACGAACTAACGAACTAACGAACTAACGAACTAACGAACTAACGAACTAACGAACTAACGAACTAACGAACTAACGAACTAACGAACTAACGAACTAACGAACTAACGAACTAACGAACTAACGAACTAACGAACAAACGAACTAACGAACTAACGAACTAACGAACTAACGAACTAACGAACTAACGAACTAACGAACTAACGTACCAACGAACCAACGAACTAACGAACCAACGAACCAACGAACCAACGAACCAACGAACCAACGAACCAACGAACCAACGAACCAACGAACCAACGAACCAACGAACCAACGAACCAACGAACCAACGAACCAACGAACCAACGAACCAACGAACCAACGAACCAACGAACCAACGAACCAACGAACCAACGAACCAACGAACCAACGAACCAACGAACCAACGAACCAACGAACCAACGAACCAACGAACCAACGAACCAACGATCCAACGAACCAACGAACCAACGAACTAACGAACTAACGAACTAACGAACTAACGAACTAACGAACTAACGAACTGACGAACTGACGAACTAACGAACTGACGAACTGACGAACTGACGAACTGACGAACTGACGAACTGACGAACTGACGAACTGACGAACTGACGAACTGACGAACTGACGAACTGACGAACTGACGAACTGACGAACTGACGAACTGACGAACTGACGAACTAACGAACTAACGAACTAACGAACTAACGAACTAACGAACTAACGAACTAACGAACTAACGAACTAACGAGCTGACGAACTGACGAACTGACGAACTGACGAACTGACGTACTGACGTACTGGCGAACTGACGAACTGACGAACTGACGAACTGACGAACTGACGAACTGACGAACTGACGAACTGACGAACTGACGCACTGACGAACTGACGAACTGACGAACTGACGAACTGACGAACTGACGAACAGACGAACTGACGAACTGACGAACTGACGAACTGACGAACTGACGAACTGACGAACTGACGAACTAACGAACTAATTAACTAATTTACTAATGAACTTATGAACTTATGAACTAATGAACTAATGAACTAATGAACTAATGAACTAATGAACTAATGAACTAATGAACTAATGAACTAATGAACTAATGAACTAATGAACTAATGAACTAATGAACTAATGAACTAATGAACTAATGAACTAATGAACTAATGAGCTAATGAGCTAATGAGCTAATGAACTAATGAACTAATGAACTAATGAACTAATGAACTAATGAACTAATGAACTAATGAACTAATGAACTAATGAACTAATGAACTAATAATAATAATAATAATAATAATAATGTCTTTATTCCCACCAAAGAAAATACAAAACAAGTTGCAAAACCAGTCTTATAAGAACATATAGTGGGAGGGGCGAAGTTCGGCTTATCCGCTCTTCCACTTAACCCCTGGTTTTAGGTTTACATCATAATAAGGTAAGCATATATATAAAAATGAGATAAAGAGCATATACATATATACACATACATATACATACATATACATATATACACATATATACCCACATATACATACACACATGTATAAGCAGTATCAGAGAATGGACCCTAGCGGCTAATTTGTAAAATGGTACTATAAAAATACATAATGCCTCCAAAGTCATACCATGCAATTCCCTGCAATGTAGCAGCGTATACGTTTTTTAAACAAATCAATAGAAAGAGAAGTATACTCTCGCGGGATATTATTATAAAGTTTGCTGATATTATACGAAAAAGATCTTTCGAATAAGGTGGTAGAATGAAAAGGCGGTGTCAGTTTAGTTTTGTTGCGGGTATTGCGATTGTGAGCTAAGTAACGGAAATGAATTTTTTCGTGTAAGTATGAAGGTAGTTTTTGTATAATAATCTTATGGTATTGTACGAGGCTGTGAAGCAGCCTGCGTTGCTTCATGTTCAGCCAGCCAGCATCAGTAAGCTTTGCTGACACTGAATCGAATTTACTCAAACCAAAAATAAGTCTCAGACAAGAATTTTGCACGCGTTGTATTTTATCTGAAGTGAATTTAGTTAGACATTTGTCATAGACGACATCACAGAAGTTAAAATGCGACAAAACAAGAGAATTGCACAGTATGACTTTAGTTTTTTGGTTGATGTAAGATTTTTGACCGTATATCGTCTTTAAATTAGAATACGCCCTTCTGGAGCACTTGTTAACATGTTCCTCAAACCTCAAGTTTTTGTCAAGGTATAAGCCTAAATTACGCGCTATCGAGCTTATTTCTAAAGTATTGTTATCGAGGTTTATTTTCACCAGAGGTTCACAATGGTTTCTCCAATTTTTTGGCCCGAATAACATGACTGTACTTTTAGCCGGATTCAAGTCTAAGCATATATTTCGAGAAGCTTTAGTGAGACGATCAAGGTCTTTATTTATCAGATCAACAGCAGGCAATGTTTGAGCTGGAGGAAATGATAAGTACACTTGTGTATCATCTGCATAAAAATGAGCTTTACAAGAGTGAAGACTGAAGTATAGATTAGAGGTGTAAATAATGAACATTAGCGGACCCAGAATGGAGCCCTGAGGAACACCAATGGTCACTTTCAATGGCGCAGAGTACTTATCATTCAGCATTACCTGCTGTTGTCGATCGCTGAAGTAGCTTCGCATTAGAGACTCTGCATCGGCCGAGAATCCGTAAAAGTGGAGCATGGCTAAGAGTAGGTCATGATGTATCCTGTCAAATGCCTTCGTATAATCTAAGAGCACCAAGGCAGTCAGGTTACCTTTGTCAGCACTGCACAATACATCATCCACCACTCCCAGCAATGCTGTTGTACAGCTATGCGCCGGACGGAACCCTGATTGTGTATCTATAATGAGGTTATTCGTTCTTAAGTGTTCTCTTATCTGAACATCCATTATTGATTCAAGCAATTTAGATAATGTTGGCAATATACTAATATTACGCAAATCCTTGAGCTCAGATGGCTGAGCAACTTTAGGCAAAGGCACAATCAAAGCGTGCTTCCAACAAAAAGGAAAATAGCGACGCAATATGCATTCATTAATGATATGTGTCATGAAAGGAATAATTTTGGGGCAGCAATACAACAGCATTTCGGTATTTATCAAATCAGCACCAAATGCTTTGCTTTTGAAGCCAAACAAAGTATCTTTCACCTGATCTGTGGACGCCAAAGCGAATTCAAAGAGGGATACATTTGGTTTGACATTATTTTTATAAAAAGAAAATGTATCAGCATCAGGTTCTATACCTGCACTAGATAAAGACGTAAAGTACCGGTTCATTTTGTCAACATCAGCTAAATCAACTGGGATAGATGACCTGGGTGTCTTATTGCCAAAGTTCATAGCTTCTAAATCTTTCCATAGAGTCTTATAGTTCGTACTGTTAATTTTATGTTCCAAATGAATCTTTTTAGCATTATCAGTTGCTAATTTTACTATATTACGTAACTTTTTGTATTCCTCCCATTTCTGATCGCACCTTGATTTCCTATAGGCAGTGAATTTGTCATCTCTAAGTTTCATTAGAAATTTAATGTTATCAGTCAGCCACGGAGCTGGTTTTTTCGTAAACCTTGTCATTCGATAGGGTGCAAATCTGTCAAATAGCTCTAAAACTAATTGATTAAATATATTTAATTTCGTATCTATATCCTGACAATAAACTATCTGCATAAAGTCTACTTCATCCAGAGCAGTCTTAAAAGATTCTTGGTTGATATTTTTGAAATCTCTGTAGCTACGTAGTACAGGTTGTTTGGTTTCTACCTCATATTCAAGGACTATAGATATCAAACTGTGATCAGACAAATTTGGTACATTACATACATCACAAGTACTTGGAATATCATCAGAGCAAAAAAAGAGATCTAGCAACGTTTCGGAGGAGACTCCAAATCTGGTCGGCGTAGCTACTATTTGATGCAAACCAAAATTATTCAACGAATCATCAAATAACTTCACAGCATTACTGTTTTTATCGAGAAAATCAATATTAAAATCGCCAGTGCAAATCATTTTGTCATATCTCGGATATAACAAACTAAGTGAATCTTGAAACTGATTGATAAAATCATAAACGTTACACTTAGGAGGCCGATAAACGACTCCAAAGCAAAAACTCGTCGCTTTAATTTTGAATGTAACCCACAATTGTTCAACTGAAGAGGTGATGTCAATAACGCTGCATCTAATTTTGTTTGTTATATAAATCAGAACACCGCCACCTCTGGAGTCAACTCGATCGTTCCTAAAAAGAGTAAATCCATCCAAAGATATGAGATCATTGTCTACATTTTGATTGAGCCAGGTCTCAGTTAATGCAATAATGTCCCAATCCTGGGAATTGACCACAGTGTTTTTGAAATCGACAAACTTGACTAAAAGCGATCTGATGTTTAATACTGCTATTTTAAGGTTTTTATTTTTATTCATATCAGTAGATAGATTAGCCATAGTCGACTCTTTCTTTTAGGTTTTGTACATAGTTTTGGTACATTGGACAACCTCTAAAATTTGTGGCATGGTCACATTGAATATTTTTTTTCTTTGTTCTGTTATAGTTCAGGCAGTTTATACATTTTGAAACATCAGACTTACAATCCTTTAACATATGACTTCCCGAGCATTTTGAACATATTATTTCCGTGGATTTGCATTCCTTTGCCGAATGACCGAATGAGTGGCACTTTATACACTTCACAATATGAAGGTGATCGCTTACAAGGGACTTCTTCCATCCTAAGAACACAAAGCCCTCTTGAAGTAAAACTTTCCGCACTGCCGGTGTAACTTCAATGACTATGTTGACACTGTTGAAGTGTTTCAGCTTCGTGACAAATTTTATGTCAGTCTGCTGAATGTTTGCGAAACTATTTAAGGAAATAATATTGTTTACTATGTCCTCAGGCGAATTTAAGCCCTCCAAATTTACATTTCTGACAAGCATGCGAGGATTCAGCTTCCTGGCTTGGGTAATGGAATATTTTGATCCAAGTTTGTTATTGAGACTGGTTTTGAGCGTGTTAAGTGATTTGTCATCTTTGCAGTGAACCGCTACACCATTCTTTATTCGTTTAGTGGAGTTGATGCAAACGTTCAGATTAGCTGGGTTAACAGATGACGTGATTTCTTGGAAAATATTCTTGCTATCAGCATTTTCCACTGCATCTGCCTTGATCAGCAACACAGATGAACTAGCGGTAGATGGTTTCTTTAAAATATCGCTAAATGTGCTTGGATTTGGTTGCAATGCAATTTTTGGTGTCACATAAACATTATTTTCGTAAGACTTCAATAAGGTTTTCTGTAGTTCACTGGAGTACTCCAGTTCCGACATCAATCGCTTTGTAAGCTCCATTTCCCTATTTAGACATTCAACTTCTTTTCGTAAGATACTAGTCTCAGTTTTAGATGAATCACATTTCTTATATAGGAAGCAACGGCAGTCATCACAGACCCAGAGCAGATTTTCACACTCTGATATTATTTTTATCCAGCTGTCTTTGACTGAGACACAAGAAGTGTGGAATGAACTAATGAACTAATGAACTAATGAACTAATGAACTAATGAACTAATGAACTAATGAACTAATGAACTAATGAACTAATGCACTAATGAACTAATGAACTAATGAACTAATGGACTAGTGAACTAATGAACTAATGTACTAAGGAACTAACGAACTAACGAACTAACGAGCTAACAAACTAACGAACTAACGAACTAACGAACTAACGAATTAACGAACTAATGAACTGATGAACTAATGAACTAATGAACAAATGGACTAATGAACTAATGAACTATAGAGCTAATGAACTAATGAACTAATGAACTAATGAACTAATGAACTAATGAACTAATGAACTAATGAACTAATGAACTAATGAACTAATGAACTAATGAACTAATGAACTAATGAACTAATGAACTAATGAACTAATGAACTAATGAACTAATGAACTAATGAACTATTGAACTAATGAACTAATGAACTAATGAACTATTGAACTAATGAACTATTGAACTAATATAAATGTGCAGAATTGAAACTTCGCGAGACATAATCTCAGTGGAATTTGCATAAGTAGCTAGCTCTAAACTTCAGAAAGCGATTTTGTATACTCACTCTGTTGCATTTTTCAAGTTTACATCTGCTAGCTTTATAGAATTCTTCATAGCGTACGAATTCTCCCAGTCCAGGCTGGCCACTAAATTTGCTGTTGTGTCAGGATCGTCAGCTGTGATGGTGCATTCCAATTTTGTACCAATCTTTTGGTTTTCTTTCACTCGGATTGGATCTCCCTTAAAACAGTAGGCATTCGAGCATAATGCATGGCACATCACGTAAAAAGATGTTGTCAAGTATACACACTTCTATATTTGTGGTAGTAGTGAGCTTGACCGTGGGCAATCATTTATAGGAAATTGACATTCTAGTTACTTATGTATCTAGGGCATTAAAAGGTGGTTTAGCGTCCAACGCATGGCATGAAATTGGAGTTAGTCCAGGAAGTATCTTTGGGTCCGCTCGGAAAAGTATTATAATGTTTTGCATAGTGTCCAATGAATCAACGAAAGCTGAACAGGTTTTTGTAGAATTCAAAAATTATTATTTTGTCTCCGGACAAAGTTTCTTTAGGCCTCCGGGTCATTATGAATAAAAAAGGTGCTTATGAACGTTTTTCTGAAGTTGGTGGTCCTAGATGATTTATTATTTGTAAAAGAACGCCATTTCCAACCCCCTAAGAACAATTTTTGCCGTCTTTAAGCTGCGCTTAATTAAGGAACAAAGGATTACAACAATAATACCCTCTGAGATTTCATTAAAGGAAATTTGGAGAATTTTTAGAACTATGACAACATTAATTTTTTTCATATTGTTTTTTGGGTTCAAAAATAGAATATTTCGTAATTTTTTAAATAATAAGAAGCTTATACAGTATATCGAAATGGCCCAAAAAACATAAATGAACTTTAGAGCGAAAAAAAAATCATTTTTTAAGCAAATCCAAAAATTATTATTTTGGCTACGAACAAAGCTTCTTTAGGCCTTTGGGTCATTACGAGGAAAAAAGATTCTTATAAACGTTTCCCGGAAGCTGTTAGTTTTCGAGATAATTTATTATTTGAAAAAGTGAGAAAATATGCCATTTTTTCGATATCTAAGGACAGCATGAAAAAACAAAGATTTTAATGTTACCGCTTTTAAGCTGGGCTTAATTAAAAATGAAGGATTACAACAACAATACCCTCTGAAATGCTTTGAGATTTAGTTAATGAATGTTTGAAGAATTTTAGAACTATGGTGACGCTCATGTTTTTCATATTGTTTTTCGGAGTCGAAAATGGAATATTTCGCATTTCGCAACTTTTGAGCTAAAAGAGTAAATCTTTTTGAATTGCATTTAATAAAAATATTTCACCAATTTTTGATGCAGACAAACCAGTTCATCAAGATAACGAATAAAAAACAACTTTTTAGCCTTTGCATATTGCGACTTGTAATTTATAGGGTGTTTCAGTTTATTTTTGCATAACTTTAAGATTCGATAGAACTTTTAAAATTAATGTATAAAGTCTATATAAACATGGGTCGAAAAATGCGTGGCTTCCGAAATACAGGGTGTTTAAATTTACTTTCTAAAATAGTTTATTTTAAATATTTCGAACAATATTTGATGTATAACAGTGAAAATTGGTATACACGGGTTTTTTGGTACGACAAAACGATCCATGGGCATAGTTTTACTGTAGTGCAATTTTTTGCTTTTTGAAAAAAAATGATTCTTCGCACTTTTCAACATAAAAAACCTCTCTTGTGAATTTTCGTTATAGTTAGCCGTTTTTGAGATATTTCGATTTTTAAGGTTCGATGCATTTTTAATTATTTATGGGAAAATAATATTTTTTTTTACATTTTCGATTTGGGCATTACAAGTAATTAAGATGATCGTTTAGATTGTGTTTTTAAACACAGCAATAATTCCTAACCCCAAATAAACACAAAAAAACAGAATATTAATTTGTTTAATTTTCCAATATTATTTTTAACAAATTAAATTAATTATTTACAACTAAAATGCTATTATAGTTAGGACAAACATACAAAATCTAAAGTAGTTGCTCGAAATGTAAACCCAATTGTTCAATACACAATTCACATCTACGAATGATCGAACGTGGTATAGCATTATTCAAATAAGGCTTTATTTCATCACATGCATTCCTGATTCTGTCTATTAGCATATGTCTTGTGGTTACGGGAGTCTGGTACACTTTTTCTTTTAGAAATCCCCACACAAAGAAATCTAATGGATTTAGGTCAGGGGATCGTGGAGGCCAAGCGACTGGTCCTCCACGGCCGATCCATCTATCTGGATAATTTTCGTCCAGCCAATCAAGCTGGAACCAGGCCAATCTTCTTAAATCTGACATAACATCATCCCACATATTTGCATGTTCAGCCTTTAAAAATTCCAAGAAGGTCTTGGAGGCAAAAGGTAGGATCCAAATAGTGGATTACAGTAGATACCAATCCACACGTTCACACTAAATTAATGCTGAAAATTTCTTTCCCGAACTCCATGCGGATTTTCATGCGACCAAATATGTTGATTATGAAAATTTACCACTCCACGTCTAGTGAAGCATGACTCATCGGTCCATAAAACGTTACTTAAAAACTCCCTATTATTATCAGTTCTATCAAGAATCCACTGACAAAATGTGATTCTTCGTTCTCCGTCCCCTGGCTGTAGTCCTTGCACAGGTTGCAAATGGTAAGGACGTCTATGGTCATTTCTAAGAACACGGGGAACATGGCTTGCTGAAATTCCCAAGGCACCAGAAACTCTCCTAACACTTGTGGTCGGATCTCTATCAAACTCACGCAGAATCATACGCGTAAATCTGCGCTGACGAACATTTATGTTTTGATCCCTTTGGAGATTTCCAAAACCATTTTCAATTATTTGGCGATGCACTCTTACAAATACTGAGCGAGTTGGATGTCGTCTGTTTGGAAATCTTCGTGCGTATTCTCTGGCTGCTTCTGCTGCGTTTCCATTTACAAAGCCATACACAAAATGAATATCCGCTAACTCTTGATTGGAGAATAAAAATGGCATTTTTATAAAACTTACAAAAAAAAACAGGTAAAGGAAACTAAATTTCGTGCATTCACAATTGCAAAAAAACGTTTCAGGTTTCAACAGACAACAAAACTAACTGTCAACTAATTGACGTTTAACCTAATTCTGCTTTCAATTTCAAAAATATTTGAAGGCACAGCCTACTTCTAAAAATTATCGAGATACTGACTTTTTAACGTTATTTTATCATAAATAATTAAAAATGCATCGAACCTTAAAAATCGAAATATCTCAAAAACGGCTAACTATAACGAAAATTCACAAGAGAGCTGTTTTATGTCAAAAAGTGCGAAGAATCAGTTTTTTTATTCAAATAGCAAAAAATTGCACTAAGAAAAAATTGTCGGCCTTTTTAATACACTACAGGTACAGTAGAGAGTGCCCTCTAGCGGCTACAGTAAAACTATGCTCATGGTTCGTTTTGTCGTACCAAAAAACCCTTGTATACCAATTTTCACTGTTATACATCAAATATTGTTCGAAATATTTAAAAAAAACTATTTTATAAAGTAAATTTAAACACCCTGTATTTCGGAAGGCACGCATGTTTCGACCCATGTTTATATAGACTTTATGCATTAATTTTAAAAGTTCTATCGAATCTTAAAGTTATGCAACAATAAACTGAAACACTCTGTATAGTGCATGTTGATAGAGGAAAGTGCCTTTAAATCCCTCTCTTAAATCATCCCGTGGTCTTATTGCCTCTGCACTCCCCGAACACCGTTTTATTCGTAGATATTGAGTAAGCCTTTGTAAACAAATATTTCCTAAACTGGCAAGGTTTTAGGTTCGTTATTCCAATGGAATTAAATTTTGTATCCTAAGTGTAAAACGTGATCCTTACATGTATGTTTCTTTGCGAATGCCTGCGTTGAACAACTTTTTTTTTGAAAACTTCATTTACCGTATATTCTTTTTATCTACTTCATCGATTCTTTGGTTTAATTCTAGCTTAATTGAACACTATGGAGGTCCCTGACAAACGGAGATACGTACGGTGTGTATGCTGGGCGGTTTATTGTTGATGTCCTGAATATTGATGGTGACGGGAACCGTGGCAGAGTGAGGCGGATCCGCGTTGTCTTCTGCTTTCACTTGAAAAAAGACAGGGTTCACCTTATCATAATCAAAGGCATCGTCTATTTTCACGGACACTACGCCAGTTTTTGGATCAACCTCTAGACTGTCCCGGATTCTCTGCGGACCTAACAGGGTGTGATTGAGTCTGAAAATTATGTAGCATCAGATATATCGTCATAATATTTTAAAAGTTCCTCCTGACTGTACCACTTGAGCTACGAAAATGCAGTTTTGTCCAGAGATGAGCTTAAGTACCTTATTAAAAAATTCAGGGCCTTTCAGTCCTGTATTAAATGTCGCACTCTGATAATTGCAAAGATGTTCAAAGTTGTCCCAACAAAGACATCTCTATTGAGCGCAAATAGTTTTGTATCTACAGAAAACCTACATCCTAGATTCGGTATTGAGGCTACGCAATAAGTCAACCCAACAACTTTTGTTGTTGTTGTTGAAGAGTTATTTAGCATTAATGCTACAGTGTCTATTTTGTATAATGATTTGGTTACATATTTTTCTTCAAACTATTTTCTGTAATTTTACATTCTTGTCTATCAAAAATTAAAATTACGTCACTATGCATTTTGATTATTCACAAAGTGATTCTTCAATTTCACCTTAAACATTTTTAAATTTGAACTCTGTTTAATATCATTATTCAATTTACTAAATTCAAATACTCCCTTTTGAAATATAGACTTACTAGTTATGCTACTATTACAATTTCGCAGATCAAAATCTATGCTGTCTCTGGTTTCGTAGTCATGATAATGACTATTTAATTTTGTGAAGTTCTCCAACTATGGTGGTAATAAATGATTTTTTAATTTGAATATGAAAACGAGAACTAAATAATATATGACATTTTTCACATCCAACCACTGCAGTTCTTCTGACATAGACTTAATCCTAGCATATTTGTTTTTATTTAAAATGATCCTCATAGTTTTATTTTGCGGTTTTGAAAATATGTTATCATTTACTGTAAACAAGATGGTTGAACAATATAAAAAATTGGGAAGAATTATATATAAGTTTTGGCTTGTTTTCATACCGGCCACACTGGGCCCTCCCTTTAACTCGAGAACACCGACGTAATCGCCTTGAGTGGTGCAGACAACGGTCACTCTGGGATCAGGAATGGAACAGTATTGTCTTTAGTGACGATTCCCGATTTTGTTTAGGCATGCACGATGGTCGAGCCAGGGTTAGAAGGCGACGTGGTGAAAGGAGGAATCCACAGTTTTTTGTTGAAAGACATGTTTATCACACTGTTGGAGTTATGGTTTGGGGTGCTATAGCTTATGGTTCCAGGTCACCTTTAATCTTCATCAGAGGTAACATGAACGCGCAGCGTTATATCCACGAAGTTCTAGAACCCCATCTTTTACCCTATCTTGACACCCTGGCAGATCCAGCTTTCCAACAAGATAATGCCCGACCACATATTGCAAGAGTCACAATAGACTTCTTTCAACATAATGATGTCACATTGTTACCATGGCCACCAAGATCTCTCGACTTATCCCCAATTGCGCACGTGTGGGATATGATGGGTAGGAGATTGCTCAATTTGCAACGTCCTCCTCAGACTCTAGAAGCACTTCGAGAGGAGTTGGTGGTTGCCTGGAATGAGATACCACAGGAGGACATTGACCACCTGATCAGAAGCATGCCTAGGCGCGTTGGAGAATGCGTAGCACATCAGGGTGCATCCACACATTATTAAAGGTCAAAGGGCTTTAAACTAGTGCAATCATTTTGAAATTTTTATCATTTACTTATTATGCTTCATTAAGTACTTATACAAAATTTTATTAAAATAAAACCATTTAAACTGGGTGTTCGGATTTATATGTCACTTAGTATATTTCCAACTTTAGCTTTTTGACTTCTATTTACTAAATAATCTTGTAAAATGTGTAATACTGATCCTTTAAAGCCATAATGATGCAATTTCGTTAACAATTTTTCCCTATCTATAGTCTCAAATGCCCTTTTGAAGTCTAAAAATATTGTTACAATATATTCTTTCTCATCTATACTTCTTCTCCAGTCTTCCACCACCATTTGGATTGCAGTTTCTGTGGTAAATTTTTTTCTAAATCCAGCTTGATTTTTTTTTCAAAATTTTGGTTTCTTCAATGAATTCTATGATTTGTTCGTATATTATCCCTTCGAACAGCTTCTCGGCATCGGACAAGACATTAATCGGCCGCATATTTGTATACAGCTGAGAATTTTGAACTTTTGGCACAGGAGTCATGGCGGAACACTTTAATTTTGATGGGAATTCACCTTGTACTAAACAATGATTCACTAGTGTGACAAAAGATCAAGGCACACATTACGTCTTATAAAAATTCCACTCTAGAGAACAGACAAACCGATGTCAAGTCTAGAAACAAATATAACGAAGTGGTTTGCAGTCCGACAGATCAGCACGTTGTAAAAATTAGACACAGGGTAATGTCGCAGCGCAATGGCAGTCGGTCTTCTGGACGCTGGTCAAGCAGATTGGAGGTAACTTTTTTCGATGGATGGCGTTTATTTCGGGTGGCCGGAGTCCAGATCACCGAGAACTTCATCGTCAATAGCGGCAGCTGCTGGGACAAAGCTAGATATTTGTTTAGTACTGCTTACTTGTTTGGGGTGCTGCTATTTATCGATCATCAGTGTCGTATAGGTGTAGTAGTGGAGACCGACAAATGGAAAGTAAAGAAGAGGGTATGGTTTACTGAAAAACTATGAATGTTGTCGTGTTTCAATGATGGTGGGTGTCATCAGTTTGTTCTTAGAACGGTAAGTGTCATTTAACGTAGGACAGAGGCATAGGGGTTTTCTATATTTTCAGCGTACAGACTCAATCTTAACTATCTGTAGGTAACAGTTGTTAGCGTTATTATCCCTTTGCCCAAAATTTAACCACATCGTAAGCGATTGAGGACAAATATTCCGAAATGCGGTATGGCTAAGAAGGTAGACGTAATCTTCTACTACAGAAAAGTGTATAAGAAATCGTGGATCCTCAACACATTATTGAACCAGGTTCTGAATTCACTTGACGAATCAAGCTGAAAATTCAATCATTTTACTAGCAAGAGCCATATATGCCAAAAATTATTGAAATCGGATAAACATACGTAGGTACCTTTTTTGGCACCCAGTATACATCACTCTGCCGGAGTGATTTCCAACTCTCCACACCAAAATCCACTAGTTTAAAACCTTACTAATCGTTCAGTCTTTCAACGTAGAATTCTGCCCAGAGATCGACTTAAAGTCAGCCCACGAAGGCAACTGCATCCATCTGTAGACAACATTGTACTTTTTCAGTCTGATCGCAGTAGAGTTCGAAAGTTCCGGACTATTATACAGGGTGCGCCATGAATTAGTTAACATTTGAAAAAATCGTATGAAAATAACATTGGACATATTTTAAAAATTGTTTATTCACAAGAAAGCTAATTATTTGGAATACGTTTCTGGAAAATTATAAACAATTTTCTGGTTTCTAGGTTAGAATCTGAGTTTGAATTGGTAGTTGTGTTTGGGTTGTCCAATAGGAACGCAGGAAAGTAAACGTCAATTTGACATAGACGCCATCATTGTTTTCTGTCACCGACATGTCATATTGTTAGTTGAATGTTTACCATTGATCGCTATGGAGTCGTATTCGATTGAAGACTGCATTAAAGTTATTCAAGAGCACGTTTCGCGCGCTTCGTGGACATTTTGGTCGCAACAACCGTCCAAACGAAACAATCATCGATCGTCTGGTGCGTAAATTCGAGGCAGCAGGTTCTGTGGCAAATCTGCCAGGCTCTGGCCGGCCAAGGAGCGTTCGCATACCGGAAAATATTGCTGTTGTGAAGGAGAGTGTGAGAGACGATCCGAAACAATCAACAACGCGTCGATCCCAAGAATTGGGCATTTCGAGAACCAGTTTGCTCCGCATCCTCCACAAGGATTTGAATGTACACACCTACAAGATCCAATTGACGCAAGAGCTGCGTCGGGCCGACCATTTTTCGCGCCGAACGTTTTCAGATTGGCTCCTTGAACACCGCCAAATTGATGCCAATTTTTCATCAAAAATCATGTTCAGCGACGAAGCGCATTTCACTTTGAATGGGACGGTAAACAAGCAAAACTGCCGCATCTGGGCAAACGAAAATCCCCGTGAGTATCAAGAGCAGCCGATGCATCCTCAAAAAGTGACTGTGTGGTGTGCATTGTGGTCAAAAGGCATCATCGGACCTTACCTTTTCGAAAATGTGGCCGGGGACGCCGTTACCGTCAATTCTGAGCGATATCACGTGATGATAGAGGACTATTTTTTGCCGCAACTTGAAGGAATGGATATGGACGATGTTTATTTCCAACAAGACGGTGCAACATGCCACACAACCAACGTCAATATCCATCGATTGCAGTCCTTCTTCGGTGATCGCGTGATTTCGCGCAGAGGAAATGTGCCATGGCCACCAAGATCGTGCGATTTGACTCCCTTGGACTTCTTTTTATGGGGATATTTGAAAAGCAAAGTCTACGTCAACAAACCAGCCACCCTCCAAGAACTCAAAAACAACATCATTGCCGAGATAAATGCCATTGAACCGACCATGTTGCAAAATGTCATTGAAAATTTCGACCATCGCGTGGACGTCTGTAAATCCAGTCGTGGTGAACATTTGAGCGATATTATTTTTCATACATTAATGGTATAAATGAACCTTCAAAAGAAAGTACCCAACTTGATTTGAATATCAATCTTTCTTGTTTTAATATCCGCTTACTTTCCTGCGTCCGTTTTGGACAACCCCATATCATCTAAATGACTGCGAGATTGCCGACATCTCATCGTTGATGATCTCTTTTAGTTGACGGAGTGTACTTGGTTTATTGATGCAGACACGTCTCTTTAAATAACCGCATAAAAAAGTCTGATGGGGATAGATCTGGTCTTCTGGGTGGCCATGGGATGTCGCCTCGTCTGGAAATGAGCTTTTCTGGAAACATTTCTTTGACCACCGGCAGGGACTCGTTGGATATGTGACACGTGGCTCCATCTTGTTGAAACCATCTGTTACGATTATAGCCAGCAAATTCCAGGAGCATCGGTGCCAAAAACTCGCGTAACATTTTCACATACTCAGCAGAATTAACAGTAACTGAATGGCCGCGAGAATCTTCAAAGAAGTACGGGCCAATGATTCCTTTTGCTGAAATTGCAGCCCATACAGTTACTTTAGGAGAGTAAAGGGCTTCTCGTGTCTGGCTTTGGTATTTTCGATGCTTCAGTACCTGCAATTCTGTTAAATCACATGTCCGTTGAGGTGGAAATGAGCTTCGTCAGAAAATATACTAAGTAACATATAAATCCCAGTTTAAATGGTTTTATTTTAATAAAATTTTGTATAAGTACTTAATGAAGCATAATAAGTAAATGATAAAAATTTCAAAATGATTGCAACTGCTTTAAAGCCCTTTGAACTTTAATAATGTGTGGATGCACCCTGATGTGCTACGCACTCTCCAACGCACCTAGGCATGCTTCTGGTCAGGTGGTCAATGTCCTCCTGTGGTATCTCATTCCTGGCAACCACCAACTCCTCTCGAAGTGCTTCTGGAGTCTGAGGAGGACGTTGCAAATTGAGCAATCTCCTACCCATCATATCCCACACGTGCTCGATTGGGGATAAGGCGGGAGATCTTGGTGGCCATGGTAACAATGTGACATCATTATGTTGAAAGAAGTCTATTGTGACTCTTGCAACATGTGGTCGGGCATTATCTTGTTGGAAAGTTGGATCTGCCAGGGTGTCAAGATAGGGTAAAGGATGGGGTTCTAGAACTTCGTGGATATAACGCTGCGCGTTCATGTTACCTCTGATGAAGATTAAAGGTGACCTGGAACTATAAGCTATAGCACCCCAAACCATAACTCCAACAGTGTGATGAACATGTCTTTCAACAAAAAACTGTGGATTCCTCCTTTCACCACGTCGCCTTCTAACCCTGGCACGACCATCGTGCATGCCTAAACAAAATCGAGACTCGTCACTAAAGACAATACTGTTCCATTCCTGATCCCAGAGTGACCGTTGTCTGCACCACTCAAGGCGATTACGTCGGTGTTCTCGAGTTAAAGGGAGGACCCAGTGTGGCCAGTATGAAAACAAGCCAAAACTTCTCATTCGTCGGTAAACACTTCGCATGCCAATAGGTCTTCCGTGTTCTGCAAACCATTCATTTGCAATGGACCTGGTAGTGGAGAAACGGTCCCTTAAGGCCAATAATCTTAGGCGGCGATCTTCACGGTTTGTTGTTCTACCTCGGCGTCCAGTGCCCCTTGCTCTTTGCGTACGGCCTTCCCGAAGCTATGCCTGACAACACCTAACCACAGTGTCTATACTTCTTTGCACTCTAACTGCAATTGCCCGAAAAGAAAGTCCAGCTTCCCGAAGTCCCACTATACGGCCCCTATCAAACTCACTAAGTTGACGAAATCGTACAGGTCTCCGTACTCTAGGCATTGTAACCGATCTAAAGGATGTCAAGAACCAAAATCCGCCAACGTTGATTCTTTACTGCGGCTGAAATATTCATTTTTAGAGCGTTAATGAATTAAAAAAAAGCAGTATAAAAACCGGAATGTCCAACTGATAAGGCTGAAAATTTTTTCACTTGTTATTTACAGTAAGATAAATACATTCACCAACTTTTATTAAAATAAAACCATTTAAACTGGGTGTTCGGATTTATATGTCACTTAGTATAAGAGATTGTCAAAATTACTGAATCAAGCTAACATCGTTTCGGCATACGACTCGCGCAAATTTAAATCATTAGGTTTCAGTTCCTGCACTATCTGGATCTTATATGGATGTAATTTCAAATATAATCTCAAAATACGGTGTAATGGTCTCCGGGATAATCCTAATTCGGCCGATCGTTTGAGCGTCGATAAATCTGGATCACGTTGAACAGAAGCGGAAACTTGCTGCACGTTCTCCTCGCTCCGAGCAATCCGTGGGCCGCCGGTTTGCTTCACGTTCATTTTAGATCCCGTCTCTTCGAACTTCTTCACCCATATCTTTATCAAACGAGCACTTAACACAACTTAAGCCGTGTAAATTGTATTCAACGCGAAATAAGCGTCTCACAGTAATGAGCGAACTGTTGTTTAAATAAAATTCTTTCACACAGTAAGCGCGTTGCGGCTCGGTAAAGCGATCCATTGCGACTGAATTTCCGAGAAACGAGCCCCCTCCCCGCGCGGCATCTGTTGCGTGGTGTAATAGATTTAAATGTTAACGAATTCTTGGTACACCCTGTATCTTATGTAACTAAGCCGCAGCAAAGTTGGTGCAGCAGGGGGCGATTTGAAAACCGATGGTCCTGAAATTTTAAATAAAACACAGGCGTATCTCTAAACAAAGCTGTATTGGGAACAGGACTCTGAATAAGGAATACCTGAGGGCGTCTAGGAAACTAAAATTTGGCCAAATCGTTTTTATTTTTTCCGTTTCCAATTTCTTAACAGCGTGTGAACACGCCCCAAAGAACTTTATTCTAATTAAACTTAAGCTGTACCCTCCCACAGGAATTGAGATCCCCATACATGGGATCCTTATCTTCGATACCCGGTATATAAAATATAGTATAATAAATAGTAACAATTATTAGAAAATATTTCCTACCCTGTTTTCTGATCCTCTTCGTCAGCGTCTGTGGCCATTACCTGAATCACAAAATCTTCTTTTTTGGCGGTTTCCTTAAGTTCTGTTATATATTCAGACTTGGCGAATGTTGGGCGCTCATCGTTCAGATCTCTTAGATTCACTGTAATCTTTAGACTGTCTTGCTTTGTGTCATCGAGTTTTCCTTTCGCGAGTATCTACCAGTATACAATATTTATTTATACAAGGCGTCCCAGCCGTGCGTGGGCGAAGTATTGCTGATAAACAAAAACTATTCAATGAAAACTATTTGTGGATTGTCATATGTGATATCTGGAGACATGTTTCTAAAATATTCACAATTATACAGCGTACCCCAATTTTGAGTAGAGATTTAAAATTTCCGGAAAAATTGGATGCCGGAAAAAAACCTGTTTTTGTCCGGAAAAATTGAGGAAAAAAAGGAAAAATACGGAAAAATTGAAATTTGTTATATACAAGATAAAAGTATACTTTATCTGAAGTCACTTGAAACACTGTGAAATACCGGGTGCGTTTTATATATCTATATTTAACACGCTCTGTTGCTGCAAAAATCGCCAAATTTCGCAGCAAATGTCCCCCGTATAAGATCAAAGGCAGTTTCACCGGTCCACGTGGAGTAAAGCACGCCTATGCGTGGACATAGCCAATGAGAAAGCGTGTATTTCAGAGCTCCGAACAAGTGCAGGTGGCTACTGAAAATTGAAACAGTTTAGCCAGTGCCGTGTAGCGGTGAATAAACGTGTTTTCTTTAGTCTTTTCGTGTTTTTTCATAGATTTTATTAGTTTGTGTGTTTTTGACTTTTGAATACTCAGTTTACTTGTTGATTTAATTGTTGTGTTGATTGTTCTTGTGCGTCCTAAAAATGGCTCTTTGGAGACCTTGGGAAAATGCACCAAGCCACGAGGAGATGGTTGATGAACCTGTGCATGCAGAATTCTTTCATAAAGATTTAGAGGAACAGACCCAAAGAGTAATCCTAAATATGTATGATTGTCTGAAAAACGAAAATCCAGATTCCTCGCAAAATCAAATTTTAAACAGAATTTGTATCCTGACAAAAATCAGTCGGTCTACCATTTATCGGGTTATAAAAAGGGGAGATGTAGTCAACCATTCCTTCCACAGAAAGCGCATAGGGCAAAAATTAAAAAGAATAGACGTGGGTTTTCAGGAAGATATTCGTCGTATAATATACGGATTTTATAAAGAAAATTTGGTGCCCACGCTGGAAATGATACGGGATAAATTAAAAGATTATCCTGAAGATTTTTATAATTACAAATGCTTAGACTCACTGCACTGTATTGTAAAACTGTGTGGTTTTCAATACAAAAAATTAGATAAAAGAATGGTGATTATCTGATTTACCTGGATGAAACGTGGTATGATACCCATGATGTTGTGCAGTACGGCTGGGTTGACGACAGCAACAAGTGCATTTTAAATGCACCATGCAACCGTGGAAAACGAATCATTATTCTCCATGCTGGCAGTGAAAATGGATTTATACCTAATGCCTTACTGTTATCTGCCAAAAATATCAAAGAATCATGTGCCGACTATCATGAGGACATGACCTCCGACTTATTTGAAAAGTGGATAGAGCAGCAGTTAATACGAAACATTTCCCCAAATTCAGTGATTATTATGAACAATGCGCCATACCATTCCCGACAGAAAAACAAAATTCCGAATACAGGCACAAAAAAACAAGACATTATTGATTTTATGAAGGATAAGGGAATGGAAATACCACAAAAATCAACCAAAGCCATATTATTGGATCTTATTAAAAGACAAAAATTTGAAAAAGAGTATGTTGTTGACAATCTGCTTCAGCAAAATGGCCATGAAGTATTACGTCTACCTCCCTATTACTGCATTTTTAACCCGATTGAGTTGGTCTGGGCTGCTTTAAAAAAAAAGTAAGAAAACATAATCAGACCCCTCAATTAAGTGAATCGCTATTGGCCACAATAAGAGATGCAGTATCTCATATTGCTGCCACAGACCTATGGAAGCAGTGTTCTAGGCATATTATCGAAAAAGAAAATGAATATTGTGTTTTGCCTCCTGTAAATCCCGTTGTAATGCCTCAACAAGATGACTCTAACGACAGCTCCGAAGGCGAGGATGATATATAAATACCTATAATGTAAGTCTTTATATACCTTTGTATATACCTACCTGCTATGTAAATATTTGCCTATGTCAAACGTTGGAATTCTGTAATTTTTCCATTTCTTAACTTTCAGTCAACATAAATTAAACTCCCAATATAAGTATTTTTTATCCCAAACCAAAAAAATAAGAAGATAGTAAAATCCATTTATTGTGATATAAAAACATTATTATTATCGTTCTAAATAAATGACCGCACGCCTATGATACGTCATGAAATTACAAAGGACGCGCCGACCAAAGGTTTTTTATGCTATTTCAAGTGACTTCAGATAAAGTATACTCTGGTTACTGATTTTTTCATTAATGTAAATCAAACAGAAATAATTTGAATCAAAACCGCAAGCTACGGCTCTGAAGGAATAGTTCTCGGTAAATACCCGTCGATTCTCGTTTCGGTGAATCCCCGACCACTACAGCTTTCGGTTAATTCCCGATCACGCACAGCGACACGGCATTTCGGTAAATCCCCGTATTCCTAAATTGTCCAGTTGAGAATGAGTTTCTTCAATATTGACACGTCTTGTTTATTTTAAAGCACGCATTTTAATTTAGCCTTATCATAAGCGCAGTAAATGAATAAGACAAAGTGAAATTTTGCTGTAATAATTGAGTGTGTGTGTTCTGAACATTGTTAGTGTTATTGACCCAAGTGTTTGTTTTGGTTTCTGGTAAGTGAATATTTTATTAAATTTGGAATAGCTTTAAGTGTTTTGAAGATGGGATTTCAGTTTCCATGCATATTTTCCTTACTTTTCTTTATTACTAATATCAAGATTCAGTAATAATAATTATTATCTGTATACTCATTGAAGTACAAGAATTTGATCAATTGATAAAGTGCAGCAAGATATTTTATTTATGTATTTTTTTATTGTTGCAGGACAATATGGTTCGACCTTCTTCAGATATTTGGCAATTATTTCATATTGAAAAAACAGATAAAAAATCCAAGGCTGTGTGTAAGTTTTGCTGTTTTAAATACGCCTTTCTAAACGCAACTCGCATGACGAATCATATATTAAACAAATGTTCAAAATGTCCTTTGGAAATTAAACAAAAATATGGCAATGAAATACAATCGAGTTCGAAGTCTTCGACGTCAGAAGAAAAAGAAAGTAACAAAGATATCCTGCTAGAAGCATTAGAAGATACCAGTCTCCCTTCAACTAGCAAAAAGGACACGTCATCCGTGTCATCATCTTCCGAATCTCCATTACCATCAGTAAAACGCAAGAAAGCTAGCTGCCAACAAACATTGAGCGGGTTTTTCGATAAGATAGCTGTTTCAGAGTCTTCTAAAATTGATGAGGCATTAGCTAGGGCTCTTTATGCTTCTGGTGCTCCTTTTTCTCTTTTCAAAAATAAATCTTGGGAACAGCTTTTTAAAATGTTAAGACTGTCATACCAAATACCTAGCCCTTACGCTCTGTCAACAAACTTACTTAATTCCGAGTATGAACGTGTACAGATAAACCGAAGTCAAAAGCTGTCTAAATCCGATAGTTTATCAATAGTAACAGATAGTTGGACAAATATAGTCGGAGATGGATTAATCAATATTGTTATATGCACGCCTATACCTTTATTTTACAAAACTGTTCATCGTGGCACTGCAGAAGAAACGGGAACGTATATAAGTAATGAACTTATCAAAGTTATTCAAGAAATAGGGACACACATTTTTTTTTAATGGTGACTGACAATGCGAGCAATATGAAAGCTGCTTCGCATATTATAAATACAACATATCCTCATATATCTTGTGTTGGCTGTGCAGCTCACACTTTGAATTTGCTACTAAAGGACTTTATGAAAGAAAATTTGTTTGAAAAAATAAGTAAAGAGTTGCATTTAAAGAAGCACAGGCCGAAAAATACCCAAAAAATAAAGTAATTTCCCTCAAAGTACCTGCAAAAACAAGATGGGGTCCTCTGTTTATAACTGTTGATTTGCTTTTAAGAAATAAGGAAGCTCTGCAATGTACTGTATTAGTGGAAAACCTGAATGTAAAACAAACTATTAAAAAAGTTGTATTGGATGATGCGTTCTCGCAAAACCTACAATATACTAAACAAATCCTGCATCCTGTATCAAAATCGATAAATTTAGTAGAATCGGATAGATATATATTATCAGAAGTGCCTTTTGTCTTTAAGTATATAAAAGACACAATATTAGATATTTCCCAACAAGTTGACCTGACTAGTTTTCTTATCGAAAGCTTGCTAAAATATGTTGAAGACCGCTACGAATTTTGTTCTAAGCCGATTCACTGTGCAGCCAATCTTCTTGATGCTCGCTTTAAAGGAGAACAATTGAATGAAGACCAACTAATGGAAGCAATAGACTTCATCTCTGAAATGGCTCGTTCACTAAATCTAGATGTAGGGAAGGTGGTGGCAAACCTAGCCCAATTTAGAACAAAAACTGGATTTTTTAGTCGAACTTCTGTATGGGATAGTGCGAATATGTACATCGCAGCCACTTATGCCAACTGCCTCCCGAATTTTAAATGGATCGCCATCTTCCGCCTCTTCAGAAAGAAACTGGTCTTTACACATACAAGCAAAAGAAATATATTATCCCAGGATAAAATTCAGAAGCTGGTTGCTATTCATTCTAATTTGGTTATAAACGAAAAACAGACATTCATTTACGATGCTAGACCAGTTCCACTTTTAGAAGACACTGGCAAAGATTATGCTGTTTTGTCCGTCCCTGAAGACGAAGCGGAGATCGAGTCTGAATCAGATGCTTGGTCTGAAGATTCAAACTCAGACTCTGATGAAAATACACCTCTGAGCACTTTGGTTAAATAATGTGTTTTCTACCGTTGAAGCTTTGTTTTTGACACTTTCAATTATTAGATAATAATTATAATTTCAACCTATATACAGGGTGACTTTGAAGTTGAGTCATTAATTTTCAGATAATGATTGTAGAAGGAAGATAAACCAAAATATGTGTGTAAAAATAAAAAAAAATAAAAAAAAAATTTACCTTGTTTTATAAAGTATCCTCCTGACAAGTATTTCAGTGCGGACCTGTATTTGATCGTGAGGTCCCCTGTGAGGTCTTAAGTCACCTGATTCACGAGCCCGTTGTACTACATTAACAAAGGCACGAGGAGTTGGTTGCACTCGATTGGGAAACCGATCCGTATAAACATGTGCCATTTTTTATTTCGTTTGAGCCACGCAACAGACACAATTCACACGCGACTGACACTGACTGTATGTATAACTGAACTGAATAACATAATTGTAAAAACATCGTTCCAAATTCCTTCGCTTTTTTGTTTCCGATGCGATGAACCGATAAGGCGGATTATATCCGTTGTTGCCAAACACGAGCACATGATATTATTGAGACAGGGCGGTACTCAAACTTCCAAAGGGCTATAACTCTGTTACTTTAATTTTACTAGAAAAATGGTAAAGGAAAAAAACATTTCTTTTGATCAGATCTACTCACTGTTAAAATAAATGACTCAACTTCGAAGTCACCCTGTATATGTATGTATTTATATCTTAGATATTAATAGATATTATTAAAGTATGTTTTTTGTATTTATTTTTACAAAATATGTTTAAAAAACTTTAAAATTGGTACCTATTTTTTACGTTTCAAGTCACAATTAAAAAATATTTAAATTTTCCCATTTTTTCCAATTTTTCCCATGCTCTGGAAAAAAACGGAAAAAACGTGTTTTTTTCCTAATTTTTCCCGTTTTTTCCGATATGTTAAATCCCTAATTTTGACTCACATATCAAAGTTGTTGTTTTTTTAAATGGAATCCCCACTTTTAGGATAGAAATGGAGGTTAATATACTTGCTTATGGGCTTTGATAGTTACTTGTTGATCTATGTCTGAAAATGACGCCTATAGGTAAAATTTAATAATGTTCAACAATGTCCCCTTGATGTTGCAGACATAATCAAAGTCTTCAAATGAATGTTTGCTTTACACTTTCTAGCGTATGTTCATTGATATACTAAGTGACATATAAATCCGAACACCCAGTTTAAATGGTTTTATTTTAATAAAATTTTGTATAAGTACTTAATGAAGCATAATAAGTAAATGATAAAAATTTCAAAATGATTGCACTGCTTTAAAGCCCTTTGACCTTTAATAATGTGTGGATGCACCCTGATGTGCTACGCATTCTTCAACGCGCCTAGGCATGCTTCTGATCAGGTGGTCAATGTCCTCCTGTGGTATCTCATTCCAGGCAACCACCAACTCCTCTCGAAGTGCTTCTAGAGTCTGAGGAGGACGTTGCAAATTGAGCAATCTCCTACCCATCATATCCCACACGTGCTCAATTGGGGATAAGTCGAGAGATCTTGGTGGCCATGGTAACAGTGTGACATCATTATGTTGAAAGAAGTCTATTGTGACTCTTGCAACATGTGGTCGGGCATTATCTTGTTGGAAAGTTGGATCTGCCAGGGTGTCAAGATAGGGTAAAAGATGGGGTTCTAGAACTTCGTGGACATAACGCTGCGCGTTCATGTTACCTTTGATGAAGATTAAAGGTGACCTGGAACCATAAGCTATAGCACCCCAAACCATAACTCCAACAGTGTGATGAACATGTCTTTCAACAAAAAACTGTGGATTCCTCCTTTCACCACGTCGCCTTCTAACCCTGGCACGACCATCGTGCATGCCTAAACAAAATCGAGACTCGTCACTAAAGACAATACTGTTCCATTCCTGATCCCAGAGTGACCGTTGTCTGCACCACTCAAGGCGATTACGTCGGTGTTCTCGAGTTAAAGGGAGGACCCAGTGTGGCCGGTATGAAAACAAGCCAGAACTTCTCATTCGTCCGTAAACACTTCGCATGCCAATAGGTCTTCCGTGTTCTGCAAACCATTCATTTGCAATGGACCTGGTAGTGGAGAAACGGTCCCTTAAGGCCAATAATCTTAGGCGGCGATCTTCACGGTCTGTTGTTCTACGGCGGCGTCCAGTGTCCCTTGCTCTTTGCGTACGGCCTTCTCGAAGCCATGCCTGACAACGCCTAACCACAGTGTCTACACTTCTTTACACTCTAACTGCAATTGCCCGAAAAGAAAGTCCAGCTTCCCGAAGTCCCACTATACGGCCCCTATCAAACTCACTAAGTTGACGAAATCGTACAGGTCTCCGTACTCTAGGTATCGTAACCGATCGTAAAGGATGTCAAGAACCAAAATCCGCCAACGTTGATTCTTTACTGCGGCTGAAATATTTATGTTTAGAGCGTTAGTGAATTAAAAAAAAGCAGTATAAAAACCGGAATGTCCAACTGATAAGGCTGAAAATTTTTTCACTTGTTATTTACGGTAAGATAAATACATTCACCAACTTTTATTAAAATAAAACCATCTAAACTGGGTGTTCGGATTTATATGTCACTTAGTATATTTAGAAACGTCTCTTTAAATAGCAGATAATAATCTGCTCTATATCCTCTATTTTCGAGAAAGTATATTTTGCATTTTTGTGCCACCCTGTACTGATCATTCATGAACTTCTGAAAATTGAAGATTTCGGCTAAAATTGAGTATTATAAAATATTTTTGACTCAAAACTTACGACTACAACTATCAAGATAGCATGAACGCAGACTATGAAGCTTTGACGTTTTTTAGATGAAATAAAGCAATACCTCAACAACTAAGAATCAAAACCCATAAGCATTATATATTAATCTCCTTATTTTAAGAGGATCTAACAGAATAAAAAGTAAGGCATTCCATTTTTTAAAAATCAACTTTACAGTGTCATAAATATTATCTAGTTCTGTTTATGATTTTTTACTACAAGAAGTGTAAGCAGAATTCTAGAACCTACGAGAATCTACTGGTTACTGGAGTTGTTATGATTGGTACATCATTCTTTTTAAACATGTAAAATTGGGTAAGCTACTTATGCAATGACTGCTTCTTGAGCTTCCACATGTTGAAATATTGGAGCAAAAAGATTCTACTCACATTAAACGTTATTTCTCTCCAATCGGAGTTTTCGTAATCCAAATACGTCTTATTCCTGACTGATATGTCGAAATAGGTGGTGTTTTTGTATCCAGCGTTCGGTGTAATAATAAACGCTTCAGTATAATCAATTTTTGTACCAGGTAGCTTTTCTAGAGCTACTGAGAACTGAGCATTTTCACCCTGAAAGAAGTGAAAGTCTATCATCCATACAGCGAAAACCAAATTTGTTTGAGAGCTTGAGTTCAATGCGAACAAGAGAGAAGTATGTATCCAACGCATGCTAGAAAGAGATAGAAGCCGGATGAAGAGCGCAGGTCATCACCACATTGCCAAGCATCGGTGACGCGGAAGGGCGTGCCGTGTTGCCAATGTTACACCAGAAAATGTTCGAAACGGCTGCTACATTAGGTTAGGTTACTGTCAAACCCAAGAAAGAGGTCTGTTCGAACTTTCAATTTAATACTTTGTTTTCGTTTTGACTAGAATTACACTGGACAACAAATTTTAGTTTTTTAATTGTATCTTGTGGGAAAAGTGCACTTCTTTGTTAATTTTGGGGCGCTGAATCCAAAAATGACAATGAAATAAAAAAATTAGTTGCGGTTTAGAGAAAAAACTTTTTATTTTTAAGGATATATTAAAAAAAGTAACAAGATTCATACATTTATAAGAATCACTATATGCGCTGTCTTTTTGCTGTTCTTTTATGGATCGTTTCTGGAGCATCTCTACCAAGAGTCCAACAGTAGTCTGCAAGCATGGAAGGATTCCACTTTCCCTGGTACCTTTTTTCCATTGTTGAAATATCCTGATGAAAACGTTCGCCGTGCTCATCACTTACGGCTCCGCAATTGTCAGCAAAAAAGTCCAGGTGTGAGTGTAGGAACTGTATCTTATGAGACATATTACAGCCCATCTTTTAATACGATGACAGCATATTTTTGACAAGGGTTTTATAGTTGTCAGCTTTTCTATTTCCCAAGAAATTAGTGACCACCAGACGGAAATCATTCCAAGCAGTTTTTTCAATACCTGTTAAAGTGTTTTCAAACTGTGTATCTTTCAAAATATTTCGAATCTGTGGCCCAACAAAAATACCTTCTTTAACCTTTGCCTCACTTAGTCTTGGAGAATTCTGACCCAGGTTTTGAAAAGCTGACCCAGGTTTTGAAAAGCTGACCCATCTCTATCTAATGCCTTGACAAAGTTTTTCATTAGGCCCAACTTGATATGCAGTGCTGGTAATAAATTTTTTTTCGAATCTACTAATGGCATATGCTGTACATTTTTTTGACCTAGCTCTAGGAATTGACGAACAGGCCAGTTTTGTCTGGTGTAATGAAGTGCCTTTGCCCAACTGTCCCATTCACACAAAAAACAGCAAAACTTTGTGTAGCCTAGCTGCAGCCCAAGTAAAAGTGCAACAACTTTCAAATCGCCACAAATATGCCATTGGTGCTCATCGTATTTTATGCATGTCAATAGGTACTTCATATAGTCATATGATTCTTTCATGTGAACTGCATACCCTACAGGAAAAGATGGTAAAATATTTCCAATATGCAATCACACTGCCTTTAAACTCAATGTTGAACTGTCCTTAAACAATCTCCATTCTTCTGGGTTATAGTTTATATTTAAAGCCGCCAGTAAGCCGTTAATGTTACTGCAGAAAACCAAGTTATTCTCCATATTGGAAAATGGTTCTAACTCTTTGTGGCGTTTACGAAAAACAAATACCGAACCATCGTCTTCTAACAAGTTCCACTGCTGCAGTCTTGATCCAAGTAACTCTGCCTTACATTTTGGAAGTTCTAAATCTCTTACAAGATCATTTAATTCTGACTGTGTTATTTTGTGCGGTTGGTGGCATGACGTGCTCGGTATAAAATCAGGATCTCTTGACGTTGATGGCATATCTTCTTCCTGACGAATCACTCGATCGCCATGATCTGTTTCGCAAGTGTAGGATTCTGGGGGTTTTGGAATAGGATTTTCGTCACTGTGAGGCACAGGTCTCATCGCAGATGGTATGTTTGGGTAGTTAATAACCGATTTTTTTTTCTTGGACATACCTGTGGCTTGTCCAACACAAGGTACCATGCAAAAGTAACAATCATTAATATGATTTGTAGGCTCTCTCCAAACCATTGGGACAGCAAAGCGCATAGACCGTTTTTTGCCATTTAACCAGCTCCTCAGACTTGAAGCACATGTATTACAGCAGATGTGGGGTGCCCACTGTTTGTCTTGATCTCCTAGTTTACAACCGAAATAAAGCTGATATGCCTTTGTTATTAGTGGAGTAATAGACCGTCTCTGAGACGCAAAAGTCACATCACCACACACGTAACAAAACTGATCTGAATTGTTTACACACTTTCGAGACATCTTGCATGAACGCCGTCAGCCAACTGAGGAAAAAATGGCTAATATAAAACAATATAATGTACACGTATGTATAACGTAACACAATCATGCCGATTACATCGTCTTTCCTTGCCGAATATAAAAACGTAGCACGTGCATTCTTGTGAATTACAGTATATTAACACTGTCACAGCAGGAACACATATAATTACCGTATCTCTAAAACTTGAACTAATATTGAAAAAATAGGTTTCATTCCGGTTTTAGCACATTAAAAATAGTAATATTTTGTTGATTTTATTTAGGATATTTTTTGGCTGTTGATCAGTGTAATTAATATAGTTTTTTTTCAAATAAAAGCGTGTTGTACCCTTTTCCTAAGCTGCTGTCAAAACGCTTTTATCCGAAAAATTGAGATAAAGGAGCTTGGTTGTCGATTAAATACTTCCAATCGGAAAAAATATCTTTTTTTAAACCAAAGCAGCGGTCGGCCCTGGAGATTTCGGCGCTCCGCAGGGCTAGTGCTAGTGCAAATAGTACAATCCGCGCTTGCTCGCCATAAGCATCATCAAAAGCGCCCATCTATGGAGAAATGACTCAATGATGCGACACGCTCAATGACCATGCTGCAACCTGAAAGTCAGTTGACCATCATGCTTAGTTGGTTCTAGAATGTCGAGAGAGTCTGTAGAATGTTAAATGTCACACACAAGTTTTTGGTTCTGGTAATAAAAATAAGTTTAACAGACCACATAGGGTGATTCACAAGTCGCGATCAAAAATGAAACACCATACACAGGACCGCATTTTAGGGTGGGTCTTCTATGTAACGTTTTTTCCTGTTTAAAAATAAAAAAAACAACTTTTTAAGAATATTTAAAACCGTCGGCTGAAATAAACTAAAATTTGGTATGTGGATTTATCAAAGTATTGTCCACATTCAAAAGTCTTTACTTAAAATTAACGTTCACCAGTGGCGGAGATACAGGGGATTAGTGGCATTATTTTTCCAAATAAAAATAGTATGCACAATTTTCCAAATTTTTCCTTCAATTTGCTACAAATACCTACTCTTGTGTTTCTTCCTAAAGTGCATTGTTTTCGTGAAGATAAAAAAACAGATAAGATATATAACCAAAGCGTCATTTCGATAAATGTCCAAAAAGACCACTGTTCTGACGGATACAGCTGCGGCATCGTTTTAATAAAGGAAAACGTAGTTCCAAAAAATTTGTTGTGGCTTGAATTTGATGATTCGCATTATCTATTCTTTCTTGTAACCGATTAACAGTATTAATTTGTTCAGCATTCACTAGTTGTTTAAAAGCGCCCAACAAAAAGAAATCCAGGGGGTTCAAATCAGGAGACCTCGAAGGCTAATGTACGGGTCCGTTTCTGCCAATCCGTCGTTGCCTAAAATGATCCCACATTCGTACTCTCGTTGCTAACGAAACATCATCTAAAGCATTGATTCCCAAAGTGGTCTATATCGACCCCTAGGGGTCTATGACAACCTGCAAGGGGTCTACGTCAGCAAAAAAAAATTTGGGGGTCCACGGTAGTGGATCTCATCACATACACTGATAGTACCTATTTACTTACATCATTCTATCTTATAATATCAAAAGATATACATTATTTATAAAAGTACCTATGAAGTAAAAAATTTATTATATTTGTTTATAAAATTGTGTAAGTTGTAGGATGTTGGTATTCGCTTTGTGGTCGCAATACATTTTGAACTTGTAAAAACCTGAGAGTCGCAAACTCAGAGCTACGCTACCTTGCACTGACTTGTTCAATTCGTCACTCTATAAATACGAATGTGGGATAAATACGTTTATTCGTTTTCTGAATCTTGAAAAGGAAAGTGCTAAGAAAATATTTTAAAAAATATAAACAGATAGTATATCACACAAATTATAGTGAGTCAGTGTTATTCTGTATGAGAGTGCTGGAGAAAAGTAAGTACATTATTTTTTATTAAATTTTAGTTTTGTACTCGTAGTTAGCAAAGATAGATAAATTACGCCAATCATGACTTTAGTTATCAGTAGTTAAATATTCAATCATGCAAAATTACACGAGTACTCCTCAATAGTTTCTTTTTGAAAGTTTTAGCAATCGGTAATATAATTACAGTGCAATCTCCGTAATTCGAGCTAATTGTTGGAAGAAGATGTTCGAATTATGGAATGTTTTCGGAAAAATCAAAAAATATTTTTAATATACAGCTGCTGGATTTAAATAATTTCATTTTGCCCACATATGACTGATGCCATGTCCGAATCTAAAAAGAAATGTAGACAGTACAGTGTTGATTATTTGAAATTTGGCTTCATTCCATCATTGCCGGACAAACAATCGCCTATGTGCCTTTTATGCAACAAAGTTTTGGGCAATGACGCTACGAAACCATCTAAACTGCAAGACCATCTGAGAAGATGCCACCCTGATAAAACAGAGAAAGATTTGAAATAGTTTCAAACACTCAAAGATAAATTTCAGAAGAGACCTACACTGGACAGAATGTTCGTTTCGACGTCACAAAGAAATGATGATGGTTTGCGGGCGTCTTACAATATCTCGTTACTTATAGCAAAATCCGGAAAACCGCATATTATCGGAGAGAAGTTAATTTTGCCAGCCGTTGAAGAGGTTTTAAAAACTGTTTTACACAAACCTGCATCTGATATCATTAAAAGAATTCCCTTAAGCAACAGTACTGTTGAAAGACGTATTGATGAAATGAGTTCTGATATTGAAAGCTTCTTATGTAATTGTTTGCAAACGACCCATTTCTCTATACAACTGGACGAGTCAACTTTACCTGATAATGCAGCATTATTATTGGCATATGTTCGTTTTATTATGAATCAAGAAATCTACGAAGAACTGCTCTTGGCAAGAACTTTGATAACCGACACTAAAGGTGAATCAATATTTCATGTTTTGAAGGATTACTTCATTGAAAAAGCAATTCCTTTATGAAATATAATATCAGTAGCTACAGATGGAGCACCTGCCATGGTTGGACGTTATTGTGGATTTATATGCTATTTAAAACAAAATGTGTCAGGGGTGTTAGCAATACATTGTGACATCCATCGACAACATTTAGTTGCTAAAAATTTGAGTGTTAGATTGCATGAATCACATCATTTAATCATTGATGCAGTAAACCGAATCCGAAGCAACGCGTTGAATACGCGGTTATTTGCACAGTTGTGTGAAGAAAATGACGAACTCTTTCATCAATTACTCCTTCACACTGAAGTACGCTGGCTGTCGAAAGGCTTATGTTTGACAAAATTTTTTGCACTTTTTGAGACTATTTTAGAATTTCTGGATACTAAAGATAAAATTTTAAAAGAAAATTTAATGAAGAGGAAAACAGACATCGCCTATTTAACAGATTTGTTTACAAAATTTAATATGGTTAATTTGCAATTACAAGGCGACAGTTTAAATTTGATTAAAACGAAGTCCATCTTATCAGCGTTTCTTGTCAGAGTTAAACTAATGAAGCAAAATATTGGAATTTTCTCAGTTCCCCAATTTGTCACAGACAAGCTGCCAGGAAGACGACGTTTCAACTTACGTTCAACATTTAAATGTTCTCTATTCAGATTTTGAATCTAGGTTTGAGGATATTTTGACTATGGTAATACCGCCGTGGATAATTAATCCATATGGTGACACAGAAGAAACGAATGTCATAATACAAGAGGAACTGACTGAACTAAGTACAAACGAAGAACTTAAGGTTCAGTTTAAAAACGGATATCAGCAATTCTGGCTGCAAAACAACATACTTATCCCGTATTATGGAATATAGCGAGGAAATTTTTAATTTCCTTTCCATCGTTATACCTAGTGGAAAGGGGGTTCAGCGCTGTTACCAATCTCCTAATGAAAAAATGAAACAGACTGGACATCATTAGCCGAGGAGATTTAAGATTAACCCTTACAAAATTGACGCCAAATTATTATTATCATGTTCATCCTTCTCAATAAAAATATTGACTTATTGCTTATGTTATTTTATTTATAGTTTATTTTATGTTTATTGGTGTCTGACCAATAAATGCCCGCATTGGGAATAAGTGCCCGCATTGATTTTTTTAAAGAACCCCCCTTTATAGAAAATATTTTTTTTTAATTATTCTGAAAATTCAAGGTTAGGTACACACAAAAATTCGTTAATTTTTTGCCCTATTTTTAGATAACTTAAACGTATAAGAAGCGGAATTTAATCAAACAGTGAAATTATTGTAGAACATACGTTTATGTTATAATTAATAAACGAACTCGCTTATTGTACTATTTTAAGTAAGAAACTTTTTTTTTATTATTTTACACTTTTTTTTTATTTTATCCCTCTTATTTTTTTTCAATGCGGGCACTTATTCCCAATGCGGGCAGTTATTGGTCAGATACCTATTTATTTTATGCTACGTATATTTTACATAACAGATACAAAATTTTATTTTGAGTAGTTTTAATTTAAATTCAATTAATAAATGTAGAAATTAACATGTGTTTTTACTTTAAGTTTTTAACACTAAACTTCACTACAGTTAAAAATTTACAGGAAATCAATATCAGGTAAGTAGGGGGTCTACCCAACACGGAAAAACATGGCAAGCGGTCTACGACACAAAACAGTTTGGGGAACTCTGATCTAAAGCCATGTACAGATATATGTACAACACCGCGAACCGAACCACGCGACGAACCGCGCCGCGCTAGTGTAGACGGTGAAAAGAACGCCGTCGCGAACTTGATTAGCGTTACAGCTCGCCGATCGGCCCGATCCAGGCTCTGTCGGTTTTTCTACGCAACATCAAAGGAATGGCTCGCGGCGAAGTTGCACATATTTGGACGGGCATACCGGTGCGGCAAGCACCAATGTGTTATTTTGTAATGTACTCAGAAATAAAATAATTCTTTTTCTTACTTGTATATTTTCCTTTAAAAATTCGATCAATACCTCACAAACTTGATTGACTGCTTTGAAATTCTAAACATGTATTGCAAACTGCCGTATGAATCACCGGTCGCTAGGAATCGCACAGTGACTGCAAGTCTCTCTTGCACTGTGATGGTAGCTCTCCATTTTGTATCTTGTCTTCGTATTTTTGATCCAATCCACGTGAGAAGATATTCAAAATCCTTCGGAGACATCCTCGTAAAATTTTTGTACTGCCCACTTACTTGTTGAAATTTCAATTCCTCTATCATATTGTTGCAACCGTGTGCTGATCTATTGGTATATAACTGCGTTTGCCACCATCGTCTCGAACGTCGTCGTGGCTTGTTTTTGGATAATTAGTAGTGAATATGAATATAGGCAGCTGTTGGTAATGCTACATCCATTTCCGCTAGTATTCGTCATTCACTGAACGACAAACATCAAAGTTTTATCGTCATTTTGTTGCGCGTTGTGGTTGCACGACTTCGTTCGGTTTGCGGTGATGTTCGTTGCAATGTTGTTAGTCAAAATGCGCGCGCTATGGTTCGTCGCGGTGTTGTTACATATCTGTACATGGCTTAACAGATTTTCTACGTAATCCTCTAGAAAAGGTAAGTATGACTTTACATTTAAACGTTGTGGCAAAACGTGTCGCACGAGACATTTCTACAAAATCTGTGTTAAAACGAGTGGATTATTATAGAACGGGGATTTCTAACGATCAAATATGTTCATTGTGAGAATTAGAGGTTCTACTCCTCGTAAAAAGAGATTCATCTGACCAGAAAACCAACAATAAAATCTGCATTTTGATTATGCATTTGTAGTAACCGATGGTAACGATGTAAAACTTTCCACGCAAGACTTTGGGAACATGGTAACTGGGCTGCAATCCACCTAGTACTTCTACTAGGATCATCCAATGCTGAATTAATCACTTCCAGTTCCCCTTGAACAGTATGCCGGCCAACTCAAAATTGGAAAAAAGAAACCTTTGACTTGACTTTTACAAAAAAAAAATGTCGTAACGATAACAACTTTGACAAACTATATCCCAAGAAACGTCAAGTTGGTAACAAAGCCTCATGCTTTATTTTGAAACAAATTGTATATCGGCCCTTCATGAATTGCTATATTTCTATTTCTACGAAAACAGTGTACTCTAGGAAGAAACGAGATTCATCGTTTGTAGCAAATTTGAGGTAAAATTCGCAATACTTCTAATTTTTAAATTTCAACACCCCGTATCTTTTTAATGCAGCCCTCAAGGAAAAAATGTTACATAAAAGACCCCCCTTAAAATGCGCTCCTATGTGAATCACCCTGTATATTTGAAATCTTACAAAAAGTGACTATTATTTTAGCTGAAAATATACAGGGCGTTCCATTTAAAGAAAAACATTCGACAGCATTTTTCTGAGACACCCGGCATATAAAAAATATTACATTAAAAATCTCATATTAGACACTAAAACTATTATACACACTCTTTCTTCTATACTATAACTATCCAAAACTGTAATGACTCATCGATGTTCACGTGAACATCACTTAACTACCAGTAGTCGGCTGTTCATAGGCGGGGTATGAATGTTTAACATGGGTGAACTAGATTTGTCACATGCTTAATAAAGAGTGGTTTGAAACATATTGTAAGTCAAAAATTTGGGACTTACCTTTATTCATCGTCGCTTCCACTTACATCTGACAGTAATAAACTGTCGCTATCGCTTTCCTCGTTGAAATTGACTATAACTGGCTCTATGATGGTGTGGATGTGGTGGTCAAGCTGCCACATTTTTGTTTCTTCCTTCACAACATGACGGATAGCATTCTGCCAAGCTTCGGGCGTTACTAGCTGTATGGAAGTCTCAAGTAAAACCTTAACGTCTGGTAATTTGAAGGTTGTGTTATGGCTCGCAATATAACCCTTCACTTGAGCCCAGATGAGCTCTATTGGGTTCAGTTCACAGTGGTAGGGCGGTAACCGCAGCACAGTGACACCACATTGACGGGCCATCTCATCAGTCACGTAACTAATGTTCGCAGGTTTGTGCTGTTTAATTTTTTCATACAATTCCGCTTTCACACATGAATCGTCAAACGGGATTCCTTTTTCGCGCAACCATTGCTGCATGTCACTTTTTCGGGATCCCATAGTCGGTACACGTTCGGCTCGACAACTATGGTAGGAAGCATTATCCATGACGATCACAGAGTTGGGCTCAACTCGCTGAAGCACCCCTTGAAACCAGCTCTCGAAGCAGCTGGCATTCATTTCGTCATGGTAATCACCTCCTTTCTTAGAGACGAAAATCAAGTCACACTCTTCTAAAAAGCCACTATTGCTACCAATATGAGTTACGATCAATCTTTGACCTTTCCCTGACGGTCCACGAAGACCTGTTGACAAACCTTCAATGCTTGCTTGTCGGTTACTCACTACGTTTTTGTCTATCCAGGTTTTTTTAACTGTGTGACCTGCATTTACCTATGTCTCGTCCAAATAATAGATTTTTCTGCTTTGTCGCCTATATTCAATCATTTCGCGTAGGAATTTTCGACGCCAGGCGACTATTTCAGGTCTCTCTATCAATACTGACTTCCGATTACGCGTTTCGTAACGAAAATTAATTTCGTGCAGGGATTTCCTCATTACCTTGACGCTCATTTGGGGTATAATTTCATTTTCCTTGATCGCTGCATGTACAGCCTTGAGGGTTGGTATCTCATTCCTAAAGAAGAATGAATGTACGGTTCGCCTTAACGCCATTTTGCTATCGTCATCCAATTTAACGGCCTTTCGTCGCTTCAAATTAAACTTTGGATCAGTAGTAGCTCCAGTTTTCTTCTTTTCATGCACCACCCTGCGAATGGTCCACTCTGGAACGCCTGTCATACTTTCACAACACGCGGGTACATCTCCCTGCGACATAGTTCTGTTCAGATAATTGAACACGTTGAGCACGATTTCTTTCGCGTCCCTCTTCAGTGCTTTACGAAGCCGTCTACTTGTTCCCTGGCTTTCAGTACTTCCACTCGTGCCATTTGTACTCTATATGGTTAAGTATAACCAAAACAGTATCCACCGAAACCACAACAATAACAATCACACAACAATTCTTATAAAAACACACAATATGCGATCGCTCAACGAAACACGTTCCAATGCGTTGCCGACGCCTATGAGTCTGCCGGTCGAGGCGCGTCTTTGATTTCATTGGTTCTACCGGCGGATAACAATCAGCCATTATTTCCATCTCTGTCTGTGCTGTTGACCACCGCAAAGCCACAGAAACGACATATGTCGTACGCTATACGGCTGTACTGGAAGGAAGCCGGGATCGAGCTCTGATCACGTGTTGATCACGCGTATGAGTCATTACAGTTTTAAATAGTTGTAGTAGACAAAATGGTGAAATCTTTTCGAAGCTGTCTACAAGAGTTGAGTACTTTTCCTCTGGTTTGATCAAGCGGAGAGAGAGAGAGAGAGAGAAAGAAATTCATATGGTTCAGCAATTTGGAGCAACCTTACCGTATCTTTATCTTCAATTAGGATCGGGTGCTCGAAGCTGCCGGCAAAGTTTTCGAAAAACTCGAAGTCGATTTTATCCCTCGTTACAATCACTGGTGATTTGTTGTCCAAGTCATTGATGTAGAGAGTGACGCTTTGCGGGGTGCTCCAATCTCCTGGATTATCCGTGTCATTCACGTAGGCTACTATTTGGAATGTGTACACAGACAGATCGTCTGTATCTCTGTCAATGGGCTTTATGTCTAAAATGCCGGTGTGTTTGTCTATGCTGATGTAATTTGCTGAAAAGCAAACGTTACAGGAATTGTGCAGTAGAGATAAAGGTACGTATCCACTATACAAAGCTCTGCACTGTATGCCGCGTGTCATATGCCGGCGCATGAGCTAGGAACGTGTAGTGAAATTCAGCTTGCATCATGCGCCTGTGCACTTTCATACAGGGTGGCCCGACGGAAAGGTCGCACCCCTATTGGTACGTTTTTGTAGAATTTTAAATGGAGACCCCCAGTTTTTTTAATTTTTGGATAACCCTGTATTGTACGGCTATAGAGAAAAAGTGCTCCTCCTGAAAATCAAAATTGACGTGTCCGAGCGTTTTTCCAAAAACATACTAGGAGAGACACGATTGAGGGTGCGACCTTTTTGTTGGGCCACGCTGTGTAAAATGTTGCATATATTGAAGTAAATGTAGCAGATGACTGTTGCGCAGTACGTGTCAAACGTTCCGATACTGCAACATGCGGTGGACACATGTGCATATATAACGGATGATTTTTTAAGAGGTATAGGATTTGATTTTCAAAAGAAACACAAAAAATTTGAAAAAACGATTAAATCTATATTTGAGTCGATAGAACGGTCGATATAATTTAATGTTTAAAGATTATTTCATGTAAATGTTGGTCGCGGCTCCGCTTTAGATGGCCCATGCGCAAGGTCCAATTTTGGCACACTCTCTAACATATCGGACGGTATCTCACGAATAAATGCTTCAATATTGCCTTCCAGTGCGTCAATCGTTGCTGGTTTATCCCTGTAGACATTAGCCTTAACATGGCCCCACAAGAAATAGTCCAACGGCGTTAAATCATACGATTTAGGCGGCCAATTGAAGTGCCCCAAACGAGAGATACCTAAACTGTTCACCGAACTCGCCTCTCAATAGGGCCATTGTTTCGTGTGCGGTGTGGCATGTGGCACCGTCTTGTTGAAACCACATGTCAGCCAAGTCCAGCTCTTCCATTTTGGGCAAAAAAAGATTGTTATCATCGCACGGTAGCGCTCGCCATTCACAGTTACGTTCCGGCCATTGTCGTCTTTGAAGAAGTACGGCCCGATGATGCCACCGGCCCATAATCCACACCAAACAGTGATTTTTTTGGGATGCATTGGTAGCTCTTGCAATGCTTCTGGCTGGTCTTCACTCCAGATGCGGCAATTTTGCTTGTTAACGTACCCATTCAACCAGAAATGAGCTTCGTCGCTGAACACAATTTTTCGATAATTTGGATCTTCCTCCAACTTTGCCAGCGCCCATTCACCAAATGGGAAATGTTGTGGGAGGTCGTGTGGCTTCAATTCTTGCACCAGCTGTATCTTATAAGGTTTTACACCCAAATCCTGTAGCAAAATTGTCCACGTAGTGGAGTAACAGAGGCCCAATTGCTGCGAACGGCGGCGAATCGACATTTCACGGTCATCACTAACACTGGCGGATACAGCCGCAATATTTTCTTCAGTCCTCACTCTACGTCTGCGTGTTGGTGGTTTAATGTCCAATAATGTTTGGGTTCGAAATTTAGTCACAAGCTTCCGAATAGCTCCCTCAGTAGGCCGACCAAATTGCCCATAAATTGGAAGCAGTGCTCGATGCACTCTCTTAACCGAGCATGAATTTTGATAGTAAAATTCAATAATTTGCAAGCGTCGTTCGTTCGTAAGTCGATTCATGGTTAAATTATAGACCAAACTGAACAAGTTTGACAATGACACAAGACACGATTCACGCGTCATCTGTCAATCACCCATTACAAGCTATTAACATAGATGACAGATCTGTAGTCAAAGTACTGCTTACCATTTTCATTTTGTTCAGAAACCTTGCTGTATAAAACGGATGCATTAATCCCAGTATCTCCATCAATGGCTGTGAATGTGAAACTCTGAAATTCATAATTAAGGGTAAATGGAAAATGAATTGTTGATCAATTGTTAATGCTTTTCATCCTTTACGTATGTAGGTAAAGAAACGGCAAAAATTCTTTGAAAAAGCAAATAAATTCTTTCCTCTAGCTTAGGAATACCAGGAATACCTATTTTAGTTGCATCTAAACCCCTTCCGAACCCAAGATAGAGTACAAGCCCCTTCCCACTTCAGTTGGCCCAACTATAGAAATCTCAGTTTTTTTCTTATCAAACACAAATACGAAGGTAACATATGGTTTGAAGGTGACTGGTCTCTATACGGGGTGTCCCGAAAAAAGTGTGCAATATTCTACCAGCGATTTCTAGAGCCTAAAATAGGAAGAAAAGTTTATATAAACATAGGTCGACAAACGTCCCCTACGGGCGCTACGGTCTTTTAAACGGGTTCCCCTGAAGATGGTTTTGCCTTAATACGAGGCGTGTCCGTAAAATAAGTTCCACAAATTTTTTTCATATCAAAAAATTGGTTTAATTGCAAAGAAAATACATTTTTGGAAAGTTCAGTCTTTCTTTTATTTTTATACATAATCGCCGTTGCGTTCTATGCATCTCTGCATTCGAGGCACCCACTTCTTCAAACCAGAGTCTTAGAACTCTGCCGCCTGTCCGTGTAGAAAACTAACAACCGCGTTTTGCACCTCTTCATCTGTCTGGAATTGGGTTCCGCCAAGGTTTTTCTTCAACTCAGGGAAGAGATGGAAGTCACGTGGTGCTAAGTCTGGGCTGTAGGGTAGGTGAGACACCATTTTCCATCCAAATCTTTCGATGAGGGCTATGGTTCGATTGGCGGTGTGCGGTCGGGCATTGTCATGGTGAAAACGCACTCCTTTCGTCAGCATTCCTCTTCTCTTGTTCTGAATGGCACGTCTAAGTTTTTTCAAGGTCTCACAGTACCGGTCAGCATTGATTGTTGTCCCGCGAGGCATAAACTCGCACAACAATACGCCCTTTCGATCCCAAAAAACGCTAGCCATGATTTTCCCGGCAGACAGGATTTGTTTGAACTTCTTTGCTCTTGGTGAAGAAGAGTGCTTCCACTGCTTCGATTGCTCCTTTGTTTCCGGTGTGGTGTACCCAGGTCTCGTCACCAGTAACAATAGAGTCCAGTAATTCCTCTTCGTTTGTTCCGTGAAAAGAGAGAAATTCTTGGGCCGCTTCAACCCGCTGCCGTTGGTGGTCTGCAGTGAGCATTCTTGGTACCCATCTTGCGCAGACCTTTGAATAGCCTAAATGTTCAGTCAAAATCTTGTCAATTGTGGTTTTGCTGACCTCCGGAATCTTTGTGCACAGCTCCCGAACTGTAATCCGTCGATCTTCAAGCATTGCCGCTTCGACTTTGGCAATTGTTTCGTCGGAAACCGATGGCCGCCCTGCACGGGCTTCGTCGTGGACGTCTGTTAGGCCATTTTTAAAGTCCCTGACCCATCTGCGCACCATCCAGCAGCTCATACAGTCTTCTCCATATACTTGACAAAGTTCTTCGTGAATTTGCTTCGCCGATTTCTTCTTAGCGGTCAGGAAACGAATAACAGACCGGAACTCGCAGCTGGCGGGAGACGCAAGAGGAAGCTCCATCGCTGACGGCTGCTGAGCCAAGACTAAACGTCGCTGGCCTGGTGAGGGATTGGAGTGGGGGAACCAAACAATCTGCCTCTGTTGCCTGGCTGTGCATAGAAACGATCCTCGCGCCAGCGGCAGCCCGTGGAACTTATTTTACGGACAAGCCTTAATAAAAATGTAGCAGGTTTAAAATATTAACAATGAATATTTTGATAATATGTAGTAGAAAACACCAACTTTATCACTCCCTAATCAAATGTGCAGCATATCAACCTATTTTCATTTCAATGCAAAATAAGTCTATAACGCATAGGTGGCTGTGAAAAATAAAAGCCATGACAGTTGTTTTTATTAATCACAGCTATCAGAATATGTTTAAAATAGTTTTGGGTAGTTAAGGTTTTCAAAATGGGTAGAGGAAAGGTTATTAGTGAGAAAATTCGGTTACTGATAATTAATTTTTTTCATTCTGGGAAATCAAACTCAGAAATTGCAACTTTGTTAGACTTATCGCGGTACAGTGTGAGAAATATTGCTAGGAAGATACATATAACGTAACTGGTTCAGTTAATATTAAGCCACGATATGTGAAAAAAAGTAATATCACAAATACCGACCGAAGACCATTAAGAAGAATAATCGTGAAAAACAGGCGTGCCAATTATTTACAATTAAGTGCTCTGTGGAGTGACACTGTTGGAAGGAGAATTTCGAGGTCCACAACTCATAGAGAGGCCCGCAAACTGCGATTTAGCACTTGCAAGGTAAGTTTTCTTATAAAAAAAGTGAAGTAAAAACCCTAAAGTTGCACAACTTGTTTATAGGCCAAAGAAAGGACACTATTAACTCCACTGCAAAAGATAAATCGTCTTAGATTGGCTAAAGAACATAGACAATGGACACCTCAACAATGGTGTGCAATAGAATGGAGTGATGAGACCCGATTCGAAGTTTGTGTTGGTGACAGTCGCAGTAGAGTTATTCACAAAAAAATGAAGCATTCCATGTTGACTGTCCGAAGAGAAAAGTGAAATTTCCAGCATCCATTATAGTCTGGGGCAGTATGTCATCAAAAGCAGTAGGAAAACTTCATTTTATTGATGGAAATGTGGATACAAACAAATATTTGGCAATTTTAGAGGAAAGACTTTTACCAGTGATGGAAGAATGTTTGACATCCGGCCAAGATTTTGTGTTTCAGCAAGATGGTGCAGCGTGTCATACCTCAAAAAAGGCTATAAAATGGATGGAAGAAAATAATGTACCACTTTTGTAATGGGTTTCTAGCAGATCTGTCACCTATTGAAACTTTGTGGCACGAGATGAAAAAGGTTCTACGACAACGTCCTGCTCGTACAATCACCGAACTGAGACAAAAGCTTCAAGAAATATGGGATTGTTTTACACCAAATTTTTGCCAAAACCTGGTTAACACTATGCCTCAAAGAATTTCAGCCGTAATAAAAAATAAAGGTGATGTTACCCAATGGTAATTAATCTTTCAATTGTTGCTTTGTTAACTTCGCGCATTTATTCGCACATTGTTTATTTGTTCAGATGTTCTATTAGTTATAGGTCTAAGTGATTTCAAATATGTATTTTTTACGACTAGAGTGTATCCAAAACGCTTTTGAGAAAATAAATTGTTTTAGAAGTAAATAGTTTCGTCATGTTTAGTTTATAAAGGCATATTTTGGTACAAATCTTGAAGTGGGCCAACTGAAGTGGGAAGGGGCTCGTATAGTCTTTTTGTTTCAAAGGTCAAGTCGAAAAACGCATCTCTTTTGTACAAAATAAAGCCCATTTATTATTATTAATGTGATTATTATTATTCTTATTATTATCATCAAAATCGATTATGAAAAATCGAATATGAGGTAAAATATTCGAGTAAAATGGTAACCTATTATTTTTAACATCCCAATATTAGCGCGTTCATGTGAGCGATGCTCTGCATGTCATGAATGAGCTTTGTATGTTTAGCTGTGTCTTGGATTGGGATATGAATTTCATGGTTACTTATTAGTGAAGTAAAGAATGTGTTACCTTTCCGACGAGTTCGTCAATCGTCTGCACACTGAAGTATGTTATCCAAACTGGCTTAGAATCTCTGCGATCCTTAACAGTAACGCTGGCTCTAACGTCTTTTGGCCTCGTAGGGTTGTGACCGCTATCCTGGAATTTATTCGACATAGACATAATGAGTAAAAAAATATATACATTTTCAAAAACAAGCTTGCATTTAGCTGTTAGCGAAATAAGATAGCATATTTTTTCAAATTTACAGGGTGTCCCGAAAAAAGTGTGCAATATTCTACCAGCGGTTTCTAGAGCTTAAAATAGGAAGAAAAGTTTATATAAACATAGGCCGACAAACGTCCTCTAAGGGCGCTACGGTCTTTTATAGGGGCTCCCCTGAAGATGGTTTTTCCTTCATATTTTCGAAACGTGTTGAGATAAAGACATAAAATTTGGTATTCTAGCCTAGTTTTTTATGCTGGGTTTAAAAATATTAACAATTTTAGACAGTTTTGTTTCAAAGCGTATGTAACAGGTTATTCTAGCCCCAAAATGTTTGTGCGATGCTATTTTTAAAATTCAATTTTAGAATTTGAAAATCTAGGGTTTTCTACATAAAAAGGTAGTCTTATTGAATATCGATAAATTGTGCCATTATTGAATAAAGTCAAACTAAAAAATTTGTCACATGATAGGAAATGTACTGCGAATCGTTAATTATACATAGTTAGCCATGACTGCAAATAAAAGTTGTTTTGATTTTTTATGACTTATATTGACGTTAACCTGACATTGTTAGCAGTGTAAAATTACTAAACTCTGGGCGCTGAAGAAAGACATTAAACGTAAACAGTGATCAGCACGTGAACAGATCTCTCGAAAGCATCCACGGATATACTCCAGTCACTTTAGGTCTAAACATCCTCGGCAGTGTATTTCTAGTGAATCCACAGACCCTTTTTCGTGTCATCTTGAGACTAGAAAAAGGATGACTGTTAAAATAAGTTACATTGATCTTTCATGAGCTCCCAGTACAAAACATCATCGATATATTTTTGATGTAGGAACAACAAATTGGTTTAGAAAACATCCACTTTGAACCTAAATTGACTGGAGTAACATCGATCTACAGACAAATTCAAGGCCACTAGCAGTCGTCGGCGCTCTACGAATCTGCACAGGTTTGGACTTGTAAACGTGATTGTAGATGACACGACAGGCATCTAACAGTTAATTCACGCACAGGATTGCATTGCATACGCATTACGCATTCAGTAGCGTATACTCGTTTTTCGCGAGTGGAACGTTTTGTTTATATATTGCCTAAGATACGATGTCTGACACAGCCGACGAAGTGGTTGACATCAGCGCAACCCCACCCAAAAAAAGGGCTAAGAAGCTACATTTAAGTGCAAATGAAAAACAAATAATATTAAATATATACAAAAACCAAATTCAAGAAAAACCCGATTTGGTCGTGGACGAAGTTATATGTAAGGTAGCACATATTTCTGGAGTATGTCGGTCCAGTGTTTATAGGATCATTAAGGAATATAGGAGCACTCACTCACTTTCTGAGCCAAAACCGTATCCTGCAAGAAAAAGGATAACGGACGGAGTAGATGACTTTGACAGAACTACCATCAGGAGGAAAATGCATAATTTTTTCTTCCGAAATGAGATACCTACAGTAGATAAGATATTAAGATTAGTTAATGCTGATGAGGATCTTCCATCATTTAAAAGAACCACATTCCGAAAACTTTTGAAGGAACTTAATTTTCGATTCTTGAAACGGGGAAGAAACAGTATGTTAATAGAGAAAGAAGAAATTGTTGTGTGGAGAAGGGAATACCTTAGGAAGATTCGGAAGTTTCGCGATGAAAAAAGAAAAATTTACTATTTGGACGAAACGTGGGTGAATGCTGGACATACTCAAGCGAAAGTTTGGGTCGACAAATCAGTAACGTCATCAAGGCAGGCTTTTCTAGACGGTCTTTCGGCTGGATTGAAAAATCCTGCAGGTAAGCTCCTTCATCTATCCGGCAATTTAATTTTGATAAATTCGGGCAAATAATATGCTGTGATAGCAGATAATGTGTGATATTCTCCAAAAATGGTGCATTCGCAGTGTAGTCATTAGGAAAAAAACTTCGACCCTCTTTTAAGCGTTATTTTGAAATTTATTATCATTTTTGGGTGCAGTCAATTTGCTTTGAATGGGTTTTGAGAAGTTGCAAACTTCAATTTTCTACGTTTTTCAGTTTTTGATCAGCATTCCGTGACTCTTAAATTCAGCTAAATGAACTCAATTGCCTCATTCCTTCAAATTTAATCAATCCATAGTGTAAGGAATAATTTATTTCCAGGAAAAGGCAAACGGCTGATCATTTGTCACGTAGGTAGTGAAGACGGCTTTGTTCCCGAAGCACTGTGGGCCTTTGAATCAAAAAAGACAGGGGACTATCATGAGGAGATGGACGGCAATTCCTTTGAAAATTGGTTCTCCAAAATGTTACTAAAGCTGGAGAATAACGCTGTTATTGTACTGGATAATGCCCCGTACCATTCTAGAAAAATAGACAAAATTCCCACAATGGCAACTAAAAAAGCAAACATACAACAATGGCTGGCCTCAAAACAGATCGATTTTGATGAAACAATGGTCAAGGGTGAATTGATAAGTATAGTCAATAGACATAAATACAAATACGATTTTAAAATGATCGACGAAATGGCCAAAAAACAAAATAAAACTGTCTTGAGACTGCCACCCTACCATTGTGAGCTGAACCCTATTGAGCTGATTTGGGCCAACATAAAGCAATACGTGGCGTCGAATAATAATACTTATAAATTTTCTGATGTTAAAAATCTCTTTCACATCGCAGTCAATAGAGTTACGGCAGAGGAATGGAAAAACTGTATCCGCCACGTTCGGGAGAAGGTTGAGGTCAAAATGTGGGATTTGGACAATGTCATCGATACCCAAATTGAACCTCTAATAATTAATTTAAACGATTCAGAAGATTCAAGTTCCTCTTCTGAATGAGTGCGCGCAGCTTACTTAGTAATAACTAAAAAGTGTAGTTAACTCATTTGTGAATCTCTAACTGCAATTTACTGTAAAAGATAATAATTATCTTGTATGAAATTTTTGATGACTACCCATAATATCTTGATGCGGTCCTGTAATGTCTCCTGCGCCTAACCACTCACTCACGAGCAAAATGCGTGTATTTGTTTGGGTTTAGTTTCTTTCTTCAGCGCCTAGAGTATAGATTAAAATCAAAATGTTTATTAAATCGATTTAAAATGCCAAGATTTGCAGACAGAGAACTGACTGACATGCATTTTGTGTACGGGTTTTGCAATGGCAGTTCATTGGCAGCCGTAAGAGAATATCAAAGAAGGTTTCCCAATCGTATAGTATCTGGACGTCGAATGTTTACTGCTATTCACCGGAATTTGTAAAACCATGGAAGTTTTTAGCGCATGCAGGGCCCAGGAAGGCCACTGGGAAATCATCGTATGGAAATTGCTTTAAATATGTTTCAAAATAATCCTCAAATAAACATACGAAATGTTTCAGAAAATATGGATAGAGTAGTTTCGGGTAATATGGAATACCATTTTCATTTCGCTCAATAACTGAAAAAATAATACACCTTTTCTTCTGAAAATTTGTTGAAACACTTATACGATGTTACCTAACAATTGCTTACCACCAGATCAACTGGAGCATACCTCATTTTTGTGTAGAGAAAAATACTTTCCAATTAGTTATTTTTATCTGTCAAACAAAAGAGAAGTATAATATGGAATAGGTATGTTATATGGGGTAATATGGAATAGGGTAAATCATATGAAAAATAAGAAAAAACAAGTTTAATTCTTCACGTTAGGTAATTTAACAAATATAAAACAAATTAGATAGACCTTTATTTTATTTGCAAAAATCGCAAATGTAGATATCACCTTCACAACTTGTGCAAGCTTCATGAGCCTATCCGTTACAAATGACACATTTCACCCATACCTCTCTGCTTTTACTCATCGTGAACATCTCTTGACAAAAAATACATTCCGTCGTGTCATCAGCACATTGATTGGGACTAATATAAGATGACAGGGGGAGATCATCTTCATCAGAGGAGTTCTGGGAACGGGTTCTGAAGAAGATGTTAATGATGAAGATGATGTTGATGGTGAACGTGCTTTTCGCTTTTTCTTCGCAGATTGTTTAAGAGAACTTGGTCCTGCTTCATTGACTAGTCTCTTAGTAACATTCTCACGTGAACGATTAATAGATTCCTCTAACTCCTCTTTATTCGGAGTTGAGGTTACTACCCTTGCACGACCAGGTTTTCTTCCTCTCGAGCCTATTTTTTTTTCAGTTGTGGTATTGGTGCGATATCCTTGGGGAGAATGTTTGGTGAATGACATAGCGCTGGTTCATTATTTTCTGGAAAATCTGCTGTGACAGGATGGGGCACATGATGTCTTTGCTGTTCGGCTAAGAAGTATTCATCGGAGAAAACATCTCGTCGAAAGGGGTAAATGCCAGTTGTACTGAATCCCTTTGTTGACCTCTCCGCAGTCTGGATTTTTGTATAGGCTCTTCCAAATAACTCGCCCATATCAAAATGTGTTACGGCTCTATTATGTGCCCGCATAAATAGCCTTACTTCCTCATTGTAGAAAGTTTTCAGGGCACCCATGAGTGTTTTATCCAGAGGCTGCATTTTATGCGATGTATGAGGAGGCAAACATAATTTTGTTACAAAATGTTCTCGGGCTTTTATGACTACGTCAATATTTCGAATGTGAGTGTGATGCCCATCTAAAATAAGGAGTACTGGACTGTCTTTGGTGGGGTTTGTCCTTTCCAAAAAATGGTCAAACCATTTAGTGAAGAGCTCAGTCTGAATCCATCCCGAGGGGTGAAACGCAAACAAAGTGCCCGGAGGAGCTCCTTTCTTAAGCTGCTCACTTGAATTTTTGCGAGGGAAAATAATCATGGGTGGCACGAACCGTCCTGCTGCATTCATACATAAAACTGCAGTCACTAAGGAGCCTCGCTCGGCCGCCGTTAGTACACCTACTTGTCGTTTGCCTCTTTTTGAGACAACTTCGGGACATTTGGATTGTACAATACATAACCCCGTCTCATCAACATTGTAAATCCTGTCACAATGAAAGTTTTTTTCTGTTATAAGTTTCTCAAGCAGGTTAACAAACTCATTGACGTCTTCCTTATTAAAACCGAGAGCTCTATTTAGAGAAGTGCCAGTTGGTTTTCGAATGCTCAAAGAAGCTTTGTGCCTTTTCATAAAACCATACAACCAGTCTTTTCCAGCTGATTCCCGTAATAATGAAAATGGATGTGGAAGGCTGTTGCGTCGAGCCAACTGAAAAGCCATGGATCGCAAATCTTTTCTGGTTAATCCATAATACATTTGATCCATGATCAACAAATACTTCACTAGTTCTGTTTCCAATTCCGGTGGCAAAGCTGTTTTTCGGCCTAATGTAGTACTGCAAACAGTATCAGGAGAACTTTCTTTATTGCACAAGCGGTGAAGTGTTGCTCGTGGAACGTTATAACGTTTTGCAGCTGACAAATAGCCCAACCTGTTACTTCTAACATCTTCAATTGCTTTGCGCATATCATCAGACTGCCATCGCTTTCTTTTTCTTGCCGACATAGTTTCTGCAAAAAAAAACTTGTTTCATACGCAAAACGACCCAATTTTTGCTGATAATTATGCTTTTTGTCTCTTCACAAATATCGTTCAATCTCAAAACAAAAACATCGGGTAATATGGGATACCTAGAAGCGGTATAATATGGAATATTCCATATTACCCGAAACAGCAACTGAGGAAAAAAATGCACGCTGCAAATATGTTTTAAGAAAAAAATATGGTAACAGCCCTCTAAAACAGTAACTTAACATTTGAATAGACTCACCTGTCAAAATAAGAAAGATTGGTAAATAAATAACACCTTTACAAAAATTCTAATGACTATCGTGCACAACTTTGTAACCACAAATAATGCTCATTTGCGGTTTATAAACTAGAGAACGGCAACCAGCGAAACCTGTCGACGCTATTGTGTATTTAGGGTGTAAAAGAGGCTGGCTTAGGTATTGAAATACAGATGTCGCTACCAACATAAAAATAAGAAGCTATTCCATATTACCCGTACTATTCCATATTACCCGAAATTACTCTATACCTCGATCAATAGTAAGAAAAATTTATGAATACCCATTTGATAGTTATCCTAAAAATAATAATTTTAGATAGGAAGAATGACAAGATTGCAAAGATTACATCCTTATCATTTTAAACGGGCGCAGCATTTAACGGAGGCAGATTTTTTACCACGAATCGAGCTTTGCCAGGGGATATTAGCAAATTAAAATACTATTCCTAGAATATTATGATCGGATGAGCCAATATTTACTAGGAATAGTGCTTTTAATTTCCATAACATAAATCACTGGTCAGATGAAAATCCAAACAGAGATTTTCATTGAACTTATGGGCAGGAGTAATTGGGGATCAAGTAATTGGGACTATTGTACTTCCCAATCGTCTTAATTCAGAGGTGTATCTGAACTTTCTTCAGAATGAGCTCATGGATATAATACCACTCAATGTGCACATTGAGGACGCAATGTTCGAAATTGGTTGAATTTCAATTTTCCAGACAGGTGGTTCGGCCGAGGATGTCCTATAGTGTGGCCGCCACGTTCACCTGACCTAAATCCACTGGATTTCTATTTTTGGGGATCATTAAAAGACCTAGTTTACTCGACTGAAGTAAATACTCAAGAAGATTTACTTCAAAGAATCCATCAGGCTGCAAATGAAATAAGAAGAAAAAGGTTTCCACTTTTCGGGCTACGCAATCATTAGTTCGTCGAGCGAGACTCGGTATCCAACAAAATGGGAATTTATTCGAAGACTTATTGTAAAGCTAGTTTTAAGTATATCCAACTGTATGTCTGCTTTTTTAAACAAATTTCAATTTCTTTCGTAGAAAAAATTTATTTCTTTTGTTTTTACCTAAATATTAGCTATGTTGCAATAGAAATATGTATTTATGTAATATTTACCAATTATTAAATTAGATTTTTCATTGCCATGGCTAATTATTTAACAATTCATTTAAATTCGCAGTACATTTCCTATCATGTGACAAATTTGTTAGTTTGATTTTATTCAAAAATGACACAATTTATCGATATTCCATGAGAGTACCTTTTTTATGTGAAAAACCCTACATTTTTAAATTGTAAAGTTGAATTTCAAAAATAGAATAACACAAAAATTTTGGGGCTAAGATAACCTGAGTCCGTCCTGTTACATACGCTTCCAAACAAAACTGTCTAAAATTGTGAATATTTTTAAATCCAGCATAAAAAACTAGACTAGAATACCAAATTTTATGTCTTTATCTCAACACGTTTCGGAAATATTAACGAAAAACCATCTTCAGGGGAGCCCCTTTAAAAGACCGTAGCGCCCTTAGGGGACGTTTGTCGACCTACGTTTATATAAACTTTTCTTCCTATTTTAAGCTCGAGAAACCGCTGGTAGAATATTGTACACTTTTTTCGGGACACCCTGTCCTGTATATAGATAAGTTTTCAAATAAAAAAAAAACTTAAGATGTACGAGCTTCAATATTATTTAAATATTTCCAGTCGGATTCAATTATTTTCAAATATTCATATAATCCTATTGACAGCTAAATAGAAGCTTATTTTTTAACAACATATTTATTATTTTCTTTATTTTTTACTTATTCAAGAAAATGGGAATTTATTTGAACACTTATTGTAAAGCTAGTTTTAAGTATATCCAACTGTATGTCTTCTTTTTTAAACAAATTTCAATTTCGTTCGTAGAAAAAATTTATTTCTTTTATTTTTGCCTAAATGTTAGCTATGTTGCAATAGAAATATGTATTTATGTAATATTTATCAATTATTAAATTAGATTTTTCATTGCCATGGCTAATTATTTAACAATTCATTTAAATTCGCAGTACATTTCCTATCATGTGACAAATTTGTTAGTTTGATTTTATTCAAAAATGACACAATTTATCGATATTCCATGAGAGTACCTTTTTTATGTGAAAAACCCTACATTTTTAAATTGTAAAGTTGAATTTCAAAAATAGAATAACACAAAAATTTTGGGGCTAAGATAACCTGAGTCCGTCCTGTTACATACGCTTCCAAACAAAACTGTCTAAAATTGTGAATATTTTTAAATCCAGCATAAAAAACTAGACTAGAATACCAAATTTTATGTCTTTATCTCAACACGTTTCGGAAATATTAACGAAAAACCATCTTCAGGGGAGCCCCTTTAAAAGACCGTAGCGCCCTTAGGGGACGTTTGTCGACCTACGTTTATATAAACTTTTCTTCCTATTTTAAGCTCGAGAAACCGCTGGTAGAATATTGTACACTTTTTTCGGGACACCCTGTCCTGTATATAGATAAGTTTTCAAATAAAAAAAAAACTTAAGATGTACGAGCTTCAATATTATTTAAATATTTCCAGTCGGATTCAATTATTTTCAAATATTCATATAATCCTATTGACAGCTAAATAGAAGCTTATTTTTTAACAACATATTTATTATTTTCTTTATTTTTTACTTATTCAAGAAAATGGGAATTTATTTGAACACTTATTGTAAAGCTAGTTTTAAGTATATCCAACTGTATGTCTTCTTTTTTAAACAAATTTCAATTTCGTTCGTAGAAAAAATTTATTTCTTTTATTTTTGCCTAAATGTTAGCTATGTTGCAATAGAAATATGTATTTATGTAATATTTATCAATTATTAAATTAGATTTTTCATTGCCATGGCTAATTATTTAACAATTCATTTAAATTCGCAGTACATTTCCTATCATGTGACAAATTTGTTAGTTTGATTTTATTCAAAAATGGAACAATTTATCGATATCCAATAAGAGTACCTTTTTTATGTAGAAAACTCTAAATTTTCAAATTGTAAAATTGAATTTCAAAAATGCAATCACACAAAAATTTTGAGGCTAAGATAACCTGAGTCCGTCCCTGTTACATGCGCTTCCAAACAAAATTGTCTAAAATTGTTAATATTTTTAAATCCAGCATAAAAAACTAGGGTAGAATAACAACTTTTATGTCGTTATCTCAACACGTTTCGGAAATATTAAGGAAAAACCATCTTCAAGGGAGCCTCTTTAAAAGACCGTAGCGCCCTTAGGGGACGTTTGTCGACCTATGTTTATATAAACTTCCCTTCCTATTTTAAGCTCTAGAAACCGCTGATAGAATATTGCACACTTTTTTCGGTCCTGTATATAGATAAGTTTTCAAATAAAAAAAGAACTTAAGATGTACGAGCTCCAATATCATTTAAATATTTCCAGTCGGATTCACTTATTTTCAAATATTTAACTAACTCTATTGACAGCTAAATAGAAGCTTATTTTTTAAAAACATAGTTTTTATTTTCTTTATTTTTTACTTATTCATTAAGTATATCAAATATCCAGTTTGATAATTTCTACATAATTTTCATCATTCCGTTTTTCTAAATCTTGTTCAGCTGTTCTTACTTCATCTTCTATATCCATAGTTCTTCCTTGGATTCGTCAGATGTGCCGATCTTTTTCCATAGTAATAACTTGGAGAGTCTTTTGAGACTATGTCCTCAGTTTCCGCCCTCATGAGTCAATTAGTAGATGGAACTCTTTGTTCTCACGAAACATATGTTCGTTCTTTAATTATGTGACACTGCTTTGAGAGATATGATTATACTCAAAAAGCAAAAGCATTCACTTAAATTTATTATAAATACCATCTAAAGGATTTCCACCGAAATTGTACAAGGATATCCTTTGTTTCATGAATACGGCACAATAAGTTAGATTACTATCAAAGCTAAGAAGGAGGAATATTCGAATATTCAATTTATTATTATATATACGTATACTAAGAGACATATAAATCCGAACACCCAGTTTAAATGGTTTTATTTTAATAAAATTTTGTATAAGTACTTAATGAAGCATAATAAGTAAATGATAAAAATTTCAAAATGATTGCACTGCTTTAAAGCCCTTTGACCTTTAATAATGTGTGGATGCACCCTGATGTGCTACGCATTCTCCAACGCGCCTAGGCATGCTTCTGATCAGGTGGTCAATGTCCTCCTGTGGTATCTCATTCCAGGCAACCACCAACTCCTCTCGAAGTGCTTCTAGAGTCTGAGGAGGACGTTGCAAATTGAGCAATCTCCTACCCATCATATCCCACACGTGCTCAATTGGGGATAAGTCGGGATATCTTGGTGGCCATGGTAACAATGTGACATCATTATGTTGAAAGAAGTCTATTGTGACTCTTGCAACATGTGGTCGGGCATTATCTTGTTGGAAAGTTGGATCTGCCAGGGTGTCAAGATAGGGTAAAAGATGGGGTTCTAGAACTTCGTGGATATAACGCTGCGCGTTCATGTTACCTGTGATGAAGATTAAAGGTGACCTGGAACCATAAGCTATAGCACCCCAAACCATAACTCCAACAGTGTGATGAACATGTCTTTCAAAAAAAAACTGTTGATTCCTCCTTTCACCACGTCGCCTTCTAACCCTGGCACGACCATCGTGCATGCCTAAACAAAATCGAGAGTCGTCACTAAAGACAATACTGTTCCATTCCTGATCCCAAAGTGACCGTTGTCTGCACCACTCAAGGCGATTACGTCGGTGTTCTCGAGTTAAAGGGAGGACCCAGTGTGGCCGGTATGAAAACTTCTCATTCGTCGGTAAACACTTCGCATGCCAATAGGTCTTCCGTGTTCTGCAAACCATTCATTTGCAATGGACCTGGTAGTGGAGAAACGGTGCCTTAAGGCCAATAATCTTAGGCGGCGATCTTCACGGTCTGTTGTTCTACGGCGGCGTCCAGTGCCCCTTGCTCTTTGCGTACGGCCTTCTCGAAGCCATGCCTGACAACACCTAACCACAGTGTCTACACTTCTTTGCACTCTAACTGCAATTGCCCGAAAAGAAAGTCCAGCTTCCCGAAGTGCCACTATACGGCCCCTATCAAACTCACTAAGTTGACGAAATCGTACAGGTCTCCGTACTCTAGGCATCGTAACCGATCGTAAAGGATGTCAAAAACCAAAATTCGCCAACGTTGATTCTTTACTGCGGCTGAAATATTCATTTTTAGAGCGTTAGTGAATTAAAAAAAAGCAGTATAAAAACCGGAATGTCCAACTGATAAGGCTGAACAATTTTTCACTTGTTATTTACAGTAAGATAAATACATTCACCGACTTTTATTAAAATAAAACCATTTAAACTGGGTGTTCGGATTTATATGTCACTTAGTATATATTTCAATTTTGTTGCGAGTGTTTTAGTTTATTTTAAAATAATATCTCCGCCTACGGTGTAAAATTAACACATCCTTAGTTATTGGTAGATTTTGCGACAAATACCATTATGCAATACAAACTATCAGCCTCTTGCATGTACACAGGCGAAAACCATTTTGAAGCAGGGCGACACTCCCCAATGAACGCAAGATGGGTACTGACCAAAATCGCTCATCTATGATGATGCAGGTGGATACCTTCCCTTGGAATGTTCGAGATGCGGTGTTGCGAAGGGAACCGATCCGGAATCGAACCTAAACAGATTCGACAACTCACAAAGTCAAAAATGTATACGCTCAAAATAAAACCATTTGTGCCTAGAGAATAAACTATAACATACTTTCAACTGCATCTTAGTTCAAGGAATTGATGTAACATTGTTCAGGCAGCAGCGGTGGCCGCAGTAGTAGACTCTTCGGTCTCCTGATCAGCCGCCGTGCGCTGTGCGGGTTCGAGTCCCGTCCCAGGAGGAATTTTTCTCTTGGCTAGGGATGTTGTGATTGTCCGTAGGTGGTAGACGGTCTCTGACTGTCGAACGCGGAGGTACCACCCGACGGATCTCGTAGGCGGAGCCAGAATGTGTGCATGTAGATTTCACTACTTCTTCGATTGTCCTGCTCATAGTTACTCGTGGTTCGAAATCTCCAATGGAACCTTTAAATCAATCAACTTACCTCAGCTTCTATGTTGAATGAATAAAAGTTTGCTGTTTTATAGTCCAGTTCCTTTAAGACTGTCATGTACACATATGCCTCGTGCTCATCGTCATCTGGAAGCTCTCTAAAGGTCAAATTGAAAATTTCGCCCTCTTTCTGGAAAAAGGGGTTAATTACCGGCTGAATTGAAATAAAATGTACTTTGATAATAAAAGAATATTGTGGTATCACTCATGAAATCATATTAGTTATTCTGATTTGTAAGAAGAAGCAGAACATGCAGCATGTGACCTTTATGACCTCCTTGATTTTTATATTTAGTTTTTCCTGTCCTTCAGAAAGGCGTTCTACTTTGAGGTTATGTTACAAATATCTATCGGCATCAAATTGTTCATGCTTTCGATTTTTATCATCTGTGTTATCAGCCTGAAATTTTATACAATTCAAAAAGAAGACATAATTAGGGGAGCGCTGACGCTGACACTGAATAGTAGAAATTTGGAAATACTCCAGCCTCTCTGAAGTAGAGAAAATGCTATGAAAATCAAGGAGGACACCGTTCTTATCGGTTACGTGGTTGATTGATGACCAACTTATTTTCAATATCACGCACTACTAGAAAATAGAACATCCATTATTTAATAACTATCAGTGCTAAAACAATACTTTTGGGAATCGTGAAAATGTGTAGTACTACTTTCCACGCCTTCTGGCCACCCGCTGCGTTGTTCATACGGTACCGAGCATCGCAATGGGCGTTTTTTGTTGTGATCGGTGGCGGGGGAGCCGACAAACACGACAGTGTTGCCAAATTTGACCTAGCATAAACAACCCTTGCATTTCAATCATCCTAGATGTCGCTGTACATTTACCCTTAAAATATAGAAATATACTAAGTGACATATAAATCCGAACACCCAGTTTAAATAGTTTTATTTTAATAAAAGTTGGTGAATGTACGTTATTTATCTTACTGTAAATAACAAGTGAAAAAATTTTCAGCCTTATCAGTTGGACATTCCGGTTTTTATACTGCTTTTTTTTAATTCACTAACGCTTTAAAAATGAATATTTCAGCCGCAGGTAAAGAATCAACGTTGGCGGATTTTGGTTCTTGACATCCTTTACGATCGGTTACGATGCCTAGAGTACAGAGACCTGTACGATTTCGTCAACTTAGTGAGTTTGATAGGGGCCGTATAGTGGGACTTCGGGAAGCTGGACTTTCTTTTCGGGCAATTGCAGTTAGAGTGCAAAGAAGTGTAGACACTGTGGTTAGGTGTTGTCAGGCATGGCTTCGAGAAGGCCATACGCAAAGAGCAAGGGGCACTGGACGCCGCCGTAGAACAACAGACTGTGAAGATCGCCGCCTAAGATTATTGGCCTTAAGGGACCGTTTCTCCACTACCAGGTCCACTGCAAATGAATGGTTTGCAGAACGCGGAAGACCTATTGGCATCCGAAGTGTTTACCGACGAATGAGAAGTTTTGGCTTGTTTTCATACCGGCCACACTGGGTCCTCTCTTTAACTCGAGAACACCGACGTAATCGCCTTGAGTGGTGCAGACAACGGTCACTCTGGGATCAGGAATGGAACAGTATTGTCTTTAGTGACGAGTCTCGATTTTGTTTAGGCATGCACGATGGTCGTGCCAGGGTTAGAAGGCGACGTGGTGAAAGGAGGAATCCACAGTTTTTTGTTGAAAGACATCACACTGTTGGAGTTATGGTTTGGGGTGCTATAGCTAATGGTTCCAGGTCACCTTTAAACTTCATCAGAGGTAACATGAACGCGCAGCGTTATATCCACGAAGTTCTAGAACCCCATCTTTTACCCTATCTTGACACCCTGGCAGATCCAACTTTCCAACAAGATAATGCCCGACCACATGTTGCAAGAGTCACAATAGACTTCTTTCAACTTAATGATGTCACATTGTTACCATGGCCACCAAGATTTCCCGACTTAGCCCCAATTGAGCACGTGTGGGATATGATGGGTAGGAGATTGCTCAATTTGCAACGTCCTCCTCAGACTCTAGAAGCACTTCGAGAGGAGTTGGTGGTTGCCTGGAATGAGATACCACAGGAGGACATTGACCACCTGATCAGAAGCATGCCTAGGCGCGTTGGAGAATGCGTAGCACATCAGGGTGCACCCACACATTATTAAAGGTCAAAGGGCTTTAAAGCAGTGCAATCATTTTGAAATTTTTATCATTTACTTATTATGCTTCATTAAGTACTTATACAAAATTTTATTAAAATAAAACCATTTAAACTGGGTGTTCGGATTTATATGTCACTTAGTATATTATGCTGAATCACATATTAAAAAGTGGAACTCTAATATTTATTATTGTCGATGTTCATCTCAGTAACTGAAGTCTGCATATCTCCTAGTAAACTATTTGAACTACGATACAGCTGTAAAGAAATGACTGCAGCAATTATCCGATTAATTGTCACAAGGAAACGTGACGGATGTTCCAGAAAAAGCGCTGAAAGAGCAACTAGGTTTTATAGTTTCCAAAGTAAAGAGTACGTGAGAAAAATGCAAAGCAGACAAAGCTTTTCATTGTTCGCCAGGGAAAGAGTATCTATGGATTAATGTATGGGCCTGTTTGATTGACTTGATCCATTTAGTTTCTCTATTGTACATGCTCGTAGGGTCATTTTATGCTACAAAATGGTAAATTTTACTTAAATATCTACCTATAACATTCTTGAATGCTTTTTTAAATTGTAGATCCGAAAACTGACAAGCCCAGAGACATACGAGCCCCTTCCCACTTCAGTTGGCCCAACTATTGGAATCTTAGTTTTTTTCTTATCAAACACAAATAATAAAAATGTAGCAGGGTGTTATAGGTTTAAAATATTAACAATGAATCTTTTGATAATATATAGTAGAAAACACCAACTTTATCACTCCCTAATCAAATTTGCAGCATAAAAATAACACATGTTGCAATTATAGCATATCAACCTATTTTCATTTCAATGCAAAATAAGTCCATAACGCATAGGTGGCTGTGAAAAATAAAAGCCATGACAATTGTTTTTATTAATCACAGCTGTCAGAATACGTTTAAAATAGTTTTGGGTAGTTAAGGTTTTCAAAATGAGTAGAGGAAAGGTTATTAGTGAGAAAATTCGGTTACTGATAATAAAATTTTTTTATTCTGGGAAATCAAACTCAGAAATTGCAACTTTGTTAGACTTATCGCGGTACAGTGTGAGAAATATTGTTAAAAGATATAACGTAACTGGTTCAGTTAACATTAAGCCACGATATGTGAAAAAAAGTAATATTACAAATGCCGACCGAACAGCATTAAGAAGAATAATCTTGAAAAACAGGCGTGCCACTTATTTACAATTAAGTGCTCTGTGGAGTGTCGCTGTTGGAAGGAGAATTTCGAGGTCCACAACTCATAGAGAGACCACAAACTGAGATTTAGCACTTGCAAGGTAAGTTTTCTTATAAAGAAAAAAGAAGTAAAAACCTTAAAGTTGCACAACTTGTTGATAGGCCAAAGAAAAGCCACTATTATCTCTACTGCAAAAGAAAAATCGGCTTAGATGGGCTAAAGAACATAGACAATGGACACCTTATCAATGGTGTGCAATACAGTCGCAGTAGAGTTATTCGCAAAAAAATGAAACATTCCATGTTGACTGTCTGAAGAGAAAAGTGAAATTTCCAGCATCCATTGTGATCTGGGGCAGTAAGTCATCAAAAGGAGTAGGAAAACTTCATTTTATTGATGGAAATGTGGATACAAACAAATATTTGACAATTTTAGAAGAATCGCTTTTACTAGTGATGGAAGAATGTTTGACATCCGGCCAAGATTTTGTGTTTCAGCAAGATGGTGCAGCGTGTCATACCTCAAAAAAGGCTATAAAATGGATGGAAGAAAATAATGTACCACTTTTGAAATTGGTTTCTAACAGTCCAGATCTGTCACCTATTGAAACTTTGTGGCACGAGATGAAAAAGGTTCTACGACAACATCCTGCTCGTACAATCACCGAGCTGAGACAAAAGCTTCAAGAAATATGGGATTGTTTTACACCAAATTTTTGCCAAAACCTGGTTAACACTATGCCCCAAAGAATTTCAGCCGTAATAGAAAATAAAGGTGGTGTTACCCAATGATAATCTTTCAATAGTTGCATTGGGAGATGTCAATATAAATATTTTGGACGATGATCCCATCACAAATGAATACTTGAATATCCTATCAAGTAACAGATTTCTGTCCTATATAAACCTACCTACAAGGTCCATCAGTGGCACATGTATAGATCACTGCTTTGTGAAAGACCTATCCAACAAATTACTTGTATACCAATAATCCTAGAAAGCGATATTACTGACCACTTCTCCACTATTTTACTGATATCTTCAAATGAAAAACATTCTAACATCCCTACCGTTAGTAACAACCAGGAAAATTACAAATTTTTTATCGACAATTCAAAACTAATATCAAATGTCAAACAAGAATCCTGGGAACAATTATACTCTATAAATAATATAGACAAAGCAACGGGACTGTTCATAGAGAAGATAAAAAAACTAATAGATATTAGTACCAATAAAGTAATAATTAGTCACAAAGAGAAAAGCAGAAATGCCTGGACTACCAAAGGATTGATAACATCGGCAATAGAAAAAGAAAGACTATATAATGTAATGAAACTAACGCCAACTACAGAGAATACCGACTGCTACAACCAATATAAAAATAAATTTATAGAGCTTGTAAGGCAAACCAAACGAAAACATTACCTAAATAAATTGAATAATAACTTAAATGATCCTAAGCGGCTTTGGACAACTATTGATGAGATTACTGGTAAAACAAAAGTTAAAGAGTGTGTCACTGAGTTAAATACAACATCGGGAACAGTATTAAAAAATACTCAACAGATATGCGATGAATTTGTACAATTCTTTACTGACATAGGCGAAAATTTAGCAAGTAATATACAAGCAAATGTACAAAATACTCAGCCTCCAAAAAGAACTTTGAACTCATTTATTTTGGATAAAGTCGAGCAACGTGAAGTACACACCACTGTTATGTCCTTAAAAAATCGGAAAAGTCCTGGGTTCGATGGTATTAAAAGCGAGCATTTGAAAATTA